CTTGACACGCACTGATGCACACTCACGCACACGAAAAAGTCAGTGGATATTGATAGTGTCATATGATCAAGCGCAAGATCTGAAGTATTCCATGCGAGCTGGAAAGCATGTGACAGTTTCCGGGAGAGAATGTCCAGCAGTCACACCTCCCATCCAAGAATGGGGTTTCAATGATCCTGATGGTTGGCATCGAGGTACACGGCGAATAACACCATTGACCGAGTGGGATGAAAATATGAAGAGAGATAGACAGGCTCCCAGGACCGTAAGATTTGAACTGGTGCCCGTAGAGCTTGGTATTGACTGGATTCTGTCTATCCGAATGCATTATCGTAGCTGTACACTGTCGCTATAGAGCAATGTCAGAAACATGCCCACGATCGACTCCAACTTGAACGTCGAGGACACAAATATACAAGCTCGGCTACATGCCGTCCAGCTGTGAGCTACGAGACCGATGCGCTGGTTTACCCCAGGTCGGGGGATTTTTCGGAGACGAAGCTGATCCCAAGTCGAAGAGACTGCCATTCTATGATATCGTCTCAAACCATCACGCCGGTTGATGACACTCCTGTATGACAGGGCCAAGTCAGCAAGCCCTTTGATCACAGCAACTACTGCGAAACTGATCACTTGACACTGATGTCTCCCGGCGTCTCTGTTTGGAGAATGTCCATGATTACGGGGCGACAGCCGAAACTGCAGAGACTGAGAGTCGTGACTCCCTCAACCCCACAGGAACGAAACTGGGGCCGGAGGGACATCCTCGGCGAGCTTGAAAAGTCGGGGGAACGCGTCCAATTTGGCTAAGGTGTGGCACAGGCCACCTGGCTCCGCTTAAGGCCGCCGCAGAATAACGATCTCCACTTGAGACTTGTGCATTGAACGAGGTAGATGGAAGACGGAACTCGGAGGAGAAAAGGACCGCCGAGTCCTAGTTGTCCTGTACATGGTCCTGCCAAGTAACAAACTGGCAATGTAATGACACATACCGACAATGCTGAATGCATCATGAGATAGAGTATCACACAATACTGAGGACACAGATGCTGGTTTGGTGTATGGACTATGGTGGATGGATTAACTAAAGTGGCACTTACGTGGGTGTGAATGAGCAATTAGCCCTCAAGACTGGAGAGTGCAAGCGACAGTCAGCTTTTCTACAAGACTACTGCAGCTGCAGCACTGCTAGTGGTCTGGTACTGTATCGGCGTATCGTCGTACCATACCGGCAGCTCGTGTCCTCCCAACGCATCCGCTGGCTGTTGTCGGGGCCTGAGGCTGAAACTACGAGGGATTTATTGCGCACCAATGAGAACCGACACACTGGATGCCGAGTGGAGAGGTGATGGATTTTCCAGGAACATGAGGTCCGGCTCGTGCAGTACAGGACGAGTGGACTGGAAGTGGAGGTCAGTCGGAGTTGGGGACAGTAATAGTGAGGAGGAGCCAGGGCAGGTACCCAGGTGGAAAGGTTCCAAGTTCGAGTCTTGATTATTAATGCAGCAAGATTTTGAGTATTCCAGTATCTAACAGTATCACATACAGTGGGTAATATGAAATACATATACCCATATGATCGCCGTATCATAACAAGCCCGCCACCTGCCAGCACCTGGCACCCAGCGCTGCAGCCAGAAAGCGCAAACACCAAAGATGGCTCTCACCACCAAAAGTCCAAGTCCGCAATCGCACTACATGTAATCATACCGAGCTCTGTACAGAGACCATGCTAAACCGGTATACATCAATACAGCTGGTCATTGCTCCCCTCTCTCCATCCTGTTTCAAATAGTGAATCGAACATCTTTTCATCCCGTCCAAAAAGAAATTGCCTCTGATCGTCCCTCCTCCGGCCATTCGACCATCCCTTCACCCATGCATTCTTCAGATTTGGAAAAAGGGCACCAGTCATGCTGGAAAAAACCCCCCTAACGTCCAAGCTCAAGCCACCTCGTGCCACGAGCACGGGCGGAAAGACTAATCTCACGGGGATGTGTTAAAGAGTACAGTCTTACTGTTGATCACCTGTGGATCTCCTAGTAGCTCGACATTAGTCTCGTCTACTCGAATATGTCCATAATAAAGTCAACTAGTTCTATGTGACTGGGTGGATGTTCGATGATCCATATCACCTGCAGGTGATTCTCGTCTGAATTGATATCGCATACCAACGGCCCAGCAGTCCACGTAGGATCAATACTCAGAAAGTCAAATCAAAATACACGCAATATAGTCGAATTTCAAAATATATGCAGCTTACATGGAACCCGTCCCACTCCCACCAAATCAACCCAGCCCAATCCAACCCAACCAACAACCTGATATCAACTGGACGCAACCTTCTCTAAATGGCAAAACACTAAACGAAATAGAGACAAATTCATCCATTCATCCTCTCCCTCCTGCTCCGTTTTGTGACCGACGGCACGGCCAAAACCCATGCCCGGCGTGATCTTGCTGACCGCCAGTTTGGAGACATGCCAGGTTCCCCTCACGCTGCCCCTCTCACTTGACAGAAAGGGAACGGGAGTCGGAAATTCAGCCACAGATTGATTGATACCTATTACCTACTGTAGTACTCCCTAACTATGTCCAGGACAGGTAAAGTAGGACGAAAAGAGACCACGTTACTGTGGGGGGAGGGGAATGCTTCGCAATGGTTGTTATCTTGGTATTTCGAAGGATGCCTTGATTTACCAGGTAGTCTGTACTTTGAGGTTATACTACAGTACTACACAGTGCATACTGCCTGGACATTGGATCCATCGGTGCTTTTCTGTGCTAGACAACAGAGTGAGAATGCCTCTAAGCCAAGCTTGGTCGGTCAGCTTGGTCATCACGAGCGAAAGGCAAATACATCAACATGTGACCGTCGAATCAAGTTACATACGATGGTGTGTTGGAACTTGACCCCCCTCATCTCATCCACTCGATCTTGGCTGAAGTCAGATCTGAACAGATTTGATCAAATGGTGAACCGATAAGCCCATCTGCCCACTGCCGTAACACCATACTACCACCAACTGGACTCGAGTCCTCGCTTGCACGCATTCGAAGACCGAATGGAATTTTCCTTGCCCTGAACGTACACACAAGCTCTATATCAACTCAATCCCGAGCTTTCCACGCCTTCCTCTGAACGCCACACGTGCATCGATCTGTGGATTGTTCATAGCCCGATGCTTAGCTTCAGCTTTCATCTCGCACAGACAGACACGTAACAGTTTCGGCGTCCTGTCTATATTGAGCTAGCACATATCAGATAAAGGACTGGGATCGACGCCGTTGCGGTCAAGCTCCCGCTCCGATAGGAGTTTGGCAGTATAGCGTCAGCGACATTCGATGGGAGAAAATCCATTCATGTACCCGGGGAGGTTCAGATAAGGTAAGACGTCCCAAGGCTGAGACTCTAACCAGGACTCGAGTCAAGTCCATGGTGGAGATTCGAGTCAAGTGGATGTTGAACACTCCATTTAATTATTCTTCCTCAAAAGAGACATTGTCATGTGTTTGCAGCGTAATCCGCCTGCGATAGTGACCAGACAGAAACGCCAGGTCTACCTTCAACTATGGTCGTTCTCGACCGTCATCAAATCAAGCTTCTAATGCGAGGCTCTCAATGAAGTCTCAACTTGCCAATTTTACCCCTACTTACAGACGTCGTCTTGCTTATCATGTTGGGGAGATTCAAGTTTCACTGCCATGTCATAACCACCTTAATCTCAACCCCGGTCTATACAATCCCAGAGCTATGGCCCCGTTCGGCATTGCGCGTTTGTGGCGGAACATGATCCATGCAATACCTATGCATGCTGTATGTGCACTGCATCAGGGCTGCAATGCAGTGCGGCATACGGAGCCTCGGCGCAGATACACTCCCCCGAATCATATACCAAAACCGAGCAGGCGTTCCTGAGTGACATGTACACCGCCACAGGACCTGCAAGCTGGACTATAGTACGGTTGAACGAGGGAGACAGGGAGAAGAGCCCGCGTCGCTATACTAGGCAGGTGCATGCGCATGCAAAATCCACGCTTGTAAGCTTGAAGGTCGGTCTGTCCGCCGAGGTTGTCAATATTTTGGAGTGGCACATGAAAGTGGTGACGCTGCAGCGCAAAGCTTGAATTTTGATTTGAGATTGGACCGGCCCTGCATACGCTCTGCATAATAGAGTTTACGGTTTTTTGTGCCGGGTGGTCCTGGGATTGCGAGATTCACGTTCAAGCTCGCTGCTCTACAGTCTCCGATTCGAAAATGGCAAAGAGACGCTCGCATACTTCTCGAGTGACGACCCTCAAGATGGATGCGAAAGGCTCGACTCCTCATGTTGATGAGATATGGATGATCCTGGCGCTTCTATCACGGACGCTGTCTTGACCTGCCACTTGGAGCATAATTTGACTCTCTGAATTGTCATGACTCGATGAACGCTTTACAACCCATGCAAAGCAGGGCCATGGGTGCATCGTTCAATGAAAGGCGACAGGAATCAGGTTATCGACTGGCGGCGAGCAGACACTTCTGATCAGGCTCACCGGGTGATGCAGAATGGTGCACGCATTGTCCTCGCCCACAAGCTAACCCCCCAGAGCTGCAGGTTTACTCGTCATTTCCACTGTCGTCGCGACCTCTCTCTGCCGGCATCCCGACTATGATCGAGGAAGCAGCTATATGCAGGGGTGCCACTGTGTCGGCTTATCGAGTGCCGATGGCAGGCCACGTGGGGGGCATGCATCATCTTGACTGGCGCCGGGTAAATATCAGCGGAAAGGCGGTCTGGTCTGGGCGCTCAAGAATGCGCCGTATCTTGCACCGGATGGGCGGTCACAGAAGGTTTCTCGTGATGTGTCTGACACGGCGACTTGACTCGGCCTCGCTCTTCTCGTAAGGCCTGAAATGCAAGTCCTTGCTTGCGTTGTGGCTGCACCTGACCTGTGCAATACCTGTCGGCTTTCCAGAGTTATCAACCGGTGGCCACGCGGTCTACTTAGAGCCCTCATTCAGTTGTCGTGAGTATGGCGGTCAGGAAAGCACGCGCGTCTAGTTGACCAAGATCAGAACCATGATTGCTGTAATATAACACAAAATGCGGCGGCGCGAAAGTTTCGAACACACTCACCACAAACTGCTCCAGAGATTCCTCGAAGAGCTCGTTGTTGACGCCAACACCGCCGGGATGTTCCACGGGAGACAGGGGATTCTTCACGACTGTGCCATGATTACGTGTTAGAATCATCCGTCCACTCCACGATGTGCAACCCTCTCATTAGGGAGCATCGACGAACCGTATTCAACATAGAGGTTGATGTAGATCTGCTGCAGCGCGATTCGCATACTCGGGCTTTTGGTGTCTGTCAACATGACAAATTTGATATTGGTTGGGGTTTCGTAGTAGTGTAGCTTATACTGGCTGGTGTTGAAAGCGACGAAGCTAGAAAAAAAGGACAGAGATTCAACGTCAATATCGGCCCACGCGATTGAGTCAAGGGTCCCTGGAGCGATCGTGCTTACTTGTCATCGTCGCCGCCTAGCTTGCGGACCATATTCCGCAGTGAAAAGACCGTACCGAAGACCAACTTTGAATCATCGTCGGTGGCTCGCACAGTCTGACCACCGCCGGCAGATATGGCCGGGGTTGCGCTCTGTCCTGACTTTCCCGCGATCGAAGCCGGACGGGGTAGCCAGCGGCGTTTGTAGATGCATTCCGCTAGTGAACGCTGGAGTCAGCCTGACGTGGCATTGAAGCAGAGACTGTCCTGAAATGATGCACATACCATGGCGGTCAAAGATGTAGAAAGAATAGACAGTCATGGCAGATCGAGCTTATGAGGTTCAATTACTTCGGCTCTTCACGTGGGCTTGTTGATGTTGATGGTCTACCAACAATCAGGAGAGTCCAACTAATCTGGGGCCGCTGGGCGGTGAGCAGGCGGTCTGTGATCCGCCAGTTGGTCCGTACTCCGTACAATTGGGGTCAAAGCCATCTATCAGGCTGGATTGTTAAGAAGAGCTGTGTTGATCCTGCCTACTGATTTGAACCATTATGACTGCTATCTGAGCTCGAAGTCTTTGTCTTTGTGGCACTTACACTGGGCTCACGGTTGTAAGGGCTTTCGATTCGGCAGTCTAAGGACGAATGAGCAGCCAATTCCAAGCTGTACAAAGTTTCAGTCCCGAGCATGTGAGGAAAAAAAATGGGGTGAACAAAAAGGATAACAGAAGCCGCTACCTGCGGAGAACGAACCAGTCGATCAGACTCACCTTGCATTTGGGACTGTCTCTCCAATCGATGGATGGCTTGTTGTTCACAACCTGACATTCGGCTCCACTCTACTCAAGAAAAAGCTTGTCTTGAGGTCACCATATTCTACACAAGAGGCGACCGTCCAAAACCCTCTCTACGATACGATTCCAATCGGTCGCTCTCTTCATCTCGTTATCGGGATCTCCCCGCTCTCTCGGCTTGAACTCGTAATCTCAATTGCTACCCCACACTGAACTGGTGCAGGGCTCAACCTGCCTGAAGGCATACACCCCTCCTTGCTCGAAGCGACAAGGATCTGATCTTCAATGGACGACTCGGTTACATCACCTCAGTCGGATGTCTCTGTGACACCTGCCTTGGACTCCTTCGAAGGTCCACCGCCGCGGCCGGCTCGGGTCACGTAAGTTTTCCATGATATCCCCGGAGCGCAACAAGCCCCCACGGCAGCTCAATGATTGTCGAGTCAATTTGGGACCTTGGACTAGCTCGCTGATGGTTTGCTCTCACCCAATACCTCCAGCTCGTCAGGGTCTTTTGATAGTCACCCCAGACATCGACAACGCAATCCCCGAGCTCGACGTCCAGTGAAAGTGGGTACTTTCACCCCGCTGCATAGGCGCTTCCCACTTCTTCCGACCAGATGAGAAGAGCTAATGCCAAAATGCTTCGCTGTGGGTGTGTAGGAAACGCTTGATGCCCGATCAGAATACACCACTAGTCAAGATGACGGCACCGCAGAGCACCGGATCAATCAATATTTGATCAAGCAAGAGATCGGACGTGGATCCTTTGGCGCAGTGCATCTAGCTGCGGACCAGTTCGGCAATGAATATGTAAGAAAAACCCAAATGAATGTAGCTTTGAGATCAATAAGTCGGATTGGCCATTATTGGCTAATTGAAGGGTTGCGGCAGGCCGTGAAAGAATTCTCCAAGGCGCGACTTCGAAAGCGCGCACAATCTCACCTTCTTCGGCGACCGCGTGGACCACGACGACCTGGCGCCGGTTTCAACTCGCCATTGCATCGCCATCCCTCGCAAGAAGACGCCAAATTAGCCAGGAACCCCCTTTATCTGATCCAAGAGGAAATCGCCATCATGAAGAAATTGAACCATACTAATTTGGTCTCTCTCATTGAAGTGCTGGATGATCCAACCGAGGATTCGCTCTACATGGTCATGGAAATGTGCAAAAAGGGTGTTGTGATGAAAGTGGGCTTGGAAGAGCGAGCGGATCCATACGATGATGAGCAATGCCGAACGTGGTTTCGTGATCTCATCTTGGGAATCGAATATCTACACGCACAGGGCATCGTTCATCGAGACATCAAGCCTGATAATTGCTTGGTGACAGGCGATGATGTGCTCAAAGTGGTGGACTTTGGGGTTTCCGAAATGTTTGAAAAGAACTCAGACATGTTCACTGCCAAATCGGCGGGATCTCCTGCATTTCTTCCGCCTGAGTTGTGCGTTGTCAAGCATGGCGATGTCTCGGGCAAAGCCGCTGATATCTGGTCGATGGGCGTGACATTATACTGTCTTCGATACGGCAAACTTCCTTTTGAACGACAAAGTATCTTTGAGCTGTACGAAAGCATTCGGAATGATACTGTCGATTTTGAGGACGAGCAAGATGGGAATTTCAAGGATATGATGACTCGGATTCTTGAAAAGGATCCCGCGAAGAGGATAAAGATGCGGGATTTAAGGGTGAGCATGTGTATTTGTGGCAATTGATGCCGGTGTGTCGAGTTTTGCAGCCCTGGCTGATCATTTGGCGTACAGGAACATCCTTGGGTGACCGCCAACGGAGCCGACCCCCTTCTCTCGTACGAAGAAAACACTGCACAGTTGGTTGAACCGCCTACGGAGGAAGAGATGAGTCAAGCAATCACGAGAAACATCGGTCATGTTCTTACACTGGTACGTTCCGTCAATGGACTCAGCAGGAGGACTGGTCGCGATTGGCTGCTAAAGTGTGTTGGTCACAGATGAGAGCTGTCAAGAACTTCAAGCGACTCGTGGATCCGAGCAAGGCCGAGTCAGATTTGAAGAGCATTCTGGGTAACGAACATGATTCCCACTTTGTATCGCCGCCCCTGGAGATGGACGACAATGACGAGTTCCCGGATGTTGGGTTCGACTCGAATACCGAAGGCGCCTCTCAACTTTCATTACTCGAAAGGATAAAGAGGGACATTCAAAAGCGTCCGATTTTGGCAGGAACCCACGGCGGAGACGAGCTGAAAGCAAGCGCCCCTGCCACCAATCTGCTGAATACCCTCTCTCCTGCCGAGCACCTTGACCTCGGCAGTCGCCTGTCTAATCATTCAGCAAATACCCCAGAACGGAAAGACTCCGGCTCGATTCGAAGCGGTAGATCAATGGCGACAAGAGACACCGCAGGGCCAGATTCAGAATCCGCCTCGCCTCATCCGGCCCAGTCCCGAGCAAGCTCTGCTACAACCAAGCGGAGCGTCGAAGGAACCAGAGGCCATGCGCGAGATCCCCTTGAAGAAAGTTTTCCCTATCTATTCGTCGGACCCTCGACATTCTCCGATACCTCTCCACAGGAACCCAGCCAATTCAATCTGGGCAGTGAGACCGTGTCCATCTCCGCCGAGCCAGAAAGTAAGGACGAGGAAATGGACCCTGCACTGCAGGCAGCACAATCGGACAACCCTGTCCCCATCGTCAGTGAATCCCCCGGTGCCGCTGAATTCGACATCTACGAAACAGCCTACCGCAAGGAGCTTGAACGCATCAAATCTAGTACGTCCACCTTGCCTGACGCAGGCGTCAGTCCCAAGGTGTATCTCACGCGTCGCGTGGAGGGCAAGCACGAGGTCATGGAATTCATCAAGGACAAAGTGATCGACATTCAGATGGGCGGCAAAAGAGCCCTCGCATCGGGGGGCAGGTCCGCCTCGGCCTTTGGCGCTGCAGTCAGTCTATTGTGCAACCAACTCGAGCAGAAGCGCGAGGCCGAAAAGCGAGAGAATCAGACGGATGAACATGAGACAAAGACAAGTTGGAAGGCTCCAGGTCAAGACCACGGCCCCGCCGAGCCCAGACAGCGTCGACCCTCTCATCCCCCTTCAACATCTCTCATGGCCCAGTCCATCCCCGGCCCGGAGGCTTCGTCCTTCGAGGCGACGGGCGTGTCGGCTACGGATTCTAGCACCGAACATGAAAGTGCACCGACGCAGCTCCGCCGTCTCTTGGATCGAGTACGTGAAAAGTCTCACGAGTGAATGGCCACGCTCAAGCTGGATGGAATCATGCACAGCATCTCATTGTCCTACATAGTCCTTCCACAAACAACCTGACAAGCTCCTACTATTCCTCTCTGAACATAATCAGCGATTGCATATCTACCATACCTTCTCCTCCAGATGCCCTGTTCACTAACACCTACATGCTCGACAATATAGTAATACTCTTATCTGCCCAACTTGGGCGAATAATCGCAGCATGAGCCCTGGTCCTCACATCACAAGCATTAAATCGATGGATCCGGCGAGATAACCCCCCTCCCCCTCCCTCTTAAACCAGCATCTCCATCGGAGCAAACTCACATGATATGTCAAAGTGCCGAAGTCGGTAAAAGCGAATTCCAGAATCCGCCGAGGCTGCAATATGCAAACACAACACAGATACAATACCATGATACATACACTATGTAAATCACAAAGAGCAAACAGCAACAACCTTAGCAAAAAAAAGGGCATACCGCGTCACAAAATAAAAATCCGCAACTTCATCGAAATTGTCTTTATTAACAGACACATAGTTCATGCGTAAGTCAGAGAAATGGAGAAAGGGAGCATAACGGCAGATTTGAAAGGATTCGACTATTCGCGTGCCAGAGGCCGAGGGTCCGTGAAGGAAGATGGTGGCGATGGGATCGAGATTTGGCATCGTCGCAAGTTTGGAGTGAATTGGGAGAAATGGTAAGGGAAGGTCGTGTGCCAAGGGTGAGATTGAAATTGAAGAGGAGGAGGAGAAGAAGAAGAAGAAGAAGAAGAAGAAGAAGAAGAAGAAGAAGAAGAAGAAGAAGAAGAAGAAGAAGAAGAAGAAGAAGAAGAAGAAGAAGAAGAAGCACACTTGTAATATGAACAAGGACATAATGTTGACATTAATATGACAAAGTAGCATGGCAAGACGAAGAATCAAGCGTCGTGGCTTTTCATTGCACATGATATGTGAAAACGCTGCACTGGAGAAGGAAGATTGGTTTGTCTTGTGTAGTATGTAGTTTGGAAATCTGGGAAACGAGAAATGGGCAAAGGAGCAGTATAAGCGCAGTGCAATAGCCAAATGGAAGAATGAGAAGAAAAAAAAATCGAGGCTGCGTGGTATTCAAACATATATGGCGAGGATGGAGGAGCGAACACCCTTCGCGTGAGACATCATGGATCAAGCTCAGATGAGAGCGGACGCAGATGGAAGCACAGGATAAGAGAGATCCACGCGAGAGCGGAAAAAAAAGAATATGATTTCGAACACAAAACGGGAAAATGCTGTCTAAAGTAATGATTTCATGCAATGCATCTGTGACTTTCATAAATTCAGGATCGTCGTGAGACAGAGCTGCCAACGCGGGGGGGGGGGGGGGGGCTTGTTGAAAGTTGGCGGGTTAGGGTCATAATAAGCGCAGTTTGTATTGATGTGACGAGCCACAGCACTGCCAGTTGCGCAGTGGCTGCTGCAGAAGTGAGGGTCGAACTTGTCGCGTCAAGCACCAGATCCCAATCGATACGACATAGAAGCTTCCTTTTTGATTTGAGCTTGTAAAGAAGAGAAGCTGCTGTGGCACCTCCAGCCAGGCATCCACCTAAACCAAACCGACCACAACCCCATCTTTGAAATGCCAGCCTCATCGCGTTGGCTTATCGCTAGGGGTCATGCTCGCCCGAACATCCGTATACGGTCCCATGCTCGTCTCGCCCCGACTTGTCGCCGAGTCTCTTCGCCCACTGTCCGCCGGCGAAAACCGATCTGGTGGTATAGAGCCGAACGAGCTTCTCTCGCCGGGGGTGGTTCCGGTGAAGCGCCCAAACTGATCAATTGGTCCCAAGTGCAGAGTACGGGGCGAAGGTAACGGTTTGCTCATCTCATCGAGACGAGGCAGTTCGCGCATATTCCCCCCCCTAGAGTGTCGATCTGGCATTTCTCCGCGCTCTCCTGCAGAGAACATCGGAGCTGGTGCCAGAGGTCGACCTACAGCTGCTTCATAAGCATGGGGTCCGTGGTTTGGGCCGCGCCGAGACGGCGCCGCTGCAGGACCCGACGAGTACATTGCGAGCGAAGCAGGCGGAGGACTAGGGGGAGATTGTGGATTTTTGACACGGGTGGAACCAGCGCGCCGAGGTGGAGGATAGGTTTCCCCGCGGGCTTCGGCGGCGGCTTTGCGTCGTTCCGTCTCAGCCTTGCTGGGTCGACCACGTTTGCGAGGCGGCTCACTGGCCAATGCGGTCTCGAACCGTGGGGAGAGTTGGGCGGAGCTTTCGCTGCTGTAGGAGGCCGTGCTGGCTGGTGGGCGAGGCTGAATCGCGCGTGGTGCGGACGGCTTCTCGGCTGGATAGAGGGGCCGTTTACGTATGGATGGATCGTGAATGGAAGCTGGACCTCCAGGCCCATCAGACCGTGGTATTGAGGTTGGTGTTGACTGTGCACTTGGTGTTGGTGGTGGTGGCGGTGGTGGAGCTTGCTGGTAGTGGTATTGACCGGGGTGTTGGTGGTGTTGGAGCGGAGGTGGAGGTGGTGGTGGTTGTTGAACTTGTTGTTGGTTGTGAGGCTGGTGGTGCGAATGCGATTGATACGAAGGCGATGCATGCGCCGGGGGCTGCACTTGCGACTGCGAGAGCATAGCGCCAAAGGTCATTTTACATTGACTGAGCGTACGGCCTGTGGGTTGTTGGCGCCAGGAGCGGCGGTTAGTGAACCATTCTGTGGGCGGCAGGTGTATAACAAGGTCAAGACTGCAGCTAAGACGAGCAAGCTTCAACAACAGTCTCAGCGTTCACTCAAGGAAAGCAATTACCTGGAGGCAAGGGAATATGCTCCCAATTTGGCGAAATTGCAAGGTCATTGACAATGCGTATAAGATAGTTGGGAGATATCGGGGCTTTCTTCAAGATCTCGCAGAGTAGAGTGTTCTGTCAGGACGGGAATTAGCGTGATCTGATTTCATCCTGACCAAGACGTTCCCTGAGAAACATACCTTCTCCTCCTCGGTCCATGGACTATCGGCCGGATTCGACATGACCAAGACCAGACCCACGAGAGGGTCAAATTTATGGAAAGTGCTGATGATCGGTGATGGGATCAAAGCTCGGTCGGTATACTCAGATCCGCTAAAGTAGGAGTTCGACAGTCCAGCGAAGGCGACAATAAGACAAAAACGGTAGAAATAGCCTCCCCGGACAAGTTTTCTGTGGAGCTAAAGTAGCACGAGCGTCGGCAACAATTGGTCTGACACACGTGCACAACCAGAGCGCAAGAAGAGGGAATTGTAAAAAGTGATGAGGCTCTTGAGGCGGATAAAGAGAGTAGAGAAGGGAAAACAATCGAAAGCAAAGCAACCCCCAAAGAAAGAGAGGAATGGAACCACACAGCGAGTGCTTCTATGATGCCATTCTCTTGACCGGTTCCTTTGGATGAGAATGAAGCAGAGAACAAAATCGGGCAATGCGTCCTGCACCGTCGAGGCAATATCCAAGGGTCCAAAATGAAGAAGGAAAAAAAAGAAAGAAAGATAATTGGGGCGCGATCGCTCAAATGGGAAATCTCCAGATAGCCTTGCGGTATCAACACGAATGGCAGTGAAACCAGGGAAATGGCGGATGCGCAGAGCGGAGAAGCGAGCGACTTTCAAGGAGGAATCCACAAGACCAATAACGCTTGAACAGTGGACTTTTGAAAGCGCAATGCCTAGCTTCAGAGCTCAGACAGGCGAGGGATCGAGAGGAAAAAAGAGAAAAGGGAAGGAAAAAGAGAAGAAAAACGAGACAAAAAAAACCACAAAACGCAAACCGGTGAGAAAATAGGATACAAATCCAGGCAATGGGACTGATGTAACAAGAGCAGATGCACAGACTGAGCCAGTGTAAAGAAAAAAACAGCACAACAAGCGCGACGCTCAACTGAAGGCGTCACAGCCACAGGAAATTCGACGTGCAGCACAACAAAACGTGATCCATGAAGTACCGACTGGTCAAGATTGGTCCACACGGGTCTGAAGCAGCCGGGATCACGCAGGAAGCAATGCGCGTTGGACCACCAGGGAAAGCTGCAGAAATGCTGAGTCGCGTTTGAGGGGGAGATGGTAAATGCAGTTAAGGTTGAGCAAAGCACGATCCACGGTGCAGTGGACAAGTAGTAGACCGAGGCAGTGAGCGATGTGAGATAGAGATGCACCAATGAGACTCGCTGGAGAAGATGGCAGTGGGGACAAGGGTGGAAGAGACAAATGCTGCTGAACAGGAAAGAGGAAAGAGGGAAGACCCAGAAGGTCTCGTCGTAGTATGAGGCGTCGTGGAGGTCGAAGAGTCTGTCAGAAAAGACAAAGGCGATAGATTGCTAGACCTGAAGTGGTGCGAGCAGCTCTCCGTAGTGCTAGTGTTGATATCGGCATGGAAATTCGCCCAAGAAGAGACGGGAGGGAGCCTGGGCCCAGACACTACGAGACACAGTTGATAAGCGTACAATGTCCCTGACAGCCCATGGGATTCCTCGACAGATCGCCGCAGCAATGGGGGAAGAGGTCAATTCGGAGCTCTGGCGGTGATGCAGAACTCAAAGCCCCAGATAGGCAGACTCGGTGGAGTCCAGACGGAAAAGACTGGCGGGGACAGCTGGGACTGAAAATAGCAACGTCCAAGGGAACAAGGGGATCGATCAATTGACAGCAATGAAGATCAGAAATGGTAGGGATACCTTGGAAAATGAAATAAAGAAAATGGAGCAGGAGCGCACCGAAAAACGGGGGGAATTGACAACGAATGGCCCAAAAGCAGAGAGAAAGAAGAGAAAGAGATGGAATGGAGCAATAGAATCAAATTGTACAGTAGAGACTGGAGATTAAAGACTAAAGAATAACAGACCGGAAGAGAACTTCGGGATCGGCAAAAATGGAGAAATTGTAAAATGGCCAAACGGGAAAAAAGAAAAAAAGAAAAAAAGAAAAAGGCAAAAAAGAAAGGAAAAGAAAAGAAATTAAAAAAAAAGCACAAAAAGAAACGGGGTAAGCGGGGAGTTTCATATCTTCCAGAATCATTCGAGACGGAATAACAGAATTCCCATGAATTCACGTCGCCGGCGGCCAGACAACTGGCTCGCTCTCTCTCGCTCTCTCGCTCTCTCGCTTTCTCGCTTTTCCCAAGCCTACAAAGTACGATCGAGGGTTGGAGGGGCGGGTCCAAACCCAGGTCAAGCCCCTCGCGCCAGTTGGATTTCACGAGCAACTGAACTGACGCCTCTACCAGAGTCGGCCATACTCATGTCAAAGACAAGTTCACTCACGCGGGCGTGGCAATCTGTAGTCTTTGTAGCTTTAGGAGCTCGACCACGCTGAGCAAAGTCCTACCACGTGAGTTGCTCTACCTCTTGCAAAGACGGAGGGATGGGGGAGGGGAAGAGCTAGTCGTGGAATGGATAGTGATACTCTCTGCATTTCTGTAATATGTCCTTTGCATCCTGTACACTTCTCAAACCCTTTGTCAGGATCGAATACTCTGTGGAGTGAAGTTCTGCCTCGAAAGGTCCTTTGCTACTCTGAGTCTCTTGCTATCCTCGGTACCACCTGTAGGCTGTCCCCTCGAACAACTCTGAAGAGCGGACCACATCGCGTCGCGTCCACGACTTCATGCACATAATCAACTGGCGTTTGTCTTGCGCGTGAATGTGGGGAACCTTGACAGCCACGGTCCAGTCGTAATCAACAACGCGAGTGCCCTCACTGTAGTCGGTCGCACTGTCGTAGCGAGTGTCTCTACAAAGTACATCCTCGGTACATGCAGCTACAACGAGGACTACACCCTACACAGTCCTGAGTACACCGCACACACGAGTCGTATATCTACCCGCATGCAGTATCCAGGCAGCCTTGCAGTGCTTGCAGTCAGCAGGATATTGTCCTGCCAGTCTCTGCCGCCAAGCACTTGCAATGCTTGCTTGACCGTCCCTGAAGAGCAAGATCCATTTCACATCCATGTCGTTAGTCTTGTTGTCTAATCTAGTTGAGTCGACAGTGATCCGCAATCCTTCGCTCAACCCCGCCACAGACTGGAAGTCGAGGCTAAATGACCCTCTTCAATCAAAAGGTCATCAATTCGTATCCGGTAGTCTTCTTTTGTACCGTGTCAACCATTGTTCTCGTGCGAATCAGTCGGTAGGATCGACCCTAAGCCGCCCCTGGAGCTAGCTCCAAACACCACCTATTCACGGACGACCCAGCATCCTGGCGCACCCGCCGCAGCGCGCCTATCATGTGGTTGCAATTCGCCCTAATTGCGCCGTCATGGATCTTACTGCGCCAGCCCTAATGAGGACCTATCAGACCAGGAGACAGTTAGTGACTGTTTCCCAATTGAGCTTTCAGCAGGCCAGCAGGGGCTGTTTCTAATGGGAGATGGCGACTGATGAATTCGGGAACTGGGGGGGGAGAGAGCGGGCAGGGAAAAGACATCCGGTAGTCTACGACTGGCCCGAAGCGAGTTCCAGTACCAAGAAAAGCGCACTGGCTTCCCGCCGCAGCGTTCCTTGGCTCTGGGTCCGTCAGGGCCAACCGTTTTCTCCTGTGGTACCATTGAGATGATACTTTATTTGAGGTGTTGGATTCCCTCGGTAACTTTTTCTTTTCTTTCGGGATCCTATGGGTTTTTTGCCACTCCGCTGACGACAAGTGCATGCTCTTCATGATTGTGATCCGCTCATGAGTAACTCCGTCCTCTCTCTTGAGGGAGAGAGCGAGCCAGAGAGAGAAAGGAAGTGCGTGTGTGAAGGACCATCGAGCGCTCCTCGGAACTTTTGAGTTTGTAGTTTGTCCTGAACATCTATTGGCGCTTTTCCTTTCTGGGAAATTTAACTTTGTGTTCCCCTGATGCGCTGTCTAGCGCCTCCCCAGCTTGTCCCTTCCCTGCTAGCGTGGCCACGAGATGGGCTTTTCTTCTTCTTTGGTCAGCCTTGGTCGGAACTCAGTCGCGGAGGAGTCCCACTTGGAAAGAGCCCGCGGAGGGTTGCTACACGTCCAGATTGGGAATTGGAATGGTCAATGGTGTGATGAGAAATAGGAGTCTAGGTCGGTTGAAGACCTCCGGACAGTCAAAGACGCCAAGGACAAGTATGTTATGGTGGCTATCATCAATCATATGCCGCCTGGTCAACAGACAAATAAAGACGAAAACCTTGTCTTCCAGCGTTTGCCTTTTTGGCGTTAAGCATTTTGCCGCTTGGACGGTAACCGAGCCTGGCCCTCTTTCTTCGGAAAGGGCAGAAAAAGGTGATCTGCACTTCGTCATCGAGCGTACCTCCGTCGCCGTCCCGCCGATTTCCCTCCGAGACCCTATGCTCTCTCCTCCAAGGCGATGTGCAAGTATGTAATACAAACCCACACTGCAGTACTGCACCCTGTGAGATGTTCAGTATCATGTCGAGTCTAAAGTCTTTGAAAATGCCCCTCGACCGGTCGCTTCTCCGTCCTCCCTGACCGGGTTCAATCATCTGCAGCCTAGTTCGGCAAAGGACTCGACGGGAGAAACAAGACATTTTGTCTCTTCAAGGCCTTGGACATTTTGGCCCCGCTCACTTGACACAACGGCGTCTTTTCGGTTACCGTCAGCGGACTGGAGACCCTCGCTTGCGACAATGGAAGAGACTTGTATCTAGTCGAAGCGTTACTCCTTATTCATGGTATCGCTATCCTCTCCCTTTTGAGTTCTCCTTCCGGGCCTTGAGGTAAGAGTTTCTTTTTTATGTTGGTGCTGCTTAGTCTACGAGAGCATGTGATATAAAGTACCACACCGAGACCGCTCGAACATCCTTCCAGTTTAGTTGCATCTCCAATGAGCTTGTTTGGTCTTAGCAAAGTGTACCTCAACAAAGCGATTTATGTGCAGCTACTCTCACAACTGTCATGCCGTCAAGGTGAAGGGCACGAGGACAACTAATGAAATGTTGAATGCACAGAATCGCTACCTGGAGGGTATTTATTAGGTTATTCATTGACACGCACTTTGAGTCCCTCAAAGTAAAGCTTCCAGTCATTTCATTTCGGTTTCAAGCTGCACACTTTTGGCTAGGTATCTACTCGATGTGTCCTCAGGTCTCTGTCTAGTTCAAGTACTCCCCCTACTGTAGTAACCCCCTCGGTGGAGTGAGTGGACGATGTCAAGTCTTCCAAGCTCCCAAGTATTGTTGATGCCTCGCGGAAACATTCCTGAAATGGAGCCTGGGCTGTCAGGTAAATCGACGCTAGGTTTTAGTTCCCTTATCCCGATAAATGATGAAGACTGATGCAAAGTATTGGATATCTGTAATAGAAGTGATCATCGCGATCATGATCACAGTACCTGGAGGCAGATGACCTCGATGCTCAGACGCATCGCATCGGACCATGATTGATATCTGTGGCGTAGGCGATCGGAAATTTAATTTCATACACGTTCCACAGGAAGAGCTGAACGGTTCATGATCATGAAATCTTTCCCCATCGAATACAGAGAAAAAGGAACGGAAGAAAAACAAAAAGGCAAAAGTGCAAAGTTTGATCTGCTTCTATGCTCCGGACTCCGTAGCCAATACCACGTTGACCATCCTTTCCATGCATCCCGTAACCAATTTCTGCTTGGCTCCCTTCTTTCTCACTTCCGCCTCAGGATCCATCAGCGCCCTCTCCATCGTCTCGACTGAATCGGAAACAGCGGCTCCGGACGCACAGACACCGTTTGCATTTTCTGATATGCATCGCATACAATTACATACACAAATCAGTCAGAAACGGAATGAATCACACCCAGAGGTCTCCCTGCAGAGTGGCCTGGAGCCAATGGATTTGTGCCTTCAGCGTCAATCCTGCAGCTCGCAGTGATTCCGACTAACATGAGGCCCCCTCATCCATTCATTTGCTTCCGGATTCAGAATGCTGCTTTTCCCAAACCACCGAATTGAAATCTGCAGGAAGTGAAACATCCACCGACATGAATAATGCCCCCCCTGTGCTGTGACGGTCATTCTGACACGTTCGTCGCCCAAATCCAGCTGGTGTGGATCGGCTGGCTCTGCAGTGCTTGTTCGTCTTAATCCTGTCCGATTTCTGCACAGCTTTCTTCGATCTTTAGATTCTTCAAGCCAGTGAAGTAAGTATCACCAAAGAAAACCCAATGGCACGAAATCCGCTCATCTAGTGAATAGATCGCTCTGTGCAATTACAGTGTTTGTCCCAAATCAGATGGTCTGCTCCAGAGCTTGCATGACCATGGCCTTGTCCTGGTTCTGGGTTAAAGATTGCGCAGACATGACAAGCCAGCAATTGTCTCTATGCTGATAAGTATATGAACCAAGGCTATCCCAGCTCCAAGCCCCTATACTATGGTCCTCCAGAGCAATTTGTTTGCCTCCAATCCGCCGTCAGGAGTCAGGTGATTTGTGCAACAAATGGAAGCTCTGATGTCTTTCTCCAATGACCCCATCGAGTTTCTCCACTATCATTGTATCATACTCGGGGAATGACCAGAGCTACGTATCTGGCCTTCTATGGATCTGGAATGTCCTTGCAAATGGGGCACAATGATTGACAGCATCTTCTCATGAGGAATTTGCAAGAACAAGTCAGAAGAAGAGTCTACAACTCAGGGCAGCTTTGAGGACCACCAGATGCGACAGTCTCTCACAGTCACGGTCGCTCGAAATCACGTGATCCAAGACTTGTCAGGTTTGCTCCTTCCGAGGCGGTATCGAGACTCCGGGCGGTGAGAGCGCGTGATGGCCTGGCCCAGTCACTTTAGGATTATCTTTTTTTTGGAATGAAGCGGTTGCTTTTGTACCTTCTTCTCTCAACCTCGCCTCTGTTTCTTGGGATCATCGACTTTGTCATTCCTTTACCTAAGCTCCAGTCGCTATTCCATCGGCTTAAATCTGTACTCGATCCTCTGCCTCATCCTTTTGTATCGAGCTTCAAGACCTCGTTTCTCTTCGTCCCGTCAGTCCGTGTTCGTCATGTCTGCCCATGACAACGCGGACTCTCAGGATCCTGAGCCATCCGTCAAGATGGAATCGCGCTTTGCCAACGGGCGCGATCCAAGCTCCCACATCAACGGTCCTCTCGTCCTTCCTCCCCAGTCACCTTCATCACAACAGAAACACGAATCGCCCGTGGACGCCAACTCACCCATCCACGACCCCGAGACGCCACTGAGCTCTGACTTGATGCTAGTCAAGCGCGAGCACAATATGAAGCCAGAAACCGTAGGCGGCGACATCGTCGTCAAAGAGCAGCCAGGTCAACCACCCAAACTGGCCCGCAGCTCATCACAAAAAGTTGTGCCGCGACCTCCACGGCTGTTCTCGCATTTGCCGGATAGCACAAAGGATGCGCTGGCTACGTTCGAGCAGATCGAGGCCTGCTGGTATGCCAACAAGAACATGGGCTACACCGAGCATGCGATGGAGTGCGATTGTGCGGAAGAGTGGGGTATGTGTCCTGTCATTCTTTGGTCTCGGTCTTTCCTTCTCCAAATTTTACAATCGCGTGTTTCTGAAGTTGCGCGGGTCATTTTATTTGTCTGGCCAGTTTTCGTTGCATTGTTCTCCCTCCCAGTCAAGGAAGAGGACAGCTTGCCCTAGCGGCGTGGCAATAAAGGACTTTGACGTGCGCCGAATGGACTCGAGGCGAACAGAATCCCACCCCCCCCTCGTCGATCACGCCAATACAACCCTCGTTCCTTACCCTTCGCATTGTTTGTAGGGTTTGTTTCGCGTGGCGGAGTTGCTGACAACATTTATTTCTCTTGAATCATAGACGCCGAAGCTGGTTTGAATCAAGCGTGTGGCGAGGACTCCGATTGTATCAATCGTGCGACCAAAATCGAGTGTGTGGGGGACTGTGACTGTGGACCAGATTGTCGCAACCAACGATTCCAGAAGAGGGAATACGCTCCCGTCGCAGTCATCAAAACGGAGAAGAAGGGATTCGGCCTTCGAGCAGAAGCCGATCTTGATGCACACCAGCTCATCTTTGAATATGTGGGCGAAGTGGTCGGTGAATCGCAGTTCCGACGTCGGATGAAGCAGTACGATGAAGAAGGCATCAAGCACTTCTATTTCATGTCTCTGAACCGGAATGAATTCGTCGACGCGACGAGACGAGGCAACCTGGGTCGTTTCTGTAATCACTCATGCAATCCCAATTGTTATGTTGACAAATGGGTGGTTGGTGAGAAATTCCGCATGGGTATTTTTGCACAGCGATCGATCCGGGCCGGCGAGGAACTTGTCTTTGACTACAATGTCGATCGTTATGGTACGGAACCGCAGCCCTGCTACTGTGGGGAGCCCAACTGCGAAGGTTTTATCGGAGGTCGGACTCAGACTGAACAAGCGACCAAACTGTCTAATGCAACCATTGAAGCGTTGGGCATCGATGATGCAGATGGCTGGGATACTGCTGTCACTCGGCGACCCCGAAAGAAGAAGAGCGGCGAGCGTGATGAAGAGTATGTGGACAGTGTGGAGCCCAAGTCCCTGGAGGAAGACGCTGTGACCAAGGTGATGGCGGCACTCATGCAGTGCAAGGAGAAATGGATTGCTGTCAAGCTGTTGAGTCGTCTTCAACGTTGCGCGGATGAACGTGTCCGCAATCGTGTCATTAAGATGCACGGCTACCAGATCTTGAATTCACAATTGGCTATGTGGAAGGAGGACGCCAATGTGCTTATGCAAATTTTGGACATTCTCGACCAATTCCCCCGTTTGACTCGCAACAAGATCGTCGATTCAAAAATCGAGACCAACATCCAGCCTTTGACAACGCACGAAGACGAACGGGTGGCGGACAAAGCTGCGGCTTTGTTGGCGAGCTGGGCAAATCTGGAGGTTGCATACCGAATTCCACGAATGAAGCGGGGTGACCAACAGGTCAAGCCCACTGTGAACCAATTCGAGCGTCGTGAATCCGGGAGAGAGCAACAACCACGACCGGTCAGCCGATCTCCACCTCCTGTGATACCTACTGGACCAGCAGCCCGAGGCCATGGCCCTGGTCCGCATCGCCGCGACCGCCACATGCACCATCATGGCGGATTTGGTCCAGGCGGTGGTGGCCGGCCACGCCGAGACCGTCGCAATGATCCTCGCAATCGACAACCTTTGCCTGAGGGATGGTTCATTGCGGAGGCTGAAGGAGGACGGGTCTACTATTACTCGGCGGCTGGGGAGACGACATGGACACGGCCCACGGTTCCACCGCCCTCAGCCACCGCACCGGCCACAGCAGTACGCAACCAGGCGTTGCAGAGCATCATTGATGGAATTGTGAATTCCCAGGATAAGACGCCAACCGAGCGAAAGACCTCAACTCCAGGCACGCCCCAGGCTTCGTCAGACCCAGTAGACAAGAAAAAGAAAGATGGAGACTGGTGGAAGAAGCTATCTTTGGAGAAGCAAAAGAAGCTTTACGAGAACACGGTAAGCACTCGAAGACACAAGCGAAAGAGACCGACCCTAAGCTGAGTAGGACTAACGATGATCTCTTTTCTGGTCAGCTGCATCCTACAATCAAGCATGTTGTGGACCAGTACAAGCACAAGCTTCCCAAAGAGGATTTGAAGCGATTTGCGAAAGAGGTTAGTCAATTACATCCAAGGAACTCATCTACTTGTTCTGACACTGGTTCTAGACCGCCAAGAAGCTTGTTGAAGGTGACTACAAACATGAGCGCGTCACCGACCCGACCAAGATCAGCGACAAGCATCAGAAGACAGTCAAATCATACTGCAAGACGTTCTTTGAGAAAGCAGCCGCCAAGCACAAGGAACGCGAAGCCCGCAAGGCTCAGAAGGAAGCCTCGACGGTAGAGTCAAAGCCGGATGCCACGCCAGCCGGGGATCAGGATGTGGAGATGATCGACGCGGAGCAGCAAGGGCCCACAATCACTGGTGCAAATACCAGAAATGGGTCTTTGACTTCGATGGATGAAGACATCAACATGTCCGGGGTGAAGCGCAAGCGTGATGGTGAAGCAAGCACGCCACTTGTGGACGACCATGATGCTTCTGACCCCGAGGCTTCTCCTTCGAAGCGCCAGAAGTCTACGCCTCCTCCGCCGCCGCCGCCGCCGCCTCCTCCAGCGGATGCTCCTTCTGACGTCGAAGACCATGATACATAGACTATGTCTTCTGCGCGAGGGGTGATTGCTTTTTGACATGACCGCTGATGCCGAGAGTAGCGTGAGGGTAACGTGAAAGCAACGTGGAAGTAACGTGCAGGTGACGTGGGGACGAGAGATGTCCTGCGTATCCGGCAGTAGTCGATGTCTCTGGGCAGTTCTTCTCTGCTGGCCAATCCTTGTTATTGCAAGATCTGTTGTGAACACCAACAGATGACCAAGCATGATCCGGTTGATTGCCCTACCGAACGTCAATTCGCGATGTTTTCGTCAATGGTATTATTGTTCCACGTTCTTATGAGCCCCGGCGGCCAACAATATGGCGGTTTCGTGTCTCGACTGCATCTGGTTTCCTGGCTCAAAAGTTCTTCTTGCAGCGTTGCTCGTCTTTTTGGTTCTTTGGCAACAATGCCCTGCTCGGTGCTTCGATCACCTTGTTCTTCCATCTTTCAGCGCATCTTTTTTCAGCGGTTTCCTTTTCCCCCTTCTATCCCTTTCCCTTGCTCCTGTCCTTTGCTCCTGTTTCTCGTTCTTTTTTTTCAACACTTCATATGGGGACATACACCCTCCTCAACTCTTTTTTTTCTTATATTCATATGCGTTTAGTGATCAGGTACAATATCCCACCTTCTCATATTGCCTGATTCTATATTTTCTGCATGTCATGGTCATTGCCTCGGTGGGATTCCTTGTGCAGCCGATGATCCATTGATTGTAAGTCGATGTTTTCTTTCCTTTTTCCTGTCATTTTATTTCTCCAGCTACCAAGTTTGCGAGTATACCCCCTGATCATAGTTGCAATTAAGGAGTTTTGAGATGATGAGCCTGTCATATTTTCGACGAAATCGATGTCTTGCTGTGGGTGATTGTGTGGTTGAATGGGCATGTTTGGCGAGACGCATGGAAGTCTGTTCATATAGTTTGGAAATCTGAATGGCATAGTCCTGAGTCCTGACACTTCACATTCGGGAATTGCGCTTCTTCGTACAGTGTACACCATATACTCGGCACCTTCTGAAATCACCCGGTATCTGGAGGACACCTTGTGTATTACTCATCTGCTTGCTAATGATGGCCCCCGGTCAAACTCGGTATCTATCACAGAATACCTATCAGAGGCAGATAGTGCAGGAAGGCTGCAACTTCCCACGAGGAAAGGAGGTACCACAATTGACCCTTATGCCTCTCATACAGACCGTACTCCAAGTCTGATCTTCGCAGGCACGTGGGTACAGTGTTGAGTGTACAGTGTACACATTGCACTGCAGCATGTGGGTATGGACGGCGAGTCATGTCCACTGCATTCTTAGATGATAGATCAGTGTTCTTTTTTTTTCTTTCTTTAAAAACCCGCCCTTTTCCTCGTAAATACCTGGGTAGGCAAGATGGTGTAAGCTGTAGATTGGGGTGAGTTGCGGTTGGTGGATCTGGGCAGTGGGTGGTCGGTCATGACTCGGACGAGAGTCGAGGCCTTTTTGTCTATTGTGTACTTTGCACCGAAGGATCTTGTCTTGATCTTGTGTATCCATTGTTATAGTCCTTTTATGATTCTTGCAATGGAGATATTGTTGTCATGATCATGGAGTAAACAGGCCCCTTTCATCTTTCTTTCTTTTTTCTTTTTTTGGGATTCGCGTTTCAAAACTCATGATATTGAACGACCATGCTGCGAGGCTGCGATGCTGCGATAGTGTCCATTCCCGAAATATCCCAACAGGTCTAGTAGAAACTCTCCACGATACTCTCCTTGTTCACACCAGCGCCAGAACCACCGGGAGCCATCTCTCCCAGACGGAAGACGCTCTCGACCACACTCAACTCCGTCGCCGTTGTGTCCAGACCCGTCACGGCCAACCAGTCGTTTACGACCATGCCGGCGCCGACCACGGGGGAGCCACGGTTGACGGAACCAGCCACCAGGGGCACCTGCAGGAGGGAGGAGAGTTCATCTTGGTCGCGGATGGAGGTCTTGGGGTGGACGAGACCGCCTTGGTTGGAGAGGGCCATGTACGAGCCTGTGAGGACGTTGTCGGCGACTGTTTGGCGGAAGACTTCGACGCCGAGGACGTCGGCGATGCTGAGGGGGTTGTCAGTTGGGGTTCAATGAAGGTTGACAAGGGCGGGTCAAGGACATTGTTCATCTTTCCAGTGACAAGAAGAAAAAAAGAAAAAAAAAATGGCAAGTGTCTCTAGGGCAAGCAAAGAAAAAAAAAAACCTACATCTCTTCCGTTTCTCTCTCCAAGTCCGGATGCACCAAGGCAACATGATCATTACAACAAATGACATTTCCCAGAGCACTCAATCGCTCCTCTATACGTTGAATCTTGACCGCATCGGGCAGTGTGTTTCGCAAATGCTGCAATTCCTGATCGGTCGTTGTGGTCGGCACCAGCAGACCATTCTTGTTACCGACGGTCAGACGGCCGACAATGCGGGTTCCGGCGATCGTCGCGTGGCAGATGGGGATGACATCTTGCAGTTCGGATTCGAAGACGGAGTAGAAGTTTTCCGAGGCGCCGACGGCGACGATGGCGTAGGAGTTGGTGAGACGGGCGAAGACACCGACTCTAGATGGTTCAGGGAAGAGAAGAGGTTAGCATATGATTATGCGGTCGACTTTTCTTTTCCTGGGGGTTTTTTTTCTTCTGGGTTTTCTCCTTCTCTTGGCTGATAAGGGCCGCAATTTTTGTCGGTCGTGACTCGTTTCAATTCTGGAGATTATTTCGAAAGATAGGGTTTTTTTTTCCCTTTCTTCTTTGTCTCTTCTCTTCTTGGCTTTGGGATATCGTCTTGTTGCAGTCGCATATTTAAACTCGCTTCCCAATTCTGGACATGGTGGAGGCGGTGGAAGCGTCAAGATTTCGGCCCTCACGAGGGGTTGAATGCGCCAGAAGCCAATTTGTCGCAGCGCTGAACTTGACCGACGGACGACGGGGGGAGGGGAGAATGCAAAGATTCACTGGGATGTGCTTACTCGTTGGAGTTTTCAAATTGGGCGCGAACAGCCATGATGTGCGAGAGGTTGATCGTCGGGTTTGTCGAGAGGGGTATCGTGGGGAGGGGAGAGGAAGAAAAGGTGTGGACGGTTGCCGGTTGTGGTCTGCAAGCAAAAAGTTCCGCAGGAAAAAAGCTCGGATGCGGTGGAGACGGGAGGTGAGGAAGAAGAGCCACGAGCGACGGAGAGAAAGGTCGTTGTTGCTAGTTAAAAGTATGAAGGAAGAAAGAGAAGATCGTTGGAATTATAAATTAGTATTGAAGATTCTTTGAATCTTTTTGGTCTTCTAGTCAGCTATGGGAACTGGACTTGGGTGGATTATAAAGTGTCGAAGTTAGGAAATTTTTCCAATTGTTTGACTCACGCAAGGTCCTGGTACTACGAACCCATCGTTGATTGACGAGCAAGGATTTCCGTTCTCTCACGCTACAATAGACATGACCTCCCAAGGTCCGCAGCACCAAATCGTCTACTTTTCGCCTCCCTCGTCAAAGCCGAAAAGCCCAGCTCTTTCCAATGGCGAAGCCCAAACGGTAGTCGATACGATCGTCCAATCAGGGGCTCTGGACAGAAACGATCCGCAGACCCCACTAACACGCAGACTGTACTCGCTACCTACGCTTAATGTGTATCAAACCCCATGGACAAAGTACTAGGTACAAACTCCGTCAACTGACTCATTCTGCCTCATCTTGACGGGGGCGCGTCGAGTCGAATCATCCGCCTCGGCGAGTCAGTGGAGCTTTTGAGTCAACTAAGCTGTGCTGTGCATGATGAACAAACAGTAAACGAAAGGTTTCAAATCAGTGGCGCAGCAGCCTTCACGTGAGAAGAGAAATGACAGAACCTTGAAATTGATCGATAGGCTGAATCACGTCTGCGAGAATGTGCTTAAGGATACAGGCTTGGAAAAGAACTACGATCTTAGTCTGAACTGAACTTAAGATTCCATCCTTAGCTACGCTATGATGGGTGACCAGTATAACTCAATATTCAACCTCTCTCGAATCATAACGTGTCCAGTATTTTCACTTATTTTCTTCCTCATGCGCAGCCCTGTAGAAATGCCAAAGTACAACTTGCACTTCCTCGACTTCATGGATCCCTCACTCAAACGGCTCTCCTAACCCTCATGGAAAGACTAAGTTGCTCCGGGAGGTCTGCCTGTTGCTTGAATGAATGAGCACAGATTCAAGTATAAGAATCAGACGAGAAAGCTGCAGTCCAGTACTGACCGTTTACATTCGAATACATTGCTATTTCTTAGTACTTGATAGAAAGGTATGATGATTCCGATGTCCATAAGAATGCTGTTCATTGCGAGTGAATGCTTTCGCCCTTCCGTTGTGGCTTCTACTTTACATCATCAGGGGCGCTGTTGACCCTGTAAGGTTGAATTCTGGATGGTCAAGACAGGGCATCAATCTCCGATTAGCTGGAGCTACTTACTTGGTCTACTACCTAGACGTATTCTCGAGAGCATTAATCACGCCGAGTGAGTAATTGTGCATTGAACAATTATCGACATGAAAAATCTGAAATGCAGACCAGACCACAGCTCTAGGCAACCCTGGACGAGATGGTCACGCTGTACAGGACAACCTTACAATGACCCTGTCAAAGACACAAATTGGTCCACAAACACAGTCAAGGCCCCGCAACACAATAGTCTACAAGAAAACAAGGAACCCCAAAACCACACAGCTTCAAAATTCAAATCAATGTCGGGCCCCGAGGCAACATCCGGATAAAGTGACATTTGTAGATCACCGGGAAGAAACGCCGTCGCTGAACAAACACCAAATACAACAAGATGGGGACTCAGAAAAAGAAAACACAAAGGTGAACCTCTCCAAGATCGAAGCTTGGCATTGCGATGAAGATGCATCAGGCAACCAAATCAGAAAAAAGTCAGGCAAAATGGCAGCGACGGTATCGTACATGGGTATGAGTATTCAAAAAGGACAAAATTCAATCAGTCAAGACTTGGAAAGTCGAGGAAAATCCGCAGAACAAACAAGAACGGTAGATTTTTGGGGGAGCCCGGTAAAATGTCGGGGCGGCGTTCAAAAGTAGAGTCGGTCGTGAGAGTTGATAATCGAAGGGGTTGTTGTGGAAGCATGAGTTTCGAGACCGGTTTGTCTTCAGTCTACTCAGGCAGATGACAAAAGAAGAGGGGGAAGGATGCGGGCGTTGCTCCCTCCTCAGCAACCAACTCTTATTCTTCTTGAATATTCTGAGAGTTGCCAGCTCCCATGAACTTGATTCCGATCTTTTTCTGAAAAAAGGGGAGGGGAAGTGCGTGTGTGTATGTGGCGACGCGTAGGTCATTCTTTTTCATGACCGCCATCAATATCGCCGCTGCGGAGGAGGATAGTATAAAGAAGGTGGTGGTCCTTGGTGTGGAGAAGGGCCACCGTGAGAGCCTGCATTGCCGGGACCAGGACTTGGGCCAGGGCCATGGGGGTGTGAATGTGGATGTGGATGGCCGTGGGGATGACCTGCGTGACTTGCATGGCTATGGGTGGGCTGTTGCCCAGCTTGCGGAGGGGGACCTGGATGCCATTGTGGCATAGGCAGACGGGCGAAATGCGAACCAGGAGGAGGAGGTAATTGAGGGGGACCCGCCATGGCGAAAGGATTGGGCAAGCTGATTCCCATGGGCGACTGAGCAGGGAGTAAACGGCGCGGCTGTTGGGTTGGTGTAGGTCGAGGGAGGATAAATGATCGAGGATCAGTCGGGCCGTGAACTATGCTCGCAGGTGACTGATGCGCCTGATGAGCCTGAGGTGGTTGAGGCTGGGGAATCGGAGGGGGAGGGGGTGCTGCTTGGTGAACAGCCACCACATTCAATCCAGCTGGCGTCGGGACGGAGGGCGGGTGAGGGAGCAGAGCGCGGTGAACCCCACTCGGGATGTGTTGTGGTTCACCACGCACAAGACGGAACGGAGGCGCGTGCGCACCGGACAGCGCGGTATCGGCCAGCATGGCGAGTGCCGTAGGAGGCAAGTCGCAGGCACCATCATAACCCATACTGGCCGGACCAGGCCCGTCGGATTGATCCTCCAAGGTCCGCGCAGCTTGGAGAAGTGACTCCAGTCGTTGCTTGACTGAGTCGTCAGCGGGATCCTTGGAGGTGTCGAGGGCTTGCATTTGCGGATTCAAGTCCTCGCCGACTCGGGCCTTCGTCACGAAGTCCTCCCATTCCTCCTTGCCTCGCTCGTAGGCCGCCGCGCCCTCGGGGACGCGAACTGGTTCGGCAACGAAGCCGCGTTCCTCTTGTCGTGTGCCCGCTTTGCCAATGCGGTAGAGGTAACGTGGCTCTTCGACTTCTGCGTCCGAACCATCGGTCTGAATGAAGTAGATGTCAGCTTTGCTGCTACAAGAAGTGGTTGGTGCCGTAAAATCTGAGCGTTTGTTTGGAAATGAACTCGCCTCCGTGTGCTCGTCGTCCTCGGCGGCCCGGCGACCCGTCACCAACTCCATGTACTTCCCCCGGACGGCGTAGAACATCTCCTCCTTGATGTTCTCAATCTGTGCCTATCAACGTGAAGCAAAGTAAGTCAGTCAAAGCATGCCACGGAACAGAAAGTCACGAGAGAACGCAAATACATACCTTGGCCCGTTGCTCAACGATGAAGATGTCACCGGCGAGCACCCGTTTGGTCTGCGCAACCTGTAGATCGTAAAGGTTGCGGCATCGAGTCATGGCCTTTCGCTCGAGACCGGCCAGATCTCGCATCACCTGATCATGCTCGACGCAGTCTTTGTGCACGTTCTTGTCGCGCGCAAGCTTCTGCATCGAGCGTTCAGCCAGCACATTCAAGGCCAGCTGTTGCGCCTGTCCCACTTTCTTGAACAGGGCAGCTAACTCTTCCGCGCGATCTTTGATCGGCTGAGTGGCCGGGATCGGTGATGGAGTCCGGCGACGGCCCTCGCTGTCCCAGATCTCATCTTCGATGCGCTTCCCCCACGTCGTACGGCCGCTGTAGCCGAGGCTCGCCCACGACCTCGTCCTCGTCCACCTCGGGAGCGCACGCCCACACCAGCTCCACGCGTCGATGGCGCGGCAGCACCGCCACGCCCACCACGTCCACCACGGGCCCGTCCACGCCCTCGCCCTCGCCCACGACCACCGCGACCCCGGCTGGATGGCTCAGCACCCTCCGTTGGTGCTTGCGACCCGAGCTCATCTGCCTCGGCAGGGGATTCATCCTCTACAGCCGTCTGGACATCCAGCATTTCCGTATCCGGCAGGGGATCCGTGACCGTCCCATTTGACTGGGGGAGGCTGTCAATCACGGGGCTGGCATCGGTGTCGAGAGTCCCCGTAAGCTCGTCTCCCTCGAGCTTGGGTTTCTTGGGGCCAGGAATCCCCGCGGACTCGAACTCCTCAGGTTCATCCTTCATCTGGGAGGATTTTCGCTTGCGCGAAAGGCGGGGGGAGGACGGAGGAACAGGGCTCCCAGAAGCGGACTGGGCGGCTGTGTCTGGCACGCCCGAAGTCTCGAGAAGGGAAGTCTTCAGAGACGTAGGAAGAGGGTTGTCGATGCCCGTGGAGGCGGCAGCGGCGGCAGGAAGGTCTGAAGAAGCCTCCGGAATGACGACCGGGGCAAGAGGGGGGGAAGGAAGGCGGGCCTCTGATTGTTGCGCAGCAGCCGACCGATGAGTGGTGAACTTGATGCGAAGTCGGGGCTGCTGCTGCTCCTGGACAGCAGGACGGGGGGAAGAAGGCGCATCCTCGTCGTCCGTGGCGTCGGCGTCCGCATCGCCTTCGCTGCTGGTGGCTCGGGTAGCCTCAGTCGTCGTCTTGCTGGGACTAGCTTCATCCGCAGCTGACTCTCCTGTTGACTTTAGGCGGGCGGATTGACGGGTCGTCCGCGAGGACCCAGGAGCTGGGGCAGGACGCTTGGAGCGTTCGCCACGGGGGGTTTCTGGCTCTGCGGCGAGGACATCGGCGGCGCTGGATGCGTCAGCAGGGTCCGAATCGGCCTGCGAAGCGGATGCAGAGTCCGACTTCTGCAAGGCAGGGAGTTTGAATCGGACAATGAGGGAGCGCTTAGGCGCCGTCCCCTCTGGCTGCTCGCCTTGAGCGTCGGCGGCGACATAATGCCCTTGGCCACGAGTAGCCCAACGGCCTCTGCCTCGGCCGCGACCGCGAGCGCGAGGTGCATGTGAAGTGACTAAGACAGATGATTAGCAAGGGTAAGTGACGTGAAGGTGAGGATGGGGTGAGGTGAGGTGGTGCAACGTGAGCGACAGGGAATGGTTAAGAGGCAGGTGTCGTAAAGATAGGTGAAATGATGAAGACGGGGAGGTGATGTCAAGTTGTATAGCATCATGGTGGAGAGATTGCGGTAAGAATTTAGATGACCTACCGGACGCAGTCGCATTCCGCGCCGCTCGCGTCGCAGGGTTGGCGTTGGCCGCCGCAGCACCACTCTTCCCACGTCGACCGACCATTTCGAAAGTTGTCTGTGAGGAGAGTCCATTAGTCTTGTCTGCCGCATGACGAGCCTGGATAGCAAGGGTGGAGACGTGGAGGTCACCAATTACGAGGGGAGAAGAGAAAAACAAGTCATCCGATGAAGCCATGGACATGAAAACATGGGATCGAGGTGAGTAAATCAGAAGATAAGTATGAGACAACGCGACCAGATCGAGCATCCGACAGTAGGCGTAGAAAGAACGGACCAAGATCTGCAATGAAAATCGAGTCGATTCGAGCCGCGAGTCGGTTCGAGTCGAGTCTCATGTCACAGTGTGCATGGGCATGCGCGACCCGATCTCATTACCGCCAGGCACAGCCAAGAGCGACAGTGAAAATTGCGCAATGATGGTGATTCTGCCGGGAGAGTAAACGATGAAAACAAGGACGAGGGAAGCCGCAAGCTGTAGTGATGGTGGTGGTGATGGCAGTGGTAATTCAAACTGAGAGACAAGACGGTCGAGGTTGGGATAAAGCTGGGGAAGGAGAGCATGCGATCAAGCAACCAAGATGGAGAAAGCTAGCAAATCCTCCAGGCTTTCCAGCCAAAATGGAATTGGGGACGGGGGCAGTTCGAGGGACGCAGGGCTGCGGTGGTGGCTCAAAATGACCCACAGTTGCAGTACGCCGATGCACGTCTTTTCCCTTTGTACGCTTCAATGGCAACGAGCGAGAACAACAACGGGGACTTGTAGTTGAAGACGCTCAAGGGGGGAACGGGAAGGGTAAAACAGGTGATGCCAATCAATCCGACGGCAGCCATCGTGAGAGAGGAAGAACAATAGAACCCAGATCAACACAGCAGAACCCACGCACAGAAGCACGCAAGAACATGCGCGTAATTACTGAACATGATAACAAGCATCGCAAGGGCACAGTGTAGATCGGGATAGAAAGCAGAAACTCAAGTGAACTGAACTTACCGGTGGTGGTCGAGATGGGGACAAGTGATGGAAGGGAAAGAAAGAGTCGTCTGGTGAAGATCGACTCTGGGCAGCCTCTCAGCTCCCGTCGGGCCTGGTGGGCCTCTCTCTCTCTCTCTTTCTCTTTCTCTCTGCAGGTGGGCAGAGCTTACTCTTAGTGTGTAGTGGGCCGTGGGCTCACCAGTTGCCCGCTCGGGGAGCCGCGTCCGTCGGTCCGGTGTCAACTCAAATGGAGGACTGAGTCTGGGACGACCTCGAACAGACACGCCGTGAGAAAAGAGAGCGAGGAAGAAAAGCCAAGGAGAACGACGACGAGAGGTGAGAGAGAGGGAGAAGGAGCAAAAGGGGGGGAGGAGAAAAAAAACAGGGGAGAGAGGAGGAGAGGAAAGGAAGAGGTGAGAGAAGGGTGTCCAACAACAAGTGAAAGTGAGTGGTGGACGAAGCCGAGAGAACGTCAAGAGGTGCCAGAAAGTGAAGTTTGGAGGACCAACGAAGAAGAGAGTGAGATGTTTCTTCGTAGATTTTGCTTCGAAAGGCGACGTCGTGAAGACAAAAAGAAGAAAAAGAAGAGAAGGAAAAGCTCGTAGGAGGCAGGAGGGCAGATTAAATGGTGATGGTGGTAGATGAGATGAACGAGGCACACACCACGAGCGTCACGCTGGTGACTGAGAACTAGAGGCAGCCAGGGCACACAACACGTCGTGGAGGACAAGCACACGAGGCTAAACCGATTCAGATGCAAAACATCAACATCAACACAATCATCGACAGTAACAGGCAGCGAGGGTACCCCACGCTTCAACCCTTCGCAAGAGGCAACACTGACTGAGGAACAAACAATATCTAAAGCTAGAGTAGAAGGTGAGTATGCGGCACCCCGTGTCTCCAGCGGATGTCCCGAAGCGGAATCAAGACCACGTGTGGTCCAGTGACTCGGATCAGATGACGAGAGTTCTTGAAGATACACGATTCGTCTCTGCGTTGAAATATTGTGAGATCAACGGGTCAATCTGTTGTAGTTGGAAGATCCGCGTCTTCAAATGCCAGCGGAACGGGTAGATTGGGGGGAAAGAAATTCAAAATCTAAAATTTGTAGACTGGCTGACCCACTTTCTTCCGACGGTTGCGGCAGCATTCTTCGGTCACTATAGAAGATCGGAGGTAAATACTGTAAATATCCAGAGGTATACCTGGGACAGATCCTTTATTCAACATGATCCGTGGGAGATTGTGAGACTGTCAGTGTAAATGTGTATGCTCTACGAATTCTAAACATCTTCTGTAACCGTTTGGTGGTCTGTCTACCTACCTTCTTTGACACGTTCATACTCACCAGCGGCTATCGTATCCCTTGTCCGGCTGCTACTGGCTGGAGACTAGCAGAACGGTTCTCGGATCGCCTCGGATATGCAGACCAGCTTGAGGTCGATGTAGGAAACAGCAGATCCCGAGAATATTCGTCCACTGAATGAAATACACAAGAGTGGAAGAATACAGCAAGACGCCCTGATGACGTGGATTCATGAACAGACATTACATTGGTGACAGAGAGTCTCCGGTATCGAAGGAAAGACTGTGCAAGTAGATATGGGCTATACAACAAGAGAGATTCGCTAAGGAGGGAACCGTACAACACACGCCAAGACACATAGAGAGATCGGGAGAAAAGAGGGGGAGGAGACGGAAATACAGTCGAGAAAAAAAGAAATGAACGCCGTCCCGGTCCAGGTATACATCAATCATCAGTGCACAATGCCCCAGCATGAAGCCCAAAATTTGCGCATTCTTTCGAATACGAGAGAAGCGAGTCTCCACACAGAGGAAGAATACCTTCAAATTCGATTTTCCTCGGTCAATTCTGCCAGGTCGCCCTTCTTCTCATATCGGGTTACACTGTTCCTGACATACCCTGCGCGACCCATTGCCATCCAGGTGCCAGGATCCGGTAAGGACACGGAATCAGCGCTCTGGTGCCACTCCTCATCTCGTCGCGAGGCACGCAGCTCTCGGGCAGATCGCATTCGCATCAGAGTCTTCTGAGTGATAGTACGACCAGCGGAAGGAGATGCTTTCACGATACTACCAGGGAGCGGGGTGGGACTGGGGCCGGGGCTCGTCGAGCGGAACAGTGGATGGATGTTGTACTCCCTATGACGAGGTCGTGAGGTAGGACTCAAATTGTTATGTGTTGCCGGGAAAGTGGGTGACGGCATGGGCGAGCAGGGCAGCGATACGCAGCTGGTTCCTTGGAGAGACTTTCGACCGCAGTAAAAGGCGTACGTCTCTGGAAGATTTGGGGTTGATTCTGATCCTGGAAGGGTGGTGTTGGGGCTTGTGACGGTAGATGAAGTGGATGATGACTGGTGGACGAGTGCGTCCAGGGAGAGGTGAATGTTGGGTGGAGCCTTGATGTTGATCTTGCGACGCAGACTCGATGAGCTTCGAAGGCTAGAGTTGCGGGCTGGGAGAATGGAAGACGGCGGACGAGCATTGCTGTCGACGAACGAGTTGGACGTCGATGCTGAGGATGGTGCTGCTGCTGCTGCTGCTGGGGATAGCGGCGATGTGTGAGCTGGTGTGTGCTCCATTGTCGGGGAAGTCGCCCGTGACGGCACTGCGGACGAGCCGATATCAAAGGGCTCATACTTAGAAGGTAGACCGTTCTCTTCCGTGCAGACTGTGCCTCCAGAGAGCCGGCTGGATTGACGTGGGTATTTTCGCAGAGATGAGCGTCTAGTGTCGAACCGTGGAAACTCAGCATACGACTCGTCGCACAGCGTGGGAGACGGTGAGCAGGCACCGGCGGACCATGGGGTTTCAGGGAGTGTCTTGAGCTCTTGGAGCTCCGATCGTGGCCATTCCTGCTCAAGGAATGACTTGCGCTGTACTAGTGCAATAAGCATGGAACTAAAGTACATGCCTTGGGCGAGTACAGAGATGGTCCAGCAAATAGATCGGGCAATGAAGATGTGAGTATCCCTGGGCGAGTAAAGGAGATTATCGGAGGTAATCATGCCAGCCATGCAAATGGAGCTGATGGATAGGTACAACCCCGCGAGAGTGATGATTGTAATCTTCCACGTGTTACTGTAATGTGCTTCACAACGAGTCACTCGTTGGAGAAGGAGGCCCAGTGTCAGCAAGATAACGCATGTCAGGATACTGAGCAGAAGTGCCGCCAGTCCTGCTGTTGATGTATGAGAGTCCAATGACTGGAGCTGACTGTAGGTCAGGCCGTTCAAGATAGTGATAATGAATGAAGATAGGAGTGCGGCTCCAGCAAGACAGTCTCCGATGAGGAATGATGCCATGATGATGTGCTGATTGAGTGAAGGACTGCACGGAAAATCAAGCTGATCACAAATCTTTCAAACAAAAGATCGCGGTGTGTACGATGGCTCTTTATAGCCTTGATCTGAAGCGCAGTGATCGAGTCCAGGTAAAATATGTCAAAAACGAGTGACAAGAATGATCGAATGCAGAAGGCTTCACGTTGCTTTTGCCCGTGTGATGTTTTGAAACGAGAGACGTCCACTTTGTTCGTGGATAGAGTAGCTCGAGGCTCTCTCAAGCGTGAAGCCGAAACAGGTTCTTGTCGTGCGAGCGAAACACGACCTGCAGGAGCTGGGCAATGGACCATATTTATGATTGCTTTCGGCTTCACCTTCGCATGGGGCGGAACGGGGCGAGGGTATCTCGAAAAGCATTCCGGCAACCCAAAAGATCAATTGATCGAGCATGTTCGTCTTCTGCGGAGTCATGCAGGTCCCGTCCAACACGTCAATTTTGGGCGCTGCCGGATCGATCGACCCATTCACCCGGCATATTGGTTAAACTCTGCGGAGCATCCCTGGGATGACGGATGAATGGATTGAGCTGCTTGGCTGTGGAGATCGATCCTTGCTCTGTGATGACATTTCTCCTCGAGAAATGGATATGTCCCAAGGTCGACTGTACGACTTCTGGTATGTGTCGTCTCGGGAAATTAAGATTCTTCTAGTTCGTCTCGCCAATTCCGAATGGGCGTCTAGGGTTCCCAGGCAGATGGAAGAATCTAAGCCTCCGCGAGTCTCTCAAGCCGCCCACTAGCTTTCACACTATCTATATGATTCATCAACTTTCACCACTCCTGGGCCAGACTTTCCGATTTGGTTGGAAATTATCCAGGGTAGATCGCCCGCTCCGATCTCCGGCACGGCTGAATGTGATATGTCACCCACCCATCCATCCTCAACACTCCATTGTCGAAACCCCGGTTGATGGTCGGCTCAAGGCAAGACATTGTTTGGTCAAAGAGAGATCTTCGAAATCTGCAAAACTCTCGGTGTGAACAAGATCGTCCATTGGACCCCCCATGGCCTTGGAACTGGCCGAAGTGTCAGATTGAGTTTGATCTACTCTCCGAGGCTTTGATCTAGTCTCCGAGGCTTTATGACAGAGATGCGGATGCTGCAAAGAGATCGACAATCGTGGCTGCCAGAGGCGGCACTGAAAATGATGCTTTGGTCGCGTTGTATGAAAGCTGAATCCGCATCAATTGTCAAGCCGAACGGAGAGCTATGGCTGGACAGGAGTCAAAGGTATCGTGCATAAGCGAGTCTACCTACCAAGCCTATTGAGAACGGGCAGAGGTACCCCACCAGACACTCAAGACATGAATGGCAGAATAGGCTCGATCTCGGAGACAAAGATTTGAAATATCGACAATGGTCTCTGCTCAACCCGTGTCTGCTGACCGTGCCACTTTTTAGGAACTCTGCATCTGAAGCCACGATCGGCTGCAATTGCGCGTTCGGTGGCCTTTTTACCTCTATTGAACTGTAACTCGGCCTTTTGACTGCAGCTCACCTGCTACCATCTCTGTTTGGATGCCTTGTGCCTGAAATTAGAGCAATTCATGGAAGTCTCTCGGTGCGTACCATTCGAGGCAAATTCTACTCTCGGACTTCTCTATCAATTTTCTGCGGCAGTGAGTAGAAGAGAAACCAGTGTCAAAATCAAAGGGGGACCAACGAGTGAAACGACCAAAATCTACCAGAGATTTTGGTCGTTGTTGGGCACTTTCGAGCTGTAGAAGCGGTTGACCCTGTTGCCATGCAGAAACTAGTAGGCACCATTAGAATAGCATTTAGGGCCAAGATTCATGCCACTTTGTTCTGCAGGCTAGGTCCTTCAAGGTTGGATGTTACATTCTTTGCTGATGGTTTCATTCAATCTAGCCCTAGTGGCTGAGTGAGACAGGTAGGTCTCAGGACTAACAACAAAAGCCATTGATAAATAGCGCCGGCCAAGTAAAAGCATGAGATAGTAGATAGTTGATAGGTAGTTCACGATTTCATCTTACAAAGAAATGTGGCAATATCTAGTCTCCAGCGACTGCACATGAGCGAGAAAAGTGCCGTGCGGATGGCTGGCCTGACTCAAACCTACTTGACAGGTGGGTAATTCTTATTCACGGTTGGTCACCCAATTAGTATTCACATCGAGGGGTGATCTGTAAATTTATACCACCGACCTATATGATTAGGTATGCAGTAACCTTAATTGTTTCTATAACTCTTTTGTAGAGCTTTGTTGCGTCTAAAATCCTTGTGTATCTGTAAGTCTTCGATGCTCTTCAGGAAACTTTTTTCCTCTTCGCCTTCCAGCTTCATTGATTACTTATGCTTCATGGAAGAATATCTTCGAGTCGAACGGGTGAACGATAGCCGTCAGCACACATCGTCATTGTTGACTCTGCAACTTGCCGCTTCCAAGGCGTCGGGCGGTGGAGCAATTGCCGCCTCTATTCGTGCCTCAGGCGGTTACCATCGTCACTCCGTCGCGCCCCTCCCAGCTTCTTTCGACCTTTGAATTTTGGTCAACAATCAACTGACATCTTATCCCTATCCTCGCACTTCTCCTTCTTCAACTTCTTCACCACCTTCCACTCCTACTTTATTTCCGTTGACACCTGAGATATCTCCCATACGCGTCAAGATGAAGCTTACGTTCAAGGTCCGTTCCTCCCAGCCCTACTGGCTCCTTTCAAGATACCATGACTATCTGAGCAGAGCTGATACTCTATTTTTCAAATGATACAGGACCTCAAGCAGGCCAAATTTGTGGTCGAGATTGAGCCTTCAGCCACGGTATGTGAACCGTATCTCACACGACCATGTCGTCTTCGACACAATACACCCTGCGAAATGAAACGCCACCTAGTGCGGGGCTAACCCGTCGTCAATTTTTTTTTGCTATAACACAGGTTGGACAGCTCAAGGAAAAGGTCGCTCAAGAAAAGCCCGACTATGGCTCGGGAATGAAGATCATCTATTCTGGTAGGTGACTTGAACCTCGGGTTGAGAAGGAGGCTTGGAGGAAACGAGGATAGAGAGTGTCCTTGCATCAAAGCTTCTCTACTCTTCCAGCCAAAGAGCTCATCTCGTTGCTTAGAGCACAGACTAATCAGCTTCTTGTGATCTGTACAGGCAAGATTCTACAAGATGACAAGACTGTTGAATCTTACAACATTGAAGAGAAGGATTTCCTAGTCTGCCTGCCCGGCAAGGTACGTCAAAAATTAGCCCCCGAACACCTCTTGCCAAAAAGGCACAGGCTAGACAGCATGAAAATATTTTCTCGATGCTGATTCTGTATTTGCTTTAGCAACCCAAGGCCGCCGCTGCCTCCTCCGCTGCTCCAACTCCTTCCACCCCAGCCGCTAAGCCACAAGCCGCGACACCGGCCGCTCCTGCTCCCGCTGCTCCTGCGCCTGCTGCGCGCTCAACACCTGCTGTCCCGGCCACTCCTTCCCCAGCCGGCGGAGCGCCTGCTCAGGCAGGCGAACCTGCTGCCTTCGGTGACCCTTCGGCTCTGACCATGGGTGGTGCAGCCGAGGGTGCTATGGCGCAGATGGAGGCTATGGGATTTGAGCGCCCCATGGTGGAGCGGGCCATGCGCGCTGCGTTCTTCAACCCTGACCGCGCCATTGAATACTTGCTCAATGTAAGACTGGACACATGTCGCCATGTTTGCTCCGCGGCAAAGCAATGAATCATGTAGAAACTGACCAACTCTTCCTCTTCACAGGGAATTCCCGAGAGCGCTCAGCGTGAGCAACAACAGCGAGCCCAGGAGCAAGAGCAGGAGCAACATGAGACTCACACCGAGGCCCCTGCGGCTGCTGCAACTGGTGGTGATCGTCAGCCTTTCAACATGTTTGAAGCGGCTGCTCAGGCCAATGAGGGTGGCGGCCGCGGTGCGCGCTCTGGCGGGGCTGGTGGTGCGGCCGGAGGTGACGCTAGCCTGGACTTCCTCCGCAGCAACCCTCACTTCCAACAGCTCCGCCAGCTCGTTCAACAGCAGCCTCAGATGCTGGAGCCTATCTTGCAACAGGTGGCTGCGGGTAACCCCCACATTGCTCAGGTTATCGGTCAAAATTCCGAACAATTCCTGCAGCTTCTCGCAGAGGACCTTGGTGATGACGACGAGGCGCTGCCCCCCGGTACTCAAGCCATTTCGGTGACGGAGGAGGAACGGGACGCCATTGAGCGGGTGAGTTCTTTCTGAGCTTTCTGAAGCTTATTTGTCAACGATAGATTGACTGGACTTGTGAGATTACGAGTGATTGACTTTTCTGGGACTTCTAGTTGTGCCGACTTGGATTCTCTCGCGACACCGTCATCCAGGCCTACTTTGCCTGTGACAAGAACGAGGAGTTGGCTGCCAACTTCTTGTTCGACCAGCCGGACGAGGACGAGGACTAAAGGAGAGCCGCTACTCTCTCCTTCCGGCCCTTTGAGACTCTCTTAAGGGGCTCAACATATTCTTTTTTAACGTTTTGATGAATACCAACTATGCTGCTGTTTCTCCTCCTCAATTGAGAGACATTTCCCACTCGTCTTGATCAATCCTGTATGCTCTGTGTCCAAAATATCCCCCCTTCTATCCCTCCTCTGCGGGTCTTAAGTTTTCATGATGTTGTGACTTTGATGGAAATGATCCGGCATTGATCCTATCCGAATGAACCTAGCCTTGCACCCTTGCACTTTTGTCCCTGCAACTCTTGGCTCTTCCCATGAATTTTTCCTGGCGTGATCTGGTAATTCACATAATGATAAGCTTGAAATCCTCCTTTGCTGATTCATCCCTGTCAAATGTAGCTTTCATTCGTAGTGATGGAATCTATCCTTCAGACTAGAGCAAAACAGACTGGATGCTGGATGCAAAGAAGTGCGGTCTCAGGCTCGGAAAGTGACTGACGAAAGGATCATGGAAACACCTGCCTGGTAAATGAGTGCTGTCCGTCAATGTTTTATATTTTTGACTCCCACCTTCCAAGTAAACGTGAAAGTCAACGTCCCATTGTATCTACCGCATGATCTCAGAGACAAGACCGAACCAGATGTTGCTGAACTCCATAGCAGCAATTTCTTGACCAACCAAGTCTTTAACATGCTCTATCGATCGTAGAATCCCGTCCCCAGACACACCCTCCTCCCTGTCCGGTCATCACAAAGATCAACCTTGACGACATCAGGGCTGTTTGTCAAGCCACGGTATTGGGTTTCATATCTTATATCTTATTGCGATTGAAATCTGACATGTCTAAACACTATCCAAACCCATCCTCCGACATGATCCACGAGCTAGAAACAATATCCCTAGTAGCATGCTTCACTGCGAGCGCGCTTATAAGCATCTGACGAGAGGACCTGTATCGAATCACCTCTGCTCATCCAGCATCTGATATGGTCTTGGTTCAGTGTGATGACGCTCCGACCAGTGAAGCACGATCAGCATGGAGTGGAACTGCGGCGAGCCCTGCATTTAAGCACAACTCGGCTTTGACTTGTTCGGTATTCTTCAAGGTACCAAACGACTACTGTCTGATTCTCTGGTACATGGAGATGCTAAATTAGTAGTCACAGTGAGGTACTCGTGGCTTGAAGTCACGGACTGATCGTCTTTGACGCGAAGCTTGACGCGAATGTATCCGGGTTGGGTCGAGCCTCGAAAAAAAAAAACAAAAAAAGCTTCCTGGGAACAGAACTCGGTTTCGTACTGATTCTCAAGCCCGCATAGTTAGGGGACTGTTTGGATACACAATCCCGATCTTGACACGAAAAGTCTTCAATCGGACAACGTTTTGTCGCCACAACAGAGCAGCTGGAGATGTAGTATGGCGATCGTAGTAAGGACGTCCAAGTGGTTGATGAAGCTCGGTATCGAATTCGCACTCGGCAAAGTACAAATCATACAAATTGAGCGTTCGCCCGCAGCGCCACATAGTAAATCCGAACTGAGTCTTTTCCAATGGCAAGAATCCTGTTTTTTATGGCCGAATTTCAGGGAATGTTCAGGTCCCCTGACTTTTGTCCCGCAAGAGAGAAAACAGGTCAAGGATTGACAGAAGGCTTGGAGATGCAGCTTTCAGACAAGCACGCGCACCTCTTGGGAAAAAGATGACCTATCACCGTTTCTCTCGTCAAACAGAATGCGATCCGCTGCTTGAGAATCGCGGACTAATAGCTTCGACAATACGTCCTTCCCGAAAAGTCGTCGGGTCGGACACGCACCCTTCAGAGAGCACACCCACTCTCTCGTGAAGAAGAGAGAGAAGCGAGAAAGCCGGATGTATGGATCTGACGCTTGAACATGTTGCTCGTTTGTTATAAAGTGCATGATAGAGGGACTTCATGACCAGGGTCGTCATGCGGACTTCATGACCTGAAGTAAGCTGAGGCACATCTAGCACTCCACTGGTCTTGAATGTGAAAATAGACAGACACGGACGAGTCTAAATCGGCTGGCAGGGCTGCCATTATGCATTCAGTGCGGGTATGTCATCGGATCACCTTCTCATACCAGGGCCACCATCGTTCTGAGGTCATGCTTTTGACATCAGTCAATCTCAGGCAAATAATTGCTGTGGTAAAAACAAGAGAAGGACAGTGTGTTGCTTCGTCCGCGTTGCTGCGCTTGCAGCAGAACGAGAAAAGCTGGTCTGTCCATGGGACTTTTTCAAGCCCTTAAGAGGAGATCGGGTCTGCAACTCCATTTTGACTGGCGAATGACTTTTTCGTCTCCGTATAGCTGTCGGACAGAATCCCCAAAGCGGAGAGATTATTCGATTTTGAGCACGGCCTCTTCTTCAAAGATATTGAACCCAGACCTATATTCCTGGAGGGAGATCTGGCAATGACCGGAGAGGTGCAGAAGTCTTTCCACATCTCGTACATAAGACAACTTCAGTTCTGGATACGGAGACACCACTCCCTGCTCGACAGTGACTGACGCTGACGAGTGGAGTCAAGAATCCCTATCCCATGCGTTTAGACAACGATTCCCAGACATAGCGTTGGCGAGGCCACGAACCTCAATTTGCTGTATTTAGGGTTGTTATGAGCAAGTCATATAGTCTCAAGGGTCTTGTAAACCATAGGGTCTGTAGCACGTAGATTCGTGGAGCGAATCGTAACGAACACAAAGATCGCTGCTTGCATTCCAAGGTGTAAGACCTGTGAAGGGCGATTTGCATAACCTCATCCGTATATTATCAAGGCTTCGATGTCAGAAATGTTCGGAAAAAGGACATTCCCTTAAGAAAGTAGCGACAGCTCTCGAAAGTGACACCAAGCTCATCGACCCTTTCCCAACCCTTTCTCGGCTCAGGCAGGGACACCTCGCGGATCATGATATTGCTCAGTTCAAATATTGCTATTGCACGAGATTTAGACTTTGCGTTGAGTATATGCTGATCCATTGCAGGTTATTCGGCGGCTCTCATGACAACGTACCATAATCGGTAAGGTTGACATCACTGTCCGGTTTCACATGAACGTGTATACTCAAGGATACCACACGATCCTGCATATGGATGTGTCTGGCGCCAATGCACACGTTGAGAGTTGTTGTCCACTCCCTGGACTACTCGTATATCAAAGTCACGAAGGGGATCTTAGAAAGGAGTGGTTGAGAAGGTATTTTTAAGATCTTCTTTCAGAAGAGATGTCTTCCGGGTTGTTCCTACTGGTACTTGTCGGCTTAGGGTAAGTTGCATTTGACAAGCGGCAGACTCCCTTTGCAAACGAGACTCGACAAGGCCCTGAGCTCTGCACCTCGACTGGGTCAGCGCTCTCGATTGACAAGGGTTTTAGACGTCTTCCGCCACATGAGATGCGGAGAGCTGAGATGATCAGCGACCTCCACTGCTTGTCCACTGCAGTTGAGCGGGCCGAGCCACTGGTCACACCTCCCATATCCATTCCATCGCTGTTGGGTTGACGCATGGCCCCTGGACGGTCAGTTGACTACGAGACTCGTCTCAGGCCTGGTGGACACGGACCAACATAGCTCTCCCCAGTCTCGACATGTTCAATGGTCACAGCCTACTTTGGGCGGCTTTTTTTCGTCGTGGGTTGGAGTTCTCGGGTGTCAAAGCGATGGCCTACGAGGCACCAATGACTTCACTTATTTAGTGATGTACCTGACACTTGGAGGGTTGGAGCACTACAAGCTTTTCCCATGCTATGTCAAGGAATCGACGCTACCATGAAAATTCCACACTACTCAGTAGAACCCTTTATGGAAGCCCGGTACATCTTCGATTCTGCAACCCCCGACCCTATCCATCTAACCGTACCGGACCCATTAACCCACCCTTTCTAACCCATATGAACAAGAAGTTAATAAACCGCCAAATCCAGAAAGTAAATCCAGAATGCACCGAGTGGTATCACGTCAAAATAAGAATAAGAACACAAAAAAGAATAGTTCCCGCCTCCTTTATTTGCAAGTGCGACGGACGGACCAAACCCCCAACCCCCGTCGCCCGACGACCCGTTTCAATGTCGGGACCACTCCGTCGTCACCAAAGTCCAGATCATCCAAGTTGATATGTTTGCGGTAGCTCCACAGGCGGTAGAGTTGGAGGTCGGGCGTACGCGGAGTCCCCGTCGCAATGTACGGATCCAAAAAGGTCGCGGACGTGGGCGCGACAAGATACACGGGGGATACGGTGCCGCAAGAGGGGACCGACTCGTCGAGTCGCTGAATGAGATCCACGCCTGGAATGCCCATCAGGTCGATGGTGCGGATCGCGGGTATGGAGCTGTTATCGGCGCCGAGAAGCCAGTGAGGCGGCGAGTACGTCTTCCACCAGAATACCGAGGTCACTGGGTTGGTCTTGATGCCCTGCGCGGCGGTGTTCGTGGAGATAATGTTGCGCATGGCCAGCTGGGCGGGGACGACGCCGCCTTGGTGGTAGACACCCATGAGAAAGCCCATGGCCACGTTGAAGACGACCCACACTGCAAGAAATATGCGCGAGCGCCGGATGCGGATACAGCTGAGGATGAGAGGGACACATGGGATCAGGAAACGCGGCTCCTGGTGGGGGAAAATGGAGAGCAGAAGGGTGGCGGAGAGGGCAGACGTGGCCCGCGCATTGCGCAGCCAAGTTGGGATGGATGGCTTGCGGAAGACGGAGAAAATCATGACGATGTACGCCGGCCCAAGGAGTTGCGTGAGATTGGCCGCAAAGTGTTGGTACCGCGGATGGAGACCGTGGGTAGCCAGATTGGAGGTATCGGAGTTGTAAAGAAGGTTGTTCAATGGAGTGATGACCGGATGACGGATACTCGAGAGGAAGGACGCGGACGACCGGTAGAAGAGAGTGTCGTTGATAATCGCGAATGATGCAAAAATGGCTCCGAATCCAATGATAGCGACAAGTGAGCTTGGTCTGGTTCATATATCAGTCGGTGGGGTCTGAAGAGGTTGCATGAAGCCCCGTCCAGGAACAGGCGTCGAGATACTGACTTGCGCTTAAAGTAGGGCAATAATTGCACACCAGGCACCAGCAGAAAGGCAGGGAAAGTGATGCGATTAAACACGCCCGCCACTGTGATAAAAGAGAAGACCGCATACGAAAACCATGACGAGCGTTGCTATAGCGGGATTTCGGGTTAGCCAGACGCCCTCAATGCTCCGGTGCAACCCAAATCATTGCCCCGGCCGTCAACTCGTCTGCGACAAATCTTCTCGACGGCACGAACCTTGTTCTCCAGAAGACGGCGAATCAATACGAGGCCCCAAGCGACCAACAGGGTTTCCAGGGAGTTGGAAAAGGTGTGCGTCTGATATGTCCAGGTGACATACGACGAGGCCACAAGGACAACTGTGGCACGGCGGTGTTGCGGGGAGGGCACCAACTCATAGACAGCCCAGTCTTCAAGCACAAAACTCAGCAGGAACATCACACCACGTAAGACATAGTAGACTAGTGCTGGCGGAGGGCTCCCTCGATTTGTTTCCGAGTAAAACCATTGCATTAGGCTCATGGGAACCTCGTAAATCGGCCATAGGGGGAAGACGCTCCTGATGGGATGATCGGCGGTAAACTCCCATGGTCGCTTCGATGGGTATGCGAACACTTCGCCTGGAAGAGACAGAGTCTGTTAGTCATACGAGTGCAGCCACTTTTATATGATCCACAAAGGTGAGGTGGTGATCTCATCGGCCTCACTTGCGAGATGCTGCGGTGTTGGCACGAATCGCAACGCGTCGGTCGCAAACACTCGCCGAGGCGCGGTACAGCTCAGGGTAGCTCATGGAAAATCCACGATGCATGGCACCTAAAGGAAATCGTAATGACAGGTGCTTGACATACCGGCAAAGATCTCTGGGCCCTGGAAATTCTCATCGGGGTGTAGATAGCTTGGCGAAAACGCAAAGTAAACACGGATCACCAACAGGAGCAAATAAGTACGTCTCCACATGATTCAGGAACGGAACATGACACGCAGGCCAATCCTGGAAAGAAAGGAGATCAATAAGGCCGCAGCAGCATGGACCCGACTTGCGTTGCAAGAAGCAAACTAATTCCACGACGCCTTCAAAAAAAAAAAGGAGGATGTCGCGATGATCGACGCGTAGAAGCTGACGATGATATCACTGGCGCGACCGGACGGCAGAATAATGCTTATCGCCAACAGCAGCCAGGGCGGACCAGACAGTAAATCTGACGATAATCAGGAGGCGGACCGGCTCACTAGGGAGCAACCTCTGGAATTAGCAGATCGACTCTGTCGTATTGTCACGGAGGATGTGGAAATGATAAGTAGATAGATTCCTCGCCCGCATGCTCCAGGCTCATTTTCAAAAATGGGCTGTCGGGTGTGATACTTCAAATCCCAACAAGTCCCGGGCCATTGGTGTAACTAACCCTTCATCTCTTTTTTTAAGTTTCGCCGATAACGTGAATGTTGGGATCAGAAGACCGAATATATCGCACGTCATAAGAACAACCTTACTATACCTGCCATGGTACTTTGATGTGCTCTGATCCTCTTCATGGTCTTGTCTTGATTTGAAAGAGGAGTTTTGTCTTTCCATGGAACAAAGGCGCCCGATGTCTTGCATCCACAGGGTATGAGGGAAACCCCATATATTCAAAACAAATCTCTTAAAAAAATATACGTATCAACATGATATTGCAATGGAAGATCCCCTTCCACTGCCATGTCGAGCTCCAGGCAACAACAACCTTTTGTGGACAGTTTTTGCCTGGATGAAGATGGGAAACATGGGGTGAGAAACACAATCGCTGCCTTGTATATCAGAATTAGGTATTTTGCTGCCCTGGGTACCTTCCAATTGATATACCCGTCAGTCACTGGGACCTTCTCAAGGTGATCTTTGATCCTCGTGGGGGCTGAATGGCCGCAGCGCCACCAAGAACTAACTAGGGCCGTATTGTTGGTAGACCAGTACTACTACTGCCTCTTGTCCAATTTCTCTCTTCCCCGCTCCGACCCTTTGTCCAGCAACTTCATTTCAAACACATCCCGACTCAAGTTTCAAAGTCTGCTTTCAAATCCAAGAGCTTCGTAAGTGAACGTCTTTATCCTCGCTTTTCTTTCCGCTCTCTCTTTGACCGCTCGAACTCCGCGCCGTTTCCGCTGTTACGCCGCCGCCGCCGCCGCGACCGCCGACATCTTCCGTACTCTGTTCTCTAGCTAACGTCTACCTCTTCCTTCTTCAAGACGTCTACAGTGACGTGATAAAGTCAAAATGTCTTCTCAAATTACTCTGACTAGCAGCGATGGTGTCGACATCTCCGTTGGTAAGTCATGTTGTCTGCGCATGTTCTGAAGCAGCTCCGCCTTCGGATTCAAACCCCGCCGCCACCATCACCGCCGCCGCTGACAAGAGCAATCAGACCGCACCGTCGCCGAGCGTTCGATTCTCATCAAGAACATGCTGGAGGATCTTGGCGATTCTGGGGAGCCTATCCCTATCCCGAATGTGCGTGATCTCCTCCATCCTCGGCGCAAATACAGGCGCCTTGCAGCCATTCCACAACGTTCCTACTCACCACTACGATTTCAATCTTGCAGGTCAATGAGGCCGTCCTCAAGAAGGTCATTGAGTGGTGCGAGCATCACAAGAATGACCCCGTCACAGCTACCGACGACGATGACAACCGCCGGAAGACCACCGATATTGACGAGTGGGACCAAAAGTTTATGCAGGTCGACCAAGAGATGTTGTTTGAGATCATTCTTGTAGGTTACTGGACCACCTCCTTGAGGACATATGGCATAGCACATGATTAGCACATGATGATTGGGATTCAATTCTCGATGGGTTCGGCGTGAAGAATGTGCCTGAGAATACAAACTAATCTGTCGATACACAGGCGGCCAACTACTTGGACATCAAGGCCCTCCTTGACGTCGGCTGCAAGACCGTCGCCAACATGATCAAGGGCAAGTCCCCCGAGGAAATCCGCAAGACGTTCAATATTCAGAACGACTTCACCCCCGAGGAGGAGGACCAGATTCGCCGTGAGAACGAGTGGGCTGAAGAGTGAGTTCCGACCAAAATCCCAACCCAGCAACCATGACACTTGCACGTGGGCAACCCATTCAAGCCGGGACCTATTGCATTTTTTTTTTGTCCCAACGCTCTCCCCACTGACACCCGCCTTTTTTCTCTCTTACAGTCGTTGAACGGCTCGACACTCGTCAACCTCGGTTACCGGGACTTTACTTTGACGTATACGGGTGCATTTCCTTTGTGGCTAGTTCCTTCAAAATTTGAGAAAAGGAGGCCTTTGCTTTTTTCTTTGTTCCAACGCCCGTGCAAACTCACGAATATTATTACATACCCCTCACTATTGCAATTTACATCGGGCTTTGCAATGAGCAAAACAGGGAACCCCACTTAATGATCAATCAGATTCCACTTCCTGATCCTCACCTTGAGAGATGGTTCTCCTTGGGTGTCATTCGTTCTACACCTCAACTGCCGAACTCTGATTTCCATGAGTTTGTCATGTCAGATTGCTTGTTTTGGAGCAGCGCGCTTAGCCCGTGCAATTCGAAAATAAGTGATCTGCTCGTATACAGCTACTAGCCACTTCTCTCCCCCTCATCGTGACGCTAGATGCTTTCCATTTTGCCCCCCAACCCAGGAGCACGTAGGTATCAGAATTCCACAGAGCTACAAGTAGGCTGGGTGCGCCACACTCGCTGGACCCCCGGATCCCGTCACGCCCTCGAAAACCAAGGTGGCTCGTAGGACTTTCAGACACCACCAGTTCAATATCTATGAGTCCGCATCTCCAGGTGGGTATCAATGTCCGTGCCCATGTCCATGTCCACGGCTTTTGCCGGGATCAGGATGGATATCTAATGTAGGTCTCCAGGTATGTACCAGGTTAAAGTCTTGAAGATCGTGCGCCTGGTTGTTCTAGCGACCTCAGGTTTCGAAATGCTCAGGATTAGGTTCGAGCTGATCTACCGAGCTTGTTGGTACCTTGTTTTTGGAATACGCGGTAGTTTTGTAGCTTGGGGGAGCACCCCGTACTCCGGGGTTTACAAGTATCGGCGTGATTTGTACACAACCGAAAGGAATGACTGCAGTTGGTGGGCCGTACTCGTATACGGCGTGGGTATGAGATTTCACACAAGCGGCGATTGCCCCTCTTAGAAGGATGGGCCCGGCCGAGCGTGGATCGACCAGCTCAGTCTACGCGTTTGAAATCTGCAACCAGTGCAGACACGCATGTTCAGACATGTCAATTCAATTCCGTCATATTTTTGTAGTAGGAGAATAAAACCCTCTCCACCAAACCAATCGTCGGACCGGGGTAATATGCCCACTGCCCCCTCAGAAACATACAGAATCCTGCGTGCTTTGCAAAAATAGAATTCCATCTCGTTGAATTGGAGATGGATGCAACTGTCGTGGTGGTTGAACGACACAGTGCCAGGACTCGAAATGGTCGTTACTTTCATAGTCGGGGTACAAGACTGAAAAGAACGGGAGAGCGCGACGCAAGAATCTTTACATCCGTGCCGGCCGATGAATTGGACTCGAGATAAGACAGTTGCTGGATTGAACGTAGTTTCTTCAAATAAACTAGAGCGTTCAAAAACGCGGGACAGTGTGACTGAGAGGGGTGGGCGAGATTGCGTCGTCAGAATATCGAAATACACAACATCGTTGGTCCGGGACTGGATTGCTGAAAGAGACCCGGGTGGGAGGTGTCCGGGACTAGTTTAGATACCCAGACGGGTCTTGCGCCAGTGTCGTCGCTTAGCGTTGTATCTGTTTGAGAAGGCGAATGTCAGTCCAATGCTACCATGTGAAGGAATTGCGGAGTTTTCGGTGCGATTTGATGATTCTCCGCAAGTCGTTGAGGAAGCTTCGCCTTGACGTAGTCCTATCGAGCGAATTTTTCGACGATCTTTGCACGCAAGTGCGCATGGAATGATAAGAGCGCAATTTACCTGATGGTGTTGCCGGTGCGCAGACGAATCCACTGGGGGATGGGGCGGTTCTGGCGCTGAGCTTTGGCAAGCTTCTGCTTGGTGCGGAAAGTCTTGTGGCTCTACATGGCGGGAAAAAGTTTCAAAGTCAGTGATGGCACAAAATGTGAGATATCGCGACGGCGGAACTTGGGCGAAAGATTCGGCTGGCAGGATTCGATGTGGATTCGGCGATTATGGTAATGTGAACTGACCGGCATCTTGAAGGCTTGGGCGCGACAGCGAGCTTGTTTGATGGGAGAAGTTGTCGTCCTTCGGGAGGCAATTGATTTGTGTGCGGCAGGGCTTGGCTTCGCTTCGGCTCGGTCAGGTGACGAGACAAATGTGGGGCCTGAGGCAGGACTGCGACTTAGATGCCTGGGGCATACACATAGCGATCTCCAGACACCTGAGGCCCCTCTACCCATCTGCTCTTCTCTTCGTCATAGTCCGGGATGAACCCGGACACTCGTACGGTGGTAGCCGGTTACCAGTAGCCAGTGTCAAGTGGCCACTAGCCAGCCGCCCTGAGGCAGAACACTTTTTGGATTCTACTTTCTAGTGTTTGGTCTGGCGCAATCTTCCTTCACCTTTCGGTAGGTACAAAGGCATCAGGATTGATCACAGACACAGACGATTTGTAGGCAGCGGGGTGTTCTCGAGGGCTGGTGACTTGAGCGGACTTTGGAAGGCCTGTAATATACAACACTCATGCTTGCCTGAGAATCTATCGCTTGTCGGCCATTCGCGCTTTGAGATGGTCATCATTCGGAGACTTGAACATTTGACAGCGGTTACCAGATACGGTATGTAAGGCGCGCAACTGATCCTCGACCTCGAGCAAATGACAGACGCTTCGGCAGACCCACTGCCAAAAAGGGTCGTTGCAGACCACCGCTACTAACTTACTAAGTTACTCGCTTTTACGAACTCGTCTAGATTGTAAGCTGCCATAACAGTCAGTAACTGACCAAGTACTAAAAGAATGACTCATCCATTCACACAATCATTTATTTTGATCAGTTTGACGAGGACCTCATCAATCTGCACATCGATTACATGGGACTTTTGTATAAAAAAAGTAAGTTATCGCAGCTACGTAGTCGAGTACGTACATATCTTTGCATAATTGTAAGTCAATCGGAGTTCCGGTCCAAGAATACGCCGACCCCGACCAGGGACAATGCACGGACCCAAGCCATCATGCTTGAGGAGTTTGGACCACTCCACGCCTCGCCTCTCTGACGCGGCGGGCCTCGTCCTCGGACTCATGGTCTTGGGTGATGTCGGTGGGCCGACTGAAATTCAGCATTTCAGCCTCCTGTCGGTAACGGAGTCTACCGTGGCTTATGCCCGCTGTCAACCTATTCTGACTCTTAGCAGGTGGTGATATAGGAGGATAATTCCCAACCGCAAGTCCCCATAATAGGGATGAGACGGTCATCCTGTCAGAGGTGAGACGGGTTTAGGATTTCGGACATGAGTCTCGGGCACAGTAGGGTTGGATGCATCTTTGACGTAGTGATCACAGGATTTCAGGCACTCTGGTGACTGCTGATGACTGCTGATGACTCTTGACGAGAATTTCGTGGGAGGGTGTCACCGTCAAGACAATCTGATATGTCTAGCTAATTGGAAGGTTGCAATTCCCTCGTATTCGGGTTCACTGTTGCGGAACTGCCGGGGGTCGATTGATGATTCAAGGTTAGGTACTGACTACCTGCTCTTGGCCATTGTGGCACGCTTTCCACAGTTGTATATGTACCTCTTTGGCGCATCTCTTTGGCGCATCAATGCAGGCTCTGCGTCATGCTTGTCGCTAACACCTATCATGCAGAGGCATAAACAAGGACATACAGTATCTGATTCTGCAGTGCTTTCCGTGGTGACACGATAACCCGGTAAGGGGCTGCACATGGTACGTATCTTATCTCGTCTTCTTCCGGTGGTCTGAATCTAGTCAAGCACGGAGTGAGCCTCGCCGATGCTAAAACCTGAGATCTCTTCAGCCTAGAATAGATGCAGTTTTGGAAATAGCTCCACTGCCTGAGCCTGGACTTTCTCAGGAAGCTCGCGCCAAGCTTCTTCGCGCTTGTTTGTACGTCGTCGGCGGGTTCAACCATTACAAGTACTCATCTTACACTACTGATGGGCTCGACTGATACCAGAGTAAGCTGATCGCTTTCGGGATCACATCGTAGGTGCCGAACAAGATGATCAGTGATCCCAGGCTTTGAGAGTGGATGACAGGAATTCCGACTGATGCTCCACCCGGTAAGCAGCCCGAGCAGCGGGGTCTCAAGTGCAGTGGTAGTACATTTGTCCAACTACCACAGTACATTAGGTAGTCGGAGACTCGTTTTGGAAGGGTAGTAGTTGATCATGAAAAGCATACTGTGGTTGACCACGAGCCACGACCCAGCAGGCCACGACGAGATTGCATAATCTGACAGATCGCGATGCACACGGCTTAAAAATGATCGATCCCCGGTAACCTACTTGCGTGCGCTCGCATATGAGTCAACATGGGTTCGAAGAGATTCTGTCTTGTTCTCTGTGGGTACCGAGACACGTCCATCTCGAAAGCTCGATCGCTATACCGGGTATTAACTTTCCAGCAGGATGAACATCTGTGACATCTACGGTACTTATATGTGGAATGTACGACCACAAAGGTGCTCTCTACTACGACCAGTCACTAGTATCACTATCCAGCATCTCCAGTGTCCACTGTCCACTGGTCCAGTGCCACCCAAGCGGGGACCAACCAAAGTTATGCAATGATCCACAACTTGAATCATACAGCATCCGCGTCCGTCAATCGACCCAATCGAGAGGAGCCAAATCACTCTTATGGACGGATGATGCAGGCGCGATCGCTTAAACCATCTTCGGTGCCCGCCATCTCCATTGTGCAGTGCACAAGACTAACCGGACACGAGAGACTCCGGTCTCCATCAGGCCCGGTTGTCTTTGATTTCGAAACGGTCCCCAATTCCGTATTAGGCCCCCGAGGACTCTAGAATGTCGACTGTAATCCCCCACATGGAAGATGATGAAACCCACTTTCAGTTAGCTCGCAACCCTTTCCTTGTACCGTAAATGCCTAGAAGGGTTCTGCTCGTGCCGACGGTGTCTGTTCGCTTGCTCGTCTTATTCCTAATTTGGTTTGGCCAGGGTATGGGAGTGGCCGTTTTTGTGGCTCTGACTACTTCAGCCTCTTTCCGAATAATCAAATACCAGGTAGTCCACGTAAGTCCGATTCAAATTAGCGAGCCTGAAGGACTTAGCGCAGGTCGAAGCCGGTAGTTGCTTGCGCTTCATAAAAAATAAAAAACAATAAACGAGGAAACTACCACTAAATCTTGCTTATACTACGACTGGACAAAATAGGAGCCCGTCGGGACAGAAATAGACACGCGCTCCTTTTATTTATGACTCGCGTCCACCAGGCAAAACCTTCCCCCCCCCCCTCTTCCTATGTTATCTCACATAAACATTCTCACCAAAGTTCACTTCCTGCTCAATTTCTAAATTCCTTCCCTCAGTGTTCGCTTCCAGCGGGACGATCATTTACCGACTGGACGAGTATCACAGCTTGCCGAGAGCTGGCCCACGGGTTGACCCCTCTCCATCTGCAATCAAGCCGATCGGCTGCGTCCTACCATTCCGTCTGGAATTCTCCGCGGTTCACCCGCCGTAATCGTACTGATCGTTCAGTCCGATCGTCATCACCACTGTCCGGTCCTCGACATCCCCAAACCAAGCTGGGTTGGATTTTTGATCATCAATCGTTTCAAATTCCCCCAAACCTCAACTTGTCTTATCTCGACGAACAACAACTATCGCTATCTCTCTTCTCACCACCTCCTATTCTGAAGCATCAGACCCCCCTCCAAGTGTTCTCGAACCGAGGTCTGGCTCCACTTCCAATCTAAAAAAAATACCCATCAGAGTGGGTCCATTTCTACACGCCCATTCCAGAGAGCAAGCATACCACACCATCAAAGACAATAGCGCTACCACGCGCAACATTCCTCTCTCGCCATGCAGCAGCCAGAGGAGGGCGCCGTCACGCTGGAAAAACTCCCCGATGAGGTGAAGGCGGGCGAGGATGTGATCGCGCCACAGGAAAAAATCGCCGAGAAGAGCACCGATTCTGGCTCGACACTGACCGAGAAAGCAAACGATCAGAAGGGAAGCAAGACGGCGTTGTCCCTCGACGACGATGCCATCTTTGCGCATTTGCCAGAAGACGAGAAGGAAATCTTGAAGAAGCAGCTGAATGCTCCGGCGGCCAAAGTTTCCTTCTTTACTCTCTACCGCTATGCCTCGGCAATGGACATTGTGATCTTGGTCGTTTGCGCCATTTGTTCCATTGCTGCCGGTGCGGCACTACCTCTTTTCACGGTGAGCCACCCGAGCAGTGCGACGACTCTGAATCTTTGCTCCGCCTGCGACGCTTGCTTTTCTTGCTTGGGTAATCTGTGGAGAGCTCAGTACTAATTTTTATTTATTTGTGCTCGATAGATCCTCTTCGGTTCCTTGACGACTGCCTTCCAGGGCATTCAGTTGAAGACAATTAGCTATAACGACTTCGAACATCAGCTGACCAAGAACGTCCTCTACTTTGTGTACCTGGGTATTGCCGAATTTGTGACCGTGTACATCAGCACCGTTGGTTTCATTTACACCGGTGAACATGTTACGCAAAAGATTCGCGAGCGCTACCTTGAAGCCATCTTGCGTCAAAACATCGCCTATTTCGACAAGCTTGGCGCCGGTGAGGTCACAACCCGCATCACGGCCGATACCAACCTGATTCAAGATGGAGTCTCGGAGAAGGTCGGTCTCACCCTGACAGCACTCGCTACCTTCGTCACGGCTTTCATTGTTGCGTACGTCAAGTATGCGCCACTGGCGGGTATCTGCACGTCAACCATCGTTGCGCTGCTCCTCGTGATGGGCGGTGGATCTACTTTCATTGTCAAGTACAGCAAGCTCTCGCTGATAAGCTACGGTGCGGGCGGTACTGTGGCGGAAGAAGTAATCAGCTCCATTCGCAACACCACGGCCTTCGGTACCCAGGACAAGCTCGCCAAGCAGTACGAGGTCCACTTGCGCACCGCCGAGCGATGGGGTGTGCGTCTGCAGATGGCTCTGGGTGTGATGGTCGGAGGCATGTTTGGAATCATGTTCCTGAATTACGGCCTCGGTTTCTGGATGGGGTCCCGATTTTTGGTCCAAGAGAAGGTCAATGTTGGACAGGTTCTGACCATCCTTATGTCCATTCTGATCGGTTCGTTCAGTTTGGGAAATGTCGCTCCCAATACTCAAGCCTTCACCAGCGCCGTCGCTGCGGCTGCCAAGATCTTCAGCACCATCGACCGTGTCTCCCCCATTGATCCTACTTCCGATGAAGGCATCATTCCCGAACATGCTGCAGGCGAGATTGAGTTCCGCAACGTCAAGCACATCTATCCTTCGCGCCCCGAGGTCACTGTCATGCAAGACGTCAGCCTCCACATCCCCGCCGGCAAGACCACTGCACTGGTCGGTCCCTCGGGCTCGGGTAAATCTACGGTCGTGGGTCTTGTTGAGCGATTCTACATGCCTGTAGGTGGTACTGTCTTCCTTGATGGCCACGATATCCAGACTTTGAATCTGCGTTGGTTGCGTCAGCAGATCTCGCTTGTCCAGCAGGAGCCTGTGCTATTCGGCACGACCATCTACAAGAACATTCGCTACGGTTTGATTGGCACTCGCTATGAGCACGAACCCGAGGAACGGGTTCGCGAACTGATTGAGAATGCTGCTAAGATGGCCAATGCTCACGAATTTATCATGGGTCTTCCGGAGAAATACGAAACCAATGTCGGTCAGCGTGGCTTCCTGCTATCTGGTGGTCAGAAGCAACGTATCGCCATTGCTCGTGCTGTCGTCTCCGACCCTAAGATTCTGTTGCTTGACGAGGCAACATCTGCCTTGGATACTAAGTCTGAGGGAGTGGTTCAGGCTGCTTTGGATCGTGCCGCTGAAGGTCGCACAACCATTGTCATTGCCCACCGCTTGTCCACCATCAAAACTGCGCACAACATTGTTGTCTTTGTCAACGGTACCATCGTCGAACAGGGCACCCATGATGATCTGATCGAGACAGCTGGACCGTACTCCAAGCTTGTTGAGGCTCAGCGCATCAACGAGGAGAAGGAGGCCGACGCTTTGAACGAAGACATCCTGGACGATGACTCTGATGATTCTTCGCTGAACAAGCAACATCTTGCTCGCGTCAAGTCTGTGGCAAGCGGCTCAACACCCGTTAGGGATGAAGAGGCCGAGGCCATGTTCCCTGAGGATATCCACCGTGAAAATACCCGCAAGTCCGTCTCCAGCATGGTGCTTGCCAAGTCGGGCCCTGAAGCCAAACCCAAGTACTCCCTATGGACTTTGATTAAATTCATCGCTTCTTTTAACAAGGAAGAGTGGAAATACCTGGTCGTCGGTCTCGTCTTTTCGTGTCTTGCAGGCGGTGGTCAGCCCACTCAGGCCTTCTTGTACGCCAAGGCCATTAGCTCTCTATCCTTGCCCCCGTCCCAGTGGGGCAAGCTCCGTTCCGATGCCAACTTCTGGTCTCTGATGTTCTTGGTCGTTGGTATCGTTCAGTTCATCACTTTTTCGATCAACGGTATTGCCTTTGCCTATTGCTCTGAGCGTCTCATCCACAAGGCTCGTAGCAAAGCCTTCCGTTCCATGCTGCGTCAGGACATCAACTTCTTCGACCGCGAAGAGAACAGTACTGGTGCTTTGACTTCATTCTTGTCAACCGAGACCAAGCATCTCTCCGGCATCAGTGGATCGACTTTGGGCACAATTCTCATGACCTCGACAACCTTGCTTGCGGCCATTGTCATCTCTCTGTCCTTTGGCTGGAAGCTCGCCCTGGTCTGCATCAGTGTCATTCCTATTCTTCTGGGCTGTGGTTTCTATCGATTCTACATGCTTGCGGCATTCCAAGCTCGCTCTAAGCGTGCCTACGAAGGCTCTGCCAGCTATGCTTGCGAGGCTACCTCTGCCATCCGTACCGTTGCATCGCTCACCCGTGAGGTCGATGTTTGGGAGGTTTATCACGAACAGCTGGAGAACCAGGCCCGTGTGAGCCTCAAGTCTGTCATCCGGTCCTCTGTCCTGTACGCTGCATCCCAAGCACTGGTCTTCTTCTGTGTTGCGCTTGGTTTCTGGTACGGCGGTACGCTGTTGGGCAAGGGTGAATATGACACTTTCCGATTCTTTGTCTGCTTCAGTGAGATTCTCTTCGGAGCTCAATCGGCGGGCACTGTGTTCTCGTTCTCGCCTGACATGGGAAAGGCTAAAAACGCCGCTTCCGAGTTCCGTAAGCTGTTTGATCGCCGTCCCACCATCGACACCTGGTCTGAGGAGGGTGCCACGGTCGATCATGTCGAAGGAAACATTGAGTTCCGTGACGTGCACTTCCGCTACCCCACCCGTCCCGAGCAGCCTGTCCTCCGTGGCTTGAATCTGAGTGTCAAGCCCGGTCAGTACATTGCACTGGTCGGTCCCAGTGGTTGCGGAAAGAGTACCACGATTGCCTTGCTGGAGCGGTTTTACGATGCTCTCTCCGGTGGTGTCTTTGTCGACGGCCATAACATTGCAGACCTCAATGTCAACTCGTATCGCAGCCACCTCGCCCTTGTCAGTCAAGAACCTACTCTCTACCAAGGCACTATTAAGGACAACATTCTGCTCGGTATCGCCGAGGACAATGTTCCTGAGGAACACCTCGTGAAGGCCTGCAAGGAAGCCAATATTTATGACTTCATTATGTCTCTCCCCGAAGGGTTCAACACCATTGTTGGTTCCAAGGGTGGTATGTTGTCCGGCGGTCAGAAGCAGCGTGTTGCCATTGCCCGCGCCCTGCTTCGTAACCCAAAGATTCTCCTGCTCGACGAGGCTACCTCTGCTCTGGACTCTGAGTCCGAAAAGGTCGTGCAGGCAGCGCTCGACGCTGCTGCCAAGGGTCGCACAACGATCGCAGTTGCTCATCGTCTGAGCACCATCCAAAAGGCGGACATCATCTATGTCTTCGACCAGGGCAAGATTGTGGAGAGCGGTACACACACTGAGCTGCTGCGAAACAAGGGCCGCTACTACGAGTTGGTCAACTTGCAGAGTCTGGGCAAGACTCACTAGATCATCAAAATCTCGCAGTCGAGTCTCTTCTTCATCCTTATATGCTAATATTTTCCCCATTCTCATATGATACCTCGCCGTTGCATTGTATACCTCATTTAACCGGCAGATTTTCGATTTCATACCCTTTCAATCACTTTCTCCCATTTGAATAAAGCAAGTTGATTTTTCTTTATTTCTTGATCATTCTTCTTCTTCTCCTTCTTCTTGTTCCTCTCAACTCCCATGATTGCCTCTTACCGCATCTATTCTCTCATCCTTGCAGACCTTGTACGCCTGGCACCAATCTTTACCTGTCTCCTGTTGCACCTAGAAATCTCTCGATTAAGCAATGAGGTATATAGACTACTGGGCGGACGCGATCGATTGGTAAAAAATCTACTCTGCCCCTCAATGTTCATATTCTGTTTTGTTATATACGAGGTCTTGGGGACCTGACGACATCTCCCATCATTTGTTCGCTTTATACACAAAACTTGTCGCATGACCGACTTTAGTATTCGATGAGTATCTCTATAGACATACCATGATATCCCGAACTCAAACCCTTTCGTAAGGCAAGTTGGAAAAGTAAGAAAGAATGTAAGAAATCAATTCAGTAATCAATTCGCCCAGTAACCCACCTACGGAGACCCGAGATTTTCAGAAAAGGCAAAACCGCCACGTTTGAGTCAGTCCCCCTCATGCACCCCGAACTCCTTTTGCACCTCCACATGTCGCACCCCTCGCGCCTCTGCGATCAAGCCCATCAGACCTTGTGCGACGTCCTTGATCTCATTGTATTCGTGCAATAGGCGGATATGCCGCTTCACAGTCTCGGACGGGTCATTTCTGTCGGATGTTAGCTTGTCATTCTGCATTGCAATCTGCTTTGAGTCTTGCTGCTTTCGATATCGTGGTTCGCCTGGCACCGAGCGCCAAGTCTCAGGAAATAACTGATACGACAGTGCTTCTTTTGATTTGGCGCTGGGCTAGCGTCTACGGCGGTAACAGCATATCCTGTTCGATGTCGGATGTACTGTACTTGACTTACTTGAGACTTGATTTGAGGGTAGCAATTTCGGATTCTAGCTCGGTTTGCTGGACTTGGAGGGTGCTTATTGATGTGCGGAGGGTTTCCTATGAATGCGATGGTGTTGGTACGGTCCAGACGTGTTGATGGTCTTGATGAGGGCTTACAAGACGCTTGTCGGCTACTTTATCGGCCATGCTGCAGCTTCGTGTGGCAGTTGACTTCGGATTGGGTAGAATCGTCGACCATGCCCATACTTCGATTATCTGAAGCTACTTTGAGTGGATACTGTGAGTTTAGTTGCGGTGAACTGGAAGACGAGGCTTGTCCCGTTCTGGAAAGTGGACCTTGGATCGCGGCGGGCCTGTCGACTCTGACATGGTCACGTGGACTGGGATGGAGTCTTGAAGTATTGTAGCTGACGCGCAACCCTCAAACAGATTCAGATTGCAGTTCAGCCGGGGTAGGATGACCCTCGTCAGGGTAGGGTCCAGTCCACTTCCATTTTCCGTAAGTCTACAGTAAATTATTGTGCATAATCTGCCGTAACCCATATGGTTTCATAATGTTCAGTGTATTCCGACTCTTACATATGTAATACATGCAGTATCACGACCTCAGTGACGGAGCTACTTGTTTACCTAAAATAAGTAGCTGACTTCCTTTGATTAGCTTAATTTTACCAAAGGTACTTAGTGTCAGGATAGAGAACTCGAATTCTTTGTATCTTGATACAAAGAACTTATTAAAATAATAATATTACTCATTAACTGCGGAGTCGCGACTCGAATGTGAAATCTTGCTGTATTACTTCCGTCACCGAAATGCGACCGTAATATTTACATGCGTTGAAGTATGGAAGAAGTTTTGTTTCGATCACGGGATCTAGGGTACATAGGAAAAGTACAAGTGGAGCGGCCCCTACCTTGACGAGGGTCATCCTACCCCGGCTGAACTGTGAACACCACAGATTGAGCTTGTTCGTGTAAAGTCTTGTAGAAAGCCAGCTAATTGATTCGCTTTCATGTTGAAAAGATTTAATTCTTGGTTGATACAAAATCAAGACATGACCAGTCTTTATATTTAGAACAAAATCCAGCATTGTACAGGGTACAGCACTATAGCTGGTAGCTGCTGAGCTGATAGGTACCACTACTAACTTACCAAGTACCAGCAGCCTTTCCTTCCGTTAGGAATCGGATGCGGCGGATTGGCAGCGGATCGTTAGCACGCGGATGGCAGATGGGCAACTTACCCGGTTTCACCCCAGACCCCCCCCCCCCTTTGATTCTTCCAGATAAACCCCCCTCGGTCAACTCTAGATCTCCAGCTTTTTGCTGTCTCGCAGGGCACTGCTGTGTTTCTCGAAGTCCACACGCGCCCACCATGACCTTCTTGCGACAGGGTTCCCTCTTGGCCCTGGTCCTGCTTGCTGGTTTGGCATTCGCTCATGGCGGCCATGAACAAGTCCCCGAAGGCGAGGCCATCTCGCTCGAGCCGATTGTATGTGCCTAGACTCCTTGGGGTCTTCCACTGTGCATACTGATGCGGTCGCATCGTTTAAACAGCTGGGTCTAGCTGAGCGACATGGCTAATCTCTCATTCTAATGTAGGATGCGACACTATGGACACATATTCTTCTCATGGGCACTGCCTTTGGGATCATCTTCCCTCTGGGTATGGTTCTTGGAGTACGTTATGCCCACCTTCGAATTACTTCAAGCTGTTCTTTCCCGTGGTTCCTTGCTGATGACTCGATCTCTTCTTCGAACCCTACAGATTGTTCGCTCGCGCTGGCATGTTCCCGTCCAAATTGTTGGCACAATTATCGCTGTGCTGGCCTACTTCCTCGGTCACGCTCACAAGGGCCGTCAATTCGGAAAAAATGCCCATGCCTCCTTCTCAAATTGGTTGATGCTGCTCTTGATCGCGCAGATTGTCCTGGGCTTCTACTTGAAACTGCACCTCGAAAAGGCGGGACAGGGTCGCATCCGGTGGATCTTCGTCCTGGCGCACGGCGTCATTGGCAAGATCATGCCCATTGTCAGCTGGACCCAGATGCTCTTTGGTGGTATTGCGGCCCTGGGCTTCTGCCAGGGTGACCACATGGGCCAGTGTCTGGCGCACTTCATTATGGGCAGCGCCTTTATCGCGTATGGCATCTGCTTGACTATTCTCCTGCTTGTCGGTCAATACTGGCTGCGCCGCACTGGCCGTAGTCAAGAATTCTTCGATTCGCTCATCATCGCCGCGTGGGGATGTGTCAATACCTTCACGGAGCATCGTTGGGGGGGACCGTGGGTCCATAACGACCTCCAGCACACTACAATGGGAATCGTCTGGTGGTGCGCTGGTCTTTTGGGCATGTGGTTGAGTCGGAACCGCAACGGTCGTCCGAAGCGGAACTTGATCCCGGCCATTGTGATCGGTCTGACCGGCTACGCGATGTCGGCGCATACCCAGACTTTGATGATCAGCACCATGGTCCATAGTATTTTCGGATACACCTTGATGGCCGCGGCCCTGACCCGCATCATCGAAATCTCCTTTGTCCTGCGCGACAAGGACAACGTCAGCATGAGCGGTGCCGATCCAAACAGCTTCCAATATTTGACGCCGTTCTTGCTCTACGCCTCTGGATTCTTGTTCATGGGCGCAACGGAAGAGCAGATGCAACTCTTGAGCCAGGCGGGCATCATGCATGTGTCGTACATCTTGATTTTGTTCAGCATTGCCTTTATCCTTTTCCTCTGTAAGTGTCATCTAGTTTCTGCTTGTTTCTCTTTCACCTGGGTCCCTGGCATCAGCGCTAATCAACCCTCATAGTCGTCAACATTCTTCTCCACATTTATGCCGTTCACGCTTGGCCTGAAGGTGCTCCCGAAGAAGACGAAGCCGAAGGCCACAAGTACGCCGGCACCAACGGCGGCTACATGAATGGTCGCACCCGGGCACGCACCGCCGATGCCCAGCGCATCTCCGACGCCGAGGCCTTTGAACTCGAGGGCCTGATGAGCGATGACGAAGACGAAGCTGGAACTTCCATGCATCCCAAAAAGAGAACAGACGAGGAGATGGGTGCCAAGGAAGCTTCTCGTGCATAGACGGTCAGCTCCGTGCTTTTACGTCATGATACCTTCATGAAAAAAGAAACGGGGGGTTCGTGGCTAATCTTGTGTCTGCCCTTTTTTTGTCTATCCTATTATAGGCCACGGCCACCTCATTTGCATGGTTTTCCCTGGCGTTTGGAATAAGAAGGACTCGGTGGTGTACCACTAAATAGTATATCGCTCATTTGAATGGACATATTAATCGTGCTCAGGGTCATTGAGGGTGTATAAAAACTGTACACTATGAATACGAGCATCGCTGCGAAGCGGGACTTGTCTGTTGCCAAGACATCGATCTATTTTGAAGACTATTTTTAAACGCATCATGATACTGTACAACAAGTCCGTCTAGATTGGGGAAAAAGAAATTCGTCATCTTCATGTCAATGGCTTCTTGCCGTTGAAGATATGCCATTGGATCCCAATAGATTTCGATCATGCTCCTCATAATCCAGGATTCAAGGACGGATTTGCGGGAAGATCTGCGGCACTGTTAAGAACGGCGCTAGGAGCGGGATGACTCGCGAGATTGGTGATAGTCGTTGGGTTCATGGGAATCGGGTTAGCCACAGGTGGCACAGCGGCTAGCGAGCCAACATCCATTTCGGGCGGGAAGAACGGATGCAAAGGATAGATAGGCCCGGCCAACTTCTCTCCATCGAAGAGCAGCATGTTCTGGAGCGGCTGCTCGCGCGCAGACAGGACATTGATCACGTCTTGGGCCAAGGCACCGCCGACAAACGCTGCCACGGGGCTGAGCTCACAGCCAAGATTCTGGAGGAATTGGCGCAGGAAAGTAGAGTCGAGAGTTGCGAGGTCCAATTTCAGTTCTTGGTGACTTTCCCGCGCTAGCCGTGTGAAGACTTCGAGATCTTGGTGTGCAAAGCTGGGTCTGCGGCCAGCGGAGATTTTTTCGAATTCCCACAATGCGCGGAGACAGCTGAGCAATGGCGTGACTTGCTTCCGGCGGCGGGGGTTGTTGGTGAATTCTTCGGGTAAAGGGGAGGTATTGGCTAGCTGGAGTGGGGAGTACGTTTCGCGCTTCGTGACCAGCTCGATGACTTTGTCCCTGCTTCCTTTTTCGCTTTTCTCGCCCTCGGTCTTGGCCGCCACGCTTACGACGCTTCTCGTGAGTGTTTCCTGCTGTCGTGTTGGGCCGTTGGACTTCTCCCGCTCGATCACAAAGTCATGAGAGATGAGATCGGCAAAGACATAGCCGTAGAGTCCGTGCAGCCCAGCTGCGTAAAAGGGTCGATTGGCGATGCGACACGCCGCATTGATTGTGGTGTAGGAAGCAAAGTCGAGCTCGGTCGCAATTGTAACGTCAAATTGACTGAAAAAATCGGGTTGTTTGCTGCGAACGTCGGCTGTGTCAATATGAAGCTTGACTCGGGGGTTCATGCGGTGGATTTGAGGGCCGGCGACCTCGGCACGCTGTTATTCAATAGTTTCAATATCAGCTCCCTTTGGCCTTGGACACAAGAGCATGTTCGCAATGGGCGAAGGGTGCCAGTACGTTTTTCCCTTGCTTGATTACGTCCTCATTTTTGTATGCTTCCTCCAGGAAGAAAGATGCGTCCAGATCAGTCGCGGAGACGGGCTCGTGGTCGATAATTGTGAGTGATCCAATGCCGGCTAGGACCAGGTTCTTGGCGATCTCGTTGGCGAGCGCTTTAACCGTGATCAAGAGGATATTTGATGACCGAATTCTGTCGGAGAAGTTTTCGATTAAAATCCAACTCACCTAGTACTTCGGCTGGTCGGCTCACGAAACTCACTTCTCTTGTGCTTGCACACCCCAAAGCCGGATCTGCCGGTCATAGAGCGCAATCTCATCTAGGGTCAACTTGAGTTAGAACTCCTCTCCTTATGGCCTCGTCAAGTAGATATCACATAGTATCTTGAGGATCTCTTACCTGCGCTGATGGTATTTCCATTCTCCACTTCTGCCATTTTGAGGGACACTTTGCGGGGAGTAGTGAGAGAGGGGACCAGGGAGCTCTTCAAGCTTTCCCCACAAAGGTATGATCTAATCTGTAATCACGTGCATTGTTACCACTGTCTCGTAGCAGGTGCAGTCGGGCGTTGGCTTTCCCTTCGTCCACATGATTCTCCCTTATGACATCTTTTTGCATTTCATGGCCTCATGCACCTCTGATTCCGGTGCATTCTTCGTTGGACAGTCAGCAAACGTCTTATCTCTGTGATAACCCAAATTCACGCCCCCCTCTTTCCTGGAAGATATCGTTCACAGGAAGGCAATCGGGCACTTTGGGAGTGATATCCGCCCGGACTTACCCACCAAGATGGTATGTTTCGAATCTTCATGTTTTGCCTCCAATATGGCTTGCCCCACGATCTTGCGATTCATTCGGACAGTCTTGACACTCACATAGTCAGGGAACTCTGGCAATCCGCCGGGGAACTCTCGGAACTCGAGAGATTCAAGCAACTCCGGCAATTACGATTATCCTCCAGCATCGCTGCCTCGACCCCCTAATATCTTTGATGGTTAGCTTTGTGAATACCTATCTCGTAAACAGTATTCACATTCTCATTTTTGATAGAAAATCCCAGCAACCAGCAAAATCCATTCTTTCTCGACCGAAATTCGTCGCCGCAGCGTCGTTTGCTCGAGCAAATTATCGAGACTCGGCGCGTTGAGGGTGAGGTTAGGCTGAGGGCGGAACTGGATAGAATCGCAACGGAACCGCAACCGCCACCACCGATGTGGTTCAATTTTGAAAATCTTGACGAAGATTTAGAAGATTTCGAAGCGTTCTTTCAAGAGAACCGGCGAGCCCCAACCTCTACCAGGCCATCCAATCGTGAAGGCCTGCATTACCTGCGAAGTCTTCTGCAATCCGAAAACAGCAGGTTCAGCGCCGAAGAAACAAGCCGCGCGTTAGAGACACTGGATCAGGAGCTTGGTGAGTTTGACGCCTTCACCTCCGGATGGGACTCATCGCGAAGGCCTGGTGGCACTCGCTCTGAGTCAACAGCGTCATTCAGCATTCCTCGCCCGCCACCAGTTGAATCCGTCCCGTCCAGATCAACGCGGAGAGCTTTGTGGGACTCGCAGCAAACTGGCTCTGGCTCCGGAACCGACAACAATTTGAATACAAACTCAGACCCTTCTCGTCCAACCACAACATACAGAAGTCTACGTCGTCGAACGGTTCGTCCTGATCTACGGTCTGCGAGCAATCTAACAGATCCGGTATCCTTTCCGCCCCTCATGCCTCAGTCCGCCTCTTCTTCCTCCGGCCGAGACAGCCAGGGTCGGTTGAAACGGCGAAAGCTCGATGCCGATGATAATAGTGAAGGTCTACGGGGATTTAACTATGGTCACAAAGGTCAGGTGGTCCCTGGGCCTCTGAAGATGGAGATTCTAAGCTGCGATGGAGGTACTTTCGATCCTGAGGGGGACAGTGGCTTTCCAGAAAATGTCCTCCTGAACGATCAATCAGTCTATTGCACCAAGTCCAGCCGCTGCAATATTGTTCTTCGACATCGTGGCGAGGCGCCTTTCTGCTTGAGAAAACTAGTTATCAAGGCCCCGCGAACAGGCTTTGACTCTCCGTACGTCTCACGCAAGAACCTTGTATTCATCAACTTGGCTCAGATCCATATCTCTAACTGACTTCGCAACAGTATTCAGGAGGGGATGGTTTTCGTGTCGATGGCAGCCGATGACATGCTTGCTCGCACAACCCAGTATCAGATCCAATACTCTCACACACGCCGTCGACGTCGCTACAGACGGTCAGGCTTGCAGCCTTCTCAAGAATATTTCAACTCTTACCAAGCCCCTGTGCAACCCTCTGAACAAGGTTCCCTCACAGCCCCCGCAACAAATTCATCGTCCGAACTCGTACCCTCCGGTCTGGATGGATCGGCCCCACAGTCTCACATCCGCTTGACTATTGACTACGACGAGAATTCCGACGATCAGTCATTCGCTAATCACGACGACGACGAGGGTCCTTCTGTAATGGAACTTGAGACAGTCGCAGAGGATGAGGACGAGTGCCTGGAGAGCTCAGACAGTACGAGTGATGACGAGGATCTCGACGATAGCACCACAGGTAGTGTCTATCGTCGCCGCGTCGAGTTACAACGACAGCAAAGACGTCGTTTAGCTAGTCTTGTGAATCCCCTGCCGCATCCTTCATCGACTTCGTCCACCGCTGGTGCTGAATCATCATCGAACGGTGAAATCATGAAACCTCACGCACGTTTCTTCATCGAGCGTGAGAAGAGTATGGTCAGCATCAGATTCGATCCACCGCTGTATGTCACTTCTTTCTCGATTCGAGTAATTGCGTGCTTTTGATGACTGATATGCTTTAGCTCCGGTCGTTACATCCTGATCAAGCTTTGGAGTCCCCGCAGCGACGGCAACATCGACATCCAAAGTATCATTGCCCATGGATTTGCCGGGCCAAGATTCTTTCCCAGCGGAGGTCTTCGGTGAGGCTGGGAAACATGTGGTTGCAGCGTTAATGTGTTACGACGATTACGAATTCAAATGAAACGACGCTTCGGGCCAGTCATGCAGTCTCTCAACCGCCGTAGCTGTCGTTCATTCTGGGGAGTAGCTTTCGAAGGTTACCTGTGTCGAGGTATTATTAGGAGTCTGGATTTTGTCACTATCACAGCTTCGCATGGCGGTAATGCCTCGCTCCAGGACTTCTGTGTCACGAAGCTGCGATGAGTAAACCAACGAGACAGCCACGCTTGTTAACGTGAAGGCAGATGCCAGCATGGCCGTCTGGCTTCGTGGCGGCACCAAGTTCCGGAGCTTAAACCTTGATGAGCGGCAAGGGTCCACCACGCTAGACCAAATTAGGTGATTGGCAGGATGAACCAAGATAACCTTGTTTTTATTTTGCCGAGAGCCAAGCCACGCAAAAGCCGAGGCTGTCAGACTCACCACCCTGTAGAGGCTGTGACCCGAGAGCATCACTGCCCCGTGCACCTTTGCTCTTGACATGATTCTGATTAGCTGGCAGCGTTCTGTGTGCGCTCACACCTGTACGACGTATAGACCTCTTTACAACTTCAGCTGGAACGATATTCATGGTTCATTCATCGGGTCTAATACATGATCGCAGCAGGTATTCTATGTTGCTAAACGAAAGGAAGAACCAAGTGGCTATCATGTTCTCCCCCGGTGTGAATCCAGTGCTTTCCTTTGTTCCGAATGTGCTCGGTTGTTCCGAAATTTGAAAACCCTTGGTAGAAGCCACTCACAGAGAGTTGCAGACTCTCGCCCGCTTCAAATTCGATACCCATGCACCAGATTCCAATCTCCAACCGAACAACTGTGCCTGGCTCCACTTTCTTCTCCTCTACGTGAGTGTAGTAGGGCCAGTTTGGATGCATTGACTTGGAGGGATCAATCTCGCGATTGGATGCCCTCAGAATACCCGTGGGACCCTGGTAAAGAATTACCTCAATTTGCTTATCCTCGGGAATATCGGCAATCTTCTTGATGGGAAGATTGGTCCAGGGGATGTTGAGGTTGAGCAGACGCTCTCCTGTTGCGGAAATCTTATTCAAGACGAGGAACACATCCATGTCATCGTACTCGTCATTACGCATCCAGAGTACAGCTTTGGGTATGCCGACGATCTGTGTCCGCTCGCTGAATGTATATGTGAAAGTTGCGGTGTCCTTGGCATCCTCGGAGTTGTATGAGATGGTTCCAGCTGTGGGACTTGGTTTATCCAGGCTCAGGCCTCCGTCGGCTGTGAGATACGCCTTGCGGTAGCTTGTGCGAGGAATCGGGAAGTCCTCTTCGATCACGTTCGCGATAGGCTCCTTTTCACCGAATCGGAGGACACTCATACGAACTTTGGGCGTCGATTCCCAGTTGTTCTCCACCCCCTTGAGGTATCGGTCAAAGAATGAGAGCAGTTCCTCTGTGCCTTCGCGGTTGCCCCAGATGTCGTACCATTCTTGGTATGGATGCCACCGGAGCCATTTGTGAGGGGTGTTCACCTCCATCCATCCCCGGATGGCTCCCATACCGTGCATGGTGTTTGTGTATGTGCCAGTGATATAAGTCGGGATATTGATCCTCTTCATGTCTGGTCGCTTGTCGTTCCACCAGTCGTTGGCGCCAGGATGCTCCTCGAACATCTTTCGGAAGCTTTCCATGCCATTACGACCGCGCAACATCCATTTCACGATGAGGTGATCGAAAAGATCGCCACCATATATACCACCCCGAGCAAATTGCTCACGGTACAGATCTCCGCAACCTTCCCAAGGGGCAATGGCCTTGAGAGATGGCGGTTGAAGGGCGGCAACGAACCATTGGATGATTGCCAGATGTGAGTTGCCAGCCATTCCGACGTGTCCATTGCACCAAGGCAGCTTGGCAAGCCACTCGATGGTGTCGTATCCGTCTTCGGCCTCTTGAGTACCCATGATAACCATGCGCCCTTCGGAGTCAAAGGCTCCTCGTGAATCAATATTGATGATGGCATACCCGCGGTCCACAAAGTCGGCTGGATCCGGTGCTTCAAACTTTTCCAACCCACTCAACGTGCCATCAGGAATGCCAAGGTTCCAAGGGCACATAATGCGCAACGAGTCAATACCATTGAATTTCTTGCCGAACGGGCCCCAGCAAAGAATAGCTGGCACGGAGCGTTCCGGAGCCGAGGGCGGTCGATAAATGTCGGCGTATAATTTGCAGCCGTCTCTCATTGGGATGGCAACATCATGCTCGACAAGAATTTCACATGATAGGGGCCTCCCACCAGCAGCAGTGACATGTCCGACTGGGAGAACTTCAGTGCGTGGACGCATCCCCTCATAGCCGCCATGGCCAACTTCAGGCTCCTTCAAGTCCTGATGAGGCACATTGACATTAAATTTGACGGTCATTCTGAAAAAGAGATGGGATTCGACGTCAAACAATTGATTTCTTCCTTGCTTTTCGCTTGGAAATCAACTCGGATTGTTTTTTATTGTGATTGACTGTATTTCCGGAGGGCGTCTTGCGCATAATAAATACGCTTCTCTGATTTGCCTACATTCCGCGGTCCGGTTCGCTTCGGTTCGGTTTTGCGGGCGCATCTCGGCAGTTGAGGAGTTGAGGAGTTGAGGAGCGATCTCAGCGGAGACCCCAGAATTCAAGTGGAGACACAACATTCAACCCCAGGAAAATGACCCCGAGATGCGGCAGTAATCCCAGGCAAGGTGAAGTCCTCCACTTCAGCCAACTACAGCCACGAGGGTGGGAAGTATAAAAGTGTCGAAGCTTGCCCTATCTCATGAGGGCTCTTTGCGTGTGCGACGGTGACGCTACCTGAACCTCCACTTCTACTATTTCCAACAAAGACTGAACGGATTATTATCATTCAACATGGAGAAGTCCGACATCACTCATGTCGAGATCGCCAATGATGCTTCCCTTTCTGGGCATCCAGGTGATGGACAAGTTAAGCTCATGCGCGATGGCGAGGTGGTGTTGATTCCAACGCCAACATCTGACCCTAGAGGTATTGCTTCCAAACCTTTGCGGTATAGGTCCAACGCTTACTCTTCCCCGTCCAAGATCCATTGACACGATCGGTTTGGAGCAAATGGGTCTTCCTGGTCATCGTTTCCGCATGGAGTTGCACGGCTGTCGTCCTGGCCTCTGGAATGGGTTCCATCTTCACCTCGATTCTGGCATCCTATCCGGGCCAGGAAGCTCGAGCCAATGATCTTATGACCTATCCAACTCTGTTCATGGGGATTGGAAACCTCATCGCCATGCCCTTTGCTTTCACCTGCGGACGTCGACCGGTCTTTCTTGTCTCGATGGTTTTGCTTGTCGTTGCCGGCATTTGGTGCCAGTGCTCGACGAGTCTTGGAAGCCACATCGCCGGTCGGAACATCATGTCCCTTGCCGCCGGTCAGAGTGAAGCCTTGTCGCCAATGGTCATTCAGGAGATTTTTTTCCTACACGAGCGTGGCCGCAAGGTTGGATGGTTCATTTTCATCCAGAACATTGCCGCCGGCGTCTTCTTCGTTGTCTCCACCTACATGGTCAGCAGCTGGGGATGGCGGTGGTGGTACGGATTCTTCAACATCATGAATGCCGTCATCGGTATTTTTGCTTTCTTGTTCCTCTTCGAATCCAAGTTCGACCGCACCGAGGAAGCGATGCGCGGTGAGCCGGTGCTGAACTCCAAGATCGCGGAACACCAGGCGGTTGTTGAGGAGGTTGAAGAACCCACGCCACGCAGTTGGAAGAACGATCTCAAGCCATTCTCAACCAAGCCTACTCTGCGTGAGATACCCACATTCTACAAGCAACTGCTTCAGGGATTCTGTATTCCTACCATTCTTTGGCTCCTCCTGCTCAATGGTGCCCACCTGGGCGTGTACATATTCCAGGCCGCTACCTTTGCGGGGATCTTGACGGCTCCTCCCTTCGGCTTCAGCTTCGAATCTTTGGGCTACGTTCAAGCGGGTCAGCTTGTTGACTGTCTTGTCTTCCTGCCACTTCTGGCCTACGGAAGTGATCTGGTTATCAAGCATCTGACCGCTCGCAATGATGGCCTCTACAAGCCAGAATACCGTCTTCCGGTCATCATCATCCCCGTGATTGTCGGTGTCATTTGCAGCGTCTTTTACGGACAAGCTGCTGCTCACCCTGAGAGGTATAGTCCAGCGGCAATTATCATCGGCTACAATGCGAGCTACTTTGCTTTCCTGGGAGCGAACATCGTTGGTATTACTTATGCCGTGGACAGCTTCCCTCTCCGCGCCGCGCCATTCTTGGTCGTCATCTGTGCTGGAAGAGGGTTTATCTCCTTCGGCCTGAGTTATGCCACACTGCCTGCTATCAAAACTGTGGGATATGACTGGACGATGGTCATCGAGGTCATAATCTGCGGTGTCCTCGCACTCATGGCGATTCCAGTGTACGTGTTTGGACCTCGTCTTCGAGTGTGGGCTGGAGCTTGGAGTGGCGGCAGCGAGGCGACGAAGTAGAAAGTCATCAAGCATGTGCCATAGTTTTTTTTTTTTTTATTCTTGAATTTTTTTTTATTTCTATTTCAAAAAGACGGCCCCTAGATTGGTTCTTTACACTAAGCAGTAGGCTGGTAAAATTTGTAAACATAAATTAGCGAAACTAGCAAAAAGCTTGAATTGTCTGTGGAGCAGTGATTCACAGTGGTTCCCTTACATGTAACGTTCGCCGTCAAGACAAGCAAGAAGTGTGTGCCAATGTACAATGTACAAAAGTCTTACGGTGGGAGTGCAGATTCTGCAAATCCGAAGCAATCAAAATCTGGGACTCATTATGTTCTTACTTCCTTCTTTTCGCTGACACATGCAATATTCGATTGAAGGAGCTCTCAACCATCAAATTGCTGCAGTTGTTTCACTTCCCCGGGACCCCAGCTTCCCCACAGTTCCATTCCTTCACTTCCCCCGAGCTTCATAACATTTATCATCCTTGCACGCACGTTTTCCTGAGAATACTCCGGGATGTGGACGTCGTCCATGGCTTGTGGCTTTAGACAACGCTATCATAGGTTCGCCTCCTCGCAAACGAGGGGGATCGAGGTTATTCTGTGGAGATCGGTTTCAATAACCCCGGCCTCGTGCATTCAACGACCTCGCTTTCCGGCACCGTTATTTGTTGAACGGATAATCTGGGCCATGGGTTAGTCTCTGATGGTTTGAGCTGTGATTAACTTACGCTTGGACTTTGTTCATTTCTTTTTCAAGCGAGTCCTGAGTCCTGTGAATCCTTGTTGATTGGCAGCGACCCGAACCGAGCCGAACCGGCCAGCCGAGCCGTAGCGCCCTCGCCATCCATGAAGACGAGAGAGTGGCACAACTTCACAATCAGACTCTCCATTTGGATGGGAGACCTGGTTATCATTGATTGAGAGTATAAAGGCAGTTGGTCTGTCTCGTTCATCAAGCAAACTTCAAGTCAGATGGGGTTTTCCAACAATCATTTTTCCAAGAAGGATTGTTTCTCTCGAAATGGCCTCGACAAAGACTGAAACCACAAGCGCTTCCACGCGGCTGACTGCCGGCTCGGGACGCTTATTCTCCGAAGGCACGGGTGTCACATATGGTGATTTCCGCGATGACTTGATCAAGAATGGATATGCTGTGGTCAAAGGCGCCGTTCCTCGTGAGCGCGCCCTTGGTTATGCGGATGATATCTACGAGTGGTTGGAGGGCTTGTATGTGCTATTTGCACTTTGCCCTTGTTTTTCACGAATCACAACCCTAACGAGAACAAAATTGGAGCTGACTTTACTGGTTACAGCGGTCTGGGCTTCAAGAGAGACGACCCGTCCACCATTCACAAGGACCATCTTCCCGACATCAATGAGAAGGGCATGTGCCTGGGCTACGCCGTCTCCCACGAATCCTTCACCTGGGGTGTCCGCCAAGAAGCCAAGGTCATTGAGGCTTTTGAGAAAGTCTATGGCACCCAGGACCTGATCGTGTCCTTTGACTCAATCGGCGTTGGTTTCCCCAACCGCAAAGATATCCAGCCCAACAAGCCCTGGCCTCACCAGGATCAGGATCCCGAGAAACCCGGGTTCCGATGCTTGCAGGGCTTGGTCAATTTGCTACCCAATGGGCCCAAGGATGGTGGATTGATTGTTTGCAAGGGTGCTCATCAGTTGAGTGAGCAGTTCCATGAGGAGTTCAAGAACGAGGAGGAGAAGATTTGGTCATGGTAGGTCTTGAGCAGAGCTTGTCTCGGCCATTTTCATTCCTTTTAGGAGGAAGAGCTTGAGACTGACAGCACATTACAGGACCAAGGAGTGGTACGGCTTCACAGAAAAGGGTCTGAAATGGCTCAAGGATCACGGATGTGAATGGGTCAAGATCGAGGCTGAGCCCGGTGACTTGCTTCTTTGTAGGTGGACTTGCTCGCATGCCAGAATTTCCCTGCTATGCAATTCTTCACTTGGGATGTTTTTGTGTGCACATCAAATTAATGCTTTCTCGATGCAGGGGACTCTCGCACGCCTCATTACAACGTCACGTCCGAGACTTTCCAGCCTCGCTTCTGCGTATACACGTGCTTCATGCCCGTGGCCGACGCAACCAAAGAGCAGCTTCAGATCAAGAAGCAGGCTTTTGAGCAGACCAAGATGACTACGCACTGGCCCAACGCTGCGATGATTGTGGACCTGCCTGTCCTGCGAAATGGAGAACCAGATCCTTATCAGCGCTCTTCGCCGCGCGAGCCGGTCAAGCTCACGGAGAGGGGTTACAAGTTGACCGGGATTCCTTATCTGGAGCAGATGGCTTAATCCCATGGCGGAGATGATGCTACCGTCCCCGGGAAAGGAAAGACTCTTTGCCTGGTGGAAGGACAAGCATATAGCCGTACTACACTAACAGGATGGCCCATATACTCAATAGTTCAGAAATAAAGGATAGCCGTTTTCTTCCTTCCTCAACTTCAATTCTGATTCATTCGCTATGCTGAAATAAATGGCTTAAATCATTCCAATCCCATCCGACCCAGTCCAGACTAGAAGGTCCCCAGGCGAACGTATTTGGTGGAAATTGAGCGCTTTCTTCCAAGACAGCGTCATTCAAAATGGGGTTAGTCGAGCTCAAGCTCGTGGTTTCCAGTCTCGTGGGCACCGGAATTTCCAAGATCTGGGACAAGTGACTCTCCAGATCAAGCATGATGTCGTCAAAGTTCGTGATAGTGCTGTGTTTTTGATAGTAATGCCGACTGATTTGCATACCAGCTTTCATCAACTATTTTCAGCTCTTGTAATTAGTCACCACCGTCACCGTTATCACCACCATGTTCCTTTTCTTGGACAGTGACGCTGCTCAATTTAAAAGACATACCTCAAAGTCTGAGCGGACAAGCAGCGACCTCTTCTCGCGGATGATCGAAACAGCGAGAGCATATACAGCCGCAAGAGGCGATGTCATAAGTGTCAGGTAATTCGGTGTTTCTGAGTCGACTAGCGGTACAAATAGTCTGACCATCTCACGGGCTGACTCGGTGGCCATGGACGGTCCACTGAGCAGGCTTTGGCGCCATGGCTTGTCGGATGCAAATCGTTCGATCACTTCCCGTAACTCGTTTGGGTCAACTAGGAGTGTTGATCGATGGACTAACATTACACTTTTTTATTGGGTTCCAAAGGTTAGTATGACGAGACACCTTCCATTCAAAGAATCCGAGATCGATCGACTAACCCGAGATTGTAGTAATACGCAAGGAATGCCGCCCGCGCGCCGTTGCGGGTTTTCGGCAAAGAGGTGGAGCCGAGTCTGCAAAGGTAAAGGAGGCCAAGTAAGTTAGAGACGAATTCTTGCTTCCTCGTGTAAAATCAAGTTGATTGCTCAACAGACTCAACAGACTCAACACTGACCTGAGATGACCTGGCAGATTCCGTTGCCATTCGGATAAAAGCACGATGAGCTCCCCTCCAGTCTGAAGCTTATCTTCAATTGCCTGCTCGACGGTTTGAGACAGCCAAGTCTCCCTCCTCCACGTTCTCGCCGATCTCTCCTGTAATTCGTGAAGCATATTTGCCAGACTGAGTGAAGTCTGCCAGAACGATTGGTCCTCATCTTCCATAGTATCGTGGGACCGAGTCGAGGCAAGGGTACTGGATAGGTCGCGGTCCCACGCCATAGATGGTCGGCCTAGTTCAAAGGCAAGAATTTTCTCAAAGACGTACATAGACCACCATGTTCTGTATTTCCCATTCTTGGAGCTCAGTGATGTTGATGTTGAATGTGTGATTTGATTGATTCCGATCGATTGGGCCATGGATATGCCCATGGCGAGAATATCCCAGGCCCAGGCGATCTTGTCGCAGCTGCGCAGGACCATGGAGAAGAGGAGAATCGCTTGAACAGCCCCTAAACTGCGTACAGCAACTATGTGACCCAGAAGCGTATTGCAATATGCGACGTACGAAGAGACCAAACTGCTCGTACCGTCCGAGACGGGCATCGCCATCTGCCCGGCGGCAATGGTCAAGTACACAAGTGCGCATTGACTCGCATCCGAAGCATGTCTCGATCGGTCGAGCGCTTCATTGATAAATTCGCTTCCTATCGTGTCCGGGTCGAGGAAGGGGAACATCTGGCCCACGGTGTTTGAGTAGGCTTGAAAACAACTCTGGATCTCCTCCGGCGAAGGCAGTAGAGGGCGCTTGTCCGGGATTACGGCCGCAAAGCGATCGTTAATCACCGGCGACAAGGCATGTATTTTCGGCCCGTTGAGACGATAAAGTGCCATGTCTAGCCACTCGGTCATGATCTCAACAGTACTCGCGCCGACAAATCGAGGCATCAAGGGCAAGCGACCCGTTTGCCAGCCCTCCCGGCCCCAACATTGACTCCACAGGAGCGGCCGGTCATTGCTCTGACCACGGCCGGGAACAGTCCCTGCACTCGGAGCCGCAGCAGCAGCAGCAGCAGAACTAGAAGCAGGTAAAGAATTTGAGAAATGGGATTCTGGAGTCGAAGGCGTGTCTTGTGGACTGGGAGAGCCTGCACTCGCCGGCGTCGCTGCGACAATGGTGCGTCGTCGGCTGGAGACAACTGCACCCGCGCGTCGCTTGTCGGTAGTGATGCAGTCGACTCCAGCCTGACGACAATTGCGACAAGGTTGCTCCTCGTCACACCGGGTCTTTTTAGAGCGACAATAATTGCATGCAAATGACAGTCGAATTCTCTTGCGGGAGCTGTCACTCTGATGCGCCATCGATGCTGAGTCGGCTAGCACAGAGAGAACTGAGAGGGTTACTTGTTCGAGCGGAAAGATGGATTAAGCTCCCATACATGAAGCCCCTCTAGACGCTCCCGCTCTCCACATGCCGAGGAGCTTTACGGGCAACTCCACCCTAAAAATGAGGTGATTAGACTCGACGGCATGAGGTAGGGAAGTCTAAAACGCTGGTTATAACAAGTCAAGATTCTCCATTGTTGACAATACTACGAGTCAGTCGCGCGATTCTACTTGGATACAAGGGAGGAAAGACATAGTAGAGTTGGGTGAAAAACTTGTGTCTGATATTTGATGAGGATAAGTGCGTAGTCAGACATACACTGAAATATTAGAAATTAAGGGGAAAACTACAACCACATGAAGGCGACAAAGATGCTGACGGCCCACAAGCTCGAGAAGGAGAGGCAAGCTCCAGCGTTCGAGACGGGCACAGTGGCCGTGGGCTTTTGAGCATGAGCAGCGGTTGTCGTCCTCGTGCAGGAAGTGGTGGTAGAGAAGGAAGATGAAGATGTCGTCGTGCAAGTGCGGGTGCTATGGTGCTGCTCCCTACCAGAGGTACCAGGCACAAGCGCGACAGAGCTGTGAGAGCCAGAGTGGATGGTCGTGAAATCGACCAGAGGCACAGTGACGGTGTGCGACGACCAGGTCATGGTGGTGCTGGGGCACTTGTATGAGGTCGGCGCCGATGTGATGTGGCCCATGGGGGCGCTCGTCACAGGAGAGACTCCGTGAGCGAGAACCGAGGTAATGACAGTATAGGGCGCAGTGTGAGTGTGACCGGGCTCAGTCACACCGTGAGAAGAGTGGTGAGTGTAGTGAACGGACGAATCGGTGACCGAAGTAGGCATGTGACGATCTGCAGTCGAAGACGAGGTGGCATGAACAGGAGAGGACTCGGTCTGAACGGGAGCAGGTTCACTGAAAGAGTGATGAGGTTCCTCCTTCCAGGAGCCGGTAGGACACGGCTTAATGATGTCAATGATCTCCGGGTTAATAGGAACGTAAGGAGCACAGATACCGGCAAAGTAAGACAGGGCATCCTGGATCTGGTCCTTGCTCTGGCCCCAGGAGTGGATACAGGTGGTGACCTTTTCAGTGAACTCGGATGAGGGACAGAAGCAGGCAGCATCACTGTTGGAATCGCACTTGGGGATCGTCAGCCAGGTGTTCAGACACTTGGGAACAACGTCAGGGCACGGGGCCGGAACAAAGGAAGTGCTGGCGGGAGGAGGAACATCCGCAGTAGTCATCTGGGGAAGGTCCGTGGAGCTCGCTTGACGACTCTCAGAGGTCTTGGGGACCCAAGTAGTGAGCGTCGAAGAAGTCTTCATTGAAGTGTACGGGCAGATGGTGGTGGACACAGCCCAGGTGCTGGTGACAACTGCGCTAGAGTGAGCCGGGCAGTTGGTCACAGTGGGCGCGCAGGAAGTGACGGTGATCTGCTCAGTGGACCAGATGGTAGAAGTGCTCCAAGTCTCGACGGGGGTCATGTACGTGATCCAAGCACTGGTGCAGCTGGTAGTACTCTCGATGACATCGGCAGTGGTCGGGTCGACGCTGGTGGGCATAGCGGGCATAGCGGGCAGCGAGTGAGTAGACGCGGGCAAAGTGGCAGGCTCAGTGGCATCAGCGATGCTAGGAATAGTCCACGACGAGCCAGATACTGTAGTCCATGTGCAAGAGGTGGACGACTCGCTGACTTCCTCGGTCGTTGAAGCAGCGACTGGGGTAGTGTGGACATCGCGGCTGCTAGCGGGCATGGACGGTGTCTCGACAACCTTCACGGTGGATCTGATCTCTTCAGGCTGAGTGTATGCAGGCTCAGTGTGAGCAGGGTCCGTGAATGACGGCTGAGTATGCGCAGCCTCAGAGGGCGTAGGATCCATGTGCGTGAAAGACATGGAAGTCTCCACGGAGGATGGAGTTGGGCGAGTCCATGATTCGGTGCTAACCAGAGGCACCGGTTTAGAGGACCAGTGACTGGTGGCAGGCTCAGAAGTCCAATGACTGGTGGCAGGCTCAGAAGTCCACTGAGCAGACGACATCTCGGTGCTGACCGGCGCCTGGTGGCTGGACACGGGAGTCTCCTCTTGAGGCATCTCAGGAGGGCCTTTGGGACCAGACGAGCAGTCAAAGTCCATGCGGTGGATAGCCATATCGCACTCGCCGAACTTGCTGTCCTCGGGCAGAGTGAAGTCCACGGCCACGGCACCACCGCACTGCTCGTTGGTGACGTCCACGCCGTCAAGGGTAGACTGCACATATTGGCGACAGATGGAGCCACTTGGCATGTGATAGTTCATGATGACCAGAGTGTCTCGCGAAGTCGACATGCGAAGACTGCTCACGGAGAAAGGGGCGTCGGTGGCCTCGACTCGGATGTCGTAGTTGTCATCGCGCGACAACTTGGCTTGGATACACTTGCCCTGTATGGTATGTCAGCAACCATGGTTCCCGTCTGCGATATCATCATGGTCCGGCTGAGTGTCGACTTACACCAGAGTTGCCACAAACATCACTGGCATCAAAGCCGTTGAAGTTGAACCCCTCAAAGGTCCAGTTATCTCCATTGCCGAGCTCGGACCAGTCAAACCCAGCCTCTTGACTGGGAAGACAGGCATTATCGAGCTTTTCAGGGCTTGGATAGCATTGATCGGTTCCCCACCACTGCACACGCGACTTGGTCAGTGTTTGATCCATCTTTTGTGTGGGAATATCTTGTGTGACAATGGGAAATGCTTACCAAACCAGAGGGGTGGGCCATTGCCCCCGCGCCAAAGAAGGAAAGCCAGACGACTGACTTCATGGTTGACGAAGCCATCACGGACACAGTTGATTCAAATGAAAGCAGATTGCGAATTTCAACGATAGACAGCAATTGGATCCGCCTCCGGATAACACCAATTCAAAGAGCGAGCTGGAAAAGGACTGAGGTTAGCGAGAGTTTGTCGGCGTGTTTGGCGATGAGGAAACCACAAGAAGACTGCGCGATACTGACCATTCTTTATATCCTGTAGATTCAGCTGTGCGTTGAGCTTCTCAATGTTATTGACCTCCATGTGGACTTTGTTGATCAACAACAAGTCCGGCTAGAATGTTGTTCGTAGTCAAATCCGGACCGGCCCCTTGAGGCAGGAATTCGTATCCATGGAGACAGATGAGGCAAAGCTGGGAGCTTTTTTAAAAATGCTGCAAATTTTGAGTGCTACTCTTAGCTGTACGCTGCAGGTCCGTAATGCTCTCTGTGCATTCGAGAATGAAATACCCGACAAGAGGGGGGAAGGAACAGGTACCTCGACATTGGCGGTCACCACCCGCATTGTGCCAGGTACCCGCACTCGCATCGTGTCCACCTCATTCTAAGGGCTTTGCGAGGTCTCCCTTTACGATCAATGAACTTTCGCCAATGAAAGGAAGCCGAGCGCTTGTTCACGTCCAGTGATAGGCCGTCGCTTCTTTGCTCCAATGTGCCACGAGTATCGCCCAACTGCATTCCAATGACTTTCCACATTCCTTGCTCCTCGACGATCTCCTCGGGGCTTAAGAAGTCGCACGCTTTTGCATCCTATGATTGATCTAGCCTCTGTATATGGCTGCTTTCTCCCCCTACCAGACTGCTTTCGTCGGTATAGTCGGCCAATTCTACTGTCCTCACTGCTTGTACCAGCCTCCTCTATACTACTCGGGGACATTCAACGCCTGCCATAGATGCGATTGAACCAGTAAGGGGCGGGCGCTCCCTTGAATCTCCAGAAAGCGGGCCCGGCTACCAAACCCTTTTGAGAGAATCCCTTGGATCGACAACAGCGCCCTCGGAATGATCCAGCAGTCGAGCGAGGGAGGAAAGTTGTTCATCTTTCTCAATAAGGTATTTGTGGCTTATAACCTAGCTAGCGCCAGAGACCATAAGCGTTGCAAGAGACTTTGAACGATCGCTCGGCTGGTGAGTTCGCTCACCGGTCATAAATCTCACATTACAACAATGCGATCTATCAAGTAGCTTGTGGACAGTCGTGAACACTCTGGAATCGACACCACTATTTGGATGACCTTATTCTCTTCTTCTTTCTGGCTTCGGTCATCCAGCTTGTACATCTTCCAGGCAAAATATTCCAAATCTGTTCAGGGCTTCAATATAAGCTTGTTTGCCTGCAGTGGTCTACCCGCCGCATCATCTTGCAGCTTCTGCTGATGGTCTAGGCCTCTAGGAATCGTTGTGAATCACCCATCTCTCTTCTCCTCGTTATCTAGCGTGGTCGATGGTCCTATGTTTTCTTATTGAAGCATGCCTTGCTAGTCTGGATCCTGCATGTGGAGATGAGGACCTACATGTAGTCACCTGCTCAAGATTATCGTCCACGAGATATCTTAAACGGTTGATTTGACTTTGCCAAACTGCCGATATGCAGGTTTGGTGTTCTGGACCCCAGCCAACTTACATTGATTTAGTTAAGCTTTCGACGACCGAGCCACTAGTGTCCTCCTAATCAAGATGTAAGGAACAACGTCTCATTCTCATAAACGAGTTACTGTAGCTGTCCCATTTCCAGCTTCGCTTACCCGTCTAACTTTATCTGAATGAATACAATGTAGTTCCATGCACCTCAAGATCCGTCAAGCCAGTACGCCGGCTGCGGTACATCAGCATAGTGAGTTTAGGGAATATCGTAATCAATGAAATTACCACAACCGCACGTTGGGTCTCAAAAAACTTTTATGTAGTGTGTACAGCTAGAGTGAGCTTACTAGTATAACATTATGGTTGAATAGACGAATGTTTTTTACTTAATTGGATGGCATTTCAGGTACCTCCAGAGGAGGAAGCTGGTGGTCGAAAGCATGGATCTGCTTAACATATGTAGACATGTCTACCACGCTACCCGCCCGCTGCCCTATGTACTAGTGGCCAGCATGCCGAAACGTAGAGTACCTATTGGAATATTCCTTTGCAGGAATATGTATAATGCAATATCCAACTGTGAGCCTGAATAAATTTTATACTACAACCAAATGTCAATAGTTAAGCAACTACATTTGATTGGAGTGATTGTGCCCGAAGTACTCAAACTTGACCCTAACTTGAAGATCAACTTCCCGCGCAGTATAACTATGTTGTACACGAGATAACTATACGTAACTACATCCCCACCTCAACACATGACACAACCTACTTTTCGCAGCCATCACGTCAGTTTTCAACAGTACAAGCTGGATCCATGCCCATTATGATAACATCACGCTAGGGGTTGCTGGCGTCAATGACATACGCATTGATTCAAGGTTCAGTTATATCGCAGATGGGGCCCTGATGGGAGGCCAACGCGCCGGGCGACTTCAGGCTCTTCAGCAAATGAGCGGAATGAACCCTCTCAACCCGATAGTTAGACACCTCTCGGTTTGCAGCTGAATGTGATTGCGTCTTACAGGTAGTATCATTGAAATTCATGGAGCAAATGGACCAAAATATACAAGTGGTATCTATGTAGGTCGAAGGCAAGGTCTCATAAATATAGGAAGACAAATGAAGGATACCTAGGATGCAATCGAGGACATCCAAGTGCGCCGTCCCATCCACGTCCTGTATAAATCGTAATTCATCTCAGTTCTTGACATCGCAGAAGAAAAAATAGCGGGAAAGGAGAGAGGATTGTCATCATCATGATATTTCTGTCCAGAACCTTGTCAGAACCTAGAGAACGCTCAGTTCACGGCGACTACCACCGCGCAAACTCGTACTAGGAGCATCTCGCCCGCTCCATTCAGACGAGGACGAATCTCCTCTCGATCTCGAGCCAGCCATACTCTTCGTACCGCCGCCGTGTGCAGGTCCTCCAGCGTGCAAAAAGTCGCCATTGTCGAGGGTGGGTGTTCCACCAACCATGACTGGGCGGACTTTGGCACCAACGAAGCCACGCCGATCGCGGCCGGTACGGCCTCGACCAAGCCAATTGTGCTTCAGAGCTTTGCCGAGAACCTCTATGTACTCTTGGGGCTGGTCATCGGTTTGAACACTGGCTAGCACGCTGATGCATTGGAGCATGCGGCCGACTGTTTCGGTGATGACATGAGACGAGTCTGTCGAGCTTCCATGGTGGATGATCGTGGGCCGTTGATTTGATGTTTGGGCAGTCAGGGAGGAGAAGATAAGGGGATCAGGATTGGAAGACGTGTTGGATGCGGCTCGACTGCGCTCATCGTTGCTCAGTGGGCGCACCAGCGCGCTCATCGAGTCTGACGAGTAACTCTCGGCAGCACCGGTGCTGAGGTGAGTCGAAGATTGCGAGTTGTAGCTGCCCATTGCTGCATCAAGGGATGCGGCGGTACCGGGACGTCCACCGGCGGCAGCACTGCTCTTGGTCGTAACACTCAGGGTCGAGAAGCCTGAGTTGATACTATCCAACGACAGTCGCGAAAAGGTGGTTTTCAAAGTTTCGTAACGGTTCAAGATGATGCGATCGCGAAACGCAATCAGGACTATGTTCCGTACGTCGAGTGCCTGACCGGCAGGAAGCGCGCCCCAAAATTCACGAGCCTCGCGAGGGGTCATAAGACTTCCCAGCCCCTTAAATTCCAGATCTAAGGGGAGGAACACGGCCTGGACAAACGGTAGGATTGTACCGAAAACAAGCATCCATGCTTGCACAAGATGAGGCACCAGCTTTTCGTCGGGAATTCCTATCAAAGAGCTGTGATTTAGCGTTGCAAATCCCGTCTCTAGTAGCTCTTGAAGATCTGCGATTATCGAGGTCGGCGCCCGCTTATGAACGCAGCATTGCAGGTGGACCAGCACCAGCTTGTTCAGATCCTCGATGGCAATACGCACATCTTCCCCGTCAAAGATGACCAGTAATTTAGCCTTGAGAAGATCCCACGCATCTTCCGGTGACATGTTATTCAGTCCGAACCCTTGCAAGGCCTCCCGTATCAAGGCGTCGCCCAGAACACCCGACGGGCTGGTTAATGAGGATGGCCCTGGGATTCCTCCAGGTGTTGTGGCTCCGCTTACTGAGGTGGCAAGCCATTCCAGTGGATCAGACTCTGCAAGAGCTTTCTCTTCCTTCTTTTTCTCCCGAAGTGCCCGTCCACCATGCAGCAGATCCAGCCCACTGACCGACTTTCCAAAGGTGGCACCTGGCGCCGGAGAAGCCGGACTCGTGAAGGAGTACAGAGATTGAGGTGCGTTGGGATCAGCTGGTCGGGAGTTGCTGGATGCCGAAGACAGCGGCAGATTGTAGTGATCATCCCGGTCTTTCAGTTTGAGCTTTTGCCGAGATAGGAAATGATGTTTGTGCTTGTCCTTCTCCTTGTCCTTGTCCTTTTCTGGAGGCGCGGGGGGCCGATCAGCCGGTACCACGGTGCTGACAGAGGCGTTGGACAAGTTGTACATGGACGAGTTGTTTGAGGGAAGGTCGACCAGACTAGTCGTTGAAGCGCTGACCATACGCGATAAGCTAGGCAGCTTACTCGGTGAAGGCAACCCGCGGTCCCGATGGTCCTTGTCGCGACTGATCCCAATATGTTTCGGTTTGGAGAAGAGTTTCTTGATCTTTTGCTTCTCGGGGACATGAGTTTCAGAAGTCGACTGACCACCGGCTGTGCGGGGGAAGACGATGCTTGCAGCTGTTGTAGCCACATTGGGTGCGTTCGTTGGAGGGGGTAGAGAGGGAGAAGGCTGATTGACTCGTAGAGGAAGGGGCATCAGAGGAGGAGAAATGCTCTCGCTACGCTTCGTCTCATCGATCTGATGAGGTGTGCTATGTGTTCTTTTCATCTGTTGCATAGCAGCCTGGGCCGCAATCCGCGAGGCCGAGCTCGTCGATGCCTGCTCCGATGAGGCGGCGGTGGGCAATGAAGGCTCAAAGAAGCCTTGTGAATGCTGTCTGGACCGATGACGGGGCAACTCGATGGAAGGACCACGGCCAAGCGGCCTGCGACTAGACGAAGAGTCCGAAGGCATTGCGCGGGCTGCGTATTGAGGCGAAGTGTTGGTTGAGGTGGAGCGCTTCTGAGGGGAGAAATAGCTTGAGCCGTGGGGATGCGTGGTGACTGGAGTGATAGGCGCAGCTGACAGAGTGGTCACATTTGAAGAGGCATCACTTCCGGAGGAGACTGGTCGACCAATATCTTCTTCGTCAGAATCCTCGTCCTCGTCGTCGTCCTCGTCTTCGTCGTCCGAGGGTGGTCGTGGCCGATGTTGAGTATGAATCTGCGAAGGGTTCCGGTAGCCGGTGGCCGGGGCACCTGTGGCAGCACGCCCAGGCGAGTTTGTCAAACGAACGGTAGGCTTCATGGCAAGTGTCATCCATGGCCCCTAATGGGTTTGCTTGCCGGAAATGGCGGACTGCTGGGGGGGGGGGGGGGGCCTGTGATTTGGGTGCGTCCCGGCCCAGGTTGAATTGGGTACGGCCAGTCGTGAATGCCCTGCCCCAGAAAGCTTTCTCGATCGGGTATAGTCCGCGGCTCCGCCGATCGCAGTCTTTCTTTGCTCAAAAGTCCCCCTGCAGTATTCCTTTGACCCCACCATTCCATTCTGTCTCTCTCGTCACCCTCCCATCCTTGATCTTCGTTCTTGCATAATACCTTCGCCCAGCAATCGGACATTACCTAGGCTTGCTTGACTACGCCACATCATACACATAATGGCCAACAACGATCTTACTCTCAAGGCTGTCTACGCTGCGCCCGACTCAAGCAAGACTCTCTCCCACGCTATCGCTGTCGATACCAGCAAAGATTCTTTCGCTGCAAAGCAATCACATCTGACTATACTGCAAGCTCTCGTTCCACAGCTACAGGAGGAGATCAATGTCTTTCTAACCGAGCGCATGGAAGAAGATAAAAAGGCACAGGGTGCTGTCTCGGAGAAGGAAGCCCGGGAGGAGGAAAACTACGGCGAGGAAGTCGTGGAGGAGGATGCTTGATTCACGGCTTTCCAATTGCAATTGATATACTACAGTACACTGGGTATCAAACAAAAAAAAATCAAAACATACAGCGAAACCAACAAGGAGTCGTGGGGAGGACATCGACCCCACGCTGAAGCAGGTGCAACGACGAAATCTCCCAGACGAATGCAGGTGAGAAAGCACGGAGATGAAAGGAAATGGATATGATGCTATCCGGCTCGAATGCCACTGGCCATGCGATTGGCACAACCAAGGTGGATGACGGTGTTGCTGCGACGAGTTAGCATGGGGACGGCAGACCCTCGTGGAGGCTAGTGGAAGTACATACTCGGGAAACACGTTGATCACACTTCCACCGAGTCGCTTGTGGCAAACGCCACAGATCCGCTCCTCGGTGATATTCACGTGGCGAGCTCGAGTTCCCCCGCCCCGAACACCTTCACCCAAAGCCAGCTGGGCCTGCAGCTGCAGATCGCGTGTCTTTCGCAGGCTGGCCACGATCCTGGCCTCGTTGAACACGGTGTTGGCGGCTCGCATCCGACCTTTGAAGTAAAATTCGAGATCGCGAACTGGGAGTGTCGAGGGGATCAGCTTCAGTGCTGCCTCTGCCGGAAGTCGAGACCCGTGTTTGGCAAGGATTGCGAGTGCTGGGCCATTCTGAGCCGGGTATCCATGCGGCGGCATGAGGTACAGGGACAGCAGAGTCAAGTAGATTGATGCCTCTTCCTCTTCTTCAGGCTTGGCTTGACCTCTGGAGACATGGACTTGGTTACAGTATCTGTGGATGATGAGCAACGAATTACACCAGACGAGAGTGTCTAACTTACTCTTCTGCTTTCTCATGGTCCTCCAATTTAAAAACGTAGATCTCCAGGACCTGTCGATGCTGACCCATCTTACTAAAGATGATGGCCCTTGCCTCGTGAAAATCGGGATCTAGGAATTTGTTAAAAACTTGTAAATCGCGATCGACATAGGCTTCTTCTGCAAAAGCATACTTACCTTCTCGGTTCAGACGATCCAGAATCTTGGCAGGCGAATACTGTTCACTCTCTTTAAGCATGTTGAGGAACTTCTCCTTGCACGCCGTCTCGTTCTTATCAGCATTGATATGATCAAGATACAGCATCAACAGTCTCTGGTGCAAATCAGGGGAGAGATCATTCCACTCATGGATAACATGTTCAAGGTAGCGAACAGCGACCTTGACATCGATGTTCTCCAGAAACTTAAGCACCCGAGATCGAGGCAAGTTCTCTGCATTCTCAGTCTCAGCAAAGAAAATCTCCATGCCTAGATCATCATTCTCACGAATCGGCCATTCAGCAAATTCGAGGATCAGATCAATCTGATCAGGAGGCAGGTTTTGCAAATAACCAATCGTTCGTGTAGGGCCAGCGAGGAGGCCCGATTCTTCTTGTCCAAATCGATGTAAAAGCTCTAAAGCTTGCCGGTGCAGTTTTTTGCCATGTAAGAAATCAATAAGATCGTTGTATCTGCCTGTCTCTTCAAGTCGTTCCATGACAACATCTGGGTCGCAGAAATTGGCGATGCGAAAGAGCGAGCCAGCCAGGGTCGGCGTGGCGTACATGTGTGCTCGGAACAAAGTCGTGTCTACTAAGCGTGCTTTGGCGCGCAGAGTGTCTAAGAAGTCTTCTTCGGATGGGAAATCGAGAAGCTTCAGGACGGAAGCACTTGCTTCGTCGTCGGCTTCGCTCGGAACGGGTGCTTTGAGAGAGCCGTCGGGGCCAAGGAACCGCTGGAAGCGTCGGCGCACATCTGCCAGGTAGCCCTGGAGCTCACGCACTGAACCTCTGAGATCTAGGGGATCGTGTGAGCAATCGTCAAAACGTGAATCTGAGTAAAGTATGGAGACATTGCGGGCACGGGTCTGTTTTACCTTTGTCTTTGCTCTTTTCTTCTCGAATGCTGCTCGTGTCACTTCCCTCGTCAGGCCGTCGCAACAATGATCGGACCGAGGGTGCACGAAGAGACGAGATTGCAGTAGCTGGTTCTGGAGCCGGCTCAGGAGTCGTCTCCGACGACCTGTCACTGTGATCCCCATTTGCTTGACCATTTTCATTTCCACTGCCGTTACCGTTGGTCTTGGCATCTTCCCCATTCTGCTCTGGCTCGGCAGACAGCTCCCCCGCAATCAGTCGAGGGTACAACCGAATAACGGTTTCTGGTGGCGCAGCAACCTCAGTAAACAGATCCAAAGAGTCCCGGTATTTCTTGACGGCGAATAGGCTTTGGGCCTTCTCGAGCTGGGCTTTACGCAGTCGACCTGGCTTGTCCTGAATCAGAGCGTCCTCCAACATGCCCAACAAGCTGATCGCTTCATCCAGATACCCCTTATCCACCAAAGCATCAATCTGCGTGTCGTAGCTCAGAGCTTCCATGCGCCATACGGTTCGATCACTCGCAACCAGGAACCCCTTTCCAGCATGCGCAAGACTGATATTCGGCTGCGGGATATGCAGGAAACTCGCTGACGGTAGTGGTATGGACTGCAATAGAGAAAGGGTTTCTGGGTTGCGAACTTCAAGAATACCCTTGGCTGTATCGTGGAGGGCCAGCAAGAACGGGTATGAATACCCAATTTCCACCGGCGCATGGCTCCATGGAATCTGGCGTCGTCCCAGCGACTGACCGTCGACATCGATGAAATGCGTATTGATATCCTTTGCCAGCAAGACCTGTCCTTCGCGTAGCCTTGTAGCCAGTGGTCGCGGTGCCGCACCACCAATTCCAATATAGCTCATGCTCGCAGCACCAACGCCCGTAAAGCGCCCAGTCTCTTCCATGCTCCCCGGGGCCCCCTGCAACTCATTCATCTGGCCCGATTCAGTATCCGCCATCACATACCCCGAGCTCAAACCAACCACGATCCGTGTCGCAGAAACCCATGTCAAAGTCTTGATCGCACTGGCAAAGCTCAACTCCAGATGGCTAGCCTCGAGCTCCATATCCCGCCACGTCCACATCATGATCTTCCTCTTCACCGCCACCGCAACCCGCGACACAATCGCAGGAACATTCGTATCAGGATCATTTACCACATTCGACGTGATAGCAAATGTCGAAGCACCCTTCGTTGCCCCTAATTGTTCCTGGGCCTCATAGCTCTGCGAATCATGTAAACTGACATATCCGCCCGACAACGACACCAGAACCTTCGCCTCTTTCACCAGCGCAAGCTGCTCGATCTTATATCGAGCAAATTTCTCCTGCTCCCGCAGCAATTCCGTCTTGCCGTCATCGGTTACCCGGTAAATTCGCAGAGTCCCATTGTTGAGTCCCGTCAGAAGGCGGTCGCCATATGCGAGAACGGACTCGATCCTCGATTTGTCGCGCGGTTTGAGCTCGACCAGCGGCCGCGCGGTGAATGCGGATAACATCGCGCGAGCCGGTAGAAGAGGTGGTTCTTGTCTTCAATTCATGTCCCACAGACTTCAGAGGGGTGGGGAATGGTTGTGGGCGTAATATTGGTGAGAAGGAGTAGCAGAAGGCTGTCAATGTCCTGTCTCCCGCTCCGCATGCCCCGTGCCCGGACCATAAGCTCGTGACGTCTTGTGTTGGGTGTGCTGATGCCTGAGGCGGTCGCTTGTTGGGCCTTGACATGGGGGGATTCCTGTACCCGACAAGTATGCAATTGAGGTATTGGATACTAAGCCACCATTAGTGCACCACAGTCTCTGTATGACAAACAAAATTAAGAGAAGCGTTGGCATATCTGAGCTCTGTGTCTAAAATTGTTTTGAGGAGCCTCAAAAAAGAAGAGTATAGGAGACCAAGTTCGTACTGCGTAACTACATCACGACGTTTTCCATCAGATCAGGCATTTGGTTTAAATTGATCGCTCATGTCAACCAAGATTTTCTAAGCTCAATGCAGCTGAAGGTACTTGAGAAGTGACTGAATCTAACCTGGCCACGACGTCTACGCCCTGCGACACAAGTCAAGTACACGGACATGAAGCAGAGTAGTCTCACCTCGGAATCACGTGATCAATATCTATGAACGTCTGGCAAACACGATCGAAGCCGAAGTGAAGTGAACGCGCATGATATTTGGTATCTGAGAAATGCACGCGAAGATAGAAAATCAGGGTACTCCATATGCATTCCGGGCCCCCAAAACCTGAACCGGACGCCATCCGACGCCATGAAAGCATCCCCCATGCTAAGGGATGAACCTTGAACTAACTAATTTGATCCCGGTGTCCTGCTGCAACAGGAAAGGGAAACAACAAAGAGAAAAAGAACGTCGAAAACAAGAAAAGAATTCCCCTGCACGGCACAACGGACTCTTCTTATCGCTCTCCATGAGGGGCGAAGGCCTCCCTTAGTGGGTACCGGCGGTGGAGGCAGGCTCCGAACCCTCGGCGGGGAAGTCCTGGTGCTTGGCAGAGCTACCCTTTCCACGCCAGGTCGAGACGGCCGGAATATTCGCCTTGAAGCGAAGCTCCTCCGTACCGTAGGCCCGAGGGGTGAGCTTGATCAAGGTGTGGAGGGGCACCTCCATCCAGGGCGATTGCTCCTGGGGCACGTTCATGAAGTAGGCGTAGATGCAGCGCAAGACAGCCTGGTGCGTCACAATGATGACGTTCTCGCTGCGCTCCAACTCCATGATGATGGGCTCCAGGCGAATCACCACATCTCGGTAGGACTCACCACCGCGGTAGCGGTAGTTGTACTTGTCTTCGTCGCGGGCCGCAAAATCCTCCGGGTACTTTTCGGCGATCTCCTCGTAGGTCAGACCGTCGCAGACGCCCGAATCCAGCTCGTCCAGTGCCTTCCACTCCAACTTCTCGTATCCGGTCTCGGCCTTCAGGTGACGAGCAGTCTGGATGGTACGCTTGAGGGTGGACGTCCAGATGACAATCTTGGTGTTTTCGGGCACACCAGATTGACGCAGCAGCTCGGGTAGCTTTCGGGCATAAGCCTCACCGCGCTCCGAGATGTTGGCGTCTCCACCAATCTTGCCGCTCAGGTTAAACTCCGACTCGCCGTGCTGGAAGATGTGTAAGAAAGATGGTTAGCTTGGGTCCAATTCTGGCCATTTATATTCACCGTTTGAAAATCGAAACCAATGGAGAGCAATCGAATGGAAAGGCATGGAACAGAAAAACATCGGACAGAAAAACATCGGACAGAAAAACATCGGACAGAAAGACGTCGAGCAGAAAGACGTCGAACAGAAAGACGTCGAACAGAAAGACGTCGAACAGAAAGACGTCGAACAGAAAGACTCGAACAGAAAGGTGTAGAACAGAAGACTCGAAGAGAAAGACGTCGAACAGAAAGACGTCGAAGAGAAAGACGTCGAACAGAAAGACGTCGAACAGAAAGACATCCAGCGAAATGGGATCAAACGGAATGGCATCGCATCGAACAACATCACATCGAAGGAAAGGAATCAAAGGAGAGACATCGGACGATTGTAAGAAACAGGCATCGAACCCCACGGAAGGACATCAAACAGAATGGCAGCGAAAAACAAGACCACATTGAACAACTGCACGGCGTCTGACTCAAAAACATGGGGAATAGAAACATGTGCGGCATTTGGCGTCGGACAGGGGAGCTAATGATCAAGAGGGGTGGGGATAGCGAGACATGTGGGTGGGGGGCAATCGGCGTCGAAAGAGAACGATAAGGAGTATACTCGGCGTCGAGAAGAGAAGCGCAGGGAATGAGGTAATAGACACGGGGTAAGAGGCATGGAAATAAAGGACATGCCCACAACAAGCCATTGAGTGACAGAACGGCATAGACGATTCAAAGACATGCAAATGACCAAGTACGAGAACAAAAAAGTATTGGACTTACACGAGAGAGCCAGATGGAACGGGGCTTGATGTGAAGATTCTGGATGTAATACACCAAGCGGCTCGACAGGTAATCCTTGATCTGGTTGATGATGACGGTGGAGCCGACGTTGATGAGCTTGACGTAAGTGAAGCTCTTCTCATCATCATCAATAGTCTGGTAGACGAGTTCGTAGTTGCGAATGCGGTTGCGGAAATCCAAAGCCGCGAGTTCAGGATCCTGACCTTTGTAGTCAGGGGAGGTGGTCTTCACTTCAAGGATGTTGTTCATGATCAGGTCTTCGTCGTCACAGATGGACTCCACGAAGAGGGTCTCAATGTCGGCCTTGTGGCAGGTTTCATAGATCCACTTGCGACGTTCTTTGGTAGAATTGGTGGCATCCAAGACAGCAACCACGCCCTTTCCGTCCTGGAACCACTGGAGCATGTCGGTCATGGCGGCCTCGGCGGCGGCTCGGCGCATGCGTTCACCTTCTTCGTTATGAGGATCAAAGAAGGTGGCCGCCGGCTGGGGGGTGGCATGGCGGCGGTAGCTGCCCACATTGAAGACCTTGGCAGGAATGCCCACCCAGGCCAGGTATCGCATCGCTAAGGGCCGGAGATTAGTATTCAAAGAAGATCACACATATCCACAGTCTGGCGGTGATGGCGGCGAAGGCCGCTCATCACCTCCTGCGAATCTGGGGGATCACATACCTTTACCGGCGATCAGACTCTTGCCACGAGCGGGCAGACCGACCATGACTACACAGATCTTGTAGTCCTCAGACTGAAAGCCAAGGTAAGCGGGAGACATGATGAAGTGCGTTATTGCAAGCGCAAGGATGGGTCGAGAAGAGGGTAGAGAGACGTGAAAGGGAGGGTTGGATGAGAGTAGCGGAGAAGGAAGGGAAGAAGGTGAGTTCGCGGTTTTTTCGCAGGTCGTGGGGCAAGATCAATCACAAGATATGGCAATGGCAGGCAGCGTCACAACAACAGCCGGGTCCGCTTTCCTCGACGAAGTTCCTTCATTTTTTAAAGAGTGAAGCAAATGTTCCAGCGATGCCTGATGGGCGGCCCAGTCGCTTCACAATGCGTGTTATACAGAGCGCAAAGATCCATGAATGTCGGCCGTAGTGTCTGTGCCGCACCACCACGGAACGTTCTCATTCCATATAGAAAGCGGCGGACACATTCAGCGAGCTGTTCTCGATGATCATGACGAATGATTCTCGACTTGCGACAACATGATAGACAGGGGCGAGATGCCTTGTCCCCAAGTGCATACTGCATCCTGCATAGCACACTCATTTGAGTACAGTACATCGATCACTGGTTCCGCAAACACCTGCCGTACATCGGAGCAGTACCTGACTCTGGCCCTGACCCCATTGAAGTAATTGGAAATATGGAAGCCATGGGATGCTATGGGGAATGGCAATTGCTTGCCCAGATGATGGCCTGCTCTTGCCGCTCGAAACCCTAAGGTCTCCTCGGACAGTACAGCATGGAGTACTGTTGTCGGGTAGAAAGCGGAACCGAGGCAACAAACTGGAAGAGGGGCACGCGGCCATAGATCTGATCCCCCGCCTTTGACCCTGGCCGGTCGATCGGGGCCCAGCCGGTGGGAGGTAAACATAATCGGGCAGATATTCAAAAGCACCACAGTGTAGGGGTTTCAAATCAAGAGGCAATTCAATTGCATGAAACGAGATGGAAAAGATAAAATCGAAATCAATCAAAACTGGTACTTACGCTGGCCATGAACACCTTGTGTTGCTGCTGGCTGCGAATTGCGCTTTTGGACGACATGGCGACGGTGGGAGCAAACGGGATCGGGAAGATTAGGAGGACAGAGTCAGCTTCCGACGTACAAGCCGGAGGGAGAAAAAGAGGTATGGAAGATCAATTGCGCATGAAACGGGATGCAGGATCGGCCACCGGCGAGATGATGGTGGTATAGTCGGCGGAGGAAACGTAGGGGGGGGGGATGCAAATATGCAGTCACGAAGATGGGGGAAAAAATGATCTGAAAATAAAACGAAAAAGAAATATAACCCAACAGGACCGGCGAAGAGGAGGGGAAATGGCTCAATTCAATGCAGAAATTCAAATGAGGATGCCGGGTTTAAGGAGGGGAGCGATGATAATGCGGTGAGCCTTGGTCTCCGGTCTCCACCAAAACTTCACGTCATTCCGAACCTGCGCCTAAAGCCGGACTGCCCGATGCTTGGGATCGGCCTGAAGAAAGATCGTCCTCGGCGCATGACCGGAGGATTAGTCATGGTCAATCAAACGCTCCAGGAGGCTGCATCTCTGATCATGACATGTAATTTGGTGTGCTTTGTTTCTTGTGCTTCTTCCTTATGGGATCTATATTCATAATTGCCACTTCTCATGGGGTGCTGCTTTTTCCATGTGTTGTGTTCCGTCATTCAAGGTATGCTGCAGTTCCACTGGAGGCTGTTCTACAGGGACTCCTCCGGCCCGGTCGATGAGGATTCGCCCTCGGGCTTGGTGTTGGTGGTGCCCCGGGCTCGCTGCACCCGCAGAGGTCCTCCCCAAGGGCCTTGCTGCCCGTTGAGTGTGTCCATGGCCCGCTGTGCCTCCTCGACACTGCTCAGGTCAACAAACAGATAGTAGTGGTCACCAGGCTCGAATCGCTTGGCGGGATGAGGGGAGAAGACCTTGCTGACGGTCTCACTAGAGAGATGGCGCAAAGTTAGTGATGAACGGGAGACAATCGGAACACTCATCAGCCTCGAGTCGCAGGAGAGACAAGCCACATACACGTTGTATCCTTGGAAGAAAGCCTTCATGTGGCTCTGCACACTTTCAGGCTCTGTCAGACGGGGCAGACCTCCCACATATACTCGCTGGCTCGCATCGCTGCTGTTGACCCGGGCGGTGTTGGTGTGGTGGGTGGAAGGGCTGCTCTCGGGGGAACGCCAGCGGCTCATGGCAAATGGTGTGCGCACTGGCTGCTCAGGAGCCCGCTCAGACTGAGACTTGGCCACCCCGGGTTTGATTCGGACCGGACGGCCCTGCATCTCTTTACCATCGAGCTCAATCATGGCTCGCTCGGCGTCCTCCTTGGTCTTCAGGTCGACAAAGCAGTAGGAGGGGTTTCGGCCGGTGAAAGGGTCGACGGCAATGTCCACACGCTCGCTATCAATATCAAGTCTCAGTCGCCGTCACTCATGGAATGTGCTTCAAGTGGTCACCCGGAGCGTGGGTGGCGCACACAGAGTGTGTGGCCATTGTGGACGATGTGGCCTACATAGCAAATCCTGCCGCGCTGAACAGCGCTTCAACATCCTCCGACTTGGCCGTGTAGGGCATGTTGCCGACATACAATCGGCGGCCCTCAGAGATGGCCGGGGGGGTGGTGCGATATGTGTTGGTGCGGGTGGAAGAGGAGGGAGAAGCTCTGGGACTGCCGGCCTCGCTCTTCATGCGCCAGTTGGGGGAGTTGAAAGCGCGACCATTGGTACGAACGTTCTGAAAGGGAGACTGGGGAGCCTCTAGACAATGCCATTGTCAGTCCCTGACTTACTTAGCTGCCATCGTCGGGTACCTATTGGGCCAGACTTACTCTGCTCCTCGGACATGGTGATCTCGATGTCGGCCATGGCGTGTTTATAGCAAGATCTTTGACACAGACAAATTAGAACCAAAAATATCACGTTTCAGCGTTCCATCCGAGATTTCTCTCGTGAATAAACCATCAATCAACTTACCAGCCTGTTATTCAAAGAAAATCCCAATTCACATGTCTAACATGTTGAGCGACTTTTTTTGACTTTTTTTTTGTTTGCAAATGCAAACAGTGCAAAGATGGGGTGATGGGGGTCCACCGGAAGCTCTTCCCGCATTTCTCGAAACAAAACGCGCGGCACAAGATCTATAATAACAACCATTGTCATGCGCTTCTGTCGAGCATCGAGGTCGAGGATAGTAGTCAGACATGCCTGCGTGGTGACCTTGTCCAAGTCGCTAGACTGATTTGCTCCGACCATGGCATATACCCGGGTGGCTTCGTCGGTCATTGGTCTGCAGTCATAGAGATGTGCTCACTACGACCTCATTCGTAACGAGTCGAGAGCCAAAAGCGTCATTCTCGCCGTTTCTTCTCAATATCTCCCCGCCAACATCATCGTGGGCATCTCATAGATCGTGTACTTCCACTTTCAGCACCTCATTAGCCATGCGACTATTTCTGGTCCGCCACGCAGAATGTGGGCACAATGTGGGCTATGCGACGTATGTGTACGGAGTGGACAGTAATGAGTCGTCTTCTCGTCGGCAGGAACCTCCGCGATAGAAAGAAAGTGTCTGACTGATATTGAGTTCTGCCAGGGTCAAGCCGGGCAATTTGACCGAATTGGGCAGAGAACAAGCTCTTCGGCTAGCACAATATTTTCGCGATCAATCAGTGCGCTTTACTCGCGTCTTCTCGTCAGACCTCGAACGTGCAACCGAGACTGCTCGCGCGATCTGTCGGTATCAATTGGGCAGTGGACCTGCGCTGGAACCGTTCCGGACAGCAAAGCTGCGAGAGCAATGCTCCGGGTGTGGTCCAGTCTTTGGCGAGACAATCCATGTTGAATCGACCTCGTCGATGCGCGCTCGCGCGAATGGCTTCATACGAGACCACATCTTGCCGGAGATGGCCAGTTATAGCAAGGGTCGTGATGTCAACTTTGCCATTGTCGGCCACCGCGTTATTCTGCCGGTGCTCTGGGCGTGTTTGACTGAGATGTTTGAATCGCAGTCCTTCCATCTCTCCCGCAGCGCCGCGTCTCGTGGCAATCATTACACGCATCCGTCGTGGTCGAATACCGGCGTCATGGAAGTAGATATTCGTCCCGGTGATCCTCCCCAAGACATGCTAGTTGAAAACACGATTTATCCGAATGTTGAGCCACCGTGGCTGAGGAGACCAGGGCGGCGACAATCATGCGGAGGTAGTGATGTGTGGATGGGCTGGTCGGTAACTGTTCTGACAGTGGATGATACAACTCATCTAAATCGACGGCTGCTGGGCACCACCGTCCCTCCTGTCCTGTTTGAGACTAAATCAACCAAAAAGCGGCGAATCGATGCTGTCGGTTGAGTGGCTGTGTATATACTGGCAGGTTAATTACTCACCTTTATGTGCTCCTACTGACAAAACTTAGGTTTCGCTAAGCAAGCAAGTCACATGAAGACCACTCGAGTCAGCTATGATCAAAAAAATTCGGCTCCGTCGAGGACTCGGTAGAGTCGGTACACTTGATGCTCGTCCGTTCTCTCTTTAAGTGGGAGTCGAAGAGCTCATATACACACATTTCGTATGTTTTTGCGGTCGATAATGGTAGTCACTTGTGCAGAGTGACCTTTTAGTCTTGTCATGGGATGACTGTATCATTCGAAACAACTATGTGACATGCGCCTCTATCTACACGTGTCCCGCCTACTCCTGACCTACACAGTCCATGTCGGCCTTGGAAAGCACAAGCCACACGTGGCGAAGATAATATATCCAGTCTGTTCCAATAAGAGTTGCGAAAGTCTCGGGCGACATCATTCTTATCATAATAATCATATCATTGACAGATGCTCGAACCATTCGAACGAGCAATAAATATAATTGTACTCCACCGAGCTCAACACAGACTGATCCTCAATGTTGGTATAGTCCACCTGGAGAGATCGCCGCCGAAGCTGGAGACAAGGATATAAGAAACATCTGCTTCATTTTATTTTTGATCTTTCGAGGGCTTGCAAAGGATACCAGAGTCCACCCCCAGCCCTGTCATCAATAAGTTGTTTGGAACTTCGCGCAGCGAAATGGATCTACTCACAAGACCGATTGGTAGTTCTTTCCCTAAGGCAGAGACCGCTCGACCGAGTGCCGCTCCAGCGTATTCTTTATTTCCCTCGAAAACCGCATTTATTGCGACACCACTCTGCAGTACGCTTTTCTCATTCTCTTCGCTTGCCTCAATCATTGACTTGATCTGCCGTCGCAGAATCTCAGCGACTGGTGATTGACACCATCACGTGGTGCGATGGATATAACTTGCGGGCCAGGTGGCGGTGCCCAGATCAGCCACTGCCGTGCTGTTCCAAAGCATGTTATTTGCCCAGATCTACAGATGCACGAATTACCGTGTTGAGGAATTTGACTCAATATTCATTCATATGATCCGTATTTTCTCAATTTGCATGCATCCGGTCCATGTGAGTGCTTTTGCTTTAGAACATAGGACCCCGCAGGCATCCTAGGAAACAAAGCTGAGCAGAATACCTACTGGTCGACCGCAGGGAATGCTTCAGGGACTTCAACGTATCGGACCTTTCCTTTGGGATTGACCGGTATATCGTTCTCCAGAGTTTCCGGTCTTATGTCTTTGAGCATCTGTAAGTTGGTGGTGCCATTTGTGTTCAGCGACGAGAAAGGAGATGCTGCTATTGAAAATTCGCAGGAACGGAACGAGTCTGAACAGCTCTTGTCACGGGTTAGAGAACACCTCAATATCGACCAGGAGGACGGGACTGAGCCGGACAGCCTTGAGACGGCGGTGGAGGGCAACCGCCAGTTTCGAGTGGAAATGGTTAGGCAGGCAGAGGCGGACCAACAGGAGATCTGTTGGCGTCATTGGCCGTATCAGGATAGGTATAGAGAATAATAGCGTGTCTCCTCAGATATGATATAGGGTGGTGCATCATCAGCTTCAATGCATTCTAGTTGTTATTCAAATATGCGAAGGGGTCCTAGAAATTTGCCTAATGGCTGAGGATTGTACCAAGGTCATATCTTTGTTTTGGGTCAGGCAGAGAGTGGTGCTGTAAATAGCTTCAACTCCCCACGCCCTATGGTCGTATGTGACTGATGCAGCTGTTACTAAATTTATGGTCTTGTAAAAGCTCCGAAATAAAGTTGCAAGATTGAGCATGCTGCCGAACACTCCGATGGTCAAGCTTGATCGTGATTCGTGAGCCCTACGGCGCCCTGACCATCATCGATCGGTCGATCGGTCACGTGATGAATCAGTCCAGCACCAATATATACGATAGTAAGACAGAGTCATTTCGATAACATAAGTACGGGCTTGAGCATGATATTTGATGGCTCCAAACAATATGGTTTGGTATAGGGAATAAATCAAAATGTTAGGCGGAATCGGATTGCTATCCCGAGAGCCTGGTCTTGCCGAGACTAGTAGAATGACCTCATGCGCATATGCCACTTGCATCACAACTTCGTCGAGAGCAAGAACAGGCGAAGTACGCCAGAGTCACGCGATTTCAGAATAGATCAATAAATCTGCCAGCTTCGCAGTCTCAACATATGCTAACTCTGCTTCACGCCCCTCTACGCTAGCAAGAGATTTTCACCAACGAAACACCAATCATGCCGAAAGGATCCTGTCTTTGCCATCAACTCCAATACGAGTACCAAGGCGATCCCCTTATGAAGGCAAGTCATACTTTAGTTGTGATGGACAGAGTTCTCGCAAGCTCATTTATCTTGTCAGGGCCCATGCTATTGCTTGTCTTGTCGCAAGATTAGCGGTAGCACCAACACCTTCAACTTACTGCTTCCACATGACAAGCTCACCATTACGAGTGGTACCCCAAAACAATATACTGAGACGCATGAAAGTGGGGAGAATTTGACAGTCTTCTTCTGTGGGGACTGTGGATCAGCTGTCTACAAGACGCATGGGCTTTTCCCGGAGAAAGTTGTCTTGCTCGCGGGTACGCTCGACGATGCGGATGGCTTGGAACAGGCAAAACCTCAAGTTGAGCTGTTTGTCAAACACCGTCCATCGTGGCTAAATGGCCTTGATTGGGCTGATCAGAAAATGGAATTTTGATGCGCCAGAAGGTGAAAATTGGAAGATAACACTGGTTTTCATGCCTCGTGTTATTGTGATTACTGTCTGGACGCCATACCGCCGTACAAGAGACTGATGCATTGATCAGAATGTGAACATTCATCCTTCTGACCGAGATGATAGCCGATCTAGAATGTCTGGGACTCCTTCTTGATCAGCCACCGATATCCTTCCGCTGACGACGAAAGGTAAAGCACTTATATAGGTACGAGAGAAACTTTTTGAGACTTGAATGAATTTATTGACATTGATTCTTCTGAACCAGGAGTAAACGAGTATGTCTTGAAAGACACTTTCCCATCTGAGACGTACCTTGTATCTCTTAGAAGTGATGGAGAGGGCTTTCTGAGTGCCGCAGAAAAAGGATCCTTGCTTTCAGATTGGTGTTGAAATTGCGACTATGAGGCTTTTCTTCCAACAAATGTAAGCTGGTGTCAGTAGCCGATTCTCATATGCTTGGTCAAATTCTCGCTCATGGCATGTTAGTCGCTCGACGACGGTAGTTCTTTCGCTATGAGGTCTGCATGACGTGTGCTGCTCATGACGGAGATGTAGGCGTAGCAGGGTTGAATCAAGCAGAATGGACCCACGGGTTAGATACTTACAGCATCCGGCTAAGAGCGGAACACGTCTTCCAGGGAGTTGCAGAATATGAAGAGCCAAGTGAGGTAGGGGGGTCGGAAACATCCTCGTAGTTGGAGTGAATCAACATCAAACATCGAGCTCAATCATAGTCAGGTGACCCGGACCTTCTATCTTACCTGTTTGCTCAAGAAATATTTGGTCCTTCAATCCAGTCACGCCTGTCTCGCTGCATCAAGCTTCCACATTCTTACCAATTTCAACCACAATATTGATCGATCCCGGCGCAACAATGGAGCCTTGCTCCGATGAAGAGAAACCTGTTTCTTGCGAAAAGTTACCTTCTGTCCCAGACCTTGCGGAAGCACTCGAGGACCGAGAAATTTTCCTGGTCGAATATGGACAAGTAATACATAATTGAAACGGATACCCCGTTGTTCTCACCGTAAGTGATACAGAGCCTCGTATGTTACAAACTCGATATCACCGATGACTGCTGCGAACACCTTGCCGTAAAACATGCCGATTTTGCCGTCCCTGATGGAATGCGCTCGCTTGCATCAGAAATCCTCTTGGATCATGACGCGCCCTTATGTCTCCATCCTCAAACACAGTTTCCAGTAACGCGTTGTGGGAACAATTTTGTTTCACCCACAAGTCATACTACGGCGTCTTCGTGATTCTCTACCCGCTCCTTTTCATCGGCTTTACCCTTGAGGGCACCTACAAAGTCGACCCAACCTTTGACTTCTCGATGAGAATCTCAACACCCAAACCTTATCCGTACATATCGCCTCTGATTCAGGACCTACTTTGTCTTCTACTTGAGGCCGCTTCTAGACATCGAGTCAAATTTGAGCTGTTGACTTTCATCGCCTTCGGTTGTTTTCGACACGAGCCGCTCTATACCAAGGACAGCAACTGTTTTGATGGCGAGAGTGAAGAGGAGTGCCAGGAGCGAGTTAATGCATGTGTGAAGGATATGAAAGCTTAGGACTGGGGTACTGCCAAAACAGAATACCTCCTTATTGCTGAGTCGGTTATCAGGGATTGTCAATCCATTTATCATCTTTGCGGCCAAGAATGAGAATGACTGCTGGTCCGCTGTCATTATGGCTTCGCCAGTGCTGATTTTGTTACCCCTTGGTCATTTTGAACTGTATCATAGAGTATGCTTGTCCGACTATGAATGAAATACAGCCGTCTGCGGCCTTTTTCTTGACAGCTTCCAAATTCATCTGACTATAGGTAGAAACACTGTGGGAGTGGTCCTCACATTGAGCAGAAATACCCAACCGAATCCTAAAAATGCGAGAGGAAGCCATATGAAGCCAGATATAGAAAAAAAAACAACCCAAAGAACAATCCGCCGGAGAGGCAGAAGAAGCAGCGGAGGAGGCAGCGGGATAGAAGAAAACTGACGCGTTGCCGGTCTCGACATGACTTGAAGTTTCATCGTTGCACCCCGATCAATTTTTTCTGAGAGATTCAACTTCTCCCATCCTTTCATGCTGGGTTTAGCAAAATTCTCTCGTCATTCTTGACGATGGCCCTGGGTAGAGGCTGACTTTCGGCATGCGTACGCGACTACTTCTGCTCGGCACGACACCTACTTTATTGATACCACATGTGATTTTGGTGGGATACCTTTGAAAATGTGAGGCTTAGACTGGGGGATTCGAAGAATAGACAATAGAGTGATTGCCCAAGTCATCGAAAAGGGTGCTGCTGCGGCCCTGCTAAAGGAGGCGTCCGTGTCGATTAGACTTCCAGAATCTCTATAAGCTGGAATACTCAGGCGATTGTAGTGATTCCTCAACTGAAGGACATCTCTTCTTGCGTTTGATTTTGCGTCTTTCAGCGTGTCTCTCCCTAGGTAAACATGTACTTACTAGCAGATCACTACCAGTGGGGCCATTATTGCCCCCCGTTGGTCAGGTCTCAAGAGTGGGACTTGCCGCGCCAGGGGGCAGTTACAGACGAAGACGATTCTCAATTAAGGTTAAGCAGTCTAGATTCAAGCAGTTCGTACGCCGGCAAAAGTACCTTAACCTCTCCACGCCCAGAACAATGCTAGTCGACGAGAAAGTACCGGAGCGGGCGGTAAGTCACAGAAAGCTCAGAGCCCAGAGCCCACACTTAAAGTGACGAGGCCTCGGAACAATTTGATACCCAACCAGAGAAAAGAAAAAAGAGAAAAACTCCGCGTGCAAAAGTAAAACGACGCCGATGCGATTCAAGCTCGGGTGGCCGAAGCCACCTGCATCCGCTGGCAGGCGAAGCCCTTGATTATTTTCGGGCATCTGGGCAAGATTGGATCAGGTATTGTCGGATGGACACAGGTGTAGTTCTAACTTCTCCATAGCCCAGCCAGCTCCATTACCTGCCACCTACAATTTCGAATTCGCGTGCCCTCGAATATCTGCAGGCGTTTCCTGTGTGCCAGCATTCCGCCTATGGAATTGCGCGGGCTCACAATATCAGTTACACAGTACCTAACAATACCTACCGCGAGCGTCTGTAGACTTTGTACTGCGTGGTGCGCACAAATGGATGTACATTCTCCTTCTGGAACTTCCAGAAATATTGTATTTTGTGTCCACTGCATGAACAGCACTTCTATGGCTTTGCGACGCTGCCCGACCGATGGCCACTTGTGCAGTGGGCACGTGATGCTTTGAGCATCGGGTTAGACACGCTGGGACGATGTATATTGCGGCGACACGCGGGCCGTCGATCGGACAGGGAAGCTTGGAGAAATGCGACCGGACAGACACAAGAAACAACACTGAGTCCAGAAATGGCATGAGAGAAAAAAAAAAGCCAATACTTCATGTATTTGGCGTTAAGCACTTAAGACTCTGAGAGAGGGGGTGTGGAAGAAGAATTTCATAATCAGAGTCTGCATCATTTGATTTGACCCGATGATTGACCTACAAGGGAAAGTGGCACGATTACACAGAGAGAGAGACTGGGAGAGAGTAAAGATTGAAGAGTGAGTGGGTGAGAGGGAGAAAAAAAGAATGCAAAAAGATAGCAAACCCTGGTTTCGATCCAGGTACCTTCGGGTTATGAGCCCGACGCGCTTCCTATGCGCCAGCTTGCTTGTTGGATGATAGAACGTGATCTTTTTGACAATATGAACCATCACGCAATCTTTGTGTGGGAGCCACTAGGGCCACTAACCCATTCTGGGGTTAGTGCTGTGCTCGTCGCCTAGCCCCACTTGGGACCACTGTCAATCATGGATCTGCAATAGATAACCGTGGTCCTGGGCTGAGCACTAAACTAACATCTTGCATGCATTACATCTTTGAGTTTTATCCCTTCGCTTCGCACTGGAGGTCTGCAGGAAACTCACGGTTCGTAGTTTCTCAAAGCTACATGCTTCTTGAGTCGTAACTCCAGTATTGTTTGAGGTAAATGCCCTGTGTCTGGACGCAAAGCATCGACCACTAAGATGCATCGAGTTCATTGCCCTCCTCGAGCCCACCGAGAATGGACAAGCGATTGTGTCATTGGAAACAAAATCTAAAGAGAGTTTACTACGTTTGATGTTTCAAAGTGCTTATCTATTGCATCCGCTCCAGCTGAGTGACCTTGTAAGTCCATAAGTCCATATATACTTAATCCCCCTTCATCCTGGACATGATGGCGGCAGGCTCTCTCGCGATTTGCTGGCAATTGATCCATCTACAGAGCACAATGCAAATGATTTCCAACCTCGGACAGCGGACACCAAAGTGTCGGATAAAGCAAAGATCATGCTCAACAGAACATACCAGCGGGACAGCAACCAGTACCGCTCCGGTTGCAGCCGTTGCAGCAGACACGGCAATTGATGCTTGGGAGCCGTGGGGGACCATAGTCCCACAGACAGTTGGGACCGGCGATTTGTTTCACCATGAAGCTGCCAATACCGTCTTTACATCCGGCAGATGTCAGATCGGACTATTGGCCTAGTCTTAGCATGAAAGATGTCTCGTTCGATAGAAAGATGAGGGGACCATACGCAGCCGGGATTCCAGATGGTGATGGTGTTTGAAGACTGACAGTCGTAATCCCTGAATGATGTGTCGGAAACGGGAGACCCTTTAGACGCAGATACTTTTTACACCCTGACCGGACATGGTCAACATACTCATAAGCGACTATAACATTTTATACTGGTCAGGACCGATGGAGGTAATAGAGTGCCACCTAGCAAAGCAGGCGTGTTAGTGAGAATCGTAGACTCATACCGTTCAACCCCCGTATGGAACTTACCACGGTGAATCAAGTCAAATGCACAGATTCCAAGGCTGTTTAGCAAAGCCACACTGGCCATCCCAGTTCAGATCAGTGCAAATTTCCACCTGCAAGAAGAAACTCGTCAGCGATGAAGAAACCCAGAGCAGCAGTCAAGTCAAGACGAGAACGACAATGCAGGGATCAAGGGCAACATACACCACCTTCAATCCGCTTCTGAAAAGTGGTGGAATTGCGCCATTCGACCTGGGCAGGCTCAAACTGAGGCTCACTGGCAGAGGGGGCTACAGCGGTAACCACCTAGAGAAGGGCAGTGAAGACGACAGCAGCACGCATTTTGAGATTTTGTATCAAAGCAATGGAGAGGTTTGAGGTGATGTCTGATAATGTTCGCCAAGCGAGCGACGTGATCTGCACATGCCTTTATAAAGTTTATCAATTGGAGAGCTTGAAAGGTAGTCAATATCAATTGCTGTCTTCGTCTCGGACCCAGTTGCTACCGATCGAGCATCGAGGCCTAAATCCGCCGGGCTCAAAGCATACTGTCGCATTCATGTCTGTGGCCTTGCAGAAGAGCTATAGTCAAGTTACCAATCCAGACGTGAATGATCATCTACTAAGCATTTGCGCAGTCCATGATTACACCTAAAAGGAAACTGGTCTCTACACGTCGGCGGTGATTCCGAAACTGACTTGGTGCGCGGTACCTTCACTTTCTGCTGGGCCAGATAGGGTGAGGGCCCGTGCGACGATGTACAACAACTTTAGTGCAGGTGGGCCACGACTTGGCGGTGCCGTTGCACGGCCCTGCCCCTAATTCTGTCAGACGGAGGGTATGAGATTATGACTCAGAATATCCCACGGGTACCCAACCAGGTATGATGACAATGCATGGATAGACTCGAGCAGTGCCCGACTGGATCTGTCGTCTCGCGACAAATCAGCTTATCCAAGTGAGTTACCTGCTTAATTTTGTTGATGGATGGATACATTGCGCCTGCACCGTTTCCCTGGAGAACAAATCTCATGTCCCCTTATGCAACATCCAAAAACAAACGAATATGATAAGAGATAGGCTACCGATTAGAATCGAACCCCATTGAAACGCACCAAGGGATATCGGCGTCATGAAATGATAGTTGCTGGTACATCCCGGCATGCGCACACAGCTAGGGTCTCATCATAGAGCAGCACACTCGTGCTTGATCCGCCGAGTCCACTGGTCCTACCGTAACTGGTTAGACGCATTTTGTCCACTGTCTAGTATCTAAGTACCAAGGATTGTCTTGACGCTAGTGTGCTCCATCTCCAAAACAGGTAGGCGACGACCCCCTGAAAATCCTCAGGGCTTCGTGGACAAATATCGCAGATGCACTTATTGAGTCTCACCCGAGACTCAAATACTTCACCCGGTTATCACGTGACAGAATCAATCAAGCTCGTGCAAGATATTGTTTTGGTGCGGCGCGGGCTATGATACAATATCTCCTCCACTAATCGGAATATCATGTCTTTATCGACTTTGCCCGCCGAGATCATTCTCAGTATTGCAACTTATCTCGACGATGAATGGTCGATCAATGCCCTTCATCAAGCGAACAAGAGATTCTATTGTTTGCTTCAAGACTTTCTCTACCAACACAACGTCGTCCATTCGAATGCAACGGCCCTCGAGTGGTCCGCTCGCAATGGCTGTGTTGAGGCTGGACGAAATGCTCTGAAGGCGGGTGAACTGTCAGATCAGCACTACTCATCAGCTTTCGCATATGCTGCTCTCGCCGGACATGCACCTTTGTTCAGATGATGATCGATCATGGTACCAACCCGTACTCGGGGCCAGATGATCTGATTTGCGGTGTATCGTACGATTTCAAGCACTGCCTCGATCATGACAGATTGAGGTTTGAATTGTTTGATGACGACGATGATGATGCCTGGGAAAGCGATATGGACGCCGATGACGACGAAGACGACTTGCAGGGCTTGATGCTCTGTGATGCTGCGGTCTTATTGGCCGCTTTCAAGGGAAATTCTGACGTGGTTGATATTATACTGGAATATGGAGATTCCAGGGGACTACCGTTCCCCAATAAACAGGGCTCTCCATTGCACGTTGCTGCTCGGCAAGGCCACCTTGACATTGTGAGAAGCATCCTCGAGCGTGGAGGGCCCCTCGAAATCCTGGATGCATCGGGAATGACGCCGCTGTCTAGGGCTGCGTCTGCAGGTCGAAATGAGGTTGTTCAATTTCTGATAGAACAGGGAGCAGCCACAAACTACCCTGAAAAAGTGACCAGAACGCCTCTTTTCAGGGCAGCATATGGTGGGCATACGGAGACTGTCGAGCTTCTTCTGAGCCAAGGTGCTGAAACTAGCGCGTGGGATGATTGGTCGACTGTCCTATTGCTTGTGGAGATGGCCTTCATGAAACACTTTGCTACTGCGGAGACGCTGAAGACAGCCGTGAACCTGCAACGGATCCTCGCCGCTGGAGATCCTAATGATATTGAGCCAGGACCGCTTTTGATGGTTGCGGCTGCTTGCGGGTGGAAAGATTATGTGCAATTGCTCCTTGGAAGGGGTGTTCCTCCCGAGATCCCGGATTCCTTTGGCTGGTGGACGCCAGTCAACTGGAGAAAGCTTTCTGAGAACCGTGTTGGCTCCTCAGCCCTGGCTGTTGCGGCAGGGAATGGCCGACTAGACATTGTCAAGCTCTTGATCGCAGAATATCCTGAGATCGTTCGGTCTTCGCCAGATGACACTAGTGTGACCGGGCTGATGTGGGCGGTTACGGATGGTTATGCTGACATTGTTAAGCTTCTCTTGGATGCTGGAGCAGATCCAAACACGAAGGGCTGTCTATATGAAGGGCCGGTAGTGCTCAGTTCAGTCAAGTGGCCAGAGATTATGGGAATGCTACTTGATGCGGGCGCCGCCACGTCGCATTTATCAGGCAACCGGAACATCTACATGAAATCCATTTGTGGAGGTCATGTGGATGCTCTGAAGGTTCTCGAAGAGAAAAATGTCCCGTGGGGATGGCAGCCCGGGTATCCAGTCAGTTCAGCGTCGCGCGGAGGTTGTGCGATGGTGGAATACATTCTGTCGAGGTTCGTCGTGCCGCCTGAAGAAAGTGACCTTGAAAGAGTATATTTGTGCGCATTGCGCTCTGCAGATGTCGAAATGGTCGATTACCTGTACCGAAGAGGCTTGATACTAAACCCTCACGCCATTGCCACAGATTGGGGCACTGGAAAGCGTTTGCGCCATCCACTGGATCTGATAAGGTCACCCGACGGAGACATGCACAAGGTGGCGGCAATGATGGATACACTCATCGCAAAGGGTATGCCTTTGGAGTCTGTGGCATCGTCTCTTTGCTCAGACCCTGAGGTGTATCGGCTGCGTTCCGCCGAAATGGTCCAGCAACTAAACATGTTGGTCGACCGAGGGGTGACTTTCAATCTACACGATGAATCTGATGCTTGGACTGATATTATGAAGCTCGCGATTGTGTGGCGTTCTCCAAAAATAGTCCACCTCCTTTGTCAAGGCTAAAACTAAAATCGAGAACACGCGACGCTTGAAAACCTGGAGGCGGCACACAACCAAGTGGTCAATAAGCTTGACGAGAATGGTCAATACGATAACGACAATATTCTGGCGATTTTACGGCGTGTTGTGGCTCAGAAAAAATTTCAGCAGCTCAAGAAGACGATACACTACTAGAGCGCAGGCGTCCGGAATGAGCCCGAAATCAAGAGACCATCTTTGGAGACGGCCGTCTTATGTACCTTGTCGCTGAACAATCCCGTCAAAGAGCCAAGGGCTTGTCATGCGACAATAAGACGGCTCGAATGATCAGATGGCAACGGATGAGAGAGATGCTTTGCGTTTGAGAACCGACCCTCATCAATCCAATTACCCAAGTTTCTTAGTCACCCAAGCTTCAAGTCCCGTAGGGGTAAGCGGCCTGGTGTGCTTTCCAGGCAAAGACCGACCCCAGCCCAGTTTCACGACGATAATGTTAACCCAAAGTGTATACTTGGGAGGATGGCTCACGTGACCAGAAGCAACCTTATCGTTGCGCAGTCGTCCAAGTCAAAATCGGGATTATGCAAATCCATGGAGGCCATCATGGCCCGTACCTTCTACCGACGGTCTTCTGTCTCACATTCGCAAACTCGTGCATGCTCAGTGACCCAGTCCCCAAAGTCATACCCATGAGGTGACTCATTCTGATATTGTTGAATTTGCATGTGACAGGCGCTAATACAACTGTGGCCTAGGTGCTTTCCCCATTTTCTTGTCGCGGTTGAGATGTAGTTCAACAATGTTCGCTCGCTTGGAAGAAAACTCTGACCGTGAGCATCAGATGTCATTCAACAACGTGAACTTAAATAAGCAAGACGGGCTGAAGTTCAACCTAGTTTGGTAGATAGAGGTAGATGACATCGGCAGTGGATGATGCCCGCCCGCTGCCTTTCCAAGATTACCAGCCTAGCGGAGCAGTGAGCTTATCTCTTATCTAAAGAGCCTTGATCCGTCTTTGTACTTCCAAGTTGAAGCATGAGATTTCTCCCAAGAAAAGACTTGTTTGAAAGTGTTGAGAAAGGCATTATTAATGACCGCGACCTGTTCCTCTCTATGACAACATGAATCCTCGAACTTGATCCACTTCACCATCCCTCCTCGCGTCTCTCCGCGACTCCATACAAACCGGCCGAAGCCGAAGACTTTGTTAGGTTTAGCGTGGTGCGGGACCACATCTCACCGCCTTTCATCTTCTCTCATTTTTTTTCTGCCCGCTGCCAATTTTGTTCTTTCCTCCCCTCCCACCAACTGCATTTGCAGGCTGGTTGGGAGCTTACGTCAAAATGAAATACGTTCTGGTTTCTGGCGGTGAGTTTGAGGGTTCTAGTTGGATCATTTCAGTTCGAATTGTGATGCTGATTGGGATGGTTGTCGCTCAGGTGTCATTTCCGGTGTTGGCAAGGGCATTATTGCCTCGAGCACCGGATTGCTCCTCAAATCTGCCGGTCTCACGGTTACCAGCATCAAGGTCAGTACGGCAGCTTACAATGGCACTCCTGTTTTTTTGAGTGGTCCCATCCGGCCTCTCCAATTGCTCGCCCTGGTCTGACACCGGCTACAGTGCGATCCTTACATCAACATCGATGCAGGTACCATGTCGCCAATCGAGTCAGTAATCGCGTGCCCCGGGTGCCCAAGAGAAGCCGACATGCTGACAAATCAGACATGGAGAGGTCTATGTGACGGATGATGGTGGTGAGATGGACTTGGATCTCGGCAACTACGAGCGGTATCTCTTAACTACGCTTACCCGTGATCACAACATCACCGTGAGTCATATCCGTATGGTTCCTTGAGGCGTGTTGCACATCTTCGCTCACACTCCAACTCGACATGATAGACTGGCAAGATCTACCAGCAAGTTATCGAGCGCGAGCGCGTTGGCCGCTATCTCGGTAAGACCGTTCAGGTCGTCCCACATATCACGAACGCCATTCAAGATTGGATCGAGCGTGTGGCCAAGATTCCCGTTGATGAATCCGGGAGGGAACCCGATGTGTGCATCATCGAGCTGGGTGGTACCGTTGGTGACATTGAGAGCGCGCCATTTATTCACGCCATCAGCCAGCTCCAGCGCCGAGCTGGAAAGCACAACTTTGCTCAGATCCACGTATCCTACGTCCCTGTGATCCACGATGAGCAAAAGACAAAACCTACACAGAGAGCAATTAGCGATGTTCGCAGCGCAGGCCTGAATCCGGACCTGATTGCTTGTCGCTGCGAGCTGCCGCTGGAGGAAGGTACTGTTCAGAAGATTGCCAACATGTGCTCAATGGACACTAAGCAGGTCATTGCCGTTCACAACGTGTCGACGACTTACCACGTGCCTTTACTTCTTGAGAAACAGAAGCTGATTGGCACTTTGGGCGAACTGCTGGATCTTCCTTCCATCACGCGGAACGCTCAGACCGTCGAGCAGGGCAAACTCATGTGGAAAGACTGGGTTGACCTTGCTCGGGGTCAGGACCACTCCCACGACACCGTCTCCATTGCTCTTGTGGGCAAATACACTGCTCTCAAGGATGCTTATATTAGTGTGTCCAAGGCTCTTGAGCACGCTGCTATGTACTGCCACAAGAAACTCGATTTGATCTGGGTTGATGCTGGCCATCTGGAAGAGGAGGCATCTGAGACCAACCCAGCCGAGTTCCATAAGGCTTGGCATGCAGTGTGCACTGCCGACGGCTTGTTGGTGCCCGGTGGATTTGGCACTCGTAACACCGCGGGTATGATCCAGGCCATCACCTGGGCTCGTACCAAGAAGCGTCCCTTCCTTGGTGTCTGTCTCGGAATGCAGCTTGCTGTTCTTGAGTATGCTCGCAATGTCATGGGTGTTGAAGACTGTGGCAGTGAGGAACTCCACCCGACATCCAAGAACCATGCTATTGTCTACATGCCCGAGGTATGTATCGACCTCCGTTTATACTTAACAAAAAAATGCGTGTGCTAATTGGTTTTCAAGGTTGACAAGGACAAGATGGGTGGTACCATGCGCCTTGGAAAGCATGCCTCTATCTTCCAGTCTGGTACAGAGTGGTCGCGTCTTCGCGCCCTTTACGGTGCCGACGTCTCTCAGATCTCCGAACGCCACCGTCACCGATATGAAGTGAATCCAGAAATGGCTGATGATATCGAGAAGGCCGGCCTGAGCTTCGTGGGTAAGGATACCACGGGTCAGCGCATGGAGATTGTTGAGATCAAGGACCACCCTTGGTTCGTCGGTGTGCAGTTCCACCCTGAGTATCTCAGCCGGGTGTTGGCCCCCAGCAGAACTTTCCTTGGTTTCTTTGCTGCTGCCGCTGGCTGCTTGGAGGAAGCAACTGCGGCCCTCAACAAGGGACTGCGCAGCATTCCCACTCAACAATGAAGCGAGATCTGAAGACATTGGCGTTGGGAGGACAGAAAGGGATGGAAAATGAGGGTTTCTCAAACCCACTAGAATTTTTTTTAGGGTGGGAGTTGGGTCAAATTAACGTTACAAAGTGGTTGCATGACACTCAAACATAGATGATAAACCCCATGGTAATACGGCCATGATGCACAATATAAGCAAATAATTTGTCAATAGCGTTCGGTTCCATGTAGAGGAAAGTTCTCCCTGTAGGCTGAATTTTATCCCGTTGCAAAGCCCGGTCATCGAAATTTGAATACGAGTATGAATATGAAGAAGAATATGAGAATTATTGTATTCATTCCGTATCTTCATGTCATCTCGTAGACATCGTCAAGTCGTAACACATCTCTACTATTGTCGAGTCATAAGAGGAATCGCACAGCTCAAGCATTCAACCCGCCATCCACCCCCCCCCCTCCTCCTTTTCATACAATCTCTCCGGCTCAACATCCCGTCGCAGCAAATACCTATTCACAAAGTAAGGGATCTGCCTCAACCCATACGCAGCATGAAACCTCGTCGACACGGAAAAAACCTGATCCAACTCCTCCAACGTCTTCCCCTTCGTCTCCGGCACAAACAACAAGATCAAGACCCAACCCACAAGACACCAACCCGCATACCACGCAAATCCGCCCTGTGCTGTGAACGCATTCCGCAAAGAAGGCCACGTCACGCCGAGCACGAAGTTGAAAAACCACGTTGTGGCCGTGGCGAGCGCCATCCCGTACGAGCGCACGTATAGCGGGTATGCCTCGGCGGAATATGTGAATGGGACGGGACCTTCGCCGGGCGAGTAGACGATGCCGAAGATGTAGATGCCGAGGGCGATGCAGCCGGTGCGGGCGGCGTGGTGGGTCTCGGGGATCCAGAAGCTGAAGCCCGTGAAGAACATCGCGAGGGACATTAGGGGAAAGGTGGTGAGGAGGAGGTTGCGGCGGCCGAATGAGTCGATGGTGAATATGGCGGGGATGGCGAAGAGCCAGTTGATTACGCCCCAGCCGAGAGAGGCGGCGAGGGCAGAGGATGGGGCAAAGTTGGCTTCCTGGGGCGGGGAGAGGGACATTGTTAGTACGATGCAAAGACTTTTTAGGTTGGGGGTGAGATATCGCGGATGAGATTTGCACGGGATGCAATGGGACTCTCTTGTGTGTTCGGATTGTTTCTCGGTAGGAGAGCTCACAAGAAAAATTTCGGAGGAGTAGTATGCAATCACATTGACACCGCAAAACTGTTGGTTGGTGTGTTAGGTGGTTATTTTCGAATCGCGAATACACTCTTGATGACGGTATGACTTACTTGCTGCATGAACATGACAATCGTCGAAGCCACCATTGCACGTCGATTCCTGGGCACTGCTACCAATTCCAGGAGCTTGTTTTGCCCGAGCTTCATACCAGTCTCTGCTTCCAACAGTGTGTGCATGTAATACAGATCGCGCGCGGCCTGGACTTTGTGAAATCGCAGAGTACAAAGGCTTTGATATGCTCTATAGTACTGCTTCTGACTCATGTACCAACGTGGCGACTCTGGACAAAAGAATACAAAGCAGCAGACCACCAGCGCCGGCAACATAGCCGACGCCATCATGAGTCGCCAATTCAGACCTGAGCTACCCCCCACTTCATAGAAAATCAGATCGGCAGCGTATCCCAGCATGATTCCAAATGCCGTGGAGACCTGCCATTGCATCACGACCGCACCACGAATGGCCGGCGGCGCACACTCTGCCGAGTACACTGGTACCGTTGATGATTTTGGCCCAATGCCAAAGCCCAGAGCAAAGCGCGCTGCGAACATGGCCCAATAGGTCGAGACGAAGCCCTGCCAGAGACAGGTAATTGCACTGAAGCAGCACGTCAAAAATATCGTGCCCCGACGGCCAAACCAATGATTGAATGGTACTGTCAACCAGCAGCCGATTACTGCGCAGCAAAGATATGGAGCCGAATTGATGAGTCCCACCAGCCAAGTATCTCGGTATGAGTCTCCCTGAATTCCCAGCGAGTATTTGTAGAAGATCTGTGCGCCGTTGACGACGGTCTCATCCATGCCTTGTACCGCAGCGCTCAGTGAACAGAGCGCAATAACAGCGTACATTGTCCATGGCTGTGACCAGCGATGCTCGAATTCTCGCTGCAGGATCTCTTTCTCCGAGTTGGTCAGGCCAAAGACGGTTGCATAGCGATCGGGAGATTGAGCCAGAACGGCACCAATCTCAAAGGCACGAACATCATCCTCGTCGCCAATCTCATGGGTAAGCGCAAAATTGCGCCCTTGTTTGCGGAGTTGAGCGTGACTGAATCCCGCGAGGGGATTGAAGAGTTTGGCGTTGATGTTGCGACGCGCACGGTCGGCTGCTGTCAGGAAAGGGCGCTGAAGAGCCGGCTTCTCAGCCTTGTTGCGTGATCGCGTGTTGATATTCTCGTCTTGCTCGAAAGCACCCGTGTCTAGTTTGTCGGTTGCGGCGGATATAGACATTGTGGGTCGAGCCCGGGTGAGCCGGTGTTCGATGGCATAGAAGGCTGGCCGAGAGACGTATTTTCTTTCTTCCTAAGGAGGCCACGCAGAACAAGAGCAAAACAGGGAAAGGAGAAAGACAGAGAGCTATGCGCTGTCCAGGAGGGATTTGCCAGTATTAAAGCTCTGGGAGCATGTTGCGGCTCTTTCCAAAGTAATGCTGCCCAGCGCACGCCCACCCATGACCGGGGCATTGAATGGGCGGTGCATCGAGTTTGCTCATCTTGCGGTGGGTAAGATGCACGGTACGTCACATTGCACCCGCTTACACCTCTTTGGCTAATTCTCCATCATTGAGATCCCCATCAGGAGGCTAGTATATCGAACATCCAGGGTCTGGGGTCGATAGCCCGCGGTAAAAACGACATGCAGGGCTGAGTCCTTCAAGACCACCGAATGAACTTTCCACATCCAGAACCCATTGGGTGGAGGTTTAGACCACGCGAGTTGCCCGAGTCTGCAGACTTTGGAGTGTCAGCAACGCGGGAAGTATGCTCAGCAAAAGAGAGCTGTCGATCAGCGCCCGTTGCCCGAGAGCGAAAACATCCGATAGAGCCATGTTCCCGTTTGGGAATAGCGATCAGCTCGGCAAGAGGCTGAGTGGCTGGAGGTGCGGTGACGGGGCCAACCTCGATGCAAGGCGCAGCCGCCTTTTGGGAGTTTGTGTTGTGGAGGTTATGTTGAAGGGGGGGGGGGGGGGGTCAATGTTAGACGGCCTCGCCGAATACATAAGCTCCTCGACCCATGAAGAACAGGACTTGCTTTGAATGACAGTGAGCCAAGAGCCCAGAAATCGTCTGATGGCTGTCGCTGTACGGAGGTTGGTTCCCTTGCCAAATGGGGGCTGTTTAGTAAGATGGACTTGACCTTGCGATCGGACCTCTTGGCACTCCATCGGGCAAAGATGAGGCCTTTCTACTACACCGTACGCTCAACATAGAGCAGTTGCAGGTTTGAAGACGTGTGGGGGCTAAATATGTTGATCGATGTCAATGAAGGTTGATGAAGGTTGACGCCGGAACCCCACATGCAGACGGCGGAATCAGGTGAACACCTGTGGCCCCATTCTTGTCGTGAGCCTCTCGAACCCTATCTGCTATCGACCTGTTCGCCCAGGCTACCACGAAGATGCGAGAAAGATCTGAGAAGAATCTATCTAGTGATGCAGAACAGCATTGAGGAGGCAACTTATATTTCTCTATGGTGATTTGATGGCATCTAACATATCGAGCCAAAGAGAGGTCGCCCATAGAGAACGGAGTACCCGGGTACCTGAGTACCCAGGTACCCATGGTGGTTAGTAGTAGTAGTAGTAGTAGTAGTAGTAGTAGTAGTAGTAGTAGTAGTAGTAGTAGGAGTAGTAGTATTACTCTGTGCTTGGCTGCCACGACAGCCAGGGCTCAACAGGTATATTCCATAAGGTTGTACCCACTTCTCGACTGTCCTGGTGTAGGGACAAGGCCATGTTTGATGTCAAACCTGGCAAACACCCAATTGCTACCTGAAGTTATTTTACAGATAAGTCGTCAAGTCGACGTAAAGATCGATGGAAGTAGTTGGACCAAGTCTAGCGCAGCCGCAAGCTTCCATCACCTGATACAAGGCCTGTATTTTGAACTTGCAGAAGCGTTCGCGCCAATTTTTCCGTGGTCATTGAAGAACGCGCGCCGATCGATATTTGGGACTAGGCGATGGTTGACTCGAGAGCTGACTTGGGCGGATGACAACCCTTGAAACACTAAAACAAGTGCAGCGAGCCGCCTCCACTAAAACCTTTGCGGCTATTCTTATGATTTGATCCTTCAACCTATAACCGTGCAATAATATTTGACAAGGAATATTTGTCATCATATATGTGCTGGAGATTTGGCAACGACTGCTTTACTCCGCCGATTTCTCATGAGCCGCTTCTAGAGATGTAACTGGGCTGGTCTAAAAAAAAATATCACATCCTCGCAGATAGTTCCAGTTACTTCGCTGAAGTGGACAGTCCTCCAGCAGAGTCGTGGGACAAGATCAAGTCCATGTCGGATAATACACCCGACGAACCGCCATCCACGGCGGCTCCGCACTCAGTGGGGAGATGGTCTCGGCCCGCCCCCGGTCTGTATGTCGGCTGGTGTCAATTTCAACGGGAACTGGTAACTAGTTACTACTAGGACTGTAAGTACCCTGCAGTCTATACTTGCACTGCAGGTGTATAACTGGATACTCGGCAACCGCCACCCGATGGCTCCTCAGCTACGAATCGTTCATTAGGAGGTGTGCATCATTACCAGCGAATGAGATGACTGTCGAGTGCGTTCTTGGGGAAACCTGCCGCTCATTTCCGAGTGAATTGCGGGGATGGACAAGACGCGGGGAAGGTTGTGCTATGGATACGTACTCATTATATTTGTCTGAAAAATAGATAAAGCCTCGCGCAACGCTCCTGGGATGTCTAAACTTCTGAAGGCGGAACAATACTGAAGTTGTTGAGAGACAGACGTCTAAGCTTTCATCTGAAGTCTTGACGAGGAATCACCCCCGTCTCATTCAACTCTTTTCTGCCCTACACTCACGTACCCGTCTTCCTCCATCACACCTTCCTCCACCATTTACATACACACAAGATGCTGGGTAAAATCGCTCTCGAAGAAGCCTTCGCCCTCCCGCGATTCCAAGAGAAGACCCGTTGGTGGGCGGGCCTGTTCGCAACAGATGTCGAGAAACACGTCGCCGAGATCACGGACGTGGATTCCATCCGCCTGAACTTTGCTGAAAAGCATGGTGTTGGCCTGCAGATTCTCAGCTACACGGCGCCCGGTGTCCAGGATATCTGGGATCCTGTTGATGCGCAGAAGCTAGCCGTGGAAATCAATGACTACATTGCGGAAAAAGTCAAGGCGCATCCGGATCGATTTGCGGCTTTTGCGTGAGTTTGAACTTTTCCCCACAGCTTGAGTTACTTCCATGGATGTTGGGGGTTGGCGAGATCACTGGAGGATTGATACAACAGTAACACTTGCATCACCACTCTTCAAGACGACGATCAAGTGAATGCTTACTCTCCTCCTCTGTCATAGTACACTATCCATGCACGACCCGCAAGAAGCAGCGGACGAACTTCGTCGCTGCGTCAAGCAATACGGCTTCCTCGGAGCTCTTGTCAACGATACACAGCGCGCTGGCTCCGACGGCGATGACATGATCTTCTACGACAACGAAAAGTGGGATGTCTTCTGGCAGACCTGCACCGAACTCGACGTGCCGCTGTACCTGCACCCACGCAACCCCACGGGCACAATCTACGACAAGCTCTGGGCAGACAGGAAGTGGCTCGTCGGGCCACCTCTCTCTTTCGCGCACGGTGTCTCTCTGCACACGCTGGGCATGGTGACCAACGGCGTTTTTGATCGTCATCCCAAGCTGCAGATCATCGTCGGCCACTTGGGCGAGCACATCCCCTTTGATATGTGGCGCATCAATCATTGGTTTGAAGACCGGAAAAAGCTGCTTGGTCTGAGGGAGACGTGCAAGAAGACGATTCGGCAGTACTTTGCGGAGAATATCTGGATTACGACTTCGGGGCACTTTAGCACGACGACGTTGAACTTCTGTATGGCGGAGGTTGGGGCGGATCGGATTCTGTTCAGTATTGATTATCCGTTTGAGACGTTTGAGGATGCATGTGACTGGTTTGACAAGATGGAGATTTCGGACACGGATCGGTTGAAGATTGGAAGGGAGAACGCCAAGAAGTTGTTCAAGCTCGGGGCTTACAAGGATAGCACGGCTTAATTGATGAATCTGAGGCGTTAAAAGGCACCGCGTGTTGCGCGTGTTGCCCAGAAGACTGCTTGCCTTGAGAGGAGGTTTGATATAGTACCGCAAAACCATGGTGTTGTATACCCTCAGAGAGAAGAGAAGAAGTATTTTTGGCGCCTGAGTTGCAAGATAGACTCCAACTCAGTAATCATGATGACAAAAACAGTCGAGCAAGAGGGTATTGTACATTATCAATATTCAAATCAAGCAGGTACTGCGCTAAGTAAAGTGAAACCCATATCCAAATCAAGTGTTCATTATTCGTAAGACCTTCCAACTTCGTAACTTCGTAGAAATCGTCAACGGGGGGACAGACAGAGAGATGCTGAAGATCTACTTCGTCTCGTCCTTGTCCTCCTCCTCTGGCCCCTGCAAAGGCTCACCACTCAACGAGAAGCTGACGATCTCCGGGGCAACGGCTATCTCAGTCATAGTAAAGACCGGCGTGAGATACACAAGACGAATATGCTCCAGTTGAGCCGTGTAAGCCGCGTAATTCCTCACACTTCGCATGAGGAGCTCCCAGACGTCGTGCACGTGGCCGATCAGCTGCAGGCAATCGGGCTCGATCCGGTTGTCCTGCAGGATCTTGCGGTTGCTCAGGTGCAGGAACCGCTCGTGCACCCACTCGTCGAACAGGTCCAGGTACAAGGAGAGCAACTGCTGCTCCAGAACCTTGGGCTTCCGGAGATGACTGGTGATAGATAAGTAAGACATGTTAGCAATAGATCTGCATTACTTCTCGTGCGGGTCTTATCAAATTGGTGTCGGTGGGAACTCACGCAGATGCTACCTTCGACATCTGTCGGAACATGAAGATGGCCGGAACGTTCTCAGCCGAGAGGAAGTGAAAGGCGCCAAAGACGTTCTCGGCCGTGGCCACCAGCCCACCCAGCATCTCGTCCATCCAGCGCAAGTATCGCAGGATCACCTCGACGATCTCCGCAGCGGCAGCTACATCGGCCATTCCCAGGAACTCTTCACTGCGTTCGTACAAGACGTGATCGAGACGAATCACCATGTTGGTGAGTGCAATGAATCGCTCCCGGGTGCTTGAGCGCATCTGTGGGTTCGAGAGGTGCTCCTTGACCCGATCGAGGGTGCGTTGCTTCTTCTCGGGTTGGTTGGCTGGCGCGATGATGGCCTGGTCGATGTTCTCCCGGCGGATTTGGGCTTGCATCGCCGTCATGATAGAAGCCTGGAAGTCATGATCCCACTCACGTTGCTCCTCAGAGTAACCCTCATCAAAGGATGGGAAGGGCTCAGTATCGTGTATTTGAGAGGAGCAGGCAGAGACGGAGACGGGGTTCGGGGAGACGTCGGCTGGGCTGGACATCTCTTCATCGAGAGGAGTGGTGGGTGAACTCGGCTGACCTCTCGCATCAAGCACAGTGATGACGGTGCTCTGAGAGCTCTCCGAGTCAGAGTCGATTCTCAGTTGAGTGCGAATGGCGTCCAACAAGGAGGAGGGGAGAGCGTCATCAACTTCAGCCATGGCGTAGACGAATTCTGAATGGTACGAAGTTGGGGAAGTTGAAAGCTTTTGAGGTTTGTGATACAGTAAGACGAGTACGGAGGTAGAGAGGTGGAAGAGGTGAGAAAGTGGTGGAGGGGGAAGGAATGAATGAGAGGAGAAGAGAAGTGGGATGAATTGTTTGCTTGACTATGATAATATTGGACGTGGTGTGTCGTGCGCCAGTGGGCTGCTGGAGTGAGGTGAGAGCATCCGCCAGGGACCTCCCGTCCCATCGTCCACAGAGTCACGCCCCAAGGCACCCCCGACACATGATTTGTACCAATTCTCGAGAGTCCGGAAAGCCCATAGAGTATGTCTCAGGATAAACAGATGCTTTTCCTAGAACACTTTCCGTCGAAGTGATTCGAGGCATGGTTCTGCCTTCCCCTCAACGTCCGTTCGATTAGCAACCAAAGATCAACATCGTGGCACAAAACGTTCCAGAGGATGTCAATCAAGAGTCTCGAACAGAACATTCGAGAGTTAACGAAGGTCAAGAGTTATTCTTCGCACATTGACTAATCAGCGTGTCATGGAGAGGAGCACGGCAACTTAAGTAGTGCGTGGAAAGATCTCTAGGGATGTAGAGGTAAAATGAACTATTCGGATTTTGTGTGATCACTGGCAGAGGACTGCGGTAGAGGTATATTTTCGTCCTCATCATCTGGCAATGGGACGTCCATAACACGTTCGCTGGTCTTGCTTAGGATTCGCTTACTCCAAGCTCGGACACCCTTGTAGACAGCCTGAGAGGATGGGTCAGCCGAAAGAACGATCCAAATGCCTCGGCAGAGATACCACCACATACCCACAGAAAGGTGCCGACACCAACGACGATCATCAACCACCGCATTCGATCACGGCCCGAGCTTCGTCCTCCTCCGGTAGCCATGCGTAGATTCCAGGGCGACATCAACAGCATGGCCCGGCAGAATGACAGCAACCCTAGCGATGCAAGCCCTTTGACAAAATGTGCCAGCCACGATGAGCGCGATGTGTCAAAGTCATCCACATCCAGTGGAAGGTCGTCTAATTCAACAAGGAAAAATTCGATAATGGGGTCAGCAACAAAACCAAGGAGAAACATTGTAAAAAGCAAGATGCCGATGGTGAGTAGAATTTGCGTGCCCGGGCTACTGATCCATCGAGCCCAGGTCAACCGTTCCAGACGATATTGAAACCCGCAAGTTGGACATTGCCAGTAATTTCGACGGCCATATCTGGGGTCCGCGTGCCGCCATGTTTGCAGGCATCCTTCGTGTACATATCGCGAGGATCCTTTGCATTTGCACGGACGAAGCAGTCGACCTAGTTCTGGATCGGATGACTCGTAGACCACTCGAGGCCTATGCAGAAAATCGGACGGCTGTACGGTAGGCAGAACCGTATCTAGACAGATGCGACAGGTTCGCGGAGGATAGTATCTCTGTTGACTTTCTGGTGTGGGCTGTTCTTCAGACCCAAGATCTGGAAGATCCGACCCATTACTCCGAGACTGCATAGATACTGCAATTCAATGAAACCATTCTATGATCCCGCAAAGAATTGCCCTTGGATGGTGGAGGGGGTTGCAATCAGACGAAAAGTGAGAGGTGGAAGAAGCGGAAAGGAAAGCTCAGGCTTTATACTTGCCGCTAGTCCCCATTGGACTCACCGCCCAAGACATGGGCCAGCAACCGTAGCTGATGGCCGAAGCTCGACCGCGTCAAACGTCACCCGCCTTCTGCCTGCCAGCTCCCAATTCATCCTTTTTGTCACCGAGTTGTCCCTCTTGCCATCTTTCTTAGACTCAGAACGACTGCTGGGCAATTCAATAAGGTCACACGATGGCGGATCGCTACTCTTTCTCCCTCACCACATTCTCTCCCAGGTACGAAGCAGCTTGTTGACCCGGGAAGATGGACTTGTCCTGTTTCTGATCAAGCTAACCCATCATTGTCTGGCAGTGGAAAGCTGGTGCAGATTGGTAAGCATATTGACGGAGCGATGATGCCCAATACTATATGAGCCGGAGTCTGCATACTGATAAGAGACGTTTCCAGAATATGCCCTAAATGCTGTCAATCAGGGTGTCACAGCTCTCGGTATCAAAGGTGAGCAATCAGATGGTGGAAACTTGTGAAGTGGTAGCTTCCAATCTACGTTTTCACAGGATACTGAAGACTGTGCTGCATCGAAGTAGCCCGCTGACCATGAAACTAATCAGCAACCAATGGAATTGTCCTCGCTACCGAAAAGAAATCCTCCTCCCCACTGATTGACCCTCCTTCGCTCTCCAAAATCTCTCTGATCACCCCCGATATTGGTATGGTCTACGCTGGCATGGGGCCTGACTATCGCGTGCTTGTGGACAAGGCTCGTAAGGTCTCCCACACGGGATACAAGCGCATCTACAATGAATACCCCCCCACACGGATATTGGTGCAAGATGTCGCCCGGGTCGTCCAGGAAGCGACGCAGTCCGGAGGTGTCCGTCCATATGGTGTCAGTTTGCTGGTTGCTGGCTGGGATGAGGGTATCGAGCCTGAGGCGGCAGACATGATGAAGAAGGATTCTGAATCCGACAAGCCTACGGGCAAGACGGGCGGCATCCACAAGGGCGGACCTAGCCTCTACCAGGTTGATCCCAGCGGCAGTTATTACCCGTGGAAGGCGACAGCGATTGGCAAGCACGCGACTAGCGCCAAGACCTTCCTGGAGAAGCGATACACCGAGGGCTTGGAATTGGAGGATGCGATTCACATCGCGCTCTTGACGCTGAAGGAGACCATTGAAGGAGAAATGAACGGGGATACGATAGAGATTGGTAAGTTTGGTGACTTCTTTGTGCCGCTGCTCGTATTCTTTACTGACCCCGGTTTGTTTTGTTCTCTTTGGCAGGTATCGTTGGACCCCCTGCGGATCATCTGTTGGGCTTCGAGGGCGTCGAGGGTGCTCAAGGTCCCCGATTCCGCAAGTTGACCAAGGAGCAGATCGAGGACTACTTGACCAACTTATAGAGAGCCAATTGGAGCGAGAAGCTTGTCTGAGCCATTGTAGGACTTAGACATGAATGACAAACTCTTATTGTGGATCACACTTGACAAGCTTGGAAACTCGACGCCTTGGAGCGGTGTAGTGTACACTGCACAGTGGACTGTTAGCATGAATTCGTGATTTGGTTGTAGACATGGTCAGCGCCAGCGCAGGGCGGGAAGATGCGTAGTCACGCTCTCGGCAGTATTTTCATTGCAACCGAATCTTAATTCTGACCGGAGTCTCGAGCACCCTGTGATGCTCCTAGCGCGAAACTCCCACCCTCTCTCTCTCTCTCTCTCTCTCTCATCGAGACCGTCGGTAACGGGCCCTCTCGGACTTACAGTCTGTGCTCATGTACTGAGACAGTCGAGAGTCAGGGCCTCCGAAGCTTACGCTTACGCTGATATGCACCTATGCTCGTTGACCAGGTGGTCTGTGTTTTGTGTTTTGTCTCCTGTCATCTACGGCTCCGTGTATATCTCCAACCAAGCGATTGTTCATCCCCGTTGAGAAATCGTTTGCGCTTGGACCCGATCTGGCTTTGTAGACCTCTTTTCACGGGCCTTCAGACTATAGTTGATCGATCCTGAGAGCTTTCGTTCTTGACCTGACTTGCCGGTTCCAGCCCCTAATCTACGAACGCCCTGGGCTCGGGAGTCATTGTGGCTAAAACATCCCGACTGTTCTCTTCCACGTTCCCAGTCCCATGAATCTTATTAGCACGATCCAGTCTCCCATTCTGTAGTCTGTACTTTGTTGTCAGCGCACGGACAAACTGAGTACATTCACTTATAACCCCGTCTCATCTCGTCCTGATTATCCATTTAGAGACCATCTCATTCCGCAGTGATTCCCGACCGATATCGGATGCGAGTCTCGCAAGTGTAGAGACCTCCAGTATGATCTTCGCTAACACGGTAGCCAGCGAGCCGCTAAATTCAAACTATCGAACAATGGCGTCCACCATTGCCGATCATCCCCAGGATCGCCTCAAAGGGACCACACTACTACGGAGGGAAAGGACAGAATAGCCCGTGCACGTAGATCTCGCATATGCAATTCGGGGCTTTTTCCAAAGTATAACCGGTGACAGACTGTCCTTGCGAAGAATGAGGGGAGAGAAATCCCCTTGGTGAGACTAAAAACGTCAAGTCTCGTCAACGATCGGCATTCGGCAATCTTTGACAGCAACTCGTTTGCCCATGTTGAGCGATCGATAGTAGATAACTTGGTACTAGATTCTACTTGTCTGTCGATCTCACTTGCGGGATAGTTGGGCACTGGGTATTGCCAGTGCCAGATGGGCTTAGTCTGGACCTGATATCGTCGGACACTCGGTACATCTTTCTTACTCGTTTGCGGGGGGGGGGGCAAAGGGGGCTTGTTTTGGAATTTGGCATGTGCTTGCCAGGTCGGCAGGATTCAATCATCGTCGAGATTGGACTGCTCACTGCTGCACTCTTTTCTATGCATAACTCTCACGGGCGTCGGTCCTCAATCGAAGCATCATATCTCCTTTCAGGTCGCCTCCGTTGATCCAGCTTCGAGGGTCGTCAGTCAGCTGTTCCGATGTTGGCAGCCCGTTGTCCTTCTCTCCCTGTGTCAATCGGCTAGACTGGAAGTTTACACCTTCACATTCTTAGTGACATTTCTTGCTGAGCTTTCCCCTCGAAGCAATTCGAACAGGAGAAGCTCCCTCCTCCCCTCTCGAGTCGCCTATAAACACCCAACACCCATCGGGCTACTCCCAGTGCGGCAAAAGACTAAAGATAGTTACCGGGGATTGGCTCCCTGTGCAACGCAACGCTTCAAGCAGTCGACATTGCGATCCCAACTTGGACGATTGTTTCCTGGCCAGGACCAGGACATACCGTTCAAGGGCCCTCATTTTAAAGCCCAGCTCGACACCTCCCGTGGGCTCTCGTCACTCCTCTTGTTGACCGCACCCTTCCTCTCCTGCACCACGCTCTTTGCATTTTCCCTTCATGCCTCGTCGACGCATACGATCGGCCTTTTGCTCTCTGTGTCCTTTCTTCCCACAAGACATGTGGACGTACCAAACTGGGTGAAGCTTTGGCTCTCGCAGTCTTTGCCTTACCTGTGTTGTGCTTGGTGAAGCAGCAGGTTTCTAAGCTGCCCTACATCACAAAAGCTGATCCCTTCGAGGTCCGTCTTCTCCTAAACGAGACCTATCTGGTCTACCCACGGGGTTATTTCCGCGCCCACTCTTGCTCAACGCCATTTGTGACCGTCCTTGTCAACTGCCATGTCCGATCCGCCTCGAGATCTGCTCGATGGCATATCCGGCGCCCTGGCCTCAGAAGGCGACGTCTTCCAAATGATTCTCATCACATTCATCGGACTATCGTGCTACAACATCGCCGAGCTCGTCGTCCTGGTACTATCCACGTTCCGACGGTGGCGCGGCCTCTATTTCTGGTCTCTCCTGACATCAGGCTGCCTGGGCGTGATCCCCTACTCGATCGGATTTCTCATGAAATTCTTCACTCCTACCGATTCCATTCTCAGCGTCACCATTCTCACCATCGGATGGTGGACCATGGTCACGGGCCAATCGGTCGTGTTGTACTCGCGTCTGCATCTCGTGTTACGAGACGAGAACATCCTCCGCCGCGTGCTGTACTTGATCGTGGCCAACGTTTTCCTGCTGCATATCCCCACGACGATTCTGACGTTCGGTGCGAATATCGTGCATTCGGGCGCCAAGCCCTGGGTCGACGGGTACAACGTCATGGAGAAGATCCAGTTGACGGGCTTCACGATCCAGGAATCTCTTCTGGGAACTCTGTATGTGATCGAAGCCGTTAAGTTACTCCGTCTGGGCGCGGACGTGACGGCGCGTCCGTACGCGCGATCAATCATGTACCAGTTGATTGGGATCAATTGTGCGATTATCGCGATGGATCTCATGTTGTTGGTGCTGGAGTATGCGAATTTCTACGCGGTGCAGATCACGCTGAAGGGGTTCGTGTACTCGCTCAAGTTGAAGTTGGAATTTGCGGTGCTGGGCCGCTTGGTGGATTTGATTCAGGGCTCGAGGCAGCCTCTCTCTCTTGTCCTTGCTGATACGCTCCCTTTGTGTTTGATGCAGACTGCGTCTGCGAGTCCCAGTCGGGGTGCGGGTGATTCATCGTTTAGACCCGAGTCGAAAGAGACGATGTCCACTACGGATGGAGCGAGAATCGTAGAGGGACGGGCCATTGTGGAGATTGGGGCGGGGATTTCAGGACTGTGACTATGTTGAAACATCGTGATTTTGATATGTCACGAGACACCCACTTCTAATTACAACCTTGGGTATTCCATCAGGCTCCGTAAGCCGTGGATCTAGATGCATCTCCTTCATTCATCGTCTAGTGATGTATCGTTCAGCCACTCAAACTCCTCTTCTGAGTCTTCATCTTGGCTATCTGCCACTTCATTATCGGCTTTGCGCTTGCGAGTTGGAGTCAGTGCAGTACGATCTGGACTTGAAGGCTCATCAACCGCCTCAAGGCCCCCCTAGTCAGGTCAAGTGTTAGAGCCAGTATAATCCACCCCAAACTAGAGGAAGAGAGAGAGAGAGAGGAAAAGAACGAGAGAAAACAAAACAAAGCCAAGCCTGCTCCTACATTTCGAAGAGGAAAAGATCCCCTCGACAGAGAACAAGCCTTGGGGGGCACTTACATCACAAACTCGAAAGGGCACAATCAACTCCGCCAACCTCACAGCCATCATCCTCCCCGCTCTCTTCGTCACTTCCGCAAACCGCAGATCGGGCAAATCCCGATACAACACAATCCGCGTCTGCACATTCGTTTCCCACGCCCCGCCCGCCACAACAGGATGCAGCGTTGCGCGCGGCTGACCCTTGATCTTCGTATGGGTCTGATTGAGCGCCAGCACGGCGATATTCCGCGCGGCGAGTCTGGTCAGATGCGTGGCGATATCACCGATGACGTTCCATTTCCGGTTCAGGAGCCACTGCAGCTGGGGCTTGTCGGGGATTTTGCCCTGGGCAAGACGGTCTTTGAGTTCGGAGGCGCTGAGGAAGTAGGCTGGGAAGAGGGAGGAGATGGAGTCGATGATGAGGAGGGTGGTTTCGGGAGGGGGAAACTCCTTGGGTGGTCGGATGAGCAGGGCCAGTAAGTGTGGGAGGGTGGGTGCGCGGAAGTAGATGAGGTTATTGAGATGGGGGGTAATGGACTCGAGGCGAGATGTGGCGAGTGGTGAACCCGTGTCTAAATAGTGTCCGAGTCAATTGTCTTCTTTTCCTTTCTTTTTTGCAGACTTTGGATCGGTATGTAGAGCTCGGTGCTGGACTGGAAACCCCCGGGACGATAGGAAATAAGAATTACCTACCGATCCAGACGACTTTTCCGCCGTCGCGCAGAGCTTGAGATGCAGCGCTCAGTCTAGTGTAGCAAGTCAGTCAATGATGAATGGATGAATTTTGGTCAAATTGTCCACCTGGACTACGGAGAAGAAACTCACGCAAAGGACGTTTTTCCTGCCCCCGGTGGACCAAACACCTCGGTAACATGGCCGCGAACAATTCCACCTGATCGCCGGGGCTCGTCCGTGGAAAAATCATTTAGCGCCTCGTTCAGACGCGGAAGTCCAGTACTGATAGATTCTCGAACAGCAGCAGAGGCGTTGAGAGACTGCGAGGCCGAGATGGAGATAACCGGTACTGTGAGCGTTGCTTAGTTCAGATGAATATCAATCACAAACAGGGATTACCGGTCGTTTCGGACCGTGCCGAATATTGATACAATCTCGCAGTCAGGTAGTACTTACGCGTATCAAGACCATCCAGGCTGAGTAAATCCTTATTGATGCTCATTGCCGGCGCATCGATGTGGTGGAGTGACGCGACGAGGATAGCATGTTCCGATGATCACTGCTCAGTATCAACTTCTTGTAGACGGCTTAGCTGAGAGCAAGTCGAGGTCCATGTCAGGCTTGAACGCTCGTCCCGAATACCTTTTAGATGTCGTCACGACTACCGAGTACTCAGTACACACCGTGACACTACACAATCACATACAGTTCCAAGTCCACGGACTTGAATGATTACGTTGCTGGCGAAGCCACTGCAGGCTCAGCTGAGCCCGAGGGTGGGCCACGGGCCGATCTAATCTCACCGATTCAGCGCGCTCTCACGTGCTTGCCTGGGCTTGGCAGGCACCGACTACCTACTACCGCTACCTAAGTGAGTACTGTGGGTACCTATATATCCTCATCCAAGGCTCTTGCGTACCGTGCCTTATTCAAGAAGAATTTCGGCTGTCTTGTCCATCGTCTTCTCTCTCGGTCAAACTTCAGAGTTTGTCAGATCTTTGGCCACGAAAGACTGTCTCTGCTCAACCCACCAAAATCACCGCAACCCCGGACGACCTATTCTTGTCACGTTTCAAATCACTCCATGCCATGTTCACTCGAACGTGTCCGACGACTACTCTCTAGGAATTGTCGCATCCTAGCATAGACGATAAAAAGATCCTCCTCAACGACCTTGGATTGAAGAGATGAACTCATCGGTCGGGGCATTTGGTGTGGTCATAAGGTGGGGTCCTCGGGTCCTCACTGTACCCCAAATTGGAGGCGACGAAAATCCCCCCAGCTTGGCTAGAACATCGCTTCGGCACTGGTTGTTTGACTATGTATATATGCACGGCCCCGTGACCTGAAGATATACAGAGAAAGAAAAAGACAACTTGTGGCCAAGCTCCCTTCTAAGGATGTGGGCCTGGATCGAGGATCAACTCAATGGACAGTTACTCGTCAAAGTCTCACCACTGTCTGTCGGCTTTGCCCTCCTCTCTAGCGCGGTACTAGCCATAGTTCCTTTGTTGACGCTCGCCAAGTCCATATCTCGCTCACGTGCACTACGACAATCACCACCAGGGTGCAGACGTCTTGGTCTGCCCTTCAACCAAAGCAATCTCTCGGATGAGTTTGACAGAAAGTATGCCCAGGGCACGTCGCCCGATTCCAAAGACGAAGATGGTCTTCCGTCCTGGCGCGTCAAAGCTCTGTTCACCTACCCGATCAAATCCTGCCGTGGCATTGAGCTTGAACACGCCGACGTCGTGAGCACCGGACTGCAATATGATCGACAGTTTGCCTTTGCGCAGCACACCCCAAAAGGATGGGTGTGTCGAACCCTGCGCAATGCAGGGTTTGAACGGATGGCGCTGATTCATGCCGAGATCTGGATCCCCGATCCGTCATCGCCATCTTATGAGACACGACGACCTGAAATACGATCCGGTGGTGTGATGATAGTGTCTTATCCGCGCGTGACACCATCCGGTCTTCTCGGCACCATCATCAGAACCGGAGTCATGCTCGGCCTCGTCGCGTCCCGAGAATCCTTCACGGTGCCCCTCCAGCCAGAAACGCCAGCAGAAATCGAAATCGACTCCCCATCCCAACCCTCATATCCCCTCAAACCAGTCACAATCTGGAAAGACTCACCACTCGCCCACGACTACGCCATTCATCTTCCCCCTTCCCTTCACAAATACCTAGGCTTCCACCACCCCTCATCATCCCCTCTCACTCTCTTCCGCGCACACTCCACGCATCCCCGCAACATCTACCGCAACGCCCCGCGCAAAGCCCAGCTGGGCTTCCAGCCGCAAACCGCCTTCGCAGACGCTTACCCCATCCATCTCACTCTAAGCAGCCACCACGACGTCGCCGCGCGCTGTGCATCGTCCCTGCCCCATCTAAGCATCCGCCGCTTCCGCGCAAACATCATCATCGAGGGGCCTGGGCCCTTCGCCGAAGACCAGTGGAAAAAGGTGCGGATCGGGAACACGGACGTATATGCTGCGTGTCGAACGATCCGGTGTCTCTTGCCGAATGTGGATCCCGATACCGGGGTCAGACATGCGAGTCAGCCGGATCGGACCTTGAAGGGGTATAGACGTGTGGATGAGGGCGATTTGACGAATGCGTGTTTGGGGTTGCAGCTGGTTCCCGGGGTGAGGGAGTGGGTCGTTAGGGTTGGGGACGAGGTGAGGGTTTTGGAGACCGGGGTGCATCGGTATATCAAGATGTTGGCGCCGGGGGAAAAGGTGGAGGGTGTATGAAAGAGAGAGATTGGGTGTGCGCTGGAGGCAATACCTGCATAAGTTCGATTTGATATGAAACCTTCGGCTTGTCCAATCGTTGGCTCGTAAGTAGAGACCGTCTTACATTTTGAACATCACCTAAGGTATACAGAGCGACGGGGCCCATGTTTACCTGAATCAGGGCTCAAGTACGTAATGCAAAACGCCATATAATAAATCGACTGACCATTTTCGTTCTCTTCAAACTATCAGATTCACTTGCCCATCGGGATCGCTTGCCCAATCGATTGTTCCCTCTTTTCTCCCAATCCCTCAACCGGAGCAACCATCTGGCCCCTTACTCCATTTCCATCTCCAGTCCCATCCGCATCCACATCCGCCGAATTCAACAACATCGCCGGAACATCGTCCGCCTCCTCAGGAATGATCAGATTTAGAATCACCCCCAAAATCGCACACACAGCAAACCCATTCTGCATCACCAAATCCACCGCATTCAACAGCCCCTCCAACGCATGATTATCCCCCTGATACGTAAACACATACCCCCACCAATTCGGCACCAGCGTGATGCCCATGCCCAGCGAGAACGACGCCGTCAGAATGAATCGATTCCGCCGCGTAAACTCAATCGTGGAAATGATTCGGATGCCAGAGACCGCCACGCTGCTGAACAAAAACGTGGTCATGCCGCCTAGGACCGCGCTGGGGATGCTGACCAGCGCGGCGGCGAATTTCGCAAATACGCCCATGAGCACGAGGAAAAAGCAGCAGCAGAAGCCGGCGGTGCGGTTGGCGCATTTGGTCAGGGCGATCACGCCGTTGTTCTGGGCGAAGACGGACATGGGGCTGATGGTCATGAGGCCGGCGATGATGGAGGTGAGGCCGTTTCCGAGGACGCCGCCTTGGATGCGGGAGTCGAAGGTGGCGCCTTGGACGGCGAGGCGGGACACGTCGCAGGTGGCGGCGATGTCGCCGATGGATTCCATCAAGAGGACGATGTACAGAGCGAGTAATGGGAGGATGAGAGGCGGGTAGATGGACAGGGGGGAATGTGTGGACCCAGGGGAATGAAGCTACGGGGGCGGCGGTGATGCCCGATGCCTCGAAGTAGTTGCAGGCTGCGGCGACGATCGATCCCACGACGAGACCGACGACGACGGCGCAGCTTTTCAAGATTGGAGGGCCGAATCGTTCACAGAGAATGATGGTGACAAAGACGAGGAAGCCGAGTCCGATGAACTCGGGACTGCCCCAGGGGAGCGCGTGCGGGGCGCTGGCGCTGGGACACAGTGGGCGAGTCGCGGTTGAAGATGCGGGCACGCAGCCGGTACCACCGGCCCAGTCTTGCATGCCGGATTGGATGAGCGAGGCGCCGATGAGGAGGACGGTGGGACCGGTGACGAGTGCTGGGAAGATGCGAGAGAGGATGCGACTGCTGGTGAAGGAGAGGCCGATCTCGAGTAGTGCGCAGAGACATGATGTCCCGAGAAGGGCGCCGTAGCCTCGAGGACAAGGAAGTCGATTTCCATCTGCGTCGAGGGGGCAATAGCCTGACTTGTACATTTGGGAAAATGTTCCTGTGGCCACGGTGATGGTCGCGAATGAGGTTCCTGAAGGCAAGTTTTTGTTCTTCCAGTCAGATCTTTGACACCGTGCAATGCAGATTGTATCCATGTGCAAGCCACATCAAAATACATACCGACGACGGAGAGCAACCCCGTGCCGACAAAGTACTTGGTCCCAAAGATCCGGAACCGAGCCATTTGCATCGCACTCAGAAAGCCCGAGGCGATCAACGAGGCAGAGACGAGATATTGGTGAAGCTCATCTCCAAAGTTGACACCTCCAGAGCCACCGAGGATGATGGGGGGGAGATGACTGGATCAAACGGGTACAAAGTTAGTACGCATGAATGAGGGAGGCAAGACTACCACAGAAGGTCCACTGATTGGACTCACCTCCAGCCAGCATCGACAGCGCATGTTGCAGACCTAATCATTGTCAGACCCTTGAACCATATGACCTGCCCATAATATGCGTAATCTCTAGAGAAAGCGGTCCTTGGTATATACCTAGAATCAACGCCAACACCACGGGCACACGATCTTCAAGGCCGAAGAAAGGCGCAGATTTACGCGCTCGTTTTGTGAAAGGCAATCGCGGTGTAAAAAGGTATGCGTAGTCGTAGTTGCCAAGCAGGCCATCTCTGTACAATGTTCATAGTCCAATGTCAGTCACGGACCTCATTCAAAGGGTACGGGAAGTATATAGAGTATGTATGTATGTATGATGAGCTTGTTTCAAGGCGGTGCAACACTGGTACTTTACCTCGTCGTAAAAGTCTTGACCACCCGCCGCAGCTTGTCGCCAACAGTTCGGCGTGGTCCGTGATCGGGACCTATTTGGTCCGGTCCATCCATGATGATGTGTGTCGGTGGTGGTTCTGGCCGGTGACGGCGGTCTCTTGAGGCTACGGTGCGGACAGAGCTCTCCGAAATCTTGGTCAGATTGATTTTCCCTGAAATGGGGGTGGGATCAATAAGATATATATCAAGAGATTTTGAATGGTGGATCCCACAGCTCCAACGGGGCTCCAAAAAGTCAAAAGCCAACTCGCGACTCGCAACTCGCCTCGACCGCGAGAACATAGTATTCTCACGAGTGTCCAGTGTCCAGTTATCGTGTTCGGTGCCACAACCCCGACGCCAAGGTTCATTCGACCCGGCCAGTAACCGCGTCTGGCTCGACCGACAGTCTCCATGACTGCGGCAGAACGTGTGGGGAAGAGGAGCAGGTACACTCAGCCTGGTACCGTTGGACCAGCAGTAAAAGTGTAAAGTGTGCAACTGTACACTTGGACATTACTGAGTGACACGGACAGTGCGATAAGAGTTTCCGGACATGCGGTCACGCATGTATTTGTTTTGTTTTGTTTTGTTTTCAGCTACAGTAGTACGGCCCGAAAGCCGCCTATCGCTGAGATCTTCTCCATCTTAGCCAAGAGCATTGCATAAGTGTTTAATCCTCGTGGGGATGCATGATTGAGAATCAGGTCGAAGAAAGACGGGTAATCGTGAACTGGGATCCAGTCACAGCTCCCACAGGTGTGGATTCCACACGCCCTGCGAAGTATGAACTGGTCCCAGACACCTTCGACCGGCGATTTTCATGGATGTCGGTAGTTGAACCGGGACTTTATAAAAAGAGGTTCGGCTCCGTGCTCACTGCTCCGTGAACCCGGCTCAATGTTCAATGCTCGATGCTCGGTGCTCAACGCTCCGTGCTCACTGTGACTGCCTCGACACCCTCCAGTGTGAAGGCGGGAGATGAGAGCAGAGGAGGGTGTGTGCTTATCTGCCGGGGGAGGATGGTGGAGTCCCTGAGGTTGTAGAAAGCCAATGACTGTCCTGCCATCCACTTTATCCGTCTCCGGGCCCGCTCGTCGAGTGGGGGAGATAAGCAGAACGAAGTGGTTCAGCCGCCCGAGAGCGGAGCGCAGATTACTCCACTCGCCACGAGCCTGTTGGGGCATCCGACTGCGACTGTACTACTATGGTACCTTGATGGGCTTGTACGATGCAAAAGCGATTCCAGACAAGCTATGATGTCGTACACGCGCGTTGGAATTGTAATGCAGAGGGCAGACGGCCCACCAGAATCGATCAGTCGATGGATCGTAGTTTGTTTAACTCGTCTGGTCGCGTTGGGTCAAATATCTCTAGGCTTCAGAAGGCTGCATAGGACACTTCTTCTAACGTCGGTTGTTTTCCGTCGCAGAATTGGCCTCGTATACTATTAGCGACGTATCTGACCTCAGGCGCACTGAGTACTGTACACCTGACCATCCCTCCAGTAGGTAGTGAACGTCAATACTCGCTTCGCACGCGCTGGTGATGCAGTACTCCAAGGTGTGGCTCATATGCGTGGCACTCCAGCCCGCTCGAGGGCCCAGGCTCAACACGAGCAGCATGGTACCTTCAATACCTTGTTAGTGGGCGAGCCTCACGCGCATCCTAGTCCAATCCTCTTATCTCCAGTCTATCGTCAATCCGATAAAGCCCAAAGCTAATCTGACGGAGCTGTCCGTCAACGGTGGAGGGCGCCGGTGGTTCAACTGAGGTTCAAGTTTGCTTATCAGTGCAGAGATGAATGACGGGTAGGTCATGCAGCCGTTGCCCCTGATATGCGGGGGTGGGTGCGTATGATTCATGCACTGGAGATGTGGTCTACTTCTGGGCAAGACGCAAGTCGACGGGACTACCGAGATAATTACAGCATCTCAAATCAGGCTTCGACTAGAGTCTAAATTCCCAGTTACATAAACCCTGATCAAACACCCTGTTTAGCTGGTAGCCAAGGGCTTATTTCCTATAAACATGGACGATAACCCGTGACGGGTGGAACAGATGGAATTTTGAGATCTATCATGATGGGTAAGATTCCCTTCTAGGGCATGCTCAATAGTACTACATATACACTGATGTGTGATCTCACACAATGATCCTCTGCCTCGGCGGTCACCATCCTTGGATATCATGTGGTCCAGCACCGAGAAGCAGCATGCATCATACAATGACGCAGCGACTTGGCCAGCGATCCACGGGATCGAACCAGGTCCATCACACGAAAGTGACCAAACCATCGAGTAAACCTCACACTGTTAGGAACAGTGCTCGTACTCTCCGCCCATCGACTGTTGAGAGTCAGATCATGACGGACGCCTGTGAGCCTCGGTTAGCCTTAGGTGTCAACAGCTGAATTTCGGGGGTCGAAAATTGGCATGAGACAGCAGCCAAGTTGTATGATAACTGACAAGCTTTCTCGACATGTTGCTCATTGACGGAGACATGAATTTTCTGTCAGTGACCATCGTCCCATGTGACGATAGACTTGGTCTATCTGCGTCGGGATGACGCCGGCTGTGGTGGCCAAGCAGTCTGATCCCGACGATAAGGTTGTTAGTTTTCGTCCAGTCCGCCACCAGCTTTTGGACTGCAGTACACTGGTCGTACACAGTACATACTATGTACTACATAGTAGTGTACTCGTGTTCTCGATCTTGAAGGTAGTAGTGAGTAGTGAGTACAGCCCCCTCGGATAAGTCTGTGTACTAATTAGGTATCTCCATCTCGACTGTGTTGATCGCTCCTGTGACGCACGGCAAGGACTGTGCGAACTTTGCCAAGCTTTACGTTCTCATCTCCGTAAGTATATTATGCATAAGTGTCCAGCGATCCGCTATTACATGTGACAAGAGCAGTATCTCGATCAGCCTTACGGTTGTTGTATGACGGAAGCCAGAAGGGCAGCGCCGTCATCCCTTTCGGTGTCGGAGCCTTAAGCTTTGTGGATTATCACACACGGACTGACATGCCTTTGCCTTGCCCCCCGCCCTGCCGATCAGCTCGTGTTTCGCCGAGCAAGATATGGTGCCGAACTGACTTAGTCAGGACAAGACCTATGGAGGTACGGGAGGTCCCTTGGGTGTCCACCTATGATCGCCTTGTGGATTGATTCTCTGCAAGTCTACAGAGGACAGTGGAATGTGGATCATGAGATATGCAGCCATTAAGTCCAAAGAGATGGAAGCATTGCAGTCGCACCTTGTGGACTGGACTGTAAACTGAGTCCGTCAGTCCACTATGGAGTGTGGAGTCCCGGCTAGATGTGTACTCTATCTGTACAGTAGTTGCAAGTGCAGTAAGTACTAAGTACCCCATACTCTAGGGTCCAATACAAAAGGTACATCCTGCGGGTTGAAGCTCCTTGAGGGGCGACCAATGACCGAGGACGGAAGGGGAATAGTTCTAGACTGCAAAGAATGTTAAATTCGTCGAGGGATCACGTGCCTCAACGAACGGGCGGGTGGTTCTGCCACTTGACGGGAGCCAATTCCGCTTCAGGCACGGACGGCAAAGGGACCGAATAAGGCAGAGGTACCACTACTACTGACTCCTGAGTCACTGACTGCAGGTTGCGGACTGCGGCGGAAGCAGTATGTAAGTAAGAGCAGGTAATAATGTGTGTCAGACCAGCAGTAAGACCAAGTCAGACAAGGCAGGAGAAGTACCGTGCTTTCTATGGATTCCCAGCTTGTTAGCCTGGACTGTAAGCCGAGGGATGATCGTGCGACGTGTAGTACTACAGTCCCAATTTCAGTCAATCACATACATACTTCACATTATTGGAGTACCGGGTCTCATTTTCACTGATGACTCCTAGTAGATGTGGATGTCAAAACCCGAGGCCCTCTTCAAGGCCATCTTGAAACATAACCGCATCACGAGAGATACTGCAAGAGTGCAACTGCCGGGGATCGTAATACTGTCACTGTCGGGCGGTCCACCTCTCGCCTCGTCCACTGGGCGAGTCCTCTGCGGCCATCCGATGTGAAGTCGGAGTGGCATGTTACGTCTTTTGCGCATTTTTCAATTTCGCCACAACCAGTTTCCCATCGAGGCCTTCCCTTCTCAGCTTAGTGCCCCCGGAGCGGCCCCGTTTTCCTCCGGACTGCGCCAATGACCGCCGCCTGACTGGCGGAGGGGGACCCCACTTCGCCTCAGGCCACAAAGCGTTGGGGCGGACCCAACGTCCATATCAAGTGTATGTCACGGCCAGAGCAAGGGAGATTGCCACTGGCAGAGAAAAGCCCAGAGCAGATCGAGCAAGGCCGATGCTTAAAGGATGGACGGACAACGATCGTCCGTCATGGGGGTCGGAAGGAATTCTCTGCCTGGTGAAATCTTTAATTGACCTCGGGATCTTGTGATTTCTTTCTCTCTTTTTCCCTCTCTGCCTGAGGAGACGCCCTTCTGATTCGCCTTGCGCCGAGCTTCCCCATACATCTTGTTGGCGATCAGAACCCTACCATCCCCAACGTTGGCCTGTGGTGGGCCCATTGTATAAAATAACAAGGCAGTCCCCGTCCTTCCAAGGGTCCTCCTCTTTTTCTGGCATCGACCAACCTTTCCCCCTTCCTCCACACTCTCTTTCTTGCACACACAGCACGACACGCACCATGTCGGCCAAGACTGAGTCTGCTCGCCCTCGGGCGACGGAGACCAAGAAGGTTCACATCGCTGATACTGCCATGACCCGCCAAAACTGGTACAAGCACGTCAATTGGTTGAATGTTTTCTTAATCATCGGTATTCCCGCCTACGGATGCATCCAATCTCTCTGGGTGCCCCTTCAGCTCAAGACCGCTGCCTGGGCCGTTATCTACTACTTCTTCACTGGTCTCGGTATCACCGCAGGTAAGCATTCAATCGATCATCATAGACTGGATGTGAATCCCTCCAACTAGAGAAACCTCCGAAACTGACTGATCATCGCGCAGGATACCACCGTCTTTGGGCTCACTGCTCATATTCTGCCACTCTGCCCCTTCGTATCTGGCTTGCTCTCGTTGGCGGTGGTGCCGTTGAAGGTTCCATCCGCTGGTGGGCTCGCGGTCACCGCGCCCACCACCGCTACACCGACACCGAGAAGGATCCTTACTCGGTCCGCAAGGGTTTCTGGTACTCCCACCTCGGCTGGATGGTCATGAAGCAGAACCCCAAGCGCATCGGCCGTACCGATATCTCCGATCTCAACGAAGACCCTGTCGTCATCTGGCAGCACCGCCACTACCTGAAGGTTGTCTTCGGCATGGGTCTCATCGTTCCCATGCTTGTTGCTGGTCTCGGCTGGGGTGATTGGTTCGGTGGATTCGTTTATGCCGGTATCCTGCGCATCTTCTTCGTCCAGCAGGCTACCTTCTGCGTCAACTCCCTGGCTCACTGGCTCGGTGACCAGCCCTTCGATGACCGTAACTCTCCTCGTGACCATGTCATCACCGCTCTCGTCACTCTCGGTGAGGGCTACCACAACTTCCACCACGAATTCCCCTCCGATTACCGCAATGCCATCGAGTGGCACCAGTACGACCCCACCAAGTGGACCATCTGGATGTGGAAGCAGCTGGGTCTCGCCTACGACCTGAAGCAGTTCCGTGCCAACGAGATTGAGAAGGGACGTGTCCAGCAGCTCCAGAAGAAGATCGACCAGAAGCGTGCTCGCCTCGACTGGGGTACTCCTCTTGACCAGCTCCCCGTTATGGAGTGGGATGAGTACGTTGAGCAGGCCAAGAACGGTCGTGGTCTAATCGCCATTGCAGGTGTAGTTCACGACGTCACCGACTTTATCAAGGACCACCCCGGTGGTAAGGCCATGATCAACTCTGGTATCGGCAAGGATGCCACCGCCATGTTCAACGGTGGTATCTACTACCATTCCAACGCCGCCCACAACCTGCTCTCCACCATGCGTGTCGGTGTCATCCGAGGCGGTTGTGAAGTCGAGATCTGGAAACGCAGCCACAAGGAAAACTCAGAATATGTTCGTGATGAGATGGGTCAGCGTGTCATTCGTGCTGGCCAGCAGGTGACCAAGATCCCTGAGCCTATTCCCACCGCGGATGCCGCTTAGTTGGCTTCTCTCCCACTGCACCATCTCTTTCTTCGTTTTGCTTAGACACAACATATACTGCATTCCTGTGGGTCATGGCGGCTGCGGCGTTTTCTGGGCGTTCCCACTAGTCTTCATCAAGGACTTGTCTTTTTTTTGTTCCCTTTCACTTGCTCGGTTCTAGAAAAGCGATGCTTTCTGACACAATACTTTACGAATAAGAAATGAACCTGTATCCATTTATTTGCTCAACCGTTGAATCCGAGTCTTGTAGAATTATGTACAGCAGTAACATGCTATCGTAGGTCCATCCTACATCGCTGCGGCAGCGATCAAAACACTCAACGTCATGCATGAATCTAGGCAACCCGTCATATCTGAGCTCAATTTGACTTGCTCACCTCGTTCGGCCGGCTGCGGGGGTGGATCTCTCGCAGCCATGTCAGTTTTGCTATCGTGTTCGTGTGCCGAGGTCGGCGTTGCTCAAGGGGGATTGATCATTAGAGGAGGACCCGGGGTAGTGCTGTGCGATCCATTGGTGCCTCAGGCGGCAATACCCTAAGCTCCGCCAGCACAGGTACTAGTCGCCCCGATTGTCGCATAGTGTACAGTTGCATCCTTGTGAGTCGTACTCTCGAATCACCTTTCTCCACCTGCATATCATACTATTTCCCAACCCCTCACACATCCTCCTCCACGGACCTCCTCTCCGCCCAGCATAGCGCTCACCGCTCACCTACATTTCTTCGTCCTCCTCTTCGCCATCCTCACCGTGGCGCCCCTCCTCCGTCTCCCCGCCCGCCTGTCTTCTGTGCTGGGTCATTTCCGCACTCCGACACCTGTCTACTACCGCTATTTGACGACTTCCAGCATGGCACCCTCTCACCTCCGAACGCCTCCTCAGGCTCCTCCGGTCTTCACTGCGACCCCTCAGTCGGTCGTGGCGGATGCAGAGCGTCTCATCAAGACCTCGCGGGCTGTCCAAGACAGGCTCGTGGCGGAGGTGAAGCCTGACGCAGCCACTTTTGCCAATGTTTTGAAACCCTTGTCCCGAGACCAGAATGAAATGGCTCTAGAGTCCCATATCATTGGCTTTTACCAGGCTGTGTCGACGGACCAGAAGCTTCGTGATGCGTCATCCAAGGCTGAGGAGTTGATGGATGAGTTCTTCATCGAGGCTGTGATGCGAGAAGACGTCTACCAGTTGGTGGATGCTGTGTTGAAGAAGAATGAGACTTTGGACCCCGAGTCTCGTCGCCTGCTGGAGAAGGAGCACAAGGATTTCATTCGCAACGGGCTGTCTCTGCCCGCGGGGGAGAAGCGTGATCGATTCAAGGAGATCAAGAAACGGCTGAGCACGCTCAGCATTGAGTTCCAGAAGAATCTGAACGAGGAGAATGGGGGTCTGTGGTTCACTCCGGAACAACTAGACGGTGTCCCCGAGGATGTTCTGTCTGGCCTGAAGAAGGGCGAGGGCGAAAACGCCGGCAAGCTCTGGTTGACCTTCAAGTATCCCGATCTGTTCCCTACCATGAAGTATGCCACCAATTCCGAGACTCGTCAGAAACTGATGATTGAGAACGAGAACAAGTGCAACCAAAATGTACCGCTGTTCCGTGAGGCCATCATCTTGCGTGACGAGGCTGCCCGCTTGCTGGGCTACCCCAACCACGCCGCCTTCCGCATTGAAGATAAGATGGCCAAGACCCCAGAAACCGTGAACAAGTTCTTGGGCGATCTGCGTTCGCGTCTTACTGCAGGCGGTAAGCGGGAGATTCAGACCCTGATGGAATTGAAGAAGTCTACCGATCCCAAGGCCGATGGTCGCTATTTCCTCTGGGATCACCGCTTCTACGATCGTCTGATGCTGGAGAAGGATTTCTCACTGGATCAGCAGCTGATCGCAGAGTATTTCCCATTGCAGACGACCATTCAGGGTATGCTAAAGATCTTCGAGGAGCTGTTTGGATTGGAGTTTGTTGAGATCGTGGGTGAAGACCGCGCCGCCGTGGCACCCACAGGCAAGGGTGACGATATCGTCTGGCATGAGGATGTGCAGGTGTTCAGCGTGTGGGACGACGAGGGTGAGGGCAGTGGGTTTGTCGGCTATCTTTACCTCGATTTGTTCCCTCGTGAGGGCAAGTATGGTCATGCCGCCAACTTTAACCTTCAGCCGGTAAGATGATCTTTCTTCCCATCCAATTGCTCTTCTTTATTGACGATTCGTCTCAACTCACTGCGTGTCTTTCCGTCCCCCAGGGTTTCATCGATGCCGAGGGCAAGCGCCGTTATCCCGCAACTGCACTGGTCTGCAACTTCACCAAGCCCACGCCCAAGAAGCCCTCTTTGCTCAAGCACGACGAAGTCGTCACTCTGTTCCACGAGCTGGGTCACGGTATCCACGATCTTGTGTCCAAGACCATCTACTCTCGCTTCCACGGTACCAACACCGTCCGGGACTTTGTTGAAGCTCCTAGTCAGATGCTGGAGAACTGGTGCTGGACGCCTTCCCAACTGCGCGCCCTCAGCCGCCACTACTCCACCTTGTCCCCGGAGTACCTTGCAGGCTGGCAAGAATCGCAGCAAGCCAAGAGTGGTGGCAAGACAGCTACTGCCCCTCCATCCGAGCGCATTCCAGACGAGGTCGTCAAGAGCCTGATCTCCACCAAACACGTCAACGACGCTCTGTTCAACCTGCGCCAGCTCCACTTTGGTATCTTCGACATGGCCGTCCACGAGCCCGCCAGCCACGAGGACATCAAAAGCCTTCCCATCTCTGCCACATACAACCGTCTCCGCCATGAGATCACCCAGATGGACGGCCCCGAAGCCCTCGGCGCCAGCGATGATTGGGGCCACGGCGAAGCCACTTTCGGTCACCTGATCGGCGGTTACGACGCCGGATACTATGGTTATCTGAGCTCGCAAGTCTACTCGACGGATATGTTCTACACCGTGTTCAAGGATGACCCCATGAACAAGGAACATGGCCGTCGTTATCGCCACACTGTTCTGGAGAAGGGCGGTAGCCAGGATGAGATGACCACTCTGACGGAGTTCCTGGGCCGAGAGCCGCGCACTGATGCATTCTACCAGGAATTGGGACTTGCGTGAAGCTGAGCTGGATTGACGTTTATCGCGATGCATACATGCCGCAGATTAGGAAGAACATTGAAGTACATCAAATTCAGACTTTCTACCAAGGGTTATACGTTGAGCAATCATACCTCTCTATTTAGCGCCTCGTTTTCTCGCGTAAAGTCCCAGAGATTCTTTCATTTTTGCCCGGATGTGCCACTGCTGCACACACTCAGTCCCATGACTGTACTTACCTACTACCTAAGTAGTCCCGAGGATCGCGCTCTCTGTCTCTCTCTCTCCCACCCACCTACCTACCTCCTACCTACCTACCTAACCTAGGAACCTTTGAGCCTGCACATCAAACCTCGTATCTTAAGTATCCGGTCCCTGATCAAGCCAACGAACCAACTTGAAACACGATGAAGCCGGAAGCGCAACCCAAATGCTGTAGTTCCCGCGGCAAAGTAGGACTTCCTCACCACCGTCCGCACTCCGCTCTGTATCCCAATTTACAAGACCGATCGAACCCAGCTATGTAAAGCCATGGTAGTGAAAAAAAAAAAAAAAAGGCAAGGGCGATTTTAAAAAAGGAACAGAAGGCAAGAAAGAAGAACATTGGCGAAACGAAGGAGGCAAGGGAGTGGGATGGGAAAAAACAGAAAAATATTACAAGCGACGGCTGTCGGATTCGAACCGACGCCCCCGAAGGGAATTGATAACCGAACAATTCGAGTCAATCGCCTTAGACCACTCGGCCAAACCGCCATTGATTGTTAAGTGGCGCAGATATTTGCATTATAATTTATATTTTGCACCTCAGCACTACTTTCTACCTTGAGTACCTCTTTTTTGATTATGCAGCAGTTCGTCCAGGACTATATCTAGCACGTGACTGGGCAGTGGGCACTGCAGTGAAACACGGGTGATCGATGGAGCCCTGCCTCCCTCTCGACCTGAGTAGGAAATCTCGCGTCGAGTTGGTGAATCGTATTACCTCAGGCCAGCTTGGTAGTTCATCATCAGAATGTTTGAGAGCCGTGCCTCAAACAACACTAAGATTATTGTGGCATCACGCGCAAAAAAGTGATTGATTTCAAGATCGCTAATGAAGCAACCCCCATACATTCGTCGCACAATTTCTGATCCTCCCTATTTCATAGTTCATGATCAATCAGATCAGCGGACTTAGTTACATAAGCAGTAGGCGGTTTGGCCGAGTGGTCTAAGGCGATTGACTCGAATTGTTCTGTTATCAATTCCCTTCGGGGGCGTCGGTTCGAATCCGACAGCCGTCGCTTGAACCTTTTTGTCCGCGCTTCATCCCTTCGGGATGAAGCTGTGTGTGGGTGAGGCTGAGGGCGAGCTGTTGCTAATTTGCATTACTTTTTGCTAGACTACTTTGGGGTCAAGTGTGTTGCAGTCTTGCCACAGCACGAGCATGGATATGGGTCAGCCTGTTCAATGTTTTTTTTTTCTCTTTTTGTTTTCCGTGGCTCCTCGACTTGGTGGGTAATCTCGGACCTGATCTGGGGAGGCATTTCTTACAAGAAGACTCTCGATGATCGTGTATGGATATTACTGACTGAGACACTGGGTCTTTGGTTCTTGATAAAGTTCCGAAAACGGAAGAACGGAGCTTCTTCTGAAAAATTAGACAATAGTGCTGGCCAATATCTCCAACACAGTAACACCTTGTCACCTAGAACTATTCAAACCCCAACACCAACGGCCACGGGTTCATCACGACCGATCAACCGTCCACTCGACCTCATGCTCGACCCGAATAAACATCGGCCCCAGAAACTCCTCCAAGTTCTCCCTTTCCCTCCGACACCGCTCCGACTCAGCCTGAGCCACGCACGAGGTCAGATGCACCTCGTCATCATTTGACCGAAAGCCCAACTCGGGCTTATCCTCGAGCGAATCGCTCGTCTGGCTCCGACTGCGACTGAAGCTCTTACTGCTGTTGTTGCTGATGCGTGTTCGGAACTGCTTCACTTGTTTGCTGTGTCGGACTCGATTGCGAAGATACAGCATGTGTTCTGCTTTCATGAAGGATCGCACCAGGGGCTGCAGGGCGGGTAGACATGCGCAGATTATGCCGAGACAGGGCTCGACTGTGGACCAGACGTAGACGTCGCTCATGTACCATGTTATGTCGACGGTGTTTTTGAGGTACGTCAGGTAGTGGAGTCGTACGATGCTGGCCACGCAGACACTATCGATCCGGGATGGAGGATTAGCGAGTCTAAGGCGTGCTTACTGCTTGATATGGGATAGGTAAGATTGGAGAAGGGAACGTACAATACGCCGATGAAAAAGACACCGGTAATCATCAGCTTCTGGGTGATACGCATCTTCAACTTCCAGACCACTGGAATCGGAATGAGCAGAATCAACAGATCGATGAGTACATTGGTGGCCGCATTTCCAATGTAATAGTCGTAAAAGTCATAGCGGAAATGTCCGCTGTGGAGATCATATGTGGAAGTCCAGAAATAAGAGACGGGAGCACAGCTGGTCAAAAGCGCAATCATACTGCCCAGGGTCCAGCAAACTGTCAAGAGAAGGCAGATCCAGATGGTGGTTCTCCGTCCGAAGATTCGCCGGTAGAAACTGAGAATGCAGAGCTTGATTAAGAAGAGTTCGAAGAGGTAGATGAAGAGGTATGAGAAGAGAATCTAGTAAATGAGGTGTTAGCGACGACCCTCAAGAATCGACTGAACCCCGATGATTGCATCTATGGGCTTCCTGATACCTTTTTCAATTTAACCATCACCCCAATTTCCAGCAACCAGACATGCTTGCCCAAGCCGTGATGTCCTGCGACCAGCGCAGAAGCGAGTAGAGCAAGCATGGGGACCTGGAGAGCCACATGTCAATTGATCGCTGGTAGACGGCAGACTGTTGAGTCCATCACTTATCGAAGAAGTGGGAGAGTCCAGTGGGACGGGAGAAAGAAGACATACCAAGCTCACCGCAGCCAGCCATTCATCCATAAATGGTCTTGCATTATGACTTCTGAACCGCACGATAAACCTGACAGCCACGCTGAGCACTGCAACCGCGGAGATTGCAACGACAATGGCATTATCCTTCCAGGTACGGTTATCTTCAAGATTTACAGATGCAGGCGGCGGACCCAGAACGGCGACAATAGGGGTACTCAATAAGTCGTCCATGGCACAAGAGAAGCCCAAAAGTAAGTTATGACAAGGTGGGGATATGAAGGCATAGAATAGCCGGGTCAGCGATGTCTTGCTGAAACACGGAGGGGCGTGCGATCGGTATTATAAAAGAAAAAGCATGGATGGGCTAGTTAGATCACCTAACATGTCCAATAGCCCTAACATCCTTGATACCTGAAGTGATGAACTGTATGATTGGGGCCGGAAAGGATGCAACCAATTTGTCAGAGACAGGCTTCGCGTGGCAGTCATGAATGATTGTCAAACTGGGCTTCAGTAGCAGAAATGTCCGGACGATCGCTTGGCCGCCCCCCCAGCGTGATGCATGACTTGGGCATTCAATGGTCGCAAATCGACCCCATGGATCGGCTCCCATGTCAAGGATTGACTGCAGTGAGCTTGGGGCCAAATGCGAGTGCTTAGACTGCACTAGCGATCTATTCTGAACGTTGCGTGAGTCGAGTGCCCGGTCGGTCTTTTTCTTGTACACATCATGAGAGAGATATAGTTGACTCGTTGAGTGATAATGAAGGTTGCCCGCAAAAGACCTAGATTTCCACGTCATGGTCTACTCCTTCAATCTGTTACATGGTGTAGTGCCATAAAATTTGGACAAGGTAAATGGCAAAGCGTTTAGTACCCCAGAAAGTGAGCCATCACTTTGTCAATCAAATTCAAAATCAACGGCTGAGCGGAAAGAGAAGGCTATTGTTTTGGCAACATGGATCGTAGTATGAATTCACGAGATCCCCGATGCGCAGCATGTAGGTCGACGTGGGAGGCACCAGGGCTCCCGGCCACCGACAAGATCATCTAGAATGCAAAGTCACAGGAGCGCAACCTGGGACTGAGCGAATCTCTGTGATCAACAGTTTGCGGAGTGGCAAAAAAAATGAGGTCCGTCGTCTTCCACCTGTTGTGGGGGCCACGATGATCAACTGTTTTTATTTTAAGTTGGCCCCATGTTACACTCGAAACGACCTTGACGGATTCCACGCGAGCTTTATTTGTGAATCTCACGCGATATCTCCTTGGAGACACAAACTGGTTGCTGATGCTTTATTATGCAGCATTGAGTTCTGTTTCATCTTTCACATTCACATCATCATCAAGACCATCGTGATTCATGATTCCCATGCACCCGACACACCTTGCCCGATAGGCCGCCACCCCAAGGAAACGGGTTGAATTCACTCCAGGTAGTGAGATGGTACTTTGTAGTTATTGCTTTTTATTTGAAATGAGAACTATTGACTTTAGCTCATCGAGAGTCATGCTGATTTATGCACAATTGTTTCATGTCAAATCGCTACATCACTTGATCTCGGTATCCGTCATGGTAAAATGTGATGCGTCTGATCACCGTTTCTCCACTCTGAACTGGAGATTCCTCGTGGGGAACTTCTTCGGGTTCTCAATTCATCGACGCCGGCCTTGGTCAATAGGCAAGACCACGGGGCCCACAGGGCACGTACAGACAATGCGTGAGCCTTGAGTTAATTGATGCAATAGATTGCACGATTCTCTCTTTTCTTTTTTCCTTCCGCGTCTTGCTATGTAGTATCATCGATGGATACCTCAAGGTAACCGGCATCCATGCAGGTGCCATGGGCGCGAGATCCTTCTCGAGATCAGTCCGCGGTCTGCGGGCGCAATAGGTGATATGAATGAATCCCGAGTCACCGTGCTCAGTGATCTGCTTAATGTTGATCGCAAGTATTTTTGACTTGCCGCCCCGTGAGGTACATCGCTGACATGTCTCATCCATCATGGATGTAGATTGCCTTTGCACATACTCCGTCTGGTACTATACGTAGTACGTACTATGTACTTCGTCCGACCATCTGGACCTGGGGTACGTTGATTCTTTGTCAACTGTTGTACTGAGTTGAGTGGACATGCTGACCTTGGGGGCCAATCTTTGGTTGCTACCTGCTACCTAAAGCCGTTGTGATTCCAATTCGATGGACGATCTCTCTGTATTACCTCGTTAACAGCTTCACACCTTCCCGTACTCTACAACCCTCTTAAGTGAAGAGGCGATTAGTGCAGACAAACGTGATGGAGAGCAAGGGCCTCGGAAACGGATTCAGAGTGGCATAATGACGAAAGAAAGGAGTATTCTTCTTTGATATGACCCTTTACGAGCTACTCTGGAGACCCAACTATACGCTCACAACATCGTAGTTAACAGATAAGCAACACAGTGACGCTATATCTTGGAGTTTTACAAAAATGAGTTCCGTTCCTGCCAGGAGTCAACATTCTATTCAAATCGATCTCGACCGATTGAGGTTGCAGACCAGCAAGCTCCCACCAATAGTATCTGGGAACCCTGTCGATGGACTGATGAGTAAAATCCCATGCAAGTATCCATGTGTGAACCGGCGAGGTAAATTACTTCCTCGTCGTCAAACATGCTAACAAGGCCGGGCCTAACCTAGCGAGGACCATCCTTCGAGGTTGGCTGAGAACGATCGATACAAATTATCAAGTAGGTAAGGGATGATGGTCTTGCTCGAGTCATCTCCTAGGCCGATACAACATGGAGAGAGTCTCTCATGCTCGGAATCGGGCCCGTCTTAGCTCATGGGGACCCCAACGGACGTGGACTCAAAGTGACGCGTACTTGAAACCGAGCCAAGATGGAACGTGATCATGAGATATCTGCAATTGAAAGGGGTTGTCTCACTTGTGCAGCAGTCACTGGAGGAGAAAGACGAGATCCCCAAAGACAAATCCTTGAAAAACTCGCAATTGTAGATGCTGGGTTGTTAGATCATCGATGCGTTGCAGGTGTTCAAGTGGAAACAACAGATGATCTATTAGGGCCTGCTGGGTGGTGCGACTCGATATGCAGCGTAGACTTCGCAAGTCAAGATATTCTCAAGAGTCGAGATAGCTTGACGTGTCGGTAGATCATCCATGAAAAAGCGTATGAACACCTACAACTCTGGAAATATCCGACCAGGATCTCCCAGTCTGAATATATCAGACATAAAAACCCCGTGTTAGTGTTTGTATGGCATGCGATACTGCCCTCTCACCACAGTCCGTAGCCTCGATAGAATCTCTCCCAGCCTGTCCTGTCAGCCTCACACTCATCTCCCTCACACATTCTACGGCCGCGCCTACCGCTGGAGCAGTAGATCATCAGCTACAAATAGTCAATCTGTCCATAGACAGCAATAATTGATCACTCTCGCCGAACAAGAAAATGCCATCCCCATTTTTGCGCGGAAAAGTATATACTCACCAGACCATATTCATACTTGTTCAAGCATTCGAAAGGCTTCTCCAGCGCCAGACGGGATATCCTCACCGGGCATTACGCAGACGCGGATGAGTTGTCCCACCCATCCGCACCGCGGTAAAAGCCTGTCCAGATTTTTTTCCTATGCATTTGCGACATCATGCACAAGGTTCAGTGTTCGCGTCAAAAATTGCCATCTTATACAGATAGCATCGAGCTTTCTTGAGGCACCCCAAGAGTCAAATACGGTCGGCCATGGCGCCACTCGCTGTCCATCTTCTGCCGGACATTACTCCTCATACAACGATGCTCTTCACAAGATCCTCGTCCTCAACCATAACACCTGAAAATGAGAACGGTCTATCACATGCCGAAAAAGTTACGTTATATGTCATTGCAGTGATAACTGCTATTCTCATTGTTATGGGGATGGCATTTGCCGTTCGGCGAACTCGTTGTCCTCGGACTATGAGTCCTGCACAGCGCAGTCTGGCGCAGTCTTTTCTCCGATCTATTCCACTTGTGCAGTACGAGGATTCATGCGATTACATGGCAACCCATTCACCAAAATGCTCCCAGATGAATGGGGACAGCGCTCGTACATCGAGTCTGGTCGATAAGATCAGATCGATCTTGAGGACGGCGGACTCGGTCTGTGCAATTTGTACTGATGACTTCGTCAAGGGTCAGCTTGTTCGCGTTCTACCCTGTACGCACGTTTTCCACCAAAAGTGTGTGGACGAATGGCTGGTTCAGCAGTCGCGAACGTGTCCATCATGGTAAGGAAGAACTATGCTCCCCTTGAAATGATGCTGATGATGATGATGATGTGACTATCTGACACGCTCAATTTTCACAGCCGGTATGAGCTTACATCGCCTGCTCAAGGGGGGAGCTGGACCGAAAAAGCAAAATGCCCTCTGGACCTCGAAAGGGCCCTGCCTGCTACCAGGGCAGAGACTCCCCAGCAGTGTCGCTGGTTTCACAGAATTTGGCCATCTACGAGGAGGCAGGATGACGGTTCTGCTGTTGCGTGATGAGCTTGTTTCCATCTTGTATCATAGCGGCTATTCATGTACCATTGCCTCACCTTTACAACCACTTTCAATTTAGGGGGACCTTTATGGAAAGGTAAAACGCCCCCGAGAAATCTACATGACTACTAGGAATATCCGATCAGTAGGATAGGTTTAGCATTGGAATTGGACCCTGCCCGTCATACCTATATCAGGTGAGTCTACACGACTCTTCCTTTGATCAATGGTTTGTTTCCCCCCCCCCTTTTCCCCTTTTTCGCAATTCTTCCACAATTCTCAATCTCATGGTTTCCAGGTCTCTCATTTCATTTTGTCTCTAGTTTATGGATGTACTGCCGGTCTCTCTGTATGCGTGGACAGCCAGCACAGCCAGCGGCGGCTCTCGCATCAAATGCAACGGAGCTAGGAGGGCGGTGACTTCAGCGTGGTGTATGCAATTTTGCACAGCTTTGCGTTCGATACGATCTACTGGTAGAAGATCGAGCGGCGATTTTTTGGGCTTACAGAGACCGACGAGACCAGCGAGGCATGGAAGGAGCAGCTGAACCTGCGGAGTGAAGACCAAAAGGCTGAGACGAAACGGCTAGTGACGAGGAAGCTTGAGGAGAAGGAGGCGAGGGTCTTGGCATAGGAGCCGGATGAGTATACTGAAGTATTTCACATAGGGTTGATGAAGAAGAGAGAAAATAAAGCAAAGGAGGACAAAGAGTCTCCCCCGGTACCGGTCCAAGCCCCAAGGACCTCATGAATAGATACCAAGCTCCCAGGAGAGAAATTTTTGTTGGCTATTCTGAACCGCGTGTCGCCTATACCATTATTACGAAAGCGTCATACCAGCACGCTTCCTTTTACCCCCCGCCAAACGATCACCCGACAAGAATGAGGACCGTCAGCGTGGGAGCCTCGCAGGTTTGCTGCATCGGGCCGAGTGCAGGGTAGGCCCCACGTCGCGAGTGCCGCAAGGCATCCATTTAGGAATCAGTACTAACGGACTGTCCGCTAGCATAGGCGGATCCGACCCACGGCAGTAGGAAAGCTGCACTGACGAGGGGAGCCATTCGGCTTCTGAGTCCTGACTGGGTCAGCACTCTCTCGATTGGAGACAGGGATACAGAAAGAGGGGCACGACATGGGAGAGTCTTGACCCGCACGTGTGGCCTTCTGATCGCTTGTCAGAGGCTTCTCTAGTAAGAAAAGAAATCGCTTTGTTGACGCTTTATGTCCAGAGGCTCAACATGTTGTGGATTGCCGACTTGCAGGCGGGGCAACAAAATGTGAATCGAGGACGGTCGAGGCTTTTGACTCTGCCTCCGAGAGGGGTTGCGGCCCCGCCGCCACAGCTCAAGAAAGTAGGTTGTCTTTCGGATAGTCGTGGACGGAGTACGCACCTACACTGCAGGCTGAGGCTGCCATCAACAGCAATTGTCGATCCGTGCGGGAACGCCCGCTGCGGGCTTGGGCCGAGACTGAACTTTGAGGGTTGAGCTGGGCCTCGAAGAAAGGTAACGCGGGATGAGGCACGCAGTTCTCTGTCGGGAGTGAATCTACAAAAAAAAATGCAAAGACACCTGAAGCACAGCAGTCAATGCGGATCAGACGAAACGGAGGGGTTTTACGGTGTTTCGTCGGTTCGATTCATGAAATGATCAAGGCTTAGGCCGCGAGGAGACACTGCTCCAGGAACGGCACAATGGATCATGATCATCACCACCGACGTTGCGCCTGCCAACGTCTATGCAAGCACTACCGTAGATGTCAGCGGAAATACACATGAATGGGGATCAGGTGGGGTCCGAGGGCCGTCCCACTTAGGTCTGCCGCGGAAGCTTCTCCGGGGGGGGGAGGGTTGTATTTGTTGACTCGTTCACTCGTTCGAGAAAGGCTGCTGCAGCCCAATCTCTATAGGGACAAAAGGCCACGCAAATGTACTGAAGCCTGTTCAAGAGTTTGCTGAGCGAATCCAAGAGCCGAACTTTGCGCATTCAAGTGACTCGCGGCGGCAGGGGGTCCCCCAAATCAAGTTCCTTCGATTCAGACTGCGAGGCATGCTTTCTGTGTATGGCAAGTCCACCGTGCAGAGCTGGCACGGCAGATGAGTGAGGCGAGGCGAGGCGTTCACTGGTCATTGAACCTTTATACTACAACTGGGTTGAGAGAAGTGTACCCTTTTCAGGAGGATGGGATCTTCTAGGCGTTGCGACCATGGACTGCCGGAGCTTCTAGTGCCAAGCCCATGAGCCGCAAATGGAGGCGAGCAGGCATGTTCCAGAGCTGCTTTGGACGTTGCAAATGCCTCCAAAATACTTAGCCATCGAGTGGGACTGCAGACCCGGCCGAAACCATATGCGGAGAGGAGAGGCTGGGTCCACCGACGACAGGACTCACGCCTGGTGCTCGTCATGGGGATGGACTCCCGTCGTCGTCGTCGTCGTCGTCGTCGTCGTCGTCGCCATGCCCTCGATTGGTGATGGGAGTTGGAATCAGCAGGGGTCCTTGGACCTGCAGCTAGACTGGACAAGACGCCCGAATCTGAGCCGATGGCATTCTTAAAGAACGCTTCGAAATCCCGATCATAAGACTCTTTTATCTCTTTTCTGCGGCAGACACTAAGAGCTTCAGATGGAACAGAAACAGAGACCAGAGAGTCCGTTCGCACGGGTCCCCCACATAGAAAGTAAGGACGAGCAGAGGCGTCGGAAGTGGAGCGGCGGATGGATGAGGGTGGGCAACTCTGAAGTGGAACTGCAGTGCCCAGAGGCAGCTCAGTCAGCAGATGATCTCCGCTCCAGTTGGCAGTGCCGCAGGTACATACACTCCAAGCAGTGCCACCCGTGATCTTCCATTTCCTTCACTCCAAGTCTACGGTCTCGTGTTTGTCCCACCATCTTCTCCCTTTCTTTCTTTTTCAATATCTTAGAATCTATCCTTTTCTGGAATTTACTCACATCTTATCGGCACTCTGTCCATAATCTTCCCCGTCGTGATCATCTGCTTCATTCTTCTCGAGTCGGACGACCTCCGAGCAAAGCAAGCTATCTGCTCTCGACCCTTGCCCCTCCCCCTCATACACCGTGCCCGAGGCCTGATCTCTACTCCTTCCCCGGCTTCACGATGTAAGTCTCGCCGGCACCACTGATGATCTTTAAGGATGAAGCAAAACAAAAAAAACCACGGCGTTCGGAAACTGACAGGGCTTCTGTTCATCTAGGCGTATCACCGTCAGTGTAATCCGCCCCGAGCAGGCGGACTCCGATATCATCAATCTGGAATGTGCTGGCGACACGACAATAGAGCTCCTCAAAGCGATTGTCGAAAGTGAAACCTCGATTCCATCGGAAGCCCAACAACTGGTCTTTAATAACCAGCTCCTGATCAACCCGGCCCAGACTCTTGACCAGGTAGGCATTGCGGAGGGTGACATGCTTGGAGTGCACCTCAATCTGCGCGGCCCTCAAACATCGCAAACGCCCCAGAATTCGTCTGCCTCCGCCTCTGCCGGTCAACCCACACCCTCGGGCTCTAGTGGTGCGCCCGGCCGACAAGTCGCCTCACGACCAGGGATGCCCGATTTCGAAACCATTCGGCTGAACATTTTGGGTGATCCACGTGTTCGAGAGGCTGTGCGTCGACAGAATCCGCAACTGGCAGCCGCGGCAGATAATGCGCAACAGTTCCGCGCCGTGTTGATGGAGCAGCAGCAGCGTGAAGCGCGAGCCGAGGCGGAGAAGGAAGCACGTATCGCGATGCTCAATGCCGATCCCTTCAATCCCGAGAATCAACGTGAGATTGAAGAGATTATCCGCCAGAATGCGGTCACGGAGAATTTACATAATGCGATGGAGCATCATCCTGAATGTATGTGGTTGCCGCGTTCTGTCGTCTTCTAAGACATCATTTTTATCACTTGATCCCACTAACCATTTGTTTCTTTTTTTCCTCTGTACAGCTTTCGGCCGTGTGACCATGCTCTACATCCCCGTCGAAGTGAATGGTCACCGAGTCAATGCTTTTGTCGACTCTGGTGCTCAGGTCACCATCATGTCCCCCGATTGTGCTACAGCTTGTAATGTGATGCGTCTGGTGGATCGGCGATACGGCGGAATTGCTCAAGGTGTTGGCACTGCCCCGATTATGGGTCGCGTGCATTCTGCGCAGATCAAGATTGGCGAGATGTTCCTGCCCTGCTCTTTCACGGTGATGGAGGGCAAGCAAATTGACCTCCTATTGGGGTTGGACATGCTGCGCCGGCATCAAGCCTGCATCGATCTGAAGAAGGGCGCGTTGATCATTCAAGATCAAGCCGTGCCCTTCTTAGCCGAGGCCGATATCCCAAAGCGATTCCTAGAGCCATTCGAGGATGAACCCACCGTGAAAGGTGCGGATGGAGCAGAAATTGGCGCCCGCACTGGTGCAGTTACACACCAAGCTGGAGGAGGTTCTTCTTCCGCCGGGCCATCAACGCAGTCGCAGCAGCAGCAACCACCACAGCCACCGCAGCAGCCGCCGCAGCAGCAGCAGAACACATTGGCACCAAGGATTAACATTCGTCCTGCCCCAACGACTCGGTGGTCACAAGATTCCATCGCCAAGATCGTGGAGCTGGGATTCACACGCGAAGAAGCAACGCGAGCGCTGGACGCCGCGAATGGAGATCTAGACGGCGCGATTGGATTCTTACTCTGAGAGTGAGTCACTGAGCCTTGACGTAGTTGCGGATCAAGCACGATCTTCTTCTAGTTCTTCCGCGGTGGAACTTTGGTCGGTGGGATTCTTTGGTAGGTCGCACTTTCTATTACGATCATATTCAGGCGTTTAGCGTCCAAGGGTGAATATCTGGGTGGTCAAGATCTCCTGAATATATGGCGGATTTCGTTCTGCCGCTTTCTTCACTTGTGATGTTCTTTCCATGTAACGTAAGCTTTTTTTACACCAGCACTTGAATTTGCAATTTTCACGAATATTGTCTCATCAGACGTGAACCAGCTCAGGAGCAGTGAATAATCTTCGAATCGATGGGTCTTGCCACGTCTGATCGTTACTACTATCTGGTAAGTTCGTAATGTCCGCTACGGTCACATGACATGATCAAAGCCGCCTTCCAGCTTGTTTGCTTGTGTTTATCCTCGGTTCCAAATAGTTACGGCCAGGCTAGTCAACTAGCGTGTGGGACCCACATCGTGGAAGGGTATAAATACTCCCTCCCCCCCGGCGCTCTTCCTCTTCTTTCTTTTCTTCTCCAGCTCTCTTTGCCAATTGGCTTAGATCAAGTGTAGTATCTGTTCTTTTCAGTTTAATCTCTGAAAGTTTTCTCCGGAAAACCTTATTGATTATTCTCATTTTTGGATTTCGTGACTTGGTCTCTGTGCTTGCGCATGCCTCGTCGCACAGTGTCATTGGGCTTACACTACCCCCGATCGACGCGAATCAACCTTTTTCATCAATCGGTCGGCTTGTCCGGCTACTTGGAGAAGAAGACGTCGAATCACCCTCGGGATGAGCTCACATATACTTGACTTGGAGTTTACCTCGCCACATGCTGGATCTACGAAGCTCTGGAACACTGGAAGACTGATCTACTCTGTCGCTGTCTAGTGGTCCACTGGTCATACTTTGGCTGTTCGATCTGATCTGCACCAAAACAGTAGGCCAGTTGCTTCTGCTGGTCGAATGCAGATATCTGCTCACCAGTTGTCGCCTTTGTCGCCTTCGCTGTCGGTTGTTGCCACCTTGCCACGCACAAACCTCGGCGATGTCTTCACTCATGCTTGACCTTGGGCATCAGTTGAGCGCGCAGTCGAAGAACCATATCGAGAGCCATCAAGGCGCCTGCCTATCGTCAGTTCAGTTCCAAAAAGAGACCCCCCCCCCCCCCCCTCCCCGGGAAAGTTGCCCTTGAGATCCCACTCAGGGGTGGCCAGGACAGATTCCGTCGCAGGATGTTGTTCTCGTCACCACGCCGTCGTCTTTTCGGACTGAGATTCGGGTGACGCTCAACACATCTTCCAGATTCGCGGGGACAGCTTCAACTCCGGTGTCTCCAGACATTCACCGCCGCAGACGTGCACATGACAAACAATCGATTCCTTCCGTCCCCGGCCGCAAGTATCTCGTCTAGCTCCTCCGTGTCGTTCGAGACTCACCTAGCGCAACATAAGGCCCATACAGATACGTGATCTGCTGCTTCTCTTCCATCGATCGATCCGTCCAACTCCACACGTCGACGAGACATGTCAGGGAAGTGACAAAGGCTTGGACTCCAAAAACGAGAAGATGCACGGGGATGAGCGGGTGATCTGTGAGAACAGAAGGACCGAAGAGGTCGAGGTGGTTAGCTCGTTGATCTGTGGAAAACCGAGACTGTATATTCTTGTCGAGGGAGTGAATAGTAGGACCCTCTGTCTTGAGAACAAACTGGACAGTGGGGACATACCTCTCATCAATCCCCAAACAGCCCACACACTCGCCGGGACATGATACAACAATTCCATCCAGATGAACGCGTTGAACCACACTGGGGCCGGCTCCTCGAAGAATTTGTCCCGATATGTCGCGATGTAGTACTCTCGTATCGTGGCCGAGAGGTTGCTGCGGAACCAAGCTGGTTGCAAGGGGACCGTGTCGACGAGGAAGATGATGGGAATGTGCGATGCGAAGAAGAACAGGTAGGCCAGATCGCGTTTGCGACTGGGCAGAGCCATGCGAGACATCGTCGTGGATTTGGCAGGGTGAAGGAGAATGGCCTGGTGTTGGACTTGCGCGGTGGACGGGAAAGGGACGAAGCTCAAGCTCCGTAACGCGCCCTGGCGATACCACGGGAGTGATTGTGGGTCCCGTCAACGTGGAAATGCCGGGTCAGGCGAGGCCCATGTCAGTATTCGCGTCGCGACATTGAAGGGCTAAGGTGAAATTGTCAATTTCCTCGGGCGGAACCATTGAGCCTCGATGTGGTGAAGATTGATTAGCTCTGGCAGATTGGAAGCTGATACTCCTATTACCCGAGTGGGAGTGCTCACGGTCAGATAGTCATGAAGATGGCCTCAACTTGATTTATGGCTCACTTGATCGACCGTTCCACCAGTCGGAGAAGACCAGTGGGTACATGAGCTCAGGACTTTGAAGCTCAGATAAAGCTGTTGGCAATCTCCAGAACTCTGAACTTGTCAGGTATGGATGGATTTGACCGACAAAATATACTTCTCGCTCGGGCGCCGACAGTACGTGAGTGGCAGCCGAGGCAAAGGCATGCTCAACCCGGCTCGGGTGGAAGTTGCGAGAGAATGAGACACTGTTCATGCGACCGGCAAAAGTGTATATTTTCGAGGTCACGCATGCTGCCAGAAACTAGAGTTAAGCGGTTGATCGGCTTTCACACCAACAAGTGATATCGAAAAACAATTTTCTGGTGACAGACAGCGTCTGCATGTATTGCCCGTGTTAATTATTGATCACCTGGGTCATGGTTGGAAGCACACGGCAGAAAGACAGATGCAAACTGCAGATTAAGCATATCCCTATACAATATAAGTTAGTGTGCATATCACTGTACACTTATAGTGTCTGAGTGTACAGTAGCGAGAATATGCACGCTACTTCCCAATAGCAGTACCTGAAATATTCATATTCGCAGCAGCGTAGAGGACAAAAGTCACCCGGCGTACCTGTACTTCTCTTTGCCATGGCCTAATCCTGTTAGGGAGGTACCGGTAGGTCAAGTCAGCACCAGACATCCTCCGACTCGGGCCTTCCACGCCGGCCCATTCCGGTGGGGTCATCTCCAGTCCCGACCATCAAGCCGGAACCATGTTTGCTTTTTCTTGAGAAAATAAGCTTAGTGGAACCATGGAACAGCATCGAGGAGGAGTTGTTTGGGTTGTCCGTGGTTTAAATGTGAGAAATACAGTATAGAATATAGGGTATAGACGATTATACATGTGTTTTGTAATCGGTGGAGTATGTTTAGAAAGCCTCCAGCTGATTCTTGGGCCCGAGGTGAAAGCAGCTCTACCTATGACCTAGATAATCGGGAATACGTACCTTTGCTGAACCAGGTTAGATTTATCTTTTGGCCGGGGGGATGGGGAACTTGATTCGTTTGAGTTGAGCAGAAAGAGGTAGGTCTCATTCCCAGGATTTTACACAATCATATCTAGGCCGGTGCGCAGGGTTTGGACTGAATTAGCTGAGCTCGTCCCGTCGTGCAAGTGGGTAAGACGTAACGATTGTTTGAGCGCGACCGCAATGATCGGTGACAAGCTGGCAAGAAGTTCGCTTGTCTTGCTGATTGCTACCAGTAGGATAATGGTCGCAGCTGTACCATCCCTCTAGATAGTATCAAGCAAAACAGGAGTGCAGTGGTAGTAAGAGAATTCCATTCCCCACCCGAATGAATCTGGAAACAAGCCAATAATTCGATCAGCCAGCGCAGGGAATCCCAAATGAACGGACGGGGATTCGTCCGGTGCTAGTCGGACTGAGTCATGGCTTGATGGGATTTTGCCGGCCCGGTCTCTCCCCAAGTTATGGTGCCAGATATGGGAGCTGCGGATCGGGGGGGTAACTCACTCCTCATAGTAATAGAGCATCCTATATGATGGAACGGGGTGTGTACTTTGGGGGCCGTTGTGGTGTGGATCCGGTAGTCTGAACTCTGAACAGGTACCGCTTGAGTGTTGTCATCGACACCGACCACAGCCTGTGATCCACCGAGTCATCGGCCAGGAATTGAGAGATCAAGGTGTTTACAATGAGAATCGCCATGCTATATGCATAATGCTGGTCGGCAACCAATCGTATCTTTGATGTCCCGAGTCAGGGAAACAAAAAGGATCAAGGAAAAAGAGAAAAGATTAATTGAGACAATCCTTTACAGATACAACCTGACCTGATGGTCACAGCACTCAAAGTAATACCTACATACATAGAAGGGGTTGTTAAACCTGATCTTGACATTTCCCTAGTCCTAGTCACCTTATGATGTACGATGGTGTTTGATGTAGACTACATTGTCCGTTTTCTTTCCGTGTTGAGGGGGACGGACCCCTGGAGGCTAGAAAAAGAGACGAATGTCTACATTTCACATGTGTAGAGTGTATTCAGAACATCGCAGACCACAAAGCAAACGAGAAGCACGAGGGTTATCACGTCACGGTTTCTCCCCAGATCATTGGTCACAACGTCAGATTCATATCTCTCGCTCCAAGCTCCGTGCTCCCCATTCTGGAAGACTCGGTATGGCCTATGGAGTCAGTGGCTTCCGGCTCCGGGGACAGGGAAGCAGGGCTCTTGAGAGCTTCGATGTTAGTAGAGAAAGAGACTAAGCTACGCCACAATCCAACATTGTCCCGACGGATCGACGGATTCGACCTTGGGATGAGAATAGCCCATCACCATAGTACTGGAAGATTGTTGAGTGCGTGTCAAGGTGTGTAATGCACCCTGCATGTGTGCTGTGCAGAGTGCGTGGTGCGTAGTGCGTACATACACATCATACATGATTAGTGTATAACTGTCTGGCAGTCGGGTTGTAGGGCGCACTTTGTGGCTTGAAAAGACGACCGGTCGAACTTCCGTCATTCGTGACCATTTCCATCGCACAGGATAGGTCTAGGTCGGCACATGAGTTAGCGCCGGACAGGATCCCATTCTAGTGTATAGTGTGTACTGCGAGTGTGTACATACATAGGCTTCTAGTGCTTCTACCCTCTTACAGACGGTCCACAGGCCACACTTTGTTGATAATGTAGCGTATCACTCGCGGACACGAAGGATTTTCCCTCCTGCAGTTGTGGCGACAGTGACATAGTTATGTGTCTAGCCATTCGTTGGAAAGACGCGCAACCCTGGGCGTGTAGAATCAATAACAAAAAAAAAAGGTTGCGAACGTCTAGACACGCTTCTGTCTTTATTGTGATATCGATAATGCCTAGACGAGGTTGCTTCCAAGCCCTAATAACTGGATGAGAGCTTGTATATACCCACTCAAAGTACATAGCACCTGCGAATTCAGGTGCGTGTTCCAACTGTTGTATATCTCTGCTCAAATGTGTCAATTTATCCCGACGATAAGTAAACTGGGCTATGTCCGTTAAGTGCAATCTGATGTACTCAGTACCAGGAGAGCACTATCCTTCGAAGACCAAAAAGAAGAGAGGCAAGATATTCCCGGTATTCCATGATATCGTGGCCACTTGTCATGTATATCTCTACGACCTAAGTAAATGTGAGGTCAACGGGCGGAAAAATCAAAACAGAGTTTTAGCAGACCGCATGTTTGACAAGACACCAATGAATGATGGGTGCTAGCGCTCATGGCAGTCGCCGGTGGAGATGAAAAGTGGAGTGGGGATAACCGGGGGATTTACCGTCGCTGGAGAGGATCGTCTTTACCTGCGCGAGCCGTACAGGAGTCCGGCATGTAGTATATAGTTATGTACTGTGTAGAGTCTGTAGACTGTCGTGGAATCCAGCCGCCAGGAGGGGCACTAGGTCAAGAATCCAAAATATGATCCATTGAGAGGGGAGCTATGAAGAAGTTGTAGTCGACGTGACTTGTGACGGAAGATCTGAGCATGCCAGGAGCAAGGGTAAACGGAATATGGAAGAAGAGAAAGAAGTGTTCGGCGAGTCGTCTTATGAGTCTATGCGGCACTTCCAATCAATGAATCTGACTTGATAAGCTTTACTTCAACAGGAGCACGAGCAACACATACCTAGGACTCAAGTATCTAGTCGCGACCGCGATACTTTGCAAGTACTGAGTAGGACGTACTAAGCGAGGAGAGGTTCTGGTCATGAAACGGAGCTGATTCCGGGTGTTTGTTTCGGGTCTCCACTGGTAAACACTTAAGCCCCGATTGGGGGATAGAATAGTATGGGTGGATTGCTGCCATAGCATAAATGAACAGATGAGTAGTAGTAGTAGTGTCTTGAAGTCTTCAAGTGCTGTTGTATACACGGAGCTTGGGAGAGAGAAGAAGTGAACGGAAGTACCATGACAGCATCTGAGTATAAGACCTGCACTATTCTGCAGTCTGCACAGATCACGGTAGATAATGCAATTGCCATTCCACCTGCAGCTGCCTTATCGATGCATGGATGATGGTAGGTTGTGCGACCACCTCGAGGGAAGAAGACGGGAGGTACGAGTCCAGTCAACATTGATAGGTCAGTATAGCCGATTCATGGAAGTGATCGCATTGGGATCGACTGCGGTCGCGTCATTGATCTTGCATTACAATTGAGGATCCCAACACCTATTCCTGCAAATCTGTGGGCGTACACTGTATGACTGTACAGTGTACAGTGTACAGTGTACAGTCAAGAGTGTACCCTGGACCAGTGATCATTAGAGTGTGAATTGTGGAATTGTAGAACGATCTCATCGTACAGCCCCTATCACTCCTTCGACAAGCAAACGGTGGCTTCTGTACTGTACAGCCGAGGTCTGCATCACGGCTCTCCGACTCCTGTCAAAAAATAATTGAGATCTCCGCCCAGGCTCTCACTGCAGCTGGTTGGAGCTCTGTTTAGTTCCCTTCCGGCCTTCCCTCCCCTGCTGAAACAGACCTCCTGATAGGATTGCCACTTTCATTAGCATGTCACCTCCGACTGGATGCGCGGACAAGGCAGTGGCAGACGCAGACGCAGACGCAGAAGCGGTGGGAGTTCAGTGGTTCACTCCTGCTTTGACCACGGAAAATTGACGGGGAAGAGTGGCATGGCAGATGGGGAGATGGCAGGGCTCCGATCTGTCGACTCCGACTGTCAGTGTCTATGAGTCTAATGGTCTATGGCTGTACGCCAGATGGGACCGGGGACGGAGCCAACAGCTCGAAATGGACATGGTTCCTGGATCCATTGGGAGGAATCGGATTGTTTTGTTTGGGGTTCCCAACTCAATTCCATGGAGTCGCTGGGGGTCTGGGGTGGATCTGGTTTCATTTCGGCACTGCGCTCTCGTGTTGTTAGGCTCGTGGTCTTTCGTATTGACATGTACTCATTAGTTCGGTTCGAAGGCAATCTGTGGTAGATGGTTGAATTGCGTCTGGATCTGCTCGGCAATCATGTTGTAGTGATGAAGCAAGGTAGTTCAGTGTAGACCGTAAGCTGTAGGAAGGCGGGATCAGAGTATAGCAGAATGGGTCTGCTCGTCTTCTGGAACTTATCGTTTGTCCACTACTACGACTCCGACTCCGACTCCGACTCCGACTACGACTACGACTACGACTTCTGCCACTACGACTACTACTGTCCTTTGCTGATTCTTGCCATTTGCCTCCATCAACCAGCTTGCCACGGTCGGAACTTCTCGGAATGTTCTAGCCTGGGTGGTGCCGGGCTTGCTATCGCACGTATCATGGGCTTCTTCCCCAGTGACATACCCAGGTGCATACAACAGGAGATGAGTGCAATCAACCTTGTCTGCCGGCCATGCGCATTTCCCGTGATAGACCGGATTTCCTTGGTTTGAGTTCGATGCCTGACCAGACCTTGACCGCTTCTCTGATGCACACACGAACCACTTGCAAAGCTTTCGAAGTTTCGTCTGCATGTTTCCCCCCCCCCATCCCCCGCCCCCCCAGCCTTTTCGACACGAGCAGAGTTGATGGCGGCTCGGATGGACACGATCGGTAGATTCATAAGTGCCGTCCGGTTCTTATTGATGGTCCAACGGGATTTACATGTACTTTGATTGTACATGTGTCATGTAGGGAGGCCCTTCTCTCATGACTTTTTCCTCTTCTATTCGTCCCCGACGAGCTCTCAAGACATTCAGACGCCCTACCAAGAATCCGTAGTTCCACACCGTCCAGTCAATTGTACACACTGTGACACTTCACTCTATCCAGTACACCCTATACTGTAGTAGTCTTCGGGCTCTAGTCTGTCATCTGTACCCGGTGAATAGTAGCTATGGAAAGACAACCCATGGCCGCCTGTGAGCTGTCTCATGCGCGACGCAATCTCCTCCCAACCCACCGCGCGATACTTCCTATCTATCGATCTGACCTCCTCGTCGACTATCTGTCGGGACTGCAGCCATCTTGAGGGTCGAGTTGACTAGTTGGACAGGGTATTTGCCGGGGCTTACTCCTGGCGCTCGGAGGGGTCGATGATCCGACATGCCTCGTGCTTTATCGAGTCTCTCGGTTCCGAGATGGAAACGGAACTAGTGTTTGAAGCTATCCTGCACGTCGGACAAGGGAGGGACCCACGATGTCTTGCTCGCGGCTGACATACGTCCATCCTGAAGGCGGGTGTAATTTGAAGAATATGATTCTCGGATTTTCCTGAGAGCACCGTTTTCTCATCCAGGATAGTCATGATGGATACTTTTTTCCCGCCGCGGGGGCTTTCTGGAGTGTTTCCTCTTTGGAGGTACCCATTTGACTTTTTGGGGGTTTTACTTTTGACTTCTTTTTGGGCCTCTAGATGACCTTCGATTGAGTGTGCTTGTCATCCACTCTTTGGGCCTTACCTCTCCAGTTTGCTGATCTTCCTGGCCGTCTGCCTATTTGTTTGCCCTGGTCCTGGCTCAACGTCGTAAGAAGCGGTCGAGAGATTGCGGGTGGAAACTCAATCCCTGGTGTCTACTTTGACAATCGCAGCATCCCGCGAAAGTCTTCACAGCTACTCGATAGATGAGGGTCGGTGGATCCATTGAAGATATGATCAGTGCCGGACGATAATGACCTGAAGAGGCATACTTTCCTGGCCCTGCACGTCGAAATCAAGGCCAGGACAGGGAAACGGAACAGTCGAACGGTGGACGCAGAAGGGCGTGCAGGATAATTAGATTTAATTTATCGAGTATTAATTCATTCGGTCGATCTGATTATAATTTCTTTTTCCGTCCCACTTGCTATCCACCGAACTATAAACACCTTAGATTTACCCACCATCCTGGGCTTTCTCCCATCCTTGAAGCTCCTCTGGCGTGACTGTCAACCATCTTCTGCAAAGTGCCTCACTGCCTCACTGCCTCACTGCCTACTGCCTACTGCCTCAGTGCCTACCCGCTGGTCGTCTTTACAATACCCTGTGAGCTATCGCATGTCGTGGACGTTTACCCACGACGGTTCACTTCCCACAGACAAGGTCCTCGATTTAGATCACTCGAACTGGACTCGTTTCGTCGGATTCAATTTCTGCACTTCTTGATTCCCGCTTCAACCGCCTCACTCCCCCGTCTTCTGATCCGATTTGACTTCCATCTCTCCTCCTCTTTGTCTATCTCCCTCTCCTCCACATATCTCCCTTTACGACCCTTCCTTTGGGGGTTTCATTCTATCGCAATGCCTTCATCCGCTCCCCTCATCCGATCAAAATTGAATGGTCCCCATGACCAAAATGGTCACAATGCCCACAATGCCCACAAGCCGGAGATCCCCATCAGCTACGACATCAACATCCCCTACGTCGACGTCGACAAACTCTCCAAGATCAAAACACCCTACCCTCAATACTTGCCCTCCTGGGATCCCGTCTGGTACGATCCTCTACCACCCTTTGACTACTCCGATCCCGCTCTGCGCGTCAAGGATCAATCCATGCGTAATCTTCTCACTCCCAACGTCACTGTCAACCATATCCAACCTAGCATCGGTTCCGTGGTGACCGGCGTGCAACTCAATCGCCTCTCGGACGCCGCCAAGGACGAGCTCGCCCTGCTCATCTCCCAGCGCAAAGTCGTTGCCTTTCCCGATCAGGATCTCATAGATGACGGCCCTGCCGCCCAAGAGTCCTTCATGCGGTACTTTGGAAAACCGAACTACCAGCCCGTCTCGGGCACCGTGCGCGGCCATCCCGGGTTCCACGTTATTCATCGTGATGGCAATCGCGAGGAAATCGCTCGTTTCCTCGAACAGCGCACGACTACCACCCTCTGGCATCAGGATGTCAGTTATGAGATCCAACCGCCCGGGTATGTCATGCTGGGTTTGTTGCAGGGACCCGAGGTGGGCGGTGATACCGTCTTTTCCGCGACGGACATGGCCTACAAGCGCTTGTCGCCCACCTTGCGATCCTTCTTGGACACGTTGAAATGCGTGCACACCTCATCCAAGATGATTGCACACACGCGCCTGACGGGCGGGCTGGTGCGGAAGGATCCGGTGGACACGGTCCATCCGCTGGTGAGAGTGCATCCGGTGACGGGCGAAAAGTGTCTGTTTGTCAATGCCGAGTTCATCACCAAGATCCAGGGCATGAAGGAGCCCGAGTTCAAGTGGATGATTGATTTCTTGATGAACCATGTGGTCACTGGCCATGATTTCCAGGCCAGAGTCCGATGGCAACCAAGGACGGTTGTCATGTTTGATAATCGTTCAACGACTCGTGAGTTTTGCTCTTCTTCCTCCTCTTTCCTTCTCAGCTAGTTCGGTTGATGAAAGCGGCTAACCATTCCTCTCTCTGTCTCTCTCTCTTCCAGACTCTGCCATCGTCGACTATCTCGACGACGAGTACGGTGCCAAAGCCCGGCATATCTTCCGACTTTGTGCCTTGGGCGAGAAGCCCATCCCAGTCTATGACGAGTTCGAGTGAGACCATGTGGGCGCCCAAAGCAGACATCCAATCTCTCGTAGATGTCTCTCATGAGCACCTGTCTTCTCTCCACTTTCCGTCTTCTGTTCTGTTTTCCTCTCTTCTAGAAGGACTTGGCGTATTCCGTACTGTTTTTGACGTTGATGCAAGCGCTTGGAGGAAACGTGGGTGATAGAAAAGGGGTCCGGTATAAATCTTTACTATGGGTGTTTTTCGGTTCGCTTCTGATTCAGATTCTTTGGAAATTCTGTTTCTTTGATAGACTATTTTGAGCGGAAGGTTTCCTTTTTATAATGAAGATATGCGATTCTTCCCCCTGCTACGGCTTCAAAGTTGATGCCTGTAAAATTTAGTAAAATATTAAAATTTCTTCAAGTATACTTCCCGGGCCCTAGTGTGTTGACTGTGGAGTGTTTCATCCACGCCTCAGAAAGGTAAGTGGATGTTTCCATGGTTTCCTCGTAGATGCTTTCCCATTTGGCTTCACCTTTCCGCTCTCGACTTTAGCAGAGCCCTTCGTGCGGTCTCCTCGGCGAACACAGAAATACTTGGGTGTCCCAAAAAATTGCCTTACACGGAAAGATTTCCCCAAGAACATAATTCGTCAACAGGGACCCATCTACGATCCGATACCTGGTACACTGAATACTACATTCCAGGCCTGAGAAGTCAGTCCGCTCCAGGCATTAGGCCCTCGTTCTCTCACCATCAGCAGCGTGCGGATAATACTTCGATGTAGATTAGGTTTCTGACAACTATAAGCCCGCTTCTGCCCGAAACCTCCAGCTAGTATTCCATTCTATCTGGTCCATGCGAACGGAAACGCTTAAAGTCCAGATGCGAGCCGCCCCTGTCTACAGTCTCTGTGCCTGGAGAAACTGGGTACTCGGTTCCATTCGGAACCTGTTGTTATCCAGAAGGTCTGTCTGGTTTCCAGCTAGGTCATGGGTAGAATAACAACCTAGACTCTAGCAGCCATCTATTGAGCAGCCGGTGCAGATGAGCGCTGTGTATGGATTTGCATCACTGGAGTTGGAGCCTTGCAGGACTTCTGCTCACTGGAGGTCATTTTCAAATTCTCGTTTGGATGCTGGGGATACTGAGTGCAGGTGGTTGTACAGAAAGAGATGTTGAAGTTCTCGTTGTGTGTGGGGGATGGATTCGGGGCTCGGGTTTATATGAAAGTATTGGAGTACGTCTGCATCAGGTCTGGCGTAGGTCTGATGCGCTCCACCTCATGACGGGACGACCTTTTGTCGAGGCATGGAAACGACCGAGAGAAACGAGTGCTTCTGTCTGGCTTGGGGATCGGGTATCAAATTTTAGGGCCGCATGTACAGTAGATTGATGCTGTAGGTCGGACAGAGGATCTTGGTGCAAAAGCTTGAAGAATGATATGCTTCCTTTCATCATCCATCTTTCCACCGAAACGTAGAGACGCCCGCAAACTTGTTTCTAGAGTTACAGAAAAGGGAGAGCAGAAAAGGGGGAAAAAATCACGAGAACACAGAAGGGCAAAGTTCATTTATCATACGAGATGAACAAGTATGAGCTCATTGAAGGTTTGTTGAGGAGTGATCTTTTTAAAGGGGTTTGCAAAAATGCCTTCGATGTATGAGGCTCGCTTCCAAATATGCACCATCTTCACAGACTTGCTACTGCCCTCATCGCAGCAAATCTTCAATACGCTGCCGTAATTCTTGACACCTCTCATTGATCTCAGGCGTCGTTGCAGTTCCGGCCTGCATGATCATCGCCAGGATCTCAGATACGCGCTCAGCTTGCGGTTCGCCGCCAAAGACCAAGCCGCCCATGCGGGCACTCTCGCGGAACCACCCTTCCACAAGGTAGAGCAAGTCCTTGGCAATGTATCGGCGGTTAGAACCCTGGAAAGGTGCCTCGTCGGTGTAGAACATCGCCTCGAGGACAGTGAACAGCGAGTCATGAGCGACTCCCAGATCCAGGAATAGATCGACCACCCAGTAGCTTGCACTCACGCTACGTTGGAACTCAAGGGAATATCTTTCCAACATAGGGAGTAGCTCACGGATGGGGAAGACCGTTTCGGACATTCGCAGTCGACTTCCGAGGCTGCGGACCTTCTCAACGACCGCTTCATATGGTTGCGGTGTGCCCCGTTCAACGGTCCGCTCGTGAATTTCATGAATCAGCTTCTGCCACATGGCCTTGATATCAGCCGCATTGCGATAGTCGCCAATGAAGAAAATTTGAAGGCAGATGTCGTGATAGCCAGCCGGGTCTGCGTAGTGGTTGAAGAGCTGCAGAAACAATGAATTAGAATCATCGAGAAAGCACAATGGTACAAGACGAAACACAACAACGACCATTATGTGGAAAGAAAAAGAGGAGCATCACACATACCGTACTAATGTCCGAGACCGGACCGTCCACCTCGGCAAGCACGTCGGGCTTGCGCTCTGCAGCAATACGCTCGTCGTCCTTCAAACGCTGAAGAAGATCGTCTTGAATGTTGGCAACATCAATCAGATTAGAAATTTCCTGAAGCAGGCGTTGGCGCTCTTGACGTCCGACGTCACGGGTCAATGTAGAGCAGTTGGCGCGAGCGCGACCCAGGTATTCAATGCGCCGACTGAGGGGCAGTGCAAACGCGCTCTGTGCGAGCTGGAATTGAACCTCGGCCGCCTCAAAAAATCGCTGAGATTGAGCGTAGTATTGCCAAAGCAGATCGGCATGAGCGATATCGTCGTTCGACTTGCGCTGAAGATAGCTTACGACAAAGGATGACTGAGTCTGCAGGAGTCGCTCGCTCCACCCTTGTTCCAAGTACCAGTCATACAAACTCGTCAGGAAGACCTCGTCAGATGAGTCGGAAATAACGCCATATGCCTCATTTTGCCGCTTGGCGATCACGGTAAGTTGCCCATCAATGACATGAGGGCCAGAGGCTGCCTGAGTGTCAACAGCTATTATGACCTTAAAGATCAGGTCGTAACATTGTTGGCGGAACAAGAAATATTGTTTGCGAGGGTCCTGCACATTTGTGAGCAATTGCTGTGGCGTGAGCATAATACCAACCAAACAGAAACCTACCTGATCAGGGCGCCCATCCATAATCCAGGGGAGAGCCATGTTCGCCTTATCTGAGCGCTGTGCTACGTGGAGCGCAAGTGAGATGGCGCCTGTTCATTTGGTCCGTCAGTGCGGGTGTCTTGATGAGAGCTTTGAAGGGGATTTGAGAAGATCGCCACATACCGGCAAAGAATTGATTGGAAATGTAGTTGTCCACGGCCGAGACCAGATAGTCCATGGGGAGATTCTCGGCAACCTGTTGGAACAAGAGTAAACTCTCGTTAAGCAAGTTGCGACCCAGCTCTGAATTGGCGCCGGCCTCTGTGGCGCGCTTGAGCTGCTCCTGGGCCTTGAAAATGACCACGTCTTCAGCGCTGCAGAAGCTACCACAACGACGACGAAGAGCATCGGCCACAGTTTCCACGTTAGACCCCTTGGCGATGTTTCGGTTCACAATGCCCTTAACCAACTCTTTGGCAATCTCGCGACCTTTACCGGTGCTAAAAAGCTCCTCGAACGTCAACTTCAGGAATCGCTCCTTGGACTCTTCAGGTAGCGAAGCCACAATCTCATCCACGCGCTCATCGAATAGCACCAAAACAAATGAGATACCCTCAATGGTGTGTGACACCAATTGAACAAGAGAGTGTAAAGCGCGGTGCTCAGCTTGCAATGCCGTCTCCTGCTGCTTGTTGGACACTCTGGCGAGCTCTTCCGGTCCAGTCAACCCTTCAATGAAACTCTTGTTAATCTTGAAGAACTCCTGAAGAGAAGAGAGATCGTGCTGAATGGCACGCAGCTTCGCGGCGCCTACGGAGGCAAATACGGAGGCCGCACCATTTGGCCCCTTTCCAACACGAGTAATGCTCTTCTTCCAGATGGAGCGTAGCAAACGTGAGATGTACAGAGCGATACCATCGTGACGAGGAGAAAGGTGGATAGTATCGATTGCAGGGGTGACATTGTCCTGGACAGTATTCTCATCGGGCACTGGACGGCCACCTTGTTCGATGAAAACCCGGCGAGCAAACTCCAGGACTTCTGGATCGTTGATCGGCGTGAGTCTCTGGTCCGGGGAGACTTCTACACCTTGACCACATGCAACGGCTAGTGCGGTGGCCACAGTCTCGTTGCGCCCGTACGCTTTGATGAAATTGACAACTTCTTGTTCAAGGCCAACCTCACCTTCAGCGCTGCCGCGACTGCGTGCCAATGCCGCGAAGATGTCCACAAGACGCCTGCGACGAATGACGTGAATTCCGCTATTGGTCAAAATAGCGATCTCGGCAGCTCCCTGGTCGAATTGAACAGCGAGTTCATTGCCAAACCCACCCCCGAAATTCCGGCTGGTCCACTGGAACACAAGCCGATATCCTCCGCTCTTCCACCAAGACTGAGCCAAACGGCCGACTCTGCCGTCTTGGCAATGTTCACACTCTCTGGCTGATGGTTCAGACGACCGGGATCGGGCGAGGATATGAACAGTGTATCCATCTTTTGAGTGACATCCTTGCACGTAAAGCAGAAAAAGAACCCAGGTGGGAATCGCGTAGCCATTCGCGCGGGCGATAAAGATTGAATTGGGTACTTCGTGACCGCGGCGTTCAGCCGTGACATGCCGTACTCAGTTGGCGCTGACACGGCAGAGAAGGCGGCATTATTTTCGACTGGTGGCGTCTTCACATGTTGCGCTTGCATACTTGTGGGTGCACTGCTGCCGTTGGAAGAGGGCGACCAGCTGTAGGCGTTGGTGGCGCTCAGATAAATTCGATAACCTGTGGCTGTGGTGGCCACAAGATGATACCGCGACGCCTCTGCCGCAGGTACGGGGCTAATTGACACGATCTTCACCTTGGAGTTCAATGTCTCGTTAGACGCAATGATGTGTCCGATGTTAGAGTAGATGTCTAGCGCGGCCTTGGTAATCGCGAGGGAAATGGCGCCGTCATCTTTCATATGGAAGACGCGAATCGTAGAGGTTGACGACAGAGTGTACAGAAGTCGTCGGCTGTCGTCGATCACCATTTGCTCCACATACTCGGCGGTCTTTTGCGCCAGAGCGGCAAGGTTCGAGAAACTTAATGATGGCGCGAAAGCGGAAAGCCTTGAGCTGGTGTGGTTGATTTTTCGGCATCGATTCTGGAACCAGCCTTCCTCCTGTTGATATGTGAGCTCATACACATCATTGTCCGACAGCCCTCCAAAGAAAATCCGGCCCGTAGCATCCGACGAGGCAAAGACATTGATATCCAATCCCCGAATTGACGCTGACATGCCCGTTTGATACAAGGTGACTTGCTTCGATCCATTCGCTGTAGGTTCCACACCCATGCCAAGCAAAATCACCTCTGCGGTTGTAGCCACCACAAGTAGGTGAGTAATCGCCGGCAAGAAGACTCCAGCACGGGGCCTCAATAGCTTCACTGCATTTATACTGTTCGGCTGATCCTCAAATCCGACCAATTGAGGACTCGGGTGTGTGAAATCCCAGAGGTAGAGCGCATTATCAATTGAAACCCACGCGTGATTCAGCTCAGCGAATAGACCCATGCTCGTGGACACCTGAGCGCGGTTGTACTGATCGAAGATTTGATCTGGAATGTTGTACATCTTCACTTTTTGGAAAGGTGCCCATGACTGAGAGACTGGTATGTCGTATTCGGAAGAGAAGCCCTCTGAATCGTGCAAGTGTGAGCTTGTGTAGATGTTTGGTAATATCAAGGGAGATGAATAGACTCACGCGACAGGTAGCTGTCAAGGTCGGGGTATCGCGACTCTTTCAGAAGCGTCTCATTGATGGTGCGCGCCCCCCGTTCCTCTGTAGTCAATGGCTGAGATTGGGGGTGCGACGCGACTGGAGCGATTCGAGACATGAACGGAGATTGGGACGCAATGGCCGGTGGCTGCGGCTGCTGCTGTTGCTGCTGTGGCTGGGCCTGGGGCTTCTGTGATTGTTGATATGATTGCTGAAGTGGTTGCTGAGAAGGCGACTGAAATGACCCATGACGAGCGACGGCAGGAGTCTGCATCCAAGCACCGGGAAGGGGACGCTGGGGCGTCGGGGGCGCGAGACTAGCGGGCAAGGTCGGATACGACATCACGACGGATGGATGCACGCACAGCTGGGGAGCAGATGGGAGAGAAAAATGCGCGACTCCCCTGCCGAGCAATTACGGATGAAAGCTTGAATGATCAAGCTATCAAGAGGAGACAAAAGCGCTCGTCACAAAGAAAGGGTAAGAGAAAACAAGGTCGGCGACGGCGATCGGTTTCGTAGAAGAAGATGGACTCTCAAGTCCTTTTGCGAAAAGCGAGAGTCAACAACTGGGTCGCGCACGGGCCACCTTGTGATGATCTTCCGCCTTTGGCAGGGAAGAGCTTCCATCCCAATTATTGTTCTCGCTTTCGTGTTTGCCTGACAATTGAACGGCCATTGACACGAAGACAATCTACCCTTGTTCTGGATCTAGGTGAACACATATCATAATGCTTCAATCTATGCGTCTTTCCGTTCGAGGGCCTCTTCGGTCCGTCCGCTGGAACTCCACGGCTGGTCCGACTCTGCCTCCGTTGATGACGACGCTCCGAAATGATCTTAAGACGGCGATGCGAGCAAAGGACACTTACCGGTATGGCTCAAGCAAGCTGTTTCACTCAGTTCATATCCTAGATCTACTAAGAAGGCTTTTCTTCTTGAAACTCAATGCCCATGCTGACCGCCATAGACTGAATGTGCTGCGCGCCTTGATCTCAGAAACCAACAACGCCGCCAAAACCGCCTCCCCTATTCAGACAGACATCCAGCTTCTCTCGCTCATCCGAAAGCGGGCTTCGGCTGCTAAAGAAGCCGCCGAGGAATTTGCCAAGGCCGACCGAGCCGACTTGAAGGAGAAAGAAGATGCTCAAGTCGCTATCCTAGAAGAGTATGCGGGCCACGTCAAAACACTCAGTACAGAGGAAGTGGCGGCAGTGATCGCGAAAGAAATTGAAACCATCAAGGAGGCCGGAAAGAAGCTGGAGATCGGACAGGTTCTGAAGTCATTGTTTGCGGTAGGCGGTGCTCTCGATGGCAAGCCTGCCGACCGAAAAGAGGTTGCTGCGCTTGTAAAGAAAGCTCTCTCTTCTTGAGCACCAAGTGCTTTATACGTGTCGCCGGCGAGAACAAAGGCGAAGCTGAAGGCAAGGCAAAGAAAACGCCTGTGTATGATATGAGTGTTGTAAGAATACCTTGCAGGAGAGCCCAACTGAGGTTTCTCGACGGAAATATATTGCAAAGACCCAACGAAACTACGACAAAATGTGAGAATGAAAGCATATCAATAGCGGGCTCTATGCAGGTCATCCGGAGCTCCCAATTTATTTAAAAATGGCGGGAGTATCATGCAAATATGCCAGATCCAATCCCACGTTGACCTCGTCAGGTACAAAAAAGTGCGACACCCCCCAGAGACGTCATCACGAGACCGATCCACCACCAACGGTCTGGGTTGATAAGCTGCTCCTTGACAACGAGGTGAATGCTTGACACGCTAAGATCGCGCTTCTTTCGCGAATGGCTTCCGGGTGCTGGATTCAGAGTCGTGGTCGGAAGCATCTTGGGCGTTGTATACGCAAGATACATGGGCTGCATAATCTTGCCGTCTCCTTGAGTAAGATCCAATCTTCGAACGCCGTGGTATGGATCAACCTGTACCGCAAAAGCCTTTGTGCCACGGAGCATATGATTAGCTAAGATCTCAGACATTGGTTTGTCAAGGCCGGGTAAAGCCAACTCTCACCTTCACAAGCTCCGTGTTGTTGTATCGGATGTAAGTGCTTGTGTCTTTCTTGCACGGTTCTGAAAGCAGCTGGCGCCCATCTACGGCGATCGGAGTCAAGATCAGGGAACCATTGGCGAGCAGTACATAAGAGCCATGCTGCCATTGCATCATACCGGTTGGGCATGATGGTTCAGTGGCTGTATCGAGTGCCAAGTTAGCGATCAGCAAGTTCTTATGCAGGAAGTTGAACGGCAGAGCTGGCGCGAAGTATATAGATCAGATCGACTCACGATTGGCTAGTGCACGGTACAAGGCCTGTTCATAGTACCCGTCGGCGGAGAACGAGTAGGATATACCAGTCAAATTAGGCTCAAGAAATCGGTCACGAAGAGGATCATAGAATCCCTATTCTTGAGAGTCAGTCTGGCTTCAATGTTCCCAGCAAGAAGTACACTCACTGGTCCCGTGAGGACATTGTGGGATTTCGTTGTCCATGTCCCGACCAACTCATCCACAGTGGTCGCGGCCACCAGTCCAATGATCAAAGTCCAAATCACGAGCATAGCGTGAAGCTGCCACGGTCGTTGAAGAAACTGAAGACGCGTTCATGACAAGAGCAATAAGAGTCCGTTCGAAATCTAGGAGCACCTCACTTGGCCTCGCCTCGATCCCTTCATTCAGGTGGAGACCGTAATAAACAAGGACCGCAGCAATGCGCCGGTCCACCTCTTATCGTGGGGGTTATCGCACTGGAATGATCGTCTTCTTCCCTTCCTCCACTTGACTTTCCCGCGGGGTTGACAATCCAAATGGGCCTTCAGATTGCGAAGCGTGACCTGCGCAAGCGCATGAGGGAAACCTTGCAGGCACTCCCAAGTGCTGCTATTTCTCAGCAGTGTGAGTCGGTCACCTGACAGATCAAAAGAGCCAAAAGCGAACATCAATTCCAGTCATGAGCAACCGGTCAATTGTGTTGGTTTATGTCACCGTTACTGATCCGCCTTTCGAGTATCAAGCGACTGTCGCGACCAACAGGTTGCTCTCACTGTCTGAGTATCAGAGTGCCAGGAGCATTGCCGTGTATCTCTCGATGCCCGTGGGTGAGATGTCGACTCGTACCATTGTTCAAGACGCATTCCAGCGCGGCAAAGATGTCTTCATACCCTACATCCATACTGTCGATAAAGTTTCCGTCATGGACATGTTCGCGCTCGAGTCCTTCAAAGAGTTCGAGGCGTTGACTCCGGACAAGTGGGGAATCCCGTCTCTACAGGCTACACAAATCCCCGGTCGGCGGAATTGCTTCCTAGGACAAGGTCTGGATCTGATTGTCATGCCGGGGATGGCTTTTGATTCTGGCTTCCGGAGACTGGGTCATGGAAAGGGCTACTACGACCATTTCCTCAAGCGATACTCCCAATGGAGCAACCGGATTCCGTTCCTCGGTAAGACTGCATATCGTGAATCCCGCGAGAGACAAAGAACAGCGATGAATGTTCTGATTTTTTGATCCGATTGTCCCGAAAAAATGATGCTAAAACTCCGTTACTCTAGTGGCCCTGGCTCTCCAGGAGCAGTTGCTCGCGGAGAGTATTCCCGTCTTGGATCATGACTGGCTTGTCGATGCCATCGTTGTCGGCGATGGGCGTTACCTGGATCGCAGGTCGTAGGTCGATCGAAGTCGAACATTCGACAAGAAAGGTATAGAAAAACTCAAGATTCATGCAAGGTATCGTCGCGTCTATTCTTCACAGTTCAAACAGCCTGGATGAGAGAAACATTGTCGCCCTTGAGTAGAATTTGACCTAGAAAATGTATCGTTTACCGTCAGCGCCACGATCTTTCAACAGCCCATCACGTGTATCCGGCCGGCATCGCAAATTGGACATACCGAGAGGTCTTCGCTTCTCTTCTTCAGTCTTAGTAGCTAGGCGGACTTCGACAGCGTCGTCAACCACCAGGTTCATGAACTCATCGAATCCCTACAAACAAGCAGACATGTCAGAAGAAGCTCAATGCCTTTAGGATAGCCTGCGACAGTTTCGTGCGCGGATTGGATAGTCGCAACGAGCTTACCCTGATCTTGCCCTCAATGCGGAACGCGAGCTGCTCGTAAAGCCAGATGGAGACCGTACTACGCTTTTGCAACAAGCTGAAAATGAAATGGATGGGAGCCAACAGGGTCTTGCGGGGCGCCATGATGAGAGAATAGAGATCTGGGCGAAAAGGTATCAAGATCGATCAAGAGGGGAGCAGAAGAGGCGGATTCATGGATTCTCGGCGGTGGAGGTGATCTGAGAGGGATGCCGCAAGCTTTGCGTCCCGTGATTTTGTGTATGGTAAATCGAATACCCGGCAGAATTTCAGAAGAGCCCCCCAGTCACGGGCTCCATCATCCCACCTTTCACACCCTCTCCGCTATCTTTGACGAGCTCACCTCTTCTTTTCACTGCGCTTTTTCTGAAATTCGTTCTTTTTCAACCTGCTCTGATCGAATTTCACCTGCCACAAATTGATACGCGGCTCCTATCTCCCACGCGCTCACCCTCCTCGAAATGGCCAGTAAGGATGGTGGGCAGGCGTTTGCCCCGGTCCTGGCGGCCGTCGCAACTATGCAAGGGAATGTGACTAGGTCCGAGAAGGCCCAGGCGCACGAATTTTTAGAAAAGTTTCAGAAATCGGTATGACTTGACTTTATTTGTGCACCGCGGAGTTTCGAAAGCTCAATGAAGCCTTACTAACGTGTTTACCTTTACCGGCCATAGGTCGAGGCATGGACAACCACGCACGCTCTATTACAATCTCCTGATGTGACGGTGGAGGCTAAATTGTTCGCTGCGACTACATTGAAAGGAAAGGTGGGAGGGAGAAAATCTATTTGCTCCGAGTGTGGGACAAGAAGGCTGACCTCGCATCGATACAGATCGTTTTTGATCTAGACCAATTGCCCCCAGACTCTGTGGTGGCATTGCGTGACTCTGTCCTCAATCTCCTGGTTGCTTTCGCATCGGGTCCGCGACCAATTCAAACCCAGCTATGCGTGTGTCTGGCAAGCTTGGCTATACAAATGCTTGGCTGGAAAGATGTTCTAGCCACAGTGGGGTCGGCTCTAGGTAGCAGTGCTGGGGATTGTGTTTTGGAGTTCCTAAAGATTCTACCTGAGGAAGTGACAGAAGGTCGCAAGATCAACCTCGGCGTAAGTTTCCAAGTTACCGTGTCCACAAATATCCATTGGCGGCTTCTCACAATCGTCTACAGGAAGATGAGTTGATTGAACGAACGAAGGAACTCTTGGAAGACAATGCCGAGCAGGTTATGCAGCTGTTGATTCAGTATGCTCAGTCGTCACGTAGGCAATATTGAGGCAAATCCTTATTTTGACAACTACTAATGGAATTATGCAGCTGCCGCGGCCACCAACCCCCGTCTTCTCGACTGTATCACTTCGTGGCTCCGTGAAATCCCAGCCGCCCAAGTGATCGATTCACCTTTGATGGACGTCATCATCAAGGCTCTTGACAATGACAATTCATTTGACGCCGGTGTCGATTGCATGTGCACCTTGTACCGGGATACGAAAGATGTTCACGAGTCGCTGCCCATCATTCAAGCTCTTTATCCGCGTCTCATGGCGCTTCGCCCCAAAATTGCCGAGACCGCCGAGGCTGAGGATCTAGAAGCTTTCAAGGGTATCACGCGAATGTTCGCCGAGGCTGGCGAGGCTTGGGTCGTGCTCATCGCCCGTATGCCTGTCGAGTTCAGAGGTCTGGTGGAAGCTGTCCTGGAGTGCTGCGCGAGGGACTGGGAACGCGAGGCAGTCTCAATCACCTTTATCTTCTGGTACGAACTCAAGCAGTCGCTCACTATCGAGCGGTATAATGATGCTCGTGTGAACTATGAGGACATCTGGTCGCAGTTGATGGATATCATGGTCAAGCATCTCGAATTCCCTACCCCCGAGGAAGGCGAGACCGATCTCTTTGGGGGCGACCGGGAGCAGGAGGAGAAATTCCGCCAATTCCGACATGCGATGGGTGACGTCCTCAAAGATTGCTGCTCGGTCATTGGTGTCACCGAATGTCTCGGCAAGATCTATCACTTGATCCAGCAGTGGGTAGGCAAGTATGCGTCGCAGGCGACCAATGAGCATGTACCTCATTGGCAGGAGCTCGAGGCGCCGCTTTTCGGTCTTCGTGCTATGGGACGAATGGTTGATCCTGTCGAAACCACGGTGCTGGGTCAATTGATTCCTCTCATTGTTCAGATTCCTGAGCAAGAAAAAATCCGTTTCCAAGCCATCATGGCTCTTGCCCGCTACACTGAATGGACGTCTATGCATCCAGAGACGTTGGAGGCCCAGCTGAATTATGTCATTTCGGGCTTCCAGCATCCATCTGCCGAGGTCGTACAGGCCGCGGCTTTGGCTTTCAAGTTCTTGGGAACTGACTGTCAAAAATTGCTTGGGGGCCACATCACTCAGCTGCACACGTTCTTTGAATCTGTGCTCGATAAATTGAAGCCAACCAGCCAGGAGGAAGTGACTGAAGGAGTCGCGGCCGTGGTATCCGTGCAACCCCTGGAGAAGATCTACGATTCGATGAAGATGTTCTGCGATCCCATCATGCAACGGATCATGACCCTGGCTAACAACGCCCAAGATGAAGAAGGTCAACGCGCCGTGGCCGATCATCTCGGATTGATCTCAATCTTCGTTCAGGTGGTGACCCCAATTGTTGCTCCTGGTGAAGAAAATCCCGCCGTGAAATATTGTGGTGAAATCTTGCCCATCATGACCACCATTGTCATGAATTTCACTTCTTCGACCCCGATCCTCGAGCGTGTCTGCCGCTGTTGGCGTAACATGATTATCTCGTACCGAACAGCAATGATTCCACTTTTACCAACTCTTGCCGAAAGCATTGCAAATGGATTCCAGGCTTCACGCGAAGGTGGCTTCCTCTGGGCTACTGACGCTGTGGTGCGCGAGTTCTCGCATGGTGCCGAGTACGTCGACGAGGCCACCAGCAATGCCGTTTTCCATTTCTATGAACAGCAAGCGACCGCATTTCTCCGTATCATGAACGATTTGCCGCCAGAGAATTTGCCTGATGGTATGTATTGCTATCTTTTATTGCATGGGAGGTAATGACCTGACCTCTTGCGTCCAAACTAGTTATCGAGGACTTCTTCCGTCTCTCTTCCGATGCCGTTCGCTACTACCCCAAGAAGTGCATTTCCTCGGAACTGGCCGTGCCCATTTTCTCAGCAGCCCTTAGTGCTCTCACCCTTCAGCAGGTCGACCCTCTTATTGCCACTCTCCACTATTATCGGGACCTTTTCAGCTTCGCCTTCGAGAAACCCCTGGTTTCCGAGTTCACTAGCCCAGACGAGGAACCATATGTGAACCCACCGGAGGTGCGAGAGGCCGTCAAGAGTCTCATAGCTTCTCAAGGTCAACTGCTTTCGCAGCGTGTTCTAGCCGGCATGATCTTCACCTTCCCTGGTGATTGTTTCCCCGACGCGTCAGCTATCATGATGACCATGTTCGAATTGCTCCCCCATGAGACAGGTGCCTGGCTCCAAAACACATTGCAGATGCTTCCCCCTGGATCAATGAAGCCAGCCGAAGCGGAGCGCTTGATGAAAAGCATTGCCGAAAAAGTGCAAACTGGTGAAATCCGGAAGATCCGGGTCTTACTTCAAGGTGAGCAGCCCCAAGCGGTCAAATTCAGTCGACTAGTTATTATCTCTCTAACTTCCGCCTTTCATAGACTTCACCAACTCATACCGCCGTCGCAACGTTGCTCCTCGCGACGGACTCGGCCGCCTGGAGGCAACGCGTTTCCGCTTCAGCGGATGAAAAGCGAAACCATTGCATAAAATAAAATATACCCTGTCTTTCTCACGTGTATGATCTCAATATATCCTTCTTTGTCTTCAACCGCCTTCGGCTTCTTGCGTTTCCCCTTCTCGAGGCCATATCAGCTATGTCGCGGTAGAAATATGCCCTCCAATGGCCGATACGAAAATCAGATCGACTCTTCCTCCGATCTTCACCCTGCACTGTGATTGCCCGTGAGAAGAAGCAATGTGACTGTCCCAAAGCTGACGGGCTAACCGCCTGCCAAGCGGGCTAGCTGCTCGGGATTGGCGCTTCAAGCCGTCGGTTCAGACTTCTCAAATCTCTACAGTATGCGCGAGGAATGAGCCCTGTAGAGGTTGGTTGTCTGCTTGCGCATCTGGTGTTGGCCCCATTGCTGCGGTTATATCGTAGCTTCTGGGAATTTCAATTAGGTGGTGTACTCGCAGACAGATAACCAATGCAAACAGGCAAAAGCAAAGACTAAAGTGTATTGCCAAGAATCAATGTCAGACCTTGTGATTGGAAGCCGCGACCTCTGTCTAACTGCAACTGAGCAGACGAACAATAGACTGGAATGCGATCCACTGTTGTATAAACCGCGAACTTGGTTAGGCACCGATCAGCTGGGCCAGCTGATGTACCTTGCGACTCACCTTTCGTATTCTACAACTTGAGAGTATGCAGTTTCAGTAAGTCACTGATAATATGGATCGTCCAGATCGTCAAGCAAATGAACTTAGCCGCTGACTCGGGAAACATTGCATGTGATAGAAGGTCCGCCGTGACGACTTCCGGAGGCAATTTTTGTCCAGTCTGCCCAGTCTTTCATTTTGTTCTTCGTCTCCAATCAGGAAAGCTAAACCGAACCGTCGAAATGACTCCGGCTGGATCATCGCTTTGACGCTCACTATGTATGCCCCCCAAAACACTTCGGTCGAGGCCTTGAATATGTGACTGCTAAGTAATGCATCAATGGTTCGAACAGTATGCCAAGAGGATCAGGCAGTCCGCCGAGCGGAACCAAGACTTTAGGCCCTTGGCATAAGTGGCGTGCCCTTGAACAATCAGTCAATCAGAATTGCAGCGTCATCAACGTGCTTGCTTGCCTTGACAGGATTGTTCAATCACATAAATCCTAATATGGCCACCATCGGATATCGCGCTGAATCCGCTCTTGGCATTAAATATTCTCATTTGGCAAGACTTGAACAGCCGCCAAGAGCCCTCACGAAGACGGGCGAATTTCTTGGCGAATCCGGGCATTGCACCCCGAGTCCGACTTGCAATCAGAATTCGACTCTCGAAAACGTGCTCGCTCATTAGATGATGCTCGTCAAATATATCGACTCCAGAACCTCGATTCATGACTGGAGTTCCACGCAGTCCGCTCTGGGCGCCCACAGCTTTCCGACTTGGCGTGAGGCTGCCTGCCGTATCAGTCAAAACAGTGACGTTCACAGGGCAAGCAATGATCTTAGATGCTATCATTCAGTGACACGCTCCGTATCATAGGGCTCTGATTGAGCGACAGTCTTACCTTGCACCAGGCACAATGACTGGCGGGTCGAACCTCGGGAAACCATGAGATCAATCACTTAAAGAGCGCAACGGGCTCGCTCAAATCTCCGTGTCTGTCAATACTCATTCGCCTCATTTACTTCTTCTGATCGCTTCCAACCGATCGTATTCCTCGTCATGATACCAGCAGTGACCGCCAAATATGACTGGATCCTCGCGATCACCACCATTGCATTCGTCTTCAGTGCTTTTGGAAACGGTGCCAACGATGTCGCCAATTCATACGCGACCTCCGTCGCTGCGCGTACTCTAAATATGGCCACGGCTGGTGTGCTCGCGATCATTACAGAGTTCGTCGGTGCTGTTGCGTTGGGTGCACGTGTCACATCCACAATCAAGAACGGTATCATTGTGATTGATCGGTTCGAAGGGAAACCCGGCGCTCTGATGCTGGCCATGGGCTGCGCCGAGATCGGCAGCGCAACTTGGCTGATTATAGCAACTCGCATGGGCTTCCCGGTGTCAACCACTCAAACTGTGGTCGGTGCTCTCATCGGGGTCGGATTTGCCAGTGAGGCCTCGGTAACTTGGGCCTGGAAGAAGGGAAGTGTATCCCAGGTGGCTGCGTCCTGGGGTATTGCACCTCTCATTGCTGCTGGATTCACTGCCATCATTTTTGCCACACTCAAGTACAGTGTTCTTGAGCGTCGGGATCCTCTGAAATGGGCCATGCGCCTTATTCCCTTCTACTTGGCAACCACTGGTGCCATTCTGGCTCTCTTCATTGTTGTTGAGGCCCCCACTGCACCTTCCCTCGAGGAATTTGGTGCTGGTAAAGCTGCGGGCATCATCATCGGTGTGTTTGTCGGCTGCCTCCTCATCGCTTACGTGTTTTTCATGCCCTACTTCCATCGCCGTCTCGTGAAAAATGACACCCGTGTCAAGTTCTACCATCTTCCCATGGGCCCCCTCCTATTGTGGGAGAATGTGTCCCTGTACTTCCCAAGCAAAAGCGAAAAAGCCGTCATCAACTACTACGAGGGTGCCTACGGCGAAGTTCTTGCCGGTCAGAAGGATGCCCATAAGCGAGCGGGGGCCGAGAACACGGACGGAACGGCAGCCTCACCCGATATCGTTGGAAACAAGGGCCCTACCGAACGAACCGATGGTGACGAAGAGAAGAATCTGAACTCCCTGAACTCGTCACCGGAGATCAAGCCGCGAAAGAAGCATCTGGAACCAAAGGAACGCTTTATCGATCCAGTTCGTGACCTGCCTTGGACGAGCCCCAAGAAGCATCTGGGCTACTTGAAATGGTTCTTCTTACAAGGCGTCACCCGAGATGTTGTTACTCACGATTCGGCTGCTCTTCGTGCGATTCATGCTCGTGCTGACCGATTCGACGATCGTGTTGAGCATCTATGGACGTACTGCCAAGTGGCCTCGGCTATCATGATGTCCATCGCTCACGGTTCCAACGATGTTGCCAACGCGGTTGGGCCCTGGGCTGCCGTCTATAGTACCTACCATGCCGGTGTCGTCGAGACCAAGGCCCCCACGCCTGTGTGGTTCCTGGTTGTTGCCGGTCTACTCCTTGGTATCGGCTTCTGGTTCTTCGGTTACCATATTGTCCGAGCCCTCGGAAATAAGATTACTCAGATGTCTCCGACCCGTGGGTTTAGCGTTGAGCTCGGAGCAGCCATTACTGTCCTTTTGGCCTCTCGACTGGGACTGCCTGTGTCCACGACACAGTGTCTCACTGGCGCTTCGATGGGTGCTGCGCTCATGAATTATGATCTGGGGGCTGTCAATTGGAGACAGTTGGCATGGATCATGGCTGGCTGGGTTCTTACTCTTCCTTGCGCTGGACTTGTTTCTGGATTGATTTGCCTGATGGCACTCAACACACCTCACCTGTAGGTCTGGCGATCGTCCCGTCTGAAGAAAGCAAACCTACATAAACGTCAAATGTATATATCCTCCGGGTGTGAAATCTTTTCATGATGAACGTCGCCGCGATGACTGCAATGTATTTGCAGGGCTGTAGATCTTTGTCCTTGATTTCTAGTTGCAATACTTTCGATTTATCAATGCCGTGGGCGGTCCATTTCAAGGTCTTTGATGACTCAACGAAGGAGCGTAGCAATATTCTTCTCTTTCAACGAACGACTACCTAAGAGACATTGGAAGACTATGGCAAATCTACCTATACAAGCCTTCAAGACACAGGTAATAAGTTACTGACAGGTAGGTCCGAGGTACCTAGGTAGGTACCTTACTAATTGCTGGCTGGAAATTTTCCCATGTAAGGTACCTGGCACAATCACCCGAGAGGCATGTACACCTGTAATGCATGATGCCATCGTGCGCCGAGCTGAAAGTAGCTCAAATGTACATCGCTTCAGTTCGGTAGTTCGTTCGAATTCGTACTGTACTTCTGTCCTTACCCCACCCCGCACGTGATGAGTCACATGCTGGCCAGTCACGAGCCCCGGTCGCTGATTGAATCGAACGGCATCTCCGCACTTTCGGGAAGGGGAACGCCCGCGCTCGGCTCCAGCCTCAACCTGCTTGACCTTCGCATTGAATTGGGCTGAGAAGCGCAGTCGTGCTACCTTGTTCGCTCCTCTCGTCCACCTCTGACCTGCTGTACCCCCACGACCAGCTTCGTCGGTCTGCGGATTGACTCTCAGCTAGTCCCTCGGCCCTCTGACAGACGGGGAAACAAGCTTGAACCTGTGAAACCCGATCAGCCTCAACCCCACGTGTAGTGGAACGGGGTCAGGTTCCGCCCTCGCTGCGATCGTCGCGCATCCCGCCTCGTGCGCTCATGGCACCCTATGGTGCCCTCTTTCATTAAATTAGACAGCATGGGTGACACAGATGACCACGATCATGATCAAAGCACTACAAAGCGCCGGCGACGGAGCCGTCGTGCTCCCTCGGATCGCAAGTTCGAATGCTCCCACGAGGGCTGTGGGAAGAGCTATTCGCGCGCCGAGCATTTGTATCGGCATCAGTTGAATCGTATGCGTTTTCCACTCCGATCAGTGCACAAATTCAAACATTCGCGACATCGCTAATCGCCGACTTGTGTGTTATCTTTTTTTGTTTCGTGACAGATACCCCCAAGCAGATCTTCCGCTGCGATTTTCCTAATTGCCATCGCTCGTTTGTTCGCCAGGATCTATGTCTCCGTCACCGCGAACGACATACGACTCGTGGCTCACAATTACAAAAGCGCGATAGCTTTTCCCATGACAATATGCATGTAACTCCACCCAAATCTCTCATGTCCGTTGTCTCGCCAGCGTCTCCCTCCGCGGCGCCGAACGACTACCCTTTCTTGGCGAGCCATCCTGCGGCCAGCACAAAGTCTCCCTCTAACTCGCCCAACACCTACTCGTTACCTACTACTACCCCTACTACAATTGATACGAATGGCCTGCCGGTCTCGAATTATTCCGATTTCACCGGCGGCATCAGCCAGGTAGATCCTCCACTGGAATTCGACTCTATGCAAAATGCATATCCCATCTTTGGCGGAGAAACCTACAACCGCTCCCCCTTTGCGATGGCGGATGACTTTGCAGCATGGCTGTTCAGCGAGCCATTAGCTCCGCTAGGCTACGGCATGATGCCGTTTTCACAGAACCAATTCTACGTGAATGATCCCTCGTACAACAATTTCTGCGCTGTCATTCCACAACATCCGATGAGCGTGACGAGCATACTCGATTCCTCGTCTCTGCCGGCGATCATCTCGGAAGAAAAGCGACAAGAGATTCTCCATCTCATGGCGACCCGCTTCAATGAGGCCGCCTCGTCCGCCGAAGGCAAACGCAAAGACGCGCTTATGGATGGAGACCTCAACAGCGACCGCCACGTGCTGAGCCTGCGCATGATGCAAACGTACATTGGCTCCTACTGGTTCCATTTTCATCCGCAATTGCCCATCCTTCACCAGCCTACCTTTTCTGCTGATCGCACGCCAACATTATTGCTTCTCGCTGTAATGGCGATCGGGGCAGCCACGCTGGACAAGGCGCATGGCCAAGCCACGACGGAAGCTGCGGCGGAATTAGCGACGTTCATTGCCTGGCATTTGCGGTGGGAGATTTTTATGGATCCAGACTTTCGGCCTCCGGCGCGGTTGTGGGTGTTTCAAGCACTGTTGCTGCTGGAGGTATATGAGAAATCCTTCTCCACCAGGGCCTTCCACGAAAGAGCCCATATTCACCACGATACGACGTTGACATTGATGCGTCGGGGAAGTTCTCTCATTGGCCGGTCGTCCTTTGACACTCCGGAGTCAAGGGAAGAGGACGAATCTTGGACACACTGGATCAAGGCTGAAGCGACGAGACGTGCCGCTTTTGCGGCCTTTGTACTCGATTCAACACATGCGACCATGTTTGGACACTCTGCAAAGATGGTCGCCCATGAATTACGACTGCCGCTGCCGTGTGATGAGGCTCTGTGGGCGGCGACGAGTGCCGCTGAAGTTGCTCGGGTTCAGTCAAGTCTGCAGTCGCATGGAGTCCGACCAGTCATGTTCCTCGATGGGCTGAAGCGCACGCTGAATGGACAACCGGTGCGAACTAACACATTTGGTCGCATTGTCCTCATGGCTGGATTGTTAAGCGTGAGTTGGCACTTGAACCAGCGAGACCTTCAGGTGAGCTCGCTGGGCGTAGGCCAAGCTCTCGGTGGCCGAGACAAATGGAGAACCGCGCTACTACGAGCCTATGACAATTGGCGCCGGGACTTTGACGAAGCACTTGGCCCCGCTATCACTGCGGAGTCCGAGTCGCGCGATGTGCTCCACGGGCTGGCGCATATGGCCTCGCACGTGGATATCGCCGACCTCCAAATCTTTGCTGGCGCTGGACGCCTGATGGGTCGGTCCATCACCGCCCGAGACTACAGCGCTGCGCGAGAAAAGACCGTCCGCTGGGCGAGCAAGGCCTCTGCGCGCGATGCCACCTTCTATGCGCTCAAGTTCTTGAAAACGTGCTTCTTGGACCCCTCGATCGAGTCGGGAAGCTATGTGGCTCGTGATGACTACCTGTTGAACCGGCCGTGGGTCATGTATTATGCGGCGCTTGTGGTCTGGTGTTACGGATTTGCGCTGGATGGCCCGCTGCGGCCTACGCCAGCCTTGGCGACTTATGCGGATCGACGACGAGATATGCACAGCTTTCTGGCCCGCGTGGGTGGTGTGGGGGAACCTAACGATCTCGAGGGAATACAGGGGCGCAATGGTTGCCTGGGGATGTTGATGATCCTGCGGGATTCGTTTGCCAATCCTCGGTGGGAGTTGTTGGGCGAGGCTGCGCGGCTGCTGGACAGCTGCATTGCCAAGCTGCAGTCCTGAAGGTCATGACAGGCATGATATTGTTCAATTTTATTAATTTGGATGTACACGACCAGGCATGATGCTAGATCTGTACATGGAACATTGTGAGGTATAGATACTTGCGACTCGGAATACATGACTGTGTCGGTAATTGCCAGACGCATTGACACACACACGGTGATCTCCTGCGCATGGCTTTATCCAGATGCACCAGAGAGAGGACTCGTCCAAACTGCCCTGTAGTGTAATAAACGAGAGTTTTTTCATCACTATTGATGTAAGGTCGATTCTTATTCAGACTCCCCCACTATAGAGTTGTTGACGTGGTTGCCCGATCAACCGGGCAATCTGCCCACTCCGCCCTTTTGCAACTCGCCGTCTCCAAATATTCGTCCATCCGTCCACCTCTCCTCATTTGACTTGACATCCAGCACGTTTGCCCGAACTCACGATCTACGAAAGAGAACCTCTTATACCACAATGGTGAGTCGACAAGTTCTCTTTCAACGCATGATTCCCCTTCGGAATACCCACGATGCCCCTCCGCCTCCCTTGTTTGATCGCCCTCTTCAACACTTTCCCCCTTGTTGATGAATTACCATTTTCGTCCGTCGCTGGGCTTTGACTTTCCCGCCCCTCATCTCATCCCTGGATGAACCCGGGTCGCAGTCAGACACTGGGATTGGTTCTCCAACGGACCTCTCTCACTGTCTATCACGCTGCCCATCACACATTGTTGATTGCTCCTCTCACTCCTTCTACATCCATCTGGAGATCTGCGCGCACAACAAAGTGGCAGTGCGCATTTTCGACATCTACCCCCATCCACCATCCACGACTGTGTCTTGTCGATTCCATTTCACCCCCAAAACATACTACACAGCCACAAGATCACAACGACTTTCTCCCCGTATCCACCATGGCTAACAAGCACGATCAGGCTTCTACCAACTATAAGGAGGCGTTCTCGCTGTTTGACCGTCGCGGCACCGGTCGCGTTTCGGGTGACTTGCTGGGCGATCTTCTGCGCGCCTGTGGTCAGAACCCCACACTTGCGGAAATCAGTGATCTGGAGAAGACGGTGGGCGATGAGTGTACGTACTCTAATCCGAAAAGATGTGGATGGTAGCCTTCTTCGCTTTGCGCAAAGCGGAGATCGCACAGACGACTGGAGACCGTGTTTTGATGGATCGTGAATAGAAGGCTAATGATTTCTGGACAGTCGACTTTGACTCCTTCTTGAAGATCTTGAACCGCCCCGGTGGTTTCCGCGAGCCTGGCGAGCCGGAGGAGTACTGTCGAGGATTCCAGGTCTTTGACAAGGATATGACGGGGTTTATTGGCGTCGGACAGTTGCGCTACAGTACGTACAATGTCAAGCGACCGCTTTGGGCACCCATTTCAATCGTCACGATAGAAACAGTCGCAAGGCGACGACGAAAAAGAAGCAGAAGAAGAGAAACTCCTGGCTAATCATTTGCGCTTGTTCCGCATGCAGTTCTGACCAACCTCGGTGAGAAAATGTCCGATGACGAAGTCGATGAGCTTCTCAAGGCTGTCGACACGAGCTCCGGCGAGATCAACTACACCGACCTTGTGCGCACCATTCTGGCCAACTGATACCCTTTTTGACGATGTTTTGTTTTGTTGTTGTGCTCGGCTTATTCTTTTTACCCTCGGCTGGACTGTTGCCCTTTCTTCTCTCTATTATCTTTCTGGTGTGATTGATGAATTTACGTTATGGACATGGACTTTTACTCCTATTCCCTCTTGTTTTCCTCTATTTTGAACAGGGAGACAGTGTGCAGCTTGATCGGGTTGTTAGATGATATGTCTGGCTCAGGTTTATGCGTGTATGATGCGAGGAGCTCCAATAATTGGACTCTACTTTGTAAGAGAAACTCAGTCGAAGCTGTACAGTTGCACCATTGTGGGCTTTTCCAAATGGTCATATGTTGAGGACCCTCGAATGACGTTTCGACATCCACGCCGTTTCCGTGCCAGACGAAATGCTCTGCCTCGGCACAGTCAAGATCCTCTATAGACATCTTTGACTCACGTCATTAATCTCGCCAACAGCTGAGATCACACATATTATTGAGACTCCCCCGCCCAGCTCCTCCACTCCTTCTCTCCAACGCCTTCACTCCCCATTTTCTCCGTCTCCACCAACGCCCCCGGCAACACATACATCGCCGGCGGTCTCTCCTCTTCTCTCCTTTCCTCTCCATCTCCATCCCCATCTCGCTGTCCCTGCCCATGTCCCTCCGGCCAATGAACCCGATCCAAATAATACCCAACAACCACCCGACACCGTCCACACCGCAATAACACCCTCTTTTCGATTCCGTCCTCCCGACGAATAAGCGTTGCGCGCCGGTCTGGAATAGTCGTCGACAAGAGGAGAGTAACGTGTTTTAGCGTCTTCGAAGAAGACGCAGTGCTGGTGTCGGGTTCATCCTCGTCGGAGAAAGAGCGCAACTTCTCCAGGGGCAGGATGAGGGCGGCGTCTGCGGCGGGGGATTTGCGGCGTGGGAGGGTGGCCAGGTCGCGGGTTGTGGAGAGGAGGAGATGGTTGCAGAAGCGGCAGTGCTGGGTGCGGATTGAAAGTTTGGATGGTGTTGATGTTGATGTTGGTGCTGAGGTCGTTGTTGGTGATGAGGGGGTTGGAGCTTGTAGGTGGAATTGTGGTTCTTTGGGCGAGGGCGAGACTGATTGCATTTCGTCGGTCATTTTTAGACTGTCCTGGAACTGGTTGTGGAACCAGCGGCGGTATATATGGAGACTTCTCCGTTGGAGGTAGGAGGTAGAAGAGTGAGTGCGATAGAAGCGGTGGAGGTCCTTTTGACGTGAGGTCACAAATCGCGACTCGTGATCTGTCGTGGCGGAGAGAATTTCAAGAAGAGGGAAGTTAAGTAGGTCTTATCAACTCAACAGCCTGACGGTATACACTGCGTTTTCCCGTGCGCGTGATATTCAATTATCACCTTATTTATCAGAATTCCGTGACCCGAAATCTTAGCCTTGATACTCAGAGCGAAGAGTAAGAGCTTCGGGTTTTGCACGAGATCAATCTAAAGACTTGGTTAGCAAAGTACAGAAACAACACTCCACTGATCGTGTCTGCTTCTCAATTCCTGCACAATTCCAGCGTGCCGGTACCGGGGTACTGACTTTGTGCGAAGCAGCTTGGTAACACACTACTTACCGGGTAAGCGATCTGACAGATATTCCTTTTGCCAGTCGAGAATGTCAGAATGCGAAATGACGGAGCGGGGAGGTCTCGGAGATCTCCAACATATCGTAGGCGGTAAGTCACGCCTCACAACCAACGAGTGACGGGTGGAGTTTGGCGGTCAACTAGGTATGGCTCTGTCGCTGTCTCCCGGAAATTATCTGTGTGGAAGGTTCACTTGTATATGTAAGAACTAGAAGAAGTAGTTGTAAAACAAGCAGAGAGAGTTTTCTACTTCCTCTCAAGGGACGATAAGGGAAATGGACAAGTGGAGTCAGCTTGCGACGCCATGTCGTCTGAAACGAGTGGAAGATGGATGGATCGCCAGCCTCCAAGACGTTGATTGAGTGTGAATTATCCAAGTCAACTACGATCTCTATCTCTCTGAAATTCTGCGGAAAATCTTTTTGAAATTTCAAGACTCGATTCATTTCATTAAACGCATTAAGTCATATCTCGGTTGATTATGTCCTTTGATCCCATCAAGTCATGAGGAGCGGGGGGGAAAAAAAGAATTTACACAAAAAGGAAAAAGTCATATCACGAAACTCCGTTCCCAAATCAAGTCATACAGTCCAAATCCAACGGACTGTGGTGACCTTCCATCAAAGCTCATCTCACCTTATTACAGATTATTCAGGAGACTCTCAACCAGAGGAAGCAAGCCTGCAACATCCGTAATAATATTATTGGTGTTGTTGACAAACTTGGGTGTCAACAGATCTTCGGCGTTGGTCAAGAGACCAGAGATCTTCTTGACCGAGTCGGGTGAGATCAAGCTCTTGATCTGCGGCATGCTGCCGTCGACCTCGGTCAACAGACCCTTCAGATCCTTGACGGTCTCGGGGGTCAGGAGATCATCCGCATTGGTGAGAAGATCGGCGATCATCTTGATGGAATCCGGCGCAATCAATTTCTTGATCTCGGGCATGCTGCCGTCGAGTTCGGTCAGGAGACTCTTAAGATCCTTGACGGTCTCGGGAGTCAGGAGATCCTCGGCATTGGTGAGAAGACCTGCAAGTCCCTTGACAGTCTCGGGGGTCAGGAGACTGCCGGCATTCTTCAGTAGGCTAGAAATCTCCTTCACGGATTCAGGCGTCAGAAGGTTCTCAGCGTTCGTCAGAAGACCAGCAATGCCCTTGATAGACTCGGGGGACACCAATTTCAAGATCTCGGGCCAGCTGGCGTAGATCTCAATCATCAGTTGCTGCAGGTATTTGATAACCTCTGGAGTGAGCAATTTGCTGGCTCCGTCGACCAAGCCGCTCGTTTCAGTCACAAACTTGGTTGTCAGCAAGGAGGTACCGTTGCCAAGCAAATAAGTGAGGTTCTGCAGAGTGGTATGGTTCAAGAAGTCCTTCTTGATGTCTGGGACCACGGGAACCAGGCCGTTCAGCAGTTCCGATAGACCGCCGACCACGTACGGGGTCAACAAGTCGTTTGCACCCGTGATGAGCGACTCGGTCTCATTGACAAATGCGGGAGTCAAGAGGTCATTGGCATTGGTCAGCAGGGAGTTGATCTCCTTGATGCTGTGAGGAGTGAGCAAGTCGTTGGCGTTTGTCAGGAGTGAGTTGATCTCCTTCACCGAGCCTGGTGTGAGAAGGTCATTGGCGTTCTTGAGCAGTGCAACAAGCTCATCGATAGTTGACTTGCTCAAGAGACCCTTGACCGCGGGCAAGATCGGAGTGATTTCGTCGAGGATACCCTTGAGCGAATGCGTCAGCTGTGGAGTCAATAGCTGGTCGGCATTGGTGACCAGATCCCGCGTGGCGTTGGCGAATTCGGGTGTCAGCAATTCGCTGCCGCTGTAGAGCAGGCTGGATAGCTCGTGGAATGTCTGTGGTGTCAAGAAGCTCTTCAGCTCTGGCAGCAATGGCTGAATCGAGTGAAGTAACGTCTTCAAGGCGTTGGAAACGTCCGGAGTCAACAGTTCGGACGCGCCCTTCACCAGACCTTGGGTCTCGGTGACAAATTCCTTGGTCAGCAGAGAGTTGCCATTCACCAACAAGTTGGTGAGCTCGTCGAACGTCTCCTTGGTAAGGAAGCCCTTCAGCTCGGGCAGCAGGGGGACAATGGAATTCAGCAAGCTCTTCAGAGCATTGGAAACGTCGGGAGTCAACAATGCAGATGCTCCCTTGATCAAGCCTTGAGTCTCATGAACGAACTCTTGAGTGAGCAGGGAGTTGCCATTGGCCAACAGATTGTTCAGCTCGTCCAAAGTCTGCTTCGTCAGGAAGGCCTTCAATTCGGGCAGCAAGGGCGTTACGGAGTTCAGCAAAGTCTTCAGAGCGTTGGCAACGTCTGGTGTCAACAGAGCCGACGCGCCCTTCACCAGGTCTTGAGTCTCATGCACGAACTCTTGGGTAAGGAGAGAGTTGCCATTCGCCAGTAGGTTGTTGAGCTCATCAAAGGTCTGCTTGGTGAGGAAGGCCTTGAGTTCGGGCAGCAACGGGACCAGAGAGTTAAGGAGGGTCTCAAGAGCGTTGACATTAGCCTGAGTGAGCAGACCAGAAGCGGAATTGATGAGCGAGTGCGTTTGATCCACGAACGGCTTGGTGAGCAAGGCGTTGCCGTTGGACAGCAGGTTCGTGATCTGATCGAAGGTGGACTTGGTGAGGAAGCCCTTGAGCTCGGGTAGCAGTGGCAAGATGGAGTTGAGCAGCTGCTTGAGAGCATTGGAGACATCCGGGGTGAGCAAGTTGGACGCGGCGTCGATGAGGCTGTTTGTCTTCTTGATGAACGACGGGCTCAAAAGGGCATTGCCGTTGGTCAACAGGTTCTGAATGGCGTTGAGTGTGGAATCCGTCAGGAGCTTCTTCACTTGTGGGAGCAGAGGCACCAAGGCATTGAGAAGGTCCTTGAGCGCGTTGGAGACTTGCTGGGTGAGAAGATCCGAAGCGGCATTGATGAGGCTGTTTGTCTTGGCCACAAAGTCCTTTGTAAGCAGCGAGTTGCCGTTGGAGACAAGGTTTTCGATGGCAACAACGTTGTTTTTGGAGAGCAGAGCATCGGCATTCACCACAAGCTCGTTCACCTTGTCGATGTTGTTGAGCAACTTCTCCAAGTTATTCAGGTTTTTCTCACTCAAGAGCGCGTCGGCCTTGGAGAGGATGTTGCCGAGTGTCTGGGTGTTCTGCTTGTTGAGCAACAAGTTGGCATTGGCGATCAAGTTCCCAATAGCCTGGGTGTTGTCGTTGGACAGAAGGACCCGGATGTTGGTGTCCACAGGAGGTGCCAATGAGGTCGACAGATACTTGAAGGTGTTTTCGATATCAGAGAGCAAGGAAGGATCGAGAAGACCCGTCAAACCTTTGAGGAGCTGATCGAGATCAGAAAAGATCCCGCCGAGCCCACCGGAACTGCCGCCACCCGTTAGGCCAGAGAGAAGACCGTTGAGCTTGTTGGTCAAGTCGGCGTTGGCAGCCGAAGACCCAGACGAAGAACTGGAGCCAGAAGAGCCACTGGAACCGCTGGAGCCACCGCTAGATGCCCGTGCGGAACTTGTCTCTGACGGAGACGAATTTGGTGCGGCAGTTGTGACGGTGACAGCAGGGGCCGTTGAACCGACACTTGGGTTCACAATGCTTGCCACGGGATCCGGTGAGGGTGTGCTACCCGCCGGAGGGTTGTTGGTACTATCGACACTCCCAGCATTGTTGCTTGACGGCTGACTCGCCACCGGCGGAGGTGCCTGACTGGCAGGCTGAGTGGTTGCTGCTGGAGGAGCTTGAGTCGCCGCGGGCTGTGTGTCTGCCGGCTGAGTATTGGCGACGTAGACATTTGGACTGGGAGCCTGACTTGCCGGAGTGTCGGCAGCGGGTGCGGCAGCCGTATTGGCAGCAGGCGCAGCAGACGTATCGGTAGCAGGCGCAGCAGCAGCAGGGCTGGGAGAACCAGCTTGAGGTGACGCTCCTGCGACGTTGGCCGCGGCCAGTAGCGCAGTCGCGAAGACTGGGATCAACCGCATAATGCTGGGTGGTCGAGAAGAGCAGTATATTTTCTTGAAAGTCGGGTGCTTCTATTCCTCCAGTCTAGTTCCCTTTCTGGGCGTCACTCTTTCTCCCCTGTCTGGGACCTTTCTTCCTTCTTCTTCTTCTTCTTTCTTTTCGCAAACCCTTCGCGTGTCGGCTTTCCCAGAAACTCTGCAGAACAGCCACGAAAGATAAGAGAGAAAGAAGAAAGTGTCTGGAATACTAGAACAATCGCGGACACCTTCACCGGGGATGCACCATATCTTTATTTTGGGGAGTAAATGATCGACCATGATAGATATCGTTTTAGGACATAACCCTCCACCTGGCCCACTTCCGCACGACAGGGGAGCTATCCTCGGGCTAGGGCACGCACCGGGGGATAGATCGACACCGAGGTATGCAGAATAGGCACCGAGATGGGTCGCCCATGTGAATATACTAGCATCTCCCGCAGACGAGAGCGCCATTTTCAGCGCAAGACCCTTGACCATGATGGCATGGGCTTGACCCGCTCGGATGGGCACCACTTGGGGTAGAGGCGGGCCTCTTGCTGGATTTTGACTATTTTCCATTGCAAGGCTCGAGATCGCCGAGCATCACACTTTTCCAGCTAGGGCAGACTCAAGAGGCATCTCATGGACGACAGATCATCACTAGAGCCAGGGGAATGCCATTCACCCGTAGTCATCTCTTCTTGAGTGACATACAGTACGTGCTGGAGACTCGAATAGTCGTCGAACGTCCCTCGGCATCATGCAGGGCCACTTCAGGCCCGCTCCACCATCAATTAAGGTGCGCGAACACCTTCACATGTGCTGGAATGGCTGACCGCACGGTCTGTGAGTCTGGATCCTTTCCTCGAGCAAGACAAAAGAGGGGGAAATAGAATCCCACGGGGAATCTGTGGCTGTTCGCTCGGCTCCCGCTTGCTTTGGCACTATACAAAAAAAGACAGCTCAGGGCCCGTGACAGAGCCAACCAGGCGGGGACGAACTCCACATCGGCTGCGTCCAAGCACTCGACGATGAGCAGCGCATCTCAGAGTTAGCGTTGCATCTTGGACCTGCTTTGGGGAGCTAGGCAAGGCTTGGGCCAGCTCGTGGGCTCCAGGGGGGGGGGGGGGGGCAAGGGCTCGGCCAGGTGCCCCTAGATTGGCAATGATCCTTCCTGGTGTGGTGCACGATCACTGTCGAGTGTGTGGACTTGTGGACTATTGCGGTTTGGGGTTTCCTTACCCCGGACCGTCCGTCGTTCGGAGGCCAGTGGGGCAAGACTTAGTGGACGCCTCCGAGAATCTTGGGACAGATTGATTGGGTCTACGGGATAGACTTTGGTGGAGGCAGGGTGCTCGACCGCCGTAGTCTGGTTAGTAGTCTCGTTGACCGGTCAAACTGTGAGCCAGCATGAATGTCAATCTTGTCTGCAACGGGTCGAGGGGAACGGGAAGTGGCAGAGGAGTGAGATTCCGCGTCAGCCAGGAACCCGGAAGGAGCTCAGGTGCTGAGCACCTCAGGTGACCGGCAATTCATGACTAAGGATGTCAATGGCAGGAGGTGGATGCTGGATGCACCGACCGGACCTGGTACCACGACCCATACTGGTACAGGCAGTGGTAGACCCGTATCTAGCCAGGCACGCAGAATCTGTGAGTACGTGTGTATGTGGTGTGTGCGAGAGACTTGCGACAGGTGTCGGACAATGTGCCAGCCACTGTCGATCCACTTGAATTTAGAGGCTGTTGGACACTCAAACAGTCGTCTCGTGACAAGATCGAAGAGGCCGCTCTGCCGCCGCCGAGGTCGCTCTCTGTCCACGCCCCGGGAATCGGCCACTGCGTCATCTTCCCTCTCCAGCTTCTCGAGTTAACGCGAGCGATCGTCCGTTCCATACTCACCCAACTCTAGTGAGTCAAGTCTCCCACGGTTCACATCCACTCGGCCTCCCGCTCGGGTGCCAAGTTGAGCCAACTCGTGTCAATCCGTCTTCCCCGCAAAGCCTCGAGGTGACGGATCATCCACCTGCGGGTTCTCGTCTCCACTGGAGGCGAGCGCCGCCAGCGTGGTTAGGAAAGAGAAAAATCAGGGCAAAGTGGTTGGAACAACTTTAGGAACAAGAAACGTTTGTCAAAGCTCCGATGTGGTCCGTTCACTCAATGGGACTTCAAATGTTGATGGTTCGTTCGTCATGAGTGTAGTGAGTCTAATGGCTGACTTGTTGACCGGGAGCTAATCAACACGGGTAGTAAGACTGGATCCTCGTGACCTGGAGGTCCAGACAACTTGGACCGACTGTCTATCCTTATTTCGTTTGACTTTTGCGATCCATCATCTGCGTCATGACAAGACACGAAAGAAGATGGCATATATGTGCAACTTTATCAGTAATGAGCAACTGAAGTTTTTTTTAAAAAAAATTGATTTTTATTGGGTGGTAATGGAGGGAACTTACTGTCGAAGATAATCCAGTAGTGAAGGTAGGTAATCAGTATATCTCGTCCTTCTGCTGTATATGGTGGTAGATGTTAGAGAATCAGTGCTACATATTGACGCGACTTTTGCAATTTTTACTCTTCTGCCAGATAAGCATAACCTCGATGATTCAAATTACAGATCTCTCTCTTTTCCATCCCATTGCCTTCACGTCATCAGGGTAAAACGAGTTCCGCTGGACTGTCACAACTCTCTCCCAGAGTACACTCGATAGACGACTTTCGCGGCTTCTCCACGAGCCCACGCTCCACACTCCACACTCCACACTTATACGCCCGAGCGCCCGGTCAAAGCACTACCGAGCGCCACCACAGTCGTGCAGCTGTCCTGGTCCCTGCTGCGTTCGCTCTTCTATGCGAGGCTAGCTCAAGCACGTGAAAACCGAGATGAGACCGGGTCTGGGTCTGGGTCTGGGTGAGCTGTGCAGACTGCGGTCTCCAACAATTAGTAGGAGTCGCAAATCTCCGAGGAACCGCACGGTCGCAGACGATCAGATCCAAGTCCCATGGCAAGTGTGCCGCCACAAAGTATAGGGCACCAGCAGAGAATTCAAACCTAATTGATTTCTAGTCGAGAGGCTCTTCCAGTTGAGCATCACTCGACATGCGATACTAACTACTTGGTGGCAGGTGCCAGGTGGTAATGGGTCTCCTTCGGTCAGGTCGGAATGTTGGGATTGATGATGTTGTCAGTAACTCAGTAGACCAACTCGGTTCCTGACGGCCACCTCAGGTACCGTCCCTCTTTCGTGCATCTGGCAAACCAGATCGAACCAAAGCCAGTACTTCTGGATCCACCCGTGTGTACCTGAAGGCTGACAGTCTATCTGCATTTGCACCTGTTCCTTACCGTTGTCCGAAGTACATGTCACTCCGCCACTTCTACCCAAGTGCTGACTACCTGAATGGTCATCCCCATCTTCGCTCACAGTGCTCGAATGACCGAGTGCTTAGAGACCTACAGTACACGAGGGAGCAGGTATGACTCCGCTTGCAATCTTGTACGCCTTATGCTCGCTACAGACCGAGAGTGCACGGAATGAGATCCCCGCGTCGGCCCCTTTGGCAGGCACCCACATGGTATTTGTTTCCGATGAGAATCATGTCGCCCTGATGAGCCTGCTAGATTCTGGATCTATATTCGCTGTGCATGGTCATATCAAATAAGAATAACAGTATGGCCTCCCGGGTGAAAGTAGGCATCTCTAGGACTCTACCTACACCTGCTCGAGACTACAAACGCCACTATCCAGAAGGATTGTCTCAACCCAGATCGTAATGCGTGTCCGCGACTTAAGTTCAGACTTGAATGGTAACTAGTACCCTAGGAATGCTCGGCTCGATCCCCTCGCCCTTCTCATTCATGATCGGTGACCCTTGCGGACTGGCCGATAATTGATGTCACTGCGGCGTAAATAAAATTCGGACACTGCAGTACACTCAACGCAAATCTCATCGTCCAGTTCACGTTGTCTCATCCCTTGCAATAGCCAAGCAGCGGCTGGCGTGTAGGGTGCTTCAGTATAGCGGAAACGCGATGAAACCTTTTGCTTCGTCGTCGAAGTATGCATGACACCGAGCGGCTGCTTTTGGCTGGACTCCGTTACCATACCGTAGATTCTAATTGACGTATGTAAGCTATAACCACAGCTAACTCGCACAGACCTCATACTTGACGTCCTGTTGTACGATTCAAACAATCACTTCATTGTATCTGAGCCCCCTTGCATCCCGCGATTAGATCGTGGCTACTGTATACTTGTGCAGGCCGCGAAAATGGCCGTGTTGGCCCACAAAATTAAGCATACTCTAATCGTCCGGCTAGACCCGTTATTTCGCTCCGCGAAATGACGTCGTATACAGCAATGCACAGGCGCATCGAGACCCGACTTTGCGCGCGGTCCCTGTCCAACTCCGAGATCTGCACGTTTAGCATGGACAAGGCCTGAGTATCGTCACTGGTCCTAAAAATATTCTTGGAAACTCCGTCAAAGAGACACGAGCCTTCCAATGGTGTGTTGATGGGAGTTGCGGTGATTCTGAAGAGGGTTTTGCTGAGCATTGTCTGTCACGAGGGCTCCATTTGGATTGTCGGTTCTTTTTTTTGATTTTTATGGACACTCGGACGGGGTTGAAATAACGTAGGTGTTGGAGTCTCCGAAGCCCAAAATCCCGTCCATCGGGCTTTCTCTCTCACACACACTCTCTTTCTCTCTCTCTCTCCCTCCTTTCCTCTGTCTCTCTCTCTCTCTCTCTCTCTCTCTCTCTCTCTCTCGCGTGTGTGTGTGCACCTTAGTGTTCACTCCCGTAATGACACGATGAATTCAAAAATATATACTAAAGTATACTTCTGGAAGTTCTTCCGCACAGAACGACCCATATCACATACAAAATGAGCGGGATACATTCCCCGCAGTATTCATGGTGGTCCCAGCTCTGCCATTTTCTTACCCACGCTTATATCAGTTCGTCATTCTCCACCTGCGTTGGGCAGCTATATAAGCTCAGCATCTTAGGCGCTTGTCCGGATCTTTGCCCTGTTCGCGTCGCTGCTTATTTCAAAGATATCAGGTATCTTATTATAGTCCTGCGTGTGTCCTAGTCTGCTCCCCCCTAGTAATATCTCGTATCTCATATCTCGTGAACAATGACTTGTTAGATCCAGCTTTCCCGAGCACACGAACCGTGATGTATCATCTTGAGCTTCACGGACTAAGGCTGCTAGGGTAGGTACCCGCGGCAGGGTTGTATATTCTTCAACATGCACAGGCGCATTGAACATAAGGTTGTAGTTCACAGTCACACAGTTCCATGCCTATCACACGCCTGTGACCAAACCTATTTCGTGACGCTTGGCTGTATTGATATGGATCGTACCTCATGAGGAGGTGACCTTGCAAGCCCGAGTTTCACTAGAAGACGGCCAGTCAGACTCTCAGGTGAGGAGGCCTTTCAGATTGAGGCTCGGTGAATCTCTATAGCCTAGGAATTGCATACGTGGTTCTTTGTGACTGCTTAGACGAAGACCTCCACACGTTCCTTGTTGTGATAGCTGTGCAGCGGAGAGACTATCCTAGGAGATTATGGCCATATTCGCCGGCGTGAATCGAAATGAAAATATCAAAAGGATGAGGGATCCCATGATTCTCATGTACGATGTCCTGCTTCAAATGCTCGACAAAAAAAGATTCCTAGACTCGCGTGCAAGTCCGGTCGTCAGCGAAGGAAAGAGTCGATCCAGGAGGTTTGACGATGAAATATTAGAGAGTTATCAAGTGTTATGGTAAGAGGTCAGGGTCGTTCGATAACGCTATCCAAAGAAGAATACCTTCCCCAGACTGCAGTCCAATGTTGACTGATCACAGTCGCTATTGACTCGCGAGACATGAGTCTATGCTTGTTACGGAGGATAAGAGAAGCACAGGGACCATCTGAGCATCACGGACCTTGGTTGGGATCAAGCTAGGAATAACCTGTCGACGACTGCAAGGTGTTGTATTTCTTGGTCACACGACAGTTTTTGACGAATGTTCCACGCTCCAGGTCCCGGCGCACTTGGGATGGACTTCAAATCCCTCGCTCACACGTCGAACTAGGTGGGCAGTAACCGAGAGACGGCTCAGAGGGGAAACGTCTACTGTTGATAGTGATGATTCATGCACTACCGAAAACCTCGAGGGGCTATAACTGGCAAGTTCGACAAAGATGAGCTCCCGTATGAACATGCGTGCAATTGTGCATTCATTGTGGGCGTGTTATATCTTTGGACTTGCTGTGCGGGTGTATGTTTATGACTTGGTTTGATAACCCAGGATAAACCTCCTCTGTATAGACCTAGGTAATATAGTTGTAGGTAGCTAGCACGGAACCTACTTGATTCTTTAATCGGAAGGTCTTGGAAATAATAAGTTGCCTCCCAAGATAGTATTGACTCATCGAGTACCTGCTACCTACCTAAGTCCCGCACGTGTCATCGCTCATAGATCGTGGTCTGACAAGAGTGGGACACTCCAACCAATGTCCTGTTCTAGCCATTCAATCGCCCACTTCCTAGTCAACGGTTACCACCTACTTCAAGCATGGATCTTCTGTGACATTCATTGGTAGCTGAACCCCCCGATGCTCAGCGTAAGGTTAGATTGTGATATCGACTTACCGCAACACGGACGTACTATAGAGATACAGCTCCCGTCGAGCTTTCGAATGAGGACTGCAGGTGGAAGGTCTTCGCGTATCGTCTCTAGAAAAGACTCTCCACCTTCTCGTGGCCCAGGCGATAACCGGATTGCTTGGTTGGGCCTTCATTTTCCATCAAATAGACTTAGATTTGAAAGAAGGCGAGGTCTAATGCCGGATTTCAGGGGTATGATGGTGTTCTAGATGTTAATTAGGTACCCATTCCATGGCCGCCATGATGCAAAAAAAGAATTAAATACAACAGTATCAGACAATATGAAAATATGCTTCGAACCTCAGATGAACGCCATCTGAGTGAGGATCAGTCAAAGATGGCATAAATGACCAATGAATATTTCCCCCCCCCAAAAAGTTTAATCATCCATGGGTGGAGTGTAGCCCTCAAAAACCTCTTTTTCGAACTTTCCACACAAATGGTCCCACGTCAGCCAACCCCCATCAATATCGGCCCATGCCCCTGCGTCCGCGACGCTATGAGCCTCGGTCGAGTTCACCGCAAGCTTGTGCGAAGAGACCCATGTGCGGCCGTCGGCAGTGCCGATGGGCTGCTCGGACACTCGAGGAAGCATAGCCTCGATCAAGGGTCGCACATACGGGTAGAACCATGACTGGTCCCAGAGCTTGTCGAGGTAGTCCTTGCCGCCTGTGGAGTGGAACATCCCATATACTTCTTTGGAGACCAGATTGGTCTCGAGTCGGATTTGCGTGATGCTGGGAACGGTGCCGACGACGGGCTCGATCATGCGGAGGATGCGGGTGATGGAGGATGCGAGATTGGCGGGAAGGTCTATCGTGAAGGGCTTGAAATTGGGAAGGTTGGCGGTGTTTTTGTGGACAATGGCATATGAGGTTGCATTTTCTTGGTCGTGGAATTGATCGAAGGTGAGCATGTCTAGGACGTGGTCCGATCCGGCGCGTGTCTGGAACAGCGAGGACCAGTGGTCGATGCCGATGTGGTATTCGGTTCGTTGTCCGGGGGCGATATCCGGAAGGACCTTCTCATAGTCCGTGGGCCATATCGTATTGATGTCGATGTCACCGTGAAAGTACTCCTGGTATTCGGCTATCGTGCGAGAATATTCTTGCATGCCCCAAACTTCGCTCATGTACAGCTGATCGGAATCACTCCAGTCGCCTTCCCGGCTGTAGCGTTTGGCGATGAGGTCCAAAGTGGCCGCGAACATCAAGCGCATGTCCTTGACCGGACCCATGATGGTCCCGGAGTTCAGCCAGATGGGGACGTTGTGTGCATAGTTCCCATCCACGGGTCCATATGCGCCCATGGGAATGTCCAGCTTCTGTGGGATCGCCCAACACCCGATACGGTTCTGTTCAGGTGGGTAGCAGGCCTTTTCGGACCCGAACAGGATACTCAACCGGGGCATATCCTCTTCTTTCTCGAACTTGCCCTTGAATCGCATGGCCAGTCGATCATTCGCTTTGTTGATGACGTCGAAATAGCGCTCAATGAGGACGTCGGCCGGGATTTGGAACACCACATCATACCCGTCAATCATCAAGACCAGGTCGTCGTCCGATGAAGGTGGGAGGTCGTTCAAATAATGCATGACTGTGCGCACTTTGGCCAAATGAGTCTTGGCAGCGTCCAACTCGCCTTCTTTCATCCAGCCATTCAAGGTGGGCACTGGATAGCCCAGGGCCATCGCCGAGGCCAGTAATCGACATAACCGGAAGTGGAAGCCGCTGGCTGGGGCCAGCAGGTGGAATTTGGACACTATATGAGGTGCCGCTGGTGATGCATGTTCGCCGGCACTCTCACTCCCATCATTCGATATGGGGGCAGGGTCTCTGACTTGTGGCGAGACGGGGTATTGAAATGCCGTGATGAAGGCGACGATGAATACGCTCGCAAGGCCGGCCCATTGCCAGCGACTGAGTCGATTTGTCAAACTTGAGAAGTGCATGCTGTTTGTCCTAATGGACGGACAATCGGTCTTTGTGCAGATTCGGCTGGTCCCTCCTTCTCCCAGGTATTGTTTGATGATCACGGGAACTGACCTGGAGCCCACAAGGAGGCTCTCCGGAAAGGGAGCCGCGATGGAAAGTTTGTGTTCGGGACCCCGTTTATCTTTTGATTTTGAGGGTGGGAGAGTGACTACAGGTTGAACTCACTCGACACTGACAGTAGTACATCGAAGACTGCAGGCAGTCAGCCAGCTAGCCAGAGCAGAGTGGAACAGGTGCCAATCGACAACGAGTTGCCCGTTGCTGGTAACCGACGGTTGGCCACAGATGCACGATCTCGTCAACGAGATCAAGGAACCGAGTACCCTTTCCTGGTCAGAAAGGTTAGCGCGGGTAAGGGAAGGCCCCTTTACAGGCTAGCGCAGTAATTTTGACGTTGCCAAGTCCGCCCTAAGATGATTAGTACAGTACATGGCTGTGGGTCAATGCCGAGGACAGAGATAGAGAGAGAGAGAGAGAGAGAGAGAGAGAGAGAGAGAGTGTGTGTGTATGTGGCTGTGTGGCTCTGAGATGATAAAGTATAATTACTGACATTTTGTTTTTTGGTCGACCACATGAAGATCCGAGAGACTGTTGGCGGCAGAAGCCGCTGTGAGAACTTAGAAGCGCCTCGGTGGCTGAACTACTTGCGCGGCCCTGCGGCTGTCAAAATGTTCCGTGGGTGAGACCGAAGCCCCTGAGATTTGGTCACTCCTCTCTACGCGAGCACGCTAACGAATCGATGCAAATTGCAAATGATATCCATGATGAATACAGAGTTATAGGCTAAAATAGGGAAAGGTCTTGTATGATGTGATACCGAATGGTACAGATGATGTGCCCCATGCCAGTGTATGCGAACATCAATTGGAACATACCGCAGGTAAGTCAAGTGTCTACATACATAGTGTCCCTGTCTAGTGCAGAAAATGTATTGAAAAGCGAGTGCACTTTGACTTGAGAGGTTGAGAGTGAGACACGTCCGCCATGGCGTGCTGTGCAAAATCAAATCGACCGACCAGGATGGATACCTCCAAACACAACGCATTAAGACATTGGCCCAATGATCACTACTGCATCTAGACGAGCCCCGTCCTCCTGTCCAATTGTGGAGCGTATTGCGTGCTGGACTGGAGTCCATGCTTCAACTTGGCAGTCAAGGCGCGTTTCGAAAGAATCGATGTATGTGTTCAGGGTTGTGTTCAACGGATCACCCGAGGGAAGATTTCAAGATACACGCAGTAGTATCCCTGAATTGAGAAAGTAGTGCGGGTGTATTATATCTGTTTCATGGTGTATTAATGTATGAGATTCATAGAATGCCTACCAGAACCCAGCCTAGCTACTCAGGTCCTGTATCCGTACTCAGTATACACTATACAGTATACACTGTATACAGGATGGCGTATGCACTAACTATGGTGCATACGAAAAGACTATAAGTATAGCAGTGCAGGACTGCATACGAATCCACCCAGATAAACCCGGGTCTCCCTGCAGAAAATGCAGAGTACAGACAGGATGGACTCGTCTGTGCCTCTGTGGCGTCCTGCAGTTCCAAGACGTGAGGACCGCCAAGCCTGAGATTCAAGTTTCTAGTGCTTACAGCGACCGGGCCCCACTTCAATACAGCAAAATGAAATGACATCCACCGCTGACCGCAGGACCGCACTCCTCAAAGTCTCAAGACTGCAGAAGTGGAGGCCAATGCGAATGGAGTTGACCCGCTCGGTACTGAAGCGGTTCCGCTCGGATCGTCACCGGCGTAAGAGCAGATTGGGAGCTTGCAAGGCTCGCTCGAGTCCTCGACTCCCGATCGAGTCGATACCCGCCATCAGGATGTCTTGTCCCCCCGTCCCACGCATCGACTAGTCCCGGACTGGACTGGCACTGGGCTGGGAAAACTGGATATGGACGGATGACGGACGCTTCCATCTTTATTCCATCTGGTCCACCGTCCATGCCGTTCGTCGATGCTTTTGCCCCGAGGTCACTTTCCCCCTCTCGATTGCGCCCAACTCACCGCGTGGACTGGACTCGGACAGCCTTCATCTGCGTGGCTATCCAGACCCTACACCTCCATTAAGGAGCCTCCGATCATAGCCCTCCCTTACTGGCAGTCGCTCCGTGGATTGACACTCGCTTTCGATCTTTCTTTTCATTCATGATTGACCACCGCTAGCTCCATATAGTCTCACCCAACATGCGACACAGCGAAGAGCGTGAGGAGGCGGAGCTGGCTCTGCTCTCCGGGAACGAGGACTCGACCTCGAATACGGACATCGATGATCTCGATTTCGAAGATCTCGAGGCCAACCGCAAAGAAGAATCATCCACGACGATAGCAGAACCGGTGGAATACCAAACGCCGACGACGGTGAAGTTTATATGGGTGACCTGCTATTTCGGATTCAGCATGGCGCTGACCATCTACAACAAATTGGTCCTCGGATCGGTACGAATGACCCCTCCTCAGAAACGTTGTCGATTGATCGTCTTCATATGGACTGACCCGGGATGATCCACCATGAATAGTTTCGAGCACCATGGCTCTTGACGTGTCTGCATACCTCATTTAGTGCCCTTGGCACACTCATTTTGCTGCAAATGGGATACTTTAAGCTATCCACACTCGGTCGCCGGGAACATCTGATTCTCGTGCTATTCTCCATTCTCTTTACGACGAACATTGCCATGTCTAATCTCTCACTGTATGCGCCCATATTCAATTTGCCTCGACACACTTTCCGATTGCCACGACGGGCAGAACCAGGACGTGGGGATGCTAATTTGATTCACTCCGCAGCTCGCTCGTGTCCCTCGCTTTCTTCCAAATCATCCGCAACATGGTTCCGCTGTTTACCGTGCTCATCTATCGCGTGTGGTTCTCTCGCACCTATGCGACAGGCACATACCTCTCGCTGATCCCCATTGTCGTCGGCGCGGGCATGTGTACCGCAGGCGACTACCACTTTACCCTTCTGGGTCTTCTCGTCTCCATATCCGGTGTCATTCTTGCGGCAGTCAAGGTCAGCACAACCCATTTCGAATCACTCATTATCCCGTCTGCATCCGCGGCGATGCGCCAAGCCTTGGCGAGCGTGCGTCATTCATGCTAACCAACCACATTCCCTTAGACCGTCACCACGAATCGTATCATGACCGGCTCCCTCGCCATGCCCTCGATGGAACTCCTCTTCCGCATGGCCCCCTTGGCTGCAGTGCAGTCTCTCTTTTTTGCCGCCGTCTCGGGCGAAATCCCCGTCTTTCTGCACGCCATGTCCGAGCGTAATGCCGATGGCGCCCTCAGCCGCACGCTGATCACCGTTGTCTTCATCGTCGGCAACGGACTTCTCGCCTTCGTGCTGAACATTGCCTCGTTCCAAACCAACAAGATTGCCGGTGCCCTCACCATCACCGTGGCCGGCAACTTGAAACAAGCCATCACGTTGGCGCTGGGAATCCTCGTCTTTGCTGATTTCACCATCAACGTGCTCAATGGATTGGGCATCTTTTTGGTTTTGGCGGGATGCGCATGCTTCAGCAAGGTAGAGCTGGATTCGAAGCGACGAGCAGCGACGAAATAGAGACCCGCGCTCTCGGTTCGCCATTGTTAATAATAGAAACCAACATATACAATCTAATTGAATACTTGTAAATCTACCGAACCGGTGTACAAACTGCACACTCTCACCGTTAGAGTCTCTTCACTCTATTCCTGCTTTGCCAAGTGTATTCAGTGTTCAGTGTTGTGGATTCCATTTCTATCATGACTGAACCAATTGACTGGGCCACTGTGAGTGTCCAGTGGTCCACTGTCCACACTGTCCACTGCCAGTACCGTATTCGGATCCAATGCCGAGCCTCACGGCACCAGTCTCGTCACACCTCCCAGACTCCCACCGTCACATCCATCCTGGTCCTGGTCTCTCGCCTGGCTCCAATCTAAACTCCAGGCCCTTTCCGCCCCCAATAGACCTCGACTCACCCGCAAGTTCCGACAAAGTCCCAACACAACGTCCGAACGATCAGACGGTCCCACACACACAGAAAAAGGCAAACTCCCAAAAAAGGGGGCTGTCGGGGCCCAGCGGTTGCATGCCCAGACTTTTCGCGGCCCTTCGCCACCTTCGCCAACCAAGTGCCAAGAAGCACCGCGGGCCTACCATCGCCGACTCTGCTGTTTTTGTATGGGGGCGCCGAACGAACGGACCCGTTGGTATTGGCATTGGCAAGAATACAAGTTGTCAAGTACTGTGCAATTGTGCAGTACGCACATAATTACAGATGTTCAGTAGTAGATGTTCAGTAGTCCAGGAAAGAGGGGCTAGAGATCGAGAGAATCATTCCGGAATAAGGACCTGATTCTATCAATCATGGTGGTTGAATTCATTGCGGTCTCGAAAGATTTGGTGAAATTGTGCCAGTGTCCAGTGCCCTGGCCCCGGCCAAGTCGCGCCGTCTTTCCGAGAGTGCCGGGGCCAGGATCCACTCCGGATTTGGGTGCGAACCCGAGCGGGCGGACCCTCTGTAGAATGTAAAGTGTAAAACTAAACTGTAATTGTCTTGAGATAACGAGTCAGGGGTATTTTACAAGAAGGTGATTGTGAGTTGAATCTCTGTTGTAGTGTAATGTGTATGGAATCATGTACCCCCCGTATTGCACAAAAGTGGCCAGATTGGATTTGTGCTGACTGCTGACAGCTGGGAGCACTGATCCCTGACTCCTAAGTTGAAGTCCATCCGCAGATCGACGTCAAATGATCGATCAAGATAAAGACAAGTACCAGTACTAGCTGCTTCAATTCTGTGGTGAGTGTACTACTACTCTGGAGTCTGGAGTCTGTAGTCTGTAGTCTGTACTTTCTACTATGTAAGTACTATAACTATGCAACTAGGTACTTAGTACTAAGTACTGTCTCTGTACTTGTACTCCAGTGCGCAACTGCACATGGCTCAGCTCACGGACTCACGGACCCCGCCGGTCCCTGAGCCGCCGGCGGATTTTCAGCTTATCTAATATGACAATCTCGCCGGGTCCTCGGACGCAGCGGCCCACGTGATACCTACCTCTGATGAACAGCCCATAGACACCTCAGGTGAAGCGCGGAGCAAGTCGAAGGTCCTCGGTCTTGAGCTCTGCCACTATATAATAACTTTCAGCTGGATATATAGCTATGCTTTTGTATGATATTATCATATATATATATATATATATATATATTGTTATATTCGATCATATTTCGGAACTGAGATGATTGGCACAGAAGGAAAATGATCAAGGCCACTAGACCTCCTGATGTCGTGAGTTCTTGGCAGCTACCCTCACAGGAAAAACTGTGCGGATTGGAAAAAGGACGGTGGGTCCATGCTGGGAAAAACCCCCAACAAGAAGATCGAGGAACAGCGTCTTCGAGACAATCATCAGCGGACTGATATCAACCTTAAGACTATGGAAAGAGAAAGTAGAACCATCATACAATTTACATATACAATACTGCAAAACTACTGTACAAACTCCAAATCCAACCTGACTAGGTACAGACATTCACATGTGCCAGAGCCAGACAGGCGTTGTTTGTTAAACTTTTATATTCGTGTACTTCCACCTGGGCAGGGGACACTTCACAGTTCACACTACGGGCACTACTGCGCGTATACTTTTGTCGACAAGTTGGAGTTGGCCAGGGGCATCACCCCGTGTATTGCCCAATTTGCAACCAACTTCAACGCCACGGGAGCTCATGAAAAGTGCTGGTTGACAGCGGCAAGTAAGCTCCGAAAGCTTTGCCCCAGGCCAATCTAATCGTGGATATCAAACGGCTGTTCAGAGACAACCAAGAGGATTCTCTCGAAGAACTACGTTCATGTTACACAAGTGACGAGTAGGAGCTGAATCAGTGCATCAACATTTCATACCCATGCCTCTGTGGGAGGTGTCATGTAGATTTCAGAATGAAGCATAATAGAGAGACATGGAGATTACGGCAGTTCTGTGCTATTCAGCTACACTAGTACCCTTGGACTTGTGACTCTAATAACCTTTGCAAAGTGAAACTACAACTCATGGACTCAGGGGTCAGCCTTACCCATACCACTGAGCCTGAACCCCCTTTTGAACTCCTCCCAAGTGTCATCGATTGATTGGAAAATCATAATTTTCACAACTTGCATACATACTCCAGCGGCAGCATGAGTGTATGTCTAAGAGACTAAGACAGTATTTGTACGGACACTTTGCACCAATGCACGCAATGCACGGAGTCCGTATTGTGGAACAGGTTCGAGCTATGGAATCCATCGGGTCCATTGGGTTCTTGGCAGAAGAGGCCCGAGGACATGCGGTTCATGACTTTTATTACACCTGTGGTCCAGTCTCAGGTATCGACAGGACTACGATGCTTCACCAGCAGCGTACATTCTGCCATAGAATAAGCTGGTAAAATACGCGATCATTGCGCTCCAATTTACGCAATTGAGGCTGACCGATGTGAAGTCCTTTTTTTCGTATATGATGTAGTGATGTACTGTGGACGAGAGTTTGAATCAGTTCCAACTTCCAAACGATGCCTCATCTGAGAAAGTGAAAGATGGACAATCACAATACTTGTATTGTAATACGGAGGCCGCTCCGGTTGGGGGGGGGGGGGGGGCTTCGCAAATCTGCTTCCAATCGCTTCGGTCTCGTGACGACAAGTTCTTATCAGCACCAGCCTAGTCTTCTCACTTCAAAGCCACAGATCTCGCCCGTACAGGCTTCGCTTGAAGTTGAGATGATTGATAAAGTCGACAGCCACCCGTCCCCTCTTTTTCTATCATTATACGAAAAGAGATCACGAGTCATGGTCGAAATGCTCGAGTCTACTATGTCATCACTTCTCAAGTTCTTCCAGTGTTTCCAAAATTGGCTTATCGCTAGCGGGCCGGAGCCCCGGCGATAGCCCCGGCTTTAGGGGTGGGTAAACGATGGATCCATGTGGCTCCCGCTCTTTACCCTGCGGTACGGTGCCTGTCTCAAAGTCTTTTACGTCTCAAATACGAACTCGAAAGATACAGTTCATCGATATATTACGTGGAAATATACATATAGGTGGAAAATTATGAAGATTGTCGCACTAGGTGCCCATACGTACAGGCATGGCTATGCTCAACTGCACATACGAAAAGATGATATGTATTCATACATCACTAACCGCTCATAGGTAGAAACACTGTCTGTCAACTGCGATGTCTCTCCAGACCAGCACGGAAATCAGGTCGCGGAACCTAATTTCCCGTAATCGTGCCGTCAAGTGGGCTCCAAAGGTCTGCGAGAGTACGCAGTGTCTGATTGGCTCACCCGCTCCTGTGGCTTGTGGCTTCTATATTGACCCGGACAAGAAATCCTTGGCTCGCAACACTGATCCCTTAGGCCTCCTGAGGCCGATGGTGGCATCAAGGTCGACCGCACTTGATTAAAGAGCACACGAGCGCTTTTGCTATGTTTGAAAATTCTGATAGGTCCTGGATCTATATCGACTAGAAAGAACCGAGGTCTTGTCTATGAAACCTACCTAAATGCTACTAGAAGTAGAGATGTTGAACGCTTCCAATTTCAAGATATCTCGGGTAATTCTTGTTGCACAAACAGATACAGTACATACGGTAGCCCTATGGAAAACTTATGTATGTGATATGTATAATATTATACAAGAAGATGGCTAGTTTTTTATAATCACAATACAATTCATTCATCCATTGTGGATTACCCTCCCCAAAAGAGAAGACGCTCACATCTCCGCTTCGAGATTTCTTCTCTGTCCTTCCAGCAGAGCAAATCAAATGCATCGGTTCCGCCATCAAGTCGATCTTGGGGCCGTGAGAGGCTCGATTCATGGTGATCAGATCATCACGCAAGAGACCCGTGTGTTGGTTGACATTGAAGCAGTGACGGCCCTGTTGGTTTAGGGCACTGTACTACTACTGACTAGTAAATACTAGCAGTGAGTACTTGACTGCGCGTACACAATCGCCACTTGACCGGTCGGGCTGAGCCGCACTGGCGTGTCTCGCAAGACGGGCTGGGCACGGAAAGACGGTTGTGGACCAGAATACGAAATCTGATTATCCCTTTGTCTTTGTACAGTACGAGCGAAGGGAGAGAAAAACAAAAACAAAAAAAAAAAAAAAAATTCAATTCCTTGGAAAAGGCGCAAGCCTCCAAATCCGGTGGCTCGCGATAGCGTCATGTCTCCTCCGCAGCCCATGTCAGGAACGAGTGGCCCAGAACTAGTGGCTGTCGGATGGATTACCCCGGTTGACAACAAGAGAATCGTCTCCTTCTCCCCTGGGTCAGAAAGAATCACATCACACAGGGGCAAGTTTGGGATCTTCTTGATTTGTCTTTGACTTTGTCTCCCGTTGCTGGACTAGACAGTAGATACCATCCTCAGCATTGAATTGATTTCTCTTTTCTTTCCCCCGCGTTGATCTTTCTCGTGTTGATTCAGCGATGCACTCCGTCGCGCCGACTTCGATCGCCGATACACACGATTCCCCAGATGTCTCCTCGACCGTCTTGACAACGCCTGACCGCAGTGCGTCATGCAGTCCTGCCCTCGATGAGAAGCTGAATGCGCCTGGGAGCGCATCAAGCAACCAGTCCCCCCATTCATCCCGGAGCAAAGGAGAGCCAATTTCCTCTCCAAGACCCATTCGCAGCATCTGCTGCGTTGGCGCAGGATACGTTGGTGGTCCCACAGCCGCTGTGCTCGCGCTCAAGAACCCTGCTATCAAAGTGACGGTGGTTGATCGTGACGAGCGTCGCATTCGGAGGTGGAACTCCCGACACCTTCCAATCTATGAACCGGGCCTGGCGGAGGTCGTGCGAATTGCTCGTGATGGACTCGGGGACGTCTCGAAAACCGAGCCCCAAGAGGGATCACGAACCCCTAACCTGTTCTTTTCCACGGATGTCTCTCGCTGCATCAGCAAGGCTGATGCCGTTCTAATCGCCGTCAACACCCCGACCAAGATGCGCGGTACAGGCAAAGGTTGCGCCACTGACATGACAAGCTTCGAAGCCGTAGCTGCCGAGGTCGTGCGTCACGCAAGAGATGGAACGATCATTGTCGAGAAGAGCACTGTTCCATGCAGGACGGCTCAGATGATCCAAGAAATGGTAAGGGCTCTTGTAGACATGAAAGTCTTCCCATTCGTCCCGGCTCGACTAATTCCGCCCTCTGCCTGATAGATTCACATTCAACGACCAGGTGCTCGATTCGAGATCCTATCCAATCCCGAATTTCTGGCTGCGGGAACTGCTGTGCAGGACCTGATCTGCCCAGACCGCATTATCATCGGATCTGCCCCGACTCCCGACGGACTGGCGGCGGCACAGGCGCTGGCAGAGGTTTATGCCTCGTGGATTGAGCGGTCACGCATCATCACCACCAATGTGTGGTCGTCCGAGTTGGCCAAGCTTGTGGCCAACTCTATGCTCGCACAGCGGTTGAGCAGCATCAACAGCATTTCCGCCCTGTGTGAAGCAACTGGGGCCGAGGTCAATGAAGTCTCCCGCGCGATTGGCGCTGACACTCGTTTGGGATCCAAATTCCTGCGTGCCGGTATCGGGTTCGGTGGATCCTGCTTCAAGAAGGACGTCCTCAGCTTGGTCTACCTCGCTGAATCTCTCGGTCTGTACGAGGTGGGGGCCTACTGGCGCCAGGTCGTGGAGATGAACGAATATCAACGTGACCGATTCGCCGCACGAGTGATCAAGCGTCTGAACAGCACTTTGGTCACCAAAAAGATCTGCGTGTTGGGATACGCTTTCAAGAAGAACACCTCGGATACACGAGAAGCTCCCGCGTTGGAAATCATCAAGACCCTGCTCGATGAGAATCCACGAGAGATTGCCATCTTCGACCCCTGCTGCAACCCGCTCGTGATCGAGGAAGAGATCCGCGCCTTGCAGAAATATGGACCGCCCCTTCTCAGCGATGACGGCGGTTGTGTGAAGATCTACTCGGATGCGTATGCGGCCTGTGCCGACTCCAACGCCATCCTGCTGGTCACCGAGTTTGATGAATTCATGAACTTCCCCATCCCCGCCGCTCGTCCAGCCGCCAAGGCTGCTTCCCCAGCAAAGACCGCCCTTGCCGGCGTGGAACTGTCCAAACTCCAGCTCAACGAAGAGCCCGGGTGCTCGCTCGACTGCCCTGACTGTCAAATGGGCACTGGCTATGGTGACGATGGGGCCAACGATGCCGACAACCTGCCCAAGAAACAGGTGGATTGGGCGAAAATCTCCTCGTCTATGAAGTCACCCAAATGGCTCTTCGATGGACGTTGCGTGATCGATGTGCCCAAAATGGAAGCTCTGGGAATCCGAGTTGAAGCTATTGGCTCTTCGGGCTGGAGTGTGTAAAGTATCACTGACGGAACAGGCTGGTTCCTGGTCACGTTCCGCGTCCCGTTGTCATGGACCGTAACGATGCTTGTTGTTTGTTAATGTGTGAATGGCTATGTTGTCTCTGTCTTGACATCCCCCCCCCCCGACCGTTTCCCGGCATGGTATATACTCATCTACATGGGCCCTTGTATCTAGTTATTCACGTCAAAAGGACTATTTGTCAGCGCGACATTTTGTGACAGTCACGAATCAAATGCTACCGAACCTGTGTGTAATAACGATGTTTTTTTGTTCTCCAAAAGCCCCTGTCTGCGCTTCTTTACACTCATGCTCATTGATGATTGTAGTCTCTAGGCCTTCACAGGGCAAGTGCACGTGATCTTTGGTTGAGCCTAAGCTGTCCAGACTCGACGATCACGCGGTGTGTGGCTTCCGCCGACAAGAGTGTTTGTGCCCCCACGTCAACTGAGATGCGGGCCTGCTGTCCCATCAAATCGAGGCCTTCGGTCATTCCACGATGCATCACGGAATCTGTTCGCCGACGGGCGACTCAGCAGCCACTGGAAGCGCTTCGGTTTATCGGTGTATCCACGCGGGGTCTTCCTCACTCCATTGCATTGCTGCAATTACAACTGGCGGATGGGTGGAGCGATGGGTCCAGCCGCCCGCACCGTGGGGGAATGCTCCAACGCGAGACGATACAACCAAAAAAAAAAAAAAAAAAAAAAAAAAACGGAAATGGGGAGAATGAAAAGTCTGCTCGAGCCGGATCTATCTGATCCGGTCCTTCTTTGGTCTCATGTTCGCTCGCGCTTTTCACTTCATAATCCAAGATTGGGCTCAGCGAAGACCACAAGCCTTGAAGGATGAGAATCCCTTTGCAGGTGCTGGTACGCGGGCCACCTCGATACATTTGGGCATGTGTCCTGTGCTCGTTGAATGGATTGCTCTTTGGCATGGACACCGGGATTATCGGTCCAGTGACTGATATGACGGACTTCAAGGCATCCTTTGGAGGGAGTCAGAATGCGACTATTCATGGACTCATTGTGTCTTCGATTCTGATTCCCGCGGCACTGGCATCCTTTTTTGCCGGTCATCTCGCAGACCGGCTCGGACGCCCAAAAGGCATAAGCATTGGGGTACTCGTGTTTGGCATCGGTGCTGCGGTTGAAGCCGGTGCAGTCAGTCTCGGAATGTTCATCGCAGGGCGAGTTATTGAAGGGTTGGGTGAGGGTCTATTCCTGGGTAACTTGGTCGTCCTGATTTGTGAGATCTCACCGACGAGCACAAGAGGTCCACTGACCACGGGCCCTCAGTTAATGATCACCCTGGGCCTGGTCGTGGGCTTCTTTACGTGTTATGGAACGTCTGCGCTTGTGTCCTCGTTCTCTTGGCGGACACCGTTCATCGTTTTGTCTGGCCTCTCGGTCACCTTCTCTGCTGCGTCTTACTTGTATCTGCCCGAGTCACCTCGCTGGCTGAACCTGCATGGTCGCCACAAGGAGGCTGCCGTGACATGGGATAGATTGGAAGTCAGCCACGCCGAACGAGAAAAGGCTGAACTGCAGTCGGAACCGTTACAAACCGCCGAGGGAATCACAACAAGCGCTGCACCGGACGTGAAACAAGAAAGCCCCGTGCACAAAATTCTTGACATCTTTGCCAAGGATGTACGCACACGTACAGTTCTTGCGGTTTTCCTCATGGGAATGCAGCAACTGAGCGGAATAGACGGAGTCCTATATGTAAGTCTGGGGCAATGATATGGGTTTCAGCCTTCTGGATCGAGATGACCAACACTGACAAATATCACAGTATGCACCTCTCCTATTTCAACAAGCAGGACTCGCCTCATCCCAGGCAAGCTTCTTCGCATCCGGGGTCTCTGCCTTGGTCATCTTTACAGTGACCATCCCGGGACTCATCTATGCAGATGGCTGGGGGCGTAGAGCCAGCATCATCTATGGAGGGGTGGGCCTTGGAACAGTCATGTTTTTGATTGGCGGATTATACGCAGGTGGCGCCATTCACGGTACTTACGGCGCTGGACGCTGGATTGTCATTGTCTGCATCTATATCTTCGCCATCATTTTCAGCCTGACTTGGGCGGTCGCTGTCAAGGTGTATACCGCCGAGATTCAACCGCAACATACTCGAGCCTCGGCGACTACATTGGCGCATTCAAGCAACTGGATCTTCAATTTTCTGGTTGCTTTGACGACGCCGATCTTGCTGGCGAAAAGTAGTTTCGGCGCTTACTTCTTGTTCGGCGGATGCTGTTTCTTGACATCTTTTGTCGGGGCGATCTTCATGCATGAGACCAAGGGGAAGTCTCTGGGGGAGATTGAGGAGGCTTTCAAGCAAGGGACAGTTGGGAAGTCGGTCCTCGGTGCTTTCCGGGGGCCGAGGGCAAAACTGACGGTCTGATGAGGTGTGATGTAGATTACGAAACACACCGAAGACTTGACCTGTGCAGGACATCTGAATGATCTCAATTGATGGTTTTCTATGCGCACTTATCTACTGGAGAATCTGTTCTTATATATTCACCGGCTTTGCGCTAAATATTACATCGAATCCTCGGACCTGAGTGAGAGACAGGTATTCTGCTTCAAGCTTGAAGAACACGACAACACAGACACCAATATGTTGCTATCCACGGCGAGGTGCACATGTCCTGTCGCCGCGTGCACTGCATTCGATGAATCCTTCAGTGTTGGATATTGGGTATTGTAAGCAGCCTCTGCCTCCTCGCGGTCGCTTTGTTGAGCCCCGACCAACGACATTTCATCGAAATATCCATTTTCAGGTCGACAAGGTCAGCGAGCTAATTGAACAGAACAACATCGACTGCGAGACCAGACAACAAATAGATCATCGATACTTCTTCCCTCCTCACCCCAGGCAGACATCTAAGACCAACTCCCTTTGCGTAGCCCCCGTCGGTAAGGGACCAGGTTCAGATCTTCAATGTAGGTCTCTTTGGCGTAAACACCGCTGTATGACATGGTGAACCAACTCTTAGGAATGCATTGTCAGGCACGAGCTGCGGGATACTACCATTTAGGTAAAAGGGTGGCTGAGACGGGTCGGATCTTGTTCTTTGGGCGCTATGCGGTGAATATGGGCGAGAGGGTATAGGCTAAGGTAAGATTGGCGACAGAGCATAAGGTGCTGTGTATGGTACGAGTTCGTAGTGTGCAAGGCTGCAAGCGATGGAAGGAGTTCTCGACGATTGATCAGGTAGCTTGCTGATGGAAAGTCCTCCACATATGATCGCTAGTGTCTACTTGATATCGTTTCTGTGTCATGGGTTAGGTACCTACTAGCTACAGTCGCTTTCCTTCGTGTCCAGTAGTGACTAGTGAGCATGGAGGATTAGGCTCAGTAGTTCAGTAAAGTATAAGGTTGTCGGAATTGGAGTATGGGTTTTATCCTACATTGTTCAAACGCTAGAACATGTCGAATGGGAACGAGGTTACACTAATTTCTATCTTTCAGCCAGTCATAGGTACAAACCCGAATTCGCCGCCAACGTGCAGTGTGCGGTGGTAAGATTAGGTAGATGGTGAATGCCACTACTTAAGAAAAAGACAAAGCGTTTCTCACGAGACAAGCGAGCTTCAATGGGGGTAGCACGACCCGACTGGACATGTAAAGACGTGCAGGATGCTTTACCACGGGGCGTCGACTTGGATGGTTGAGCTTACCACAATTATTTGGCAACCTAGGTAATCACACCCGCCTCCAAGGGCCCACGTGTGCTCAGTCATCCTTCCATCTTATCTCACGTCGACTTTTCAAGATCCAAGATGTTTGCCGCCTTCTTCATTGATTTCCACTCAACCAGGCAGGCTGCCAGAAACGAGACCAGAGCCATTGCCACGCAGACAAAGAAAGTTTGAGTCACCGCGAGATTGTACGCAGCCAGCACAGAAGGCAGCAGTGAACGAGGAATCTTGCCTGCAAGATTCGACGCCCCAGCTTGGACGACGACCGCGGGGTCAATTGACGATGCGTACCGAGTCAAGTTGAGGACGAGGCGGTTCTGGAAAACATTCTGGGCAATAGACACGAAGAGAGCCCCGCTCAGGCTCTGCGAGAATGTGATGATGGAGATGCCCACTGGTAAATCTGTTGACGAGAGAACAGTTTGGAGGGCGTTGTAGCACTGCTGGAATCCTACCCCAGCTCCAATTCCAATGATAACTTGGTAGCCAATCCAGGCGCCGTAATTCGTGTGGACGTGAAATGTTGTACATAGACCGAACCCAATGGTCAAAAAGGCGCTTCCGAGAAACATGAGTGGGGTGTAGTAGCCGATCATGTTGACGAGTAGACCACTAAACGTAGAGCAGACGATCATGGTGATGACAGTGGGTAAGTTATTGATGCCAGACTGGATGGCTGAGACTTGTTGTACAGCTTGGAACCATATGGGGAGCTGTGCGCGCGCGTTAGCACGATAATTTACTCAAAGGCTGAAAAAAAGACATCGACAAAGGGCTATGACCATTGCTCACATAATAACCAAAAACGAAAAAGGAGCCGCCAAGGAACATCGCGTGTATCACCGCCCCAAGGACATTTCGATTCTTCAGTAGACGAGGTGGAACAGTGGCTTCGTCTTGTTTCCAGATTTGTATCGCGCACCAAGATGCGCCAGATACAGCAAATATTACCAACAGCGCAATGATTTTTGGATGTGTCCACGAGAACTGTGTTCCACCCCACTGAAGGGTCAATAAGAGCGAAACGACCGCGGGCAGTAAAGTTGCAAGACCAAGGGGATCCATCTTCTGAATTCTCTTCAGATATCCCGATGGTGCACTTTGAGATTGTATCCTATCCTTGAAGAACACAAGGATGAAGAGTCCGGTGATGGCCCCTACGGGTAAGTTCAACCAAAAGCACCATCTCCAACTGGCGCGGTCGGTCAAAAGTCCTCCTAGTCTGTTTCAATATTAGCCCAACTGACCCCCTTGGGACGTTCTTAGGTCTCATCCTCGCCAGGTAGGTAGGTAATCTTACATAGGCCCAGTGATTGTAGCGATACCGCTAACACTTCCAATGATCGAAAAGTAAAGGGCACGGCGATGGAGCGGCACACTCTCGGACAAAACTAGCAATGCACCAGGCGACATTCCCCCCGATCCGATCCCTGCAATTGCTCTACCTAGAATGAGGCCCTTTGAAGTCGGCGTGGACGCACATACTAGCGATCCGACTTCAAACAAGGTCAAGGCGAACAGGTACGTCCATTTGGTGGAGAAAAAAGTGTACACTCGACCAAATGGCAAGGTCACGGCGCAGGTTGTCAGAAGATATGCACTTGCATACCAAGACAGATCTTCCAGGGAATTGAATTGCTCGGTGATCTTGGGGGTGGCCGTGGACAGAATAGTGTTATCCTTGGAAGTGGAACCTTTGGTCAGTGTCATCAACGCAATGCTGGCACGTTGAATAAACTTACCAGGGCAATGCAGATAGATTGCAGACAGATTCCAATGAGTATAGGCACAAGCTGCCACGTTGATGGATATTGCTGTTTTGGGTCTCCCCCATCCACGTCGGTCTCACTGACCGAGATCACAGTCTTCCCCTCTGTATCGTCGTCAGTGAGCACGGCATCTTCATGAACATGCTTGCTTTGTCGTTGAGGCGTCTCTGCCATCAATACAAGTCATCAAGGATGTCGGAACTTTGCAAAGTTGGTTTGGCATGAATGAGACTCCGGGTCTCGTGGATTGGCTGGCTAGTTCGGCTTGCGCTCAAACTCATATTCGAGGGCTTTGGCAGGGACATGAATATGGCACGTCTCTCCAGGGAGAAGGGGTGACGACACAGAGGCATGAGACCATGTCAAGTCTTTCCAGGCCTCCTGACAAGCATTCTTCACGGGTCGTTGGTATGCGGATAGAGGTGCGAGCCTCGTCCCACCTCATATTGACTTTTCATGTAACGTGGGTAGATGGAAAGGATTGTTGATCCTCATCTCGGCAGAATTCAGAGTTCTCAAAGTGTTCGACGCAAAACGGAAGCTTGCGTGTCGTATAGGCTTGATGTGATGCTTGGAGGGTCACATGCAAAGATCACCTCACTAGCCAGCGTCAGGTACGGCAGTGACGGCGTGTCAGTCATCTTCACACATTCCTGGCGTCATGGGGAATCAATAGTCTCCGCGCATTCTCAACGCGCCTAGATTATCTGCTACCTGAGCCACTGCGAGAAAGTCTCCGATTCTGTCAGTCGTAAAGAGCGGCACGGTGAGGTCCCGTCGGGCACCTCTTCTCGGTGGCAGTACTGGCTTCAAATTCACTCAGCAAGTAGCGTAGCCTGACCGCATACACTTCCATCTCAAGGCGATATCGCCAACTTGTAGAGCCCCAAACACCAGGCCTTCAGATTTGAGCAAGTAAGTAGCTCGAAGAAACCTGAGCGTCCCCGTGATGAGCTCGATTTGCTCGGGGGCAAGGGTCTACGTTGAAGTACAGGTCAACGTATCAACGGAATACCCTATCGCTTCCGATTCTGTGCTCCCACACGATACGACGCTCTCAGCAGATCAGAGACACTCGATTCATATGATTCCGAGCGTGGGAGGTCGCACTTGTGTCTCTTTGAACGATCCAACTCTTGTTGGCGTGAGAGTCGCCCAACAACAGCAATGGACTGAGCCTAGACGCTCCAGAGCACGTGTCGCGTACTCTCAGAGTCATGAGTACTGCACTATTACTTCAGTCCTCACATACTCAGTGAGTCAGTAGTACTGTAGTAGTACTACTCTGAGTCAGCGTCATCCATACTTAGTTCACTAAAGTCGTAGGTACACTACCTTACTCACTCATGTCCCTGTAGGAGAGCAGAGAGCAGGAGTCAAAGCGGCGAGACCCACGGGCAGTAGGGCCAGTGCTGCCAGGCTGCCTCCAAAGTCAAAAATCCAAAGTCAACACTTTAACCTTCCCCGCCTGACCCCAATTTCGATCGACCTTCCACATTCGACCATCATAGCCAAACGCAGCCCGATTGGGAAGCTGATGTGAAGAAACGAGGACAGTTGTACCGAACTACCGAGCCCAGTCATGCGCTAACTACTGGAAGAAGTTTAAGTAGTAAGTGGTAAGTAGTACGTACTACGTACTGAGCAACTACTGTCATGTGACCCATTCCACGATTGAGCCGCGGGCGATGGAAACCGGTTTTGGATGGAGCTGGAGATTCTGCCAAGCGACCCCCGATCGGGGGATCTGAGTGGCATCCCGATTCCATGCGGACCATGCCTTCCCTCGGCTTTGATCTGCGCGCCGTGGCTGACGCCCTTTTGGAGAGCCTCGTTCGGGGAGCGGCACCCGGACGTGTGAAGAGCGGAGTGGCCGAACCAGACCGAGAGTGTGAAGCGGATGACTTCAGTGGCGGGATAGTACAAGTCTACATCAAGGACATATGATACTACATAGGACATACTTACAGCAAAGCACCACTCGGCGCAAGTGGTGAGAGTGGGTAGGTCGGGTACTGAGGTCCCTTGGCTCTTTCTGTCTGCTTCATGAGAAAGCTATTGATTCAGACTGCAACATTAAAGGGATTCAAAGTGTCGAGCCCGGCATATCGTGCTTCACGTTCCTGTTCGGTCGCTGAGAGACCAAGAGCCAACTGGAAACCAATCGACCGACCTACTACTACCCAGCCACGCAGTAGTAGTACTTCGTACTGACGGGGTGTCGGGCGCTTGACTGCTCGTTCAAGTCCAACCCGTATACTGATCCCGGAACTGCCTGTTTGGGTAACTCCCCTCCTGCGCACAACTTCCGCAGCCCCCGCCAAGGCAGAGAGTTGCGGGCGGGTTGGTTCCGATGTGGGGAAGAGCCCTTGGCCCCAGCTGCCGCGAGCAGATGCGAGTGTGGAAACAAAGTCGAGTCGACCGAGTTCGAGACTGGAGGCGTTGCTCTATTACTCTTTGAGGGTGATAGAGTAGTCACATAGAATGACCTGTCCTGAGTCCTGAGTCCTGAGTCCTGAGTCCTGAGTCCTGAGTCCTGACTGCTTGGCCATTCTTTCACCCCCGTCGTGGTAGAGTCATTCGTCACTCATGCTGTATGATGGCAGTGGAAAAAGGAAGCTAACCTCAAAGTGGAGATCGGCCAAGATGGCGGTTCGGGTGGCTGACAGTGGCTGCCGCACTCATCTGAACCGTGCTTGAAAGCTCGGAGATACAGGGTATACCGGTATAGTCAGTGAGTCTAGTTCTCCGATTTCTTACGTTCCATCCATAGTTCCAGATGGACATATTTATCAAGTCAACAGCCGCGACGCACCTACATAAGTAAGCATAGGAGTTGGACTCTGCAGTCATCGGGTATGGATTGATCGCACCGACGCGATCTCGCCGGATCATACTGTAGTAGCATGGATGTCGAGGTTCCGCAATCATGGACCTCTCGATCAATCGGCAGATTGAACGTGGTAGGCATGTACTATTGTACTGTAAAGGGAGACATGGACAGCCACGTGCGTCCCTGACACATGACCCAGAGGGTCAGTATATACCAGTATATACTATATCGCATATCTGATTGAGTACGCCTTAGACTTCTCCTGGTACGATTGCATCGAGTGACTTGGATGACTTGGAGGTACCGGGAGAAGGGAATCCCCATCGGCGTTGAAGAAGTTCACGCAAAGTACCACAGGATGTACAAGTCTTTCCGACGGATGGACTGCACTCTCACGTGCACGTCCCGTGGTCTCGAGGTACCGCCCAGACGTCTTGTGTTGCAGTCGCCGGCCACGACGCAGTGTCATTATCAAGTTGTGGTACAGCATTACCGGAATGATGAACAGTAGAGTACCTCATTGCAACACCAGCAGCTACGAGTCGTTGTACTCCCGGTCAAGTCTCCACCAGGTACAGACGTGGTGCCTCCTCCTCCTCCTCCTCCTCCTCCTCGGTCGGCCTCCACTTCTGAGCCGAACTTCACATTACGTCTTTTGCGGGCGATTGGAAGTGATCGGCACCAATGGGTTTTCCCAACTTGCCTGCAACAGTGAAAGAGGTTGCCCACCTGTCCAGGCGCTAACTCATTCTGGGGAAGCCGATCATGACGCCGGCCGTTTACACGCCATGTGAGCTGCTCTCAGATATACAGGCGTTGACGAGTGCGACTCGTTTTGCCGGTACCTCATGACCCCCGTTCGCCAGGTTGGCCCGCGACAATATCAACATCGACCAGGGGGAGAACATGGTCTAGTTCGATGTTCAAGGACATGATTCGCAGATGGGAGGATTTGATGAGGGCTCGATCTATACGCGACAATCTGTCGCCAACTTCCAAGTGCACCCATCTCAGCTACAGGATCATGGACCTCATCGAAGAATCTCTAGATGGACAGGGCATGTACATTTTGCCCCTCGCGAGTGGATGGTTCTCCAGATGAGTTAGTTTCTTGTTAATTCCCCAGCATCAGACTCAGTACCTCACTGTCGTTGGTGCCGGAAGTTTACCAGCGCCCTCTCCACTGACGACGCACAGCTCAGTACATCCATGTCCAACCGGTCATTGCGCGACGCTAGAGCCGAACCCACCGAATATGATGACGGTGGAGATCGGGAGGAACGGAGAGGAGAGGCTTGGAGAGCGTGGAGGCGGCCCCGAAAAAAGGGAACCACCAAGAAAAAAAAGGTGCTCAACTTGCTAGAGAAGCAGCCAGGCACCCGTAATCGCAGGTGCATCCGTAGCAAGTGAGTGGACCCTGCCCTTTGCCAATCGACGATGCGAGTCCACTCGTACCACAGATAGCCTTCGCGGCTCGGCATGGCTGAGAGGAGGAATCCCTCGTCATGAGTCTGATCACCGCGTCTCGCTTCTCTAACCAGGAACGTCCATGGGCGTCCCAGTTGCGAAAAGAGAAAATCCTTTTTCGGGAAAAAGAGCGAAACTCAAAGGGCGCCTGAACAACAGGGATTCTCTTTTCCCGAACAGAATGATGAGCCGGAAGCGATGCCCTGATTTAAATCCAGCCTGATTCCCCGCGCTGTCAATGCCCTGTTGATCTTTCTATTTCCCATGTGAGGATACCAACATCGTATTTTCTCGGGGCACCTCTTCATCAACTCTTGCCTCAACAAGGCCGCGCTTCTCTACAGCGAGACAGAGAGCAACGCCCCTTGCGCGCTCTTTGAGACACATCAAGTGACCAGGTTGCGACGAAAGGAATTTGCGCATTATATAGTTCCATTCGGCCTTTTCCACCTTCATACGACAAAGCTCCCTCCTCGCCGTTGTACGAGATGGCCAAACAAAAGTACCTGGGCCTGAGTGGCACCCAGCTCCAAATTGCGATCGGCCTTTTAGCTGGCATGGACTTTCTACTTTTTGGGTACGACCAAGGTGTGACGGGTGGCTTGCTCACGCTGGAATCATTCCGAAAGTACTTCCCTACCATTGATACCACAGCAGCCGGTACAAGGGGCTTGACAGCTGCGCAAAAGAGCGCTCAGTCGACTCGTCAGGGTATCACTGTGGCGTCCTACAACTTGGGCTGCTTCGCCGGCTCCATTCCGACCATCTGGATCGGTAACATGCTCGGTCGCCGCAAGGCGATCTTCCTCGGTTCTTTCATCATGGTGATTGGCGCAATCTTGCAGTGCGCCTCGTATGGACTGGCTCAATTCGTCGTTGGTCGTTTGGTCACTGGGTTCGGCAATGGCATCAACACCTCTACGGTTCCCACGTGGCAGTCCGAGTGCTGCAAGTCTCATCGTCGTGGCCAGATGGTCATGATTGAAGGTGCCATGATCACTTTTGGAATCATGATCAGTTACTGGATCGATTTTGGATTCTTATTCACAGATCCCAGTGAGGTGGCATGGCGATTTCCCCTGGCATTCCAGATCTTCTTCGCTCTGATTATTCTTAGTTTCGTGATGTTCTTGCCCGAGTCGCCTCGTTGGCTGATTCTCAAGGGTCGCGAAGACGAGGCTCGGGACGTGCTTGCGGTTCTTTCCGGTCACGACGCTGATGAGACGTACCTTGAAACCGAATTCATCGCGATCAAGACTACCGTGCTGGAAATGGCCAAGGGTTCCTTCAGTGACATGTTCACGATGGGCAAAGATCGTCACTTCCACCGGACCATGCTGGCCTATGTCAACCAGTGTTTCCAGCAAATTTCCGGCATTAACTTGATCACCTACTATATCCCTACACTGCTCCAGAACCAAGTCGGACTCACTCCCACATTGTCTCGACTGATTGCGGCGTGCAACGGGACAGAGTATTTCCTTGCCTCCTGGGTGGCCGTGTTCACAGTGGAGAAGTTTGGGCGCCGGACGCTGATGATCTTTGGCGCCGCTGGCATGTCACTGTCAATGGTCGTCCTGGCCATCACCGACAGCATTTCTGCAGCTCATCCCCAGACTCCCCTCGGAACTCGCGCGGGTATCGCACAGGCTGTCTTCCTCTTTGTCTTCAATACCTTCTTTGCCATTGGTTGGCTCGGAATGACTTGGCTCTATCCCGCCGAGATTGTGCCATTGAAGATCCGCGCCCCTGCCAACGCCTTGTCCACATCGTCAAACTGGATCTTCAACTTTATGGTCGTGATGATCACGCCTGTTGCATTCAACAATATTGGATACAAAACCTATATCATTTTCGCGGTCATGTGAGTTGCCCCTTTCGTCCCGAATTCTGTTCGAACCAATTATACAAGCTCTTCCCCGATTGACAGTCGTTTCACGAACTAACCCTTCAACCGTTCTAGTAACGCCGCGATCGTCCCATCAGTCTACTTCTTCTTCCCAGAGACCACCTGTCGATCTCTGGAGGAAATGGACCGCATCTTCTGGAAGACGCGAAACATCTTTGAATGTGTCAAGATCGCTCGCGAAGAACCGCACATGTACGGCCGCAAGGGTGAACTACTGCGTACCCTGTCCGACGTGGAGGATGACGCCACTCACCGCGCCAGCGCGCAAATAGAAGGGTCGAGAAAGTCCACCAAGCAGCATCACGAGCATCTTGAGGACGGCTCAGGCTCGAGCGATAGTCCTGTCGAAAAGGAGAAATGATCTGTTCTGTCTTAATCATGGAGTCTAGTGAGATGTCGCCTAGAAATTGTGTCTTCCTTTCCTGGACACGGGGCTGAGTCTGGGGATGGGCACATTTTGTATTACACTTTGTTGATAGACGACTTCATGAACATTTATGAATATGCCCTGCAAGGTCTTATATAAGATATCCGTACCGTCCAGTATCAGTAGCTGTAAATTGGTTGCACTGGTACCTTTCCTACTTCAAGATCAACTGATCCTCGTGCTCTCTCGACAAAGGGAGTCTCCTCACTCTCCTTCTATCTCAAAGGTACGTACACTACAGCTCGCACATATCAGCCCCGTTCAATCCATACATGAGATTGAGCCGCTTGATCGGGCATCGCAATATTCTCACCACCGCGTCCCGTCTGCGCGTTGGACGAATGAAGTGCTGCGTTTAGAGTGGAGATCTGCCTTTACCATATTATTCCATAAACTAGACTTGTTGAAGGTAGTTGTAGGGTCTGGTCCAATTTAGTGGACTTGTTGTCCAGTGGACTTTTAGAATTGGAGTTGTCGAGGCAGAATGGATTTTGTCCACTTCGATACGTGCAGGTGGTTGCCTGATGAAAGCCAAGGTGACAAAACAAGCCCATGCTTATTTTTGAGGCGCCATGAACAGGGAGCGGATTTAAGTTATGAATATGGAATCTCGTCTACTTGATTAGATAGAGGATATGTCTGTCAACATGGATATGTAATACAAATTCATTATAGATTTCGATGAAGAATAATCTCAGCTCCATCTAAGAATAATTTCCGTACAGACGTTTCCGAGATAAGGAATGATAATCATGATTCAATCAACCTGCTGAAGAAGCATTCCATGCAAAATCTCCAATCTCCACACGCCTCGTACTAAGAACTGGAAAAGATAGTTCATGTCAAACAACCTCCTGATGAGCAGTTTCAGGATGCTCCTTCGTGGTCTGAGCCTTATGTCTCTCCACCTGCTCTCCGAACTGGTCAGGAATCGCATTTGTCTTCCACGGCTTCGCATTCGAATCAAACACCAGGTCGACTTCTTCCAGAGTTCGGCCCACTGTCTCGGGGTACATGAAGAAGACGTGGAACGTCATCGCGAAGCAGAATACACCGAAGATGATGTACGTCCTCCATTGAATGTTGTGGAAGGCCGGAGCGACGAAATAAGCGAGCGCAAAGTTGAAGATCCAATTGGCGGATGCGGAGAGACCGACGCCCTTGGCTCGGTACTTGAGGGGGAAAACTTCGGATGCGTAGATCCAGCCGGTGGGGGCCTATTGAGCGGAGGGTGTTGTGTCAATGAAGATGGTACGAAAATAGCCCCAAGTGGGTATTAAAGGTGGAGGGGGATTTCTTACCCAGGTGAAACCGTAGACACCCGTGAAGATGTATGAAAATGCAATCACTGCCATACCAGGGGATCCCTTGATGGACCAGGTCAGGTTATAGTTGCCGTTGACGTTGGTTACTGACTCTCCCTTGGTAGCCATAACGCCGGCAATGATAAAGTGAATCACCATGCAGATCACCGAGCCAGAGAGCAGAAGCTTGCGGCGGCCGACACGATCAATATACGGGAGCATGACTCCTGTTGTGACCAGGAAGATAACGTATTGGATTGCCGATGACCATAGCGTTGTGTTGCCACTCTGATGAAACATTTATGTTAGTAAAAGGCCCTTCATCGCTTTCTTATTTTCAACTTTCGATTGCAATTGAACTCCGGAGGACAAACTCACCAGGCCAGCCATCTCAAAGATATACACCACATAGTACATGGCCACGTTACCACCGAGCAATTGTTGCCACATTTGCACACTCATTCCGCACATGGTACGCTTCCAGATACGAGGACCAAAGAGCGAAAGGAAAGAGACATCCTTAGACTGGTGTGCAATACGCGCAGCCTCCTGGACCTCTTCAAACTCAACCTGCACCGCAGGATCATTGCGGTCTCCCTTCCCGTGAATCAAGGCAAGCACATCCAGAGCCTCCTCCCATCGCTCTTTCGCTGCCAGCCACCGAGGTGATTCCGGGAAAAAGAACAGAGCAATGAACAAAATGAGTCCCGGCACGGCTTGGATACCCCAGCAGATTCGGAAGGCAGCAGGGCCAGAGACGCCCACGGCACAGCCGTATGCAATCAGGTACATGATCAAAATACCCCACTCGATGGCCCATTGCTGAATCCCGACCACCCGACCGCGGATGCGGGCGGGTGCGAGTTCAGACAGATAGACGCAGGTCTGCGACGAAGTCACACCAACGGCGAGGCCGCTGACGACACGACCGGCGACGAGGTGAGTGACGTTCTGAGCACTGCATTGCACCATAGCGCCAACAATCCATACGAGAGATGCAATCATCAGTGCACCACGTCGGCCAAGGATGTCAGAGAGCCAGCCTGCCGCGATTGATCCAGCAAAGGATCCGGCAGACATAGAGGCGGTGATCTAGATGTAAAAATGACGTGAGCTTTCATGCCTTGGATTGAATGATTTGATATCCGATAGCGCGAGTCGGGGGCAAATTGGCAATGACTTACGCCGCCTTGAAGGTTGGAATTCGGATGATTGAAATAGTTATTGTACGTATCGACGCCAATCCACGCGCTCATCGAACTATGGTCGACAACAAGAAATGTCAGCGCTCACCTCTCAAGCCCGAGCGAATTCATACGAACAAGCTTCGAGGAGGATGGTCAAAACATACCTGACATCGAATCCAAACAAGGCTCCGCCGATGGTGCCAAACGCGGCGAGTACTGGTCATTGTTTTCTTAGCAAAGACTCGACCCTAAAGCCCTGTCTCAAGATCACGAGAGAACTCACCGTAAATATTTGAAATCTGATACATGGCTGCACGTATCATTCAACAAGCCTGTCTGCTGTCTAATCTCCCTGCTTCCTTTCTTCTTGCACCACCCCGGAAAGGCCTTTTATATCTTTAAGCATGTCCACTTTTATGGTACCTGTGCGCCCAAGTCGCGGGTGGCTTGCATCTGGATAACGCCTAAGCGAAGACAGGGACTAGCGCCGATGCATGGCAGGACAGGAGTCAAAACGGGGCTCGAGATCCATCCACGGAAAAGATCGTCTGGTAACAGTGCGGAGAAACGCACACGTTGGGGAACCGGGGCCCCAGTATTGAAAGGCTCCAGCGCGGTCGCTGCGTCATTGTTGCAATGTTGATAGAGATGGTGTGCTGGGCTAAACCAGTCGGATATTAGAGGGAAGTGCTGTATACATCTCGGTTAAAAATGAGACGTTTTAACCGAATCTCCATCTCAATGTTCTCGGTGTCTCCAATCCCCACGCCGGGGAGGTCTCCATAACGGATGCCCAGGCCACGAATATGGCATCTTGACTTGAGAATTAGGCTATATCACACAGTGTGTGAGCCAATGAAGCCAGGCAAAATCCCTTCCAGATTTACACATCTGCCTCGGACCACGACCTTCTGTAAAGCGGAATCCAGTCACGCGAAGTCAGGTTTGTCGCCACCGAAGAGTTTATCACAAGAGTGTCTTGGAAAGCCGATCCGCATTTGTGGCTTGCAAGGGTGTTCAGAGCTGAGGTCGGCATGCCGACGTCATGCCACCCGGCTAAAACCATGTGATTTTTGCCGAAATAAAACCCGGCCGTAGATGCCTGCTTTCGGCGAACTTGGCCACGGATATACAATTTGATCGTGTTCGGAGGAAAGACCTGTTCATTGGGTGAGGTGATTTCGCGCAATAGCCTGTTTCTTGCATGATCCGGATTTTCCAAAAGTGAGACCGAATTGCGGGAAGGAGAGATCAGGTGAATGGATCGGAGTGGCCATTGTTTGACAAATGAGATCTATTCTAGTTGTCTCTAGGGTTCTATCTCCCTGCCTCCTAATCCTTGAACGCGCGTCGAAACCAAGAAAAAGAAAACAAAACAAAACAAAACAGCAAATGTCTAACAAGGGACGAGAAACATGAAATATACACCAAGAATGTGCTGAAGATGAGAAGGGAAAAAGACTTCGCTATTAAAGGGAAACATTCAAAGCTTGCTCTTGGGAGGAGTATTCTTGAGCAAGGCCTCATTCCAAGGATAGGGGTCAAAGACAAGGTCGTTGACGGGGTTCTCCTGACTGGCACGGCGGAACAGGTCAGGGTATACATTTCCGTCGGCACGACCCAGGCTGCTGTCGAGTTGCCAGTCGGGAATGGCCCAGGCATCCACAAGACGCACAGCATGGGGGCGGACCTCATCAAGCAGCTTCATCACGGCAACAGTACGAGTGAGGCCAATTTGACGGACGGTGACGGCTCCAGAGGAGAAAAACTCGGCCGCCTCCCGCTCGAGAGTGTGCAGAGCATAGAGACGGAAGAGTGAGTGCATCATGGTCTTGGTCTCAGGATCCAAAGACTGGGACAGCTCAGGAGAAGAGACAGCTTCGTAGAAGTTCTTCACCACGAGATATTGGGAGTGAGCGGTTGACAGGCGCCAGAAGTCGACCAGCAGACTGTTCCATGAGCGCTTCTCGGAATCACGGTGCTTGAGAGCCTCGAAGGTCAGGTGAGCCGTGCGCCAAGCAAAGGCGGCCACGATGTCGTTGTCTTGCTCGAGAATGTCGAAGGAGGCACCCTTGTCACGGCGGTCCAAGTAAGTGCGAAGAATGCGGGAGGTGTCATTATCCGCAGACTTTCCAGAGAGAACAGCACGGGCCGACTTCAAGAGGTAGCGAGCAACCTGCTGGGTAAGCATGTAGTTGTCACCTTCCCAGGTCAAGGTGGGCAGATAGTCGGAGTAGAAGGGTCCAATGCCGCTGTAGCTGCTGTAACCATGACCACCGCACGTGCGTCGGCAGATCTCGAGTCCCTCGCCAGCAGTAGTACTAGCTAGAGCCTTAAGACCACAGGAAGTGGCGTGCAGATCCGCCAGCAGATCAGCACCAGCTCGCAGCTCCTCGGGACCAGGGCCACGAGTCTCCTGGCTCGGAGTGGAAGCCGCCTGCATACGCTTTTGATTCTCCTGATACAGACGCATCATACCACGACCGGTGAAGTGAAGGGCATACATAGATGCCAAAAGAGGCAACAAGCGAACTTGCACCATCTTGTAGTTGAGGACCTGAGTCTCTCCAGCGTTGGGGTCCGCATCCCGATCCTGGAACTGCCGACGGACAGCACAGTACCGAGTGGCAATGGTCACACCGCGAGCCAAGGTACCGCCTGATTGGAGAACGATATTGGAGCGGACCCAGGTCATGGTGCCGTAGACCAGAGTCGCCATACGGGGGCGCACGTACTTGTTCGTCGCCTTGTCGACGCTGGAGAAGCGGGCGAGCATGTTAACGTGGGGAATCTTGTAATTGTTGAAAAGCAGGAAGCCGTTGTCCATAGTGCTAAAAGAAGAAGAATCGCACGTCAGTTCACTGTTTCGCTGGCCTCGTCACCTGGCGCTGGGAAAACCGATATCACTCACTTGTAGCCGAACTTGGGACCAATGTCACCAACATAGACATTCTCCATGGGTTGGTGGGTCTCAAGATCGCGGACTTGAACAACGAAGGGGTGAGGGCCGTAATTCTTTCCTGCGATATAGAGCTGGGCCATGACCACAGCATGGTTGGCGGTGCGACCCAAAGAGCCAATCCACCACTTGGAAGCGGTCAATGTTGGAGAGTTGATAATGAAAGTCTTGTCCTCGGGGTTCCAGGTAGCGGTCGTTTCGAGGCCGCGAACGTTGGAGCCGTGTCCTAGTTCGGTTTGAGCGTAGCAACCGATGATCTGGTACTTCTCAGCTCGCTCAAGGAAAATTTTGTGTTGTTCCGGTGTTCCTTGCTCACGAAGGGTGACCTGCGATATTGAAAGAGGAATGTCAGCGACTTTCAGTATGACAGCGGAAGGACAAACCCGCGACAATGCCGACCCGTAAATAAGGGACTCACCAAAAACATGCTAGCATGCAGACCGTATGGTGTTGGCTCGCCGATCAAATCATTGGCGAGATGAAGTTCCTCCATGTTCCACTTGTGCTGCTCGGCCAACTGCTGCAGACGCTTCGCCTTGGCGAGCGAGCGCTGAAGGCGATCGACGCGGCCCAAAGAGTGGTTTTGAGACTTGTCAAAGACCTTCTCGGCCTGGAGCATTTTAACCAGCTTGTCCTGGAGCTGCAAGTGCTCCTTGGTGTGCAGCAACTCGGAAAGCTTCTGAACATCCACGTTGGATTGAGCGCGCTCTTGGGCGAGCAGCTCGGAGCCCTGCGGGCCACCCGGCTTGAGAGCCTTGACCCATTCTGGGGGTGGTTGTCCAGGCATTATGTGTGTGTAAGTGTGGGTAGGAGGGAATGGTGCGGAGGGTGAGGTCAAGTCGAGAGGCAAGTGATGAGAGAAAGGTGGAGGGAAAAAAGGTCGATGTGGAAATCGTGGGGATGGAGGATATAAGCAATTAATGCGCAGCCGCACTCTCCGGGGCCCCAGGCCGAGGGCCAGCTGAGCCAGCGACCGGCCGAAAGAGGCAGTTACCGAGGCTCGTCCAAATCGGGATATCGAGACCCTTGGCCGAAAACCACCGAGACAAACGCGTTAGCAGTCGAATCAAGGTCACTATTTTTTACCTTGCATGGCTATTCTGGAAAGATCTCATGATGAGTTGACTGCAGGTTCAAAATGGTATATGTTCTCAGGTAGTTTTGTAGACGTTGCGCCCGATCCGCGTTGTCGAACCGGCTGTATCTATCGGCCGGAAATAGAAGTTGACCAACTGGACCGAACCCAAATTGTGGTTCATTACATGGAGTCTTGTACCCCATCCTGGATGGATAATGGTGGTAGACCCATTATAACCCCGCAAAATTCTCCCATGTTCTGTTCATTTGATGTTCCAGTAGATAAGCAATTGTCAAGTCAGAACATTCAATTCTTGAAGACATATGGATCAGGTAAGTTATGGAATGTCTAGTTGGAAAAACCTAGAGATGATCCTCGCGCGGCTACTTTGCCTAAGTAGGGTGTTTTCAGCCGCGAGGCGACGGGGTCCGAGGGTGACTAGGTACTTTTTCCATATCAACACTACTTGCACGATTAATGCTAGGGATGTTGGTGCTAGATACCCGGATCTCGCGGTGGCGACCAAACTTAACGGGCATGCGCCCGAGCACAGGTGATCGGGTTGAAGCACAGATCTTCGATCATTCTTCACCTCTCAAGATTCAAGCCCGATCTAATGTTCTCTGATCGATCGTATGGCCGGGCGTGTGATTCGAGACTTGCTGATAAGTGAGATCACGCTAAACAGCAGCACTGCGCATGACATGCGATCGATCTTAGATGGCGAGCATCAGCCGGCGCTCATCTTGATATTCCTCTTCTCATCCTACAGACGGTAGTATGACCTTTGCGAAGAGTCTTCCACGACGCCTGCTCTCAAAATTGAACACCAATGGTGTGTGATTAGTCGATCATACGATGTGGTTAGGGCGACCGAGACGAAGTTTGTCAACAAGGCTGATGTGCTGTACACTCGGACAAGGAAGAGCCGGGGAAGCTTTGCCGAGGCTACTTTCCCGCGGGGACTGTGCGGCTGATAGGCGTTCCGTGCATATAGAAGTTAAAGTAAGCAAGGTGTCGTCACTGACGAACTGCGATCAGATAAGTAATTGCGCATGTGTGAGTAATGATATAACATTCAATAAGCTGTGAGTTGACATACGACTTGCTTCGTTCTCGCAGGACGTGGCCACTGGCCAGTTTCCGGTCACATGCTCCCTCCTCGACCCTGTACGGTAGACCCGTATGCCGTCACATGTCAGAATCCCCTGCCGCTTCTGGTCCCACACGTGGCTCCGGGGCAACAAAGACTGGAGCCACGAGTTTTTCTATGGCCAGATTCCAGACTAGTATGAACGAAGCACGTCAAATGGGCGCTTGTGACTAGACTGCTCCTTTTCCTCTCATACAGACTGTGATTCTCGGGGTTTAAATGAATCTTCGAATATGTCGACTCCCGCAATACCAAGTATTCCCTCTACTCGGTTCTCTGCAATTTAGATGCACGCGGCAGTCCTAGCCAGGCAAGCAAAATAGCGCCAGACAGGGCAATGGCGAACGGCTGCAAGACTTGTACGCCCTTGGCCTGTGCCAGAGCGCCAACAGCAAAGGGTAGAACTGCAGCACCAGAGCTACCAAAGGCTGCACAGAACCCGATTGAACTAACATGAAGATGTCGAGGGAGAAGTTTGGTGATCATGACAATTGCTCCGGGAAACAGAGGCCCCAGGAAGAATCCCTGAAGAGAAACCGCTACGGCGGACGCGTAGAATTGAGGTACAAGCCAAAGTACCAATGCGAATGCGATAGAAAGGACGATGTATCCCTACCTTTGCGGTTAGCAAGGTCCAGCACTTGAAGCGAATCTTTTTCCAAGGAGGGACGCAGGCCCCTGGGAAAGGAATTGGTATACGCACAGCAATTGCCACTTTCTCGCCTAGTCGGGGCGTCACGAAACCCAGTATGACTCTTCCAACTGTAATGCCCAGCCAGAATCCTGTGGCGGTCATACCACTTGCGAATGCACTGCCATGTCGGACGCGAATCATAAAGGTCACAATCCAGCCACCAAGAGCGACTTCGCATCCCACGTACCCCAGCAGGAATAGAGAGCATAGCCAGGTGACGCGAGCAGAAGGACGCTTGAACAAAGCAGCACGAAGCCCACCCTTCTTGTCTTCCTCGACAGATTCAGAGGTCTCTGCACGGAAGACAGCACCAGTCGCTTTCCAGAAACATGCGCCGCATGTTGCCAGTTCAACCACCGCGCAGCCGACCTGATAAATATCAGTATCCAGCAGTTCCATTTTGGTGGGACATGAAGTATGAGCAACACTCATCATACCATCACATAGTAGAAGTTGTACCACGGCATCTGAGCTTTGGCTATCATGGACGTTGCGATCAATGGGGCCAATACAGCACCCAGGCCATACACGCCATGCAAGAAACCCAGCAACTCGTTCGCGTTAGCCATGTTGCCAATCCATGCATTCCACGCGGCATCTGCCAGACCATTTCCAAAACCTGCAAATATAAACGAGACCACAAGAACCGGGTAGGGCGGATGCAAGCAGTTGACCACATAGGCGATGAGATGACAGGCTGGGGCGATGAACGCAACTCCACGTTGGCCGAGCGAGTTGTGGATTCGGTGATTGAGCAACGCGGCCAGGGTGTACCCGACTAGAGGCGAGAGGAAGACCAGGGAGACGATTGTGTAGGTCAAGTCGTAGTATGTTTCCAGCTGTAGATGGCATGATTAGAATGAAGATGGCTGTTGTTTAGATCAGAGCCGGAAGAGATGGCAAGCTCATACATAAGGAATCAAGGCCTGGTCATGATAAACATTGTTAGTGAAGGTCACTACTGTTGAACGCCTTGATGCGTATTGTTTCTGGACCACTGACACCGTACGCCGCATCATTACTTCCTATCACCAAAAAACTAAAGAAGGTCGCAAAGCATCGGTATGCATTGATGCGGGGAGAATTCCACTTCTCCAACGCGGGGAAAGCCCCAGTGGGTTCACTAGAGGCCACCTCGTCCGCAGCTTGCTGGCTGGGAGGCATAGTGTCGAGAGTGATATGACGGGTAGCATCGTTGGAATTCGTATGCTTGACAGAAGTGGTTGTCGTTGCCATCGTGGATTGAGTGCCAAGAAAAAATTGAAAGACTTCCTCCAATTGAAATACCACCAGGCGAACTACTGTAGCAGTTTGTGGTCTTTATATGAGTTGGACCTACCGGAAATCTCCAGCTTATGAGAGAGGCGATGAACGAACGCAAAGTCGAACAACTTTGATGACTTGATTCATCATCCGATGAAGCACCGGGTCGGAGAAACACTTTGCGTAAGTCAGCATTCTGCAACTCGCTGCTTAATGACCGAGTTCGTCTCGACCCCACTCTGGCGTTGGTGACGATCGCAATGCGAAGAAGGACTTGTGGCCTTCGGGGCTTCTCACGTGCGACTTGACGGAAAGGACCGCACGGGGCTTGGCAGCGGAGGTCAGTGCGCTTTACCAGAAACGGCAGTAGCGGCTAAACTTCGGACCTTCAAGTTGACCGTTACTGACTGACGGGAAGAACAAGCCATAATTGTCTGCAGCTTCGAGTGCAGCTGAGTCATACCTGCGTTTCAAACGCTTGAGACTTCCAGAAACTCTGAAAGTGAATATACATGCTAGTGTCTTTATTGTCGGATCCTTGGCCCGTCGAACCGAGGGTCCATGATCACTTAAACGGAAGCCACTAGCGTGGAGGTTGACATTCGGGGATCCTTGACTTAAACCGTCTGCAGTTCTGCAGCATGCAGTGATTTTGCGTGGTGCGGCTGACCCGCAGGTCAGGTTTATTCGGATTCGCTTGCCTCGAGCTGAACCCTCTTTTGGACTGAGAGGTTGCTGTATAGTGTATACTACTTTGGAGACAAGGCTCAGCAATACAATCAGTATAGAATTATTAGAGAAATGTGACTTATTCGATGGATTTTAGTTACTCTGGTCTTGCTCCCACGGCTTGTCTGCCAGTAGCCGGCAGGTAGTCTCCTAGGCCCGGGCCTTATTTTGGACTATACAGTATCCGCCTCACTTCCACACCGACGAATATCTTCTTGGCAACGACCACTGGTGATGAAAGACCGAGAACACAATCAAATTACTCAAGCCAAGTCTGTTGGGTGGATGCGACATCACGCCTCGAACGATGAAATCACTCTAACGAACTATATATACGCCAATTTGGTACTTCACGCTTGATGAAAGCGGTATCTTTCGTCAAGTGACGGGGCTCTTGATGGAGACAAGTCATCATAAAGAGAGAGGTGAAAGTGCACACACAAAAGGTCCATCTCGTCGTGCTCCTATTCCCTCGCGACGTTTGCCGGCTCAAAAACTCGATTCATACCAACCGCGCGATACCTGTTTACTGTACAATATACCCCGCCTCGAGCCCCATTCCAAGGATCATGAGTTTGTCCACCAATCACGCACCCGTGATGGTGTTTATCCGCAGCGAACAAGACCATTAAAGTAACAGCCTTCGTCGCTGTTCATATCCATCTCATCATGCGCCAAGTTGCACCTCCTCCATCCAGTAGACATGAAGTATACAAATCCAGTCATTCCAGGCTTCAATCCGGATCCCTCAATCGTCCGAGTCCACAAGGATTTTTTCTTAGTTACTTCGAGCTTCGAGTATTTTCCAGGTGCACCCATCTATCACAGCAATGACCTGATTCAATGGAAACTCATCGGTCATGCATTGACGCGACCAGGTCAACTCCAAATTCACACACCGGAACCGGGTGGTGGTGTCTGGGCGACTACGATCCGCTACCACGATGGAGAATTCTACATCATCGCGGCAAGCTTTCAGCGGTATCGCCCGCAGGAAGACGATCGCGTATGGCCACGGGGCTTTTACGTCAAGACGAAAGATATCTGGAATGATCGCTCTTGGTCGGATCCAGTATATTTTGGTCAGGTCGGATTTGATCAGGATGTATGTCTTGTACCTCTTGAAAGGCCATTTGGAGAGTCGAATGAAGATGCTCGACATCTGCGTCCGATGGTGCATCGTCTGAGAGATTGAAGCTCAAGTTGATGACCATTGAGATCGACTAATATTGTTATACTTCCAGCTCTTCTGGGATGATGACGGGACGGTCTATCTCTCTTCCACTTATCGAAAAATGGAACCGACACCCGGCGCAAAATTCAAGGATTTTGCCATTCACATCTGCACAATTGATCTCGCGACGGGCCATTCGACGTCAGAGCCCAAGTTGATCCGAGAGTCTTCTTCCGGTGTTGCTGAGGGCTCTCACATCTTCAGACGAGGGCGCTATTATTATCTATTCACAGCAGAGGGTGGTACAGAGAGTGGACATTGCGAATGGGTGAGTCGAAGTGAGGTTGGACCATTTGGGCCATGGAAGTTGGGACCGAACAATCCTCTCTGGCGCAATGGCATAAATGGGGACGTTCAAAATACCGGTCACTTGGATCTGGTTGAAGACGAGCAAGGGCACTGGTGGGCAGTTCTGTTGGCAGTTCGGCCAGTTCGAAAGGAGAATGGATGGGAGGACTCGGTCTTTGGTAAGCGTTTTCCTTCCTCGGCTGGGCTAACGCAACATGTGACGCGAGACCCCGGGCACTGATCCGTTGAGCAGGAAGAGAAACCTTTCTCGTGCCGGTTGAGTGGGAGAATGACTGGCCCGTCGTCAATGCTGGGAAAGAGATCACGCTCCGATCTGAGGGACCCGGACTCTATGAGCATGATATCCCGGTCGAATGGCGAGACGAGTTCAGAGGCCCGCAGTTGAGCTTGGGCTGGTATCGAAAAAGCATGTGCGGCCCCGATCTCGAACATCAACTTGTGAGGTTGCAGACTAACATGATCTGACACTTGATCAGACACACCACTTTCAATTGACTACTCTCTCACCGAGCGTCCAAACCACCTCCGCCTGTACGGAGGACCCTACACCTTGTCTGTACCAGCTTGTCCGACCATGCTCCTCCGAAAACAAACCCATCGACTTTGTACCTGGAAAACAAAGCTTACCTTTCATCCGGCCTCCGAACATACCGAAGCCGGGACTGTGCTCTGGTGGAACTATTTCACGCATAGCACTCTAGGCATTCGGCGACAAGCCGAGCACCGAATTCTCAGATTCACCCCATCGGAAGGGAAGTCCATCGAAGTATGCGTAGAGTCTACCGAGGATGTTGTGCTCCTGATTGAATGCGGTTCAAAGTATCGCTTTGGTTACCAGACCTCTGCCAGTGCAGAGACATTATGGATGGGTGCGGTCTCTAATGAAGTAGCGACGAGGGCGCCGCCTGTAGGAGCCCCATTCACAGGTATGACATTCTTGGCTTGAAGCTCAAATTGCCAGTGTAAGACCGTTGGCTAATGTGGCATCATCTCTCCCCAAGGAATGATGCTTGGGTTGTATGCATTTGGAGACCGACAACAATGCCTTACTCCAGCTGATTTTGCATACGCCTGTTTCGAATAGGCCGCGCGGTCCAGGGAACAGATCCTGTGTGAGGCCGATCTTGGAATGAAGAGATCGCATGAATCTACTAATCCGTAAAGACCAAGTGGCTGTCAGTGCCTTCAACTGTCTGTTTCTCTATCGAGGAGAGGCGGTGTGACCTTTACGGCAAGATTTGTTGCTTTTGTAGAGAGTGCATTCCTTCGCTCCAGCCTCCATTTACAAACGTAGATTTTCTACGCATAAGTATCTCAAGCGGGACATTTTTATTATAAAATTGCCGAGTTCTCTGCAATCTGCAGTCAGCGATTCCTTATTCAAGACTCTTCCCCCAACGCATCTATTCCATTGTGTAGAAATGCTCAGGCCTCCGACCGCCTCAATCCACTTGACAGGTGGGGACCCACTGCGTCACTGATGATCACCGGCTGGAGTCTCCCGTCCCCTCTCTTCTCCCCCAGGATTTCCACTTATTTTTGACCTGACGCAACGACACAAATGATGGTCCCCATCAACTCTGATACTGCCATCGCGCCACAGGAAGATACCGCGATGTCAAAAATGACCGAACAGACCACAGATCCAATTCTAGAGACCCTTGAAGTATCTCGAGAAGAGTGGCTTGGCCTTACAGACCGCGCGGAGCGAAGGCGGACACAAAATCGAATCAATCAGCGGGCTCGTCGTAAGTCTCAACTCAGCGCTGCAACCCCGTCGCGACAAGGATCAGACCAGAGATCACCATTTTCCTGGCTATAGACAGCACCGTTCACTGATCAAATGAATTGACAGGTATGCGACAGCGTCTGTGCACGCGCGATAAGAAAGACATTCACCCAAAGACGGTCACCCACACAACCTCGTCTTCAACGACATCCAAGCCCTCATCCTCTCGCTCGTCATCCAACTCCTCCGCTTCATCAAGTACACTCGTCCACGTCCCTCGTCCTGGTGGCGATGGGACGCAATCAGCGCCGGGATTCTCGCATGTCGCCGACCTACCTCTGACAAACCCCCGACGTGGCAACTGTCCACCTACAAGTCTTACCAGTGCCCTCGTGCACCAATTCGCCGAAGCCGCCGTTCGAAGCTACACGCTCGGTTCGCCAACGTCAGACCATCTTCTTACCCTGGCCAAAATGAACGTCTTTCGCGCATTTGGACGGAATATCACAATCATCGGCTGGGACTTGGACTATCTGCATGACGACGATGCAATCTCTCCCTTTAGTCTACAATTACCGGGTCCCTACCAGAAACAGCTGACCTCATCCGCAATCACTCGATCCCCATCTCCCTCATCTTCCTCCGGTGCTGTTGCCCTCGACACCGACTACAGTAACCTTCCCGTTTCCCTTCGACCGACTCGATTACAAAAATCCATCCCTCATCACCCATGGTTGGATTTCTTCCCATTGCCCAAAATGCGCGACAATCTCATTCAAGCAGGGGACGATTGGGACGACGAAGCGCTGTGCCATGACATCATGGGCTTCTGGGATAACACGTCCCTGTCCACGCCGGCGCTCTTGGTGTGGGGTGATCCGTGGGATATTCGGAACTGGGAGCTCACCGAGGCATTTCTGAAGAAGTGGTCGTGGATCGTGAGAGGGTGTCCGGAGATTATGGACGCGACGAACTCATGGCGAAGGAAGCGTGGGGAGAAGTTGATTCTTCGGTATATTTGAATCCGGTGAATCGTCTAAGAAGTGTTTGTCATCATGCGCATCCTGCTGTCTATTCTTCGGCTACTCTTCATTCTTTAGCAAGCGTTTGGAAATGTCCATTCTGAAGGAGATAACCTCCTGTCTTTCTTGATGTACAGGGAATAGTGTATCTATGATCATTGTCTCAGATCCCAAATAAAAATTTAAAGACTGTTCTGTTCCCTCATAGAATGCACGAGTCTTCAAATGGCTCTCAATTGCTCTGCTGCCCCGGCTATTGACTTTCATCACCCGCGCCTTGCCCAGGCAGATGATCAAGAATGATCTGCCAACGTGACTCCCCAAAGAATCCGCTTCTCAAGTTTCGGTATAAAAGAGTCTCACGGACCTAAAAAATGCACCCGAACATCCAGAGTCCTGAATAGCAACAATGAGATCCGAGAATCGACGCTAGACGCTGGACGGTGTACCAGCAGCCGGAGCCTACTGAGTCTACGGTACCTATGTAAGGTTGTAATCTTTGAGACCAAGACCAGCCCATGCCCTCTACTGAATGAACCTGCTCCACCTGCACGCAGGCACGGGCGTGGCACGCTCCACCTTCAAGCGATGTTGATTTACCTGGTCCTGTAAGCTAGGCCACGATACTAAGGTGATCTTGGATATATGGGCTGGTAGAGACATAGCTTGTCGTTACCGTTGCTAAAGGCACGAATAAGATGAATGGGACGACTCACTGAAGTAAAGTGGTCAAGTTCTTCTGTCGTGCCAGGCTTGGACTCTTAACCCTTTGCTCTATTCGAGGTCTGAATCTGATGAGCTCTGTCCAGCCTTGCCAGATGAGACGAGTTGCATGTAGGCATCCGAATTCAGTAGTCGCCTGTTGTCAACACGCAGGTGGAACGGAAAGTTGTCGGAAATCTTCGAGTCGATTCATCAATCATTGCATGGGTATCATAAATAAGTTAAAAGGAAAAAGCAAATAGACTCCACGCGCAAAGAGAGAGAAAAAAACACTATATCGTCTCTTTCTCTCCGCCCCCCCCCCAAAAAAAAAACCCATACAGCCAGTCTCCTTGTAAAACCTGACACATGGTTGAAAAGAAGCGGTAAGTTTTTCGTCTCCTCAGACGTCCACGGCCTACTATCTCATGATCCACTACTGGAGACACAGTGACCCAGGTCCCCGATCAAAGTGGCAAGAGATTGCACGAGAGGAAGAGTCCTTTCAGATGGATCTGGTCGTAAAACTCTCTGCACCATCTGCATGGTACCCGCAATATCCGTCAACGCAATAGGTCCACCGGGTCCTTCTATAGCCGGAATGCCACAGTTGAGCATGATGAATTTGGTCACGTCGCTCGAGTCCTCCGCATCTAGAAGCACAATGGGGCCCGCGTTGCTGGCGACAGGCGACTCGGGGCTTCCAGACAATCGAGCGTTGTTGGCTCGGGAGACTACCGCGTAAGACCACAAGGCTAGTCCGGCGTAGTACACACTCGTGGCCATGAATCCTGTGAGAAGTCCCGGTGCTATCCCTCGTGCCGCTCGTAAGGTCTGGCCTGCATGCCAGACAGCTTGTCGGGAATCGGGACTGGCGATCCATTCAAGCGCCGAGTGATAGACTCGGCGCGCTTCGTGCTTATCTTCCTTGCCCGCGAAAAGTTGTAGTTCCTCCAAGGACATGTGAAGGAGCATGGACACCACCTCACACACAAGGGAAATCTCGGCTCGACTCTGGGTGTTCAGCCCTGAAGATGTCATGCGGAAGTGCTGCAGCGCTTGACCGAGCTCTTGCTGCCGGGAATTAGTGATGAGCGCACTCCAATGTTTAGAGTTGTTCGTGGAAATGAACTTTGCACGGTGATATTCATTGATCAACGCAGAGAGTCCATGAAGCAAAGCCAGAGCTGACAGCGGAGTATCGATGTGGTCTTGAAACTGCGCTAAGCGGGACATGTCCTGGAGAAGATCAGCGAGCGAGGGGATACGCTCGGAGGTGATGACACGAAAGAGGTCCTTCCACTCCGCAGCTGTCTTAGCTTCCCAAAGGGGTCGAGCCTCTGGCAGCGGCAGTTCCAAGTCGGCAAATGAGATCAGGGGGTTGATGTTCAAAGTGAGTGAGCTTTGAGCATCGTGAAGGAAAAGATGGTGAACGAGCCTATCCATGACTTAATTAGTGATCTGATCACGACTGGTGAACCTTCACACGGAAATGGCATACCGCTTGAAGGATTCTTGCTCGATCCAGGTGCGCCATTTACGGTCGAGTTCGTCGCCTGTATCATCATCACGAGGAATAATCTTCGGGTAAAGGGAACGACGGAATCGTAACGCTCGCCGCAACATCGTTACCAGTGGTTGCAGGAAACTCTCGGCAATTTCGGTTTTGCGTCGATTGCCGCTCCACATGCCTATATCTAGGTTCAATGCAAAAATCTGTGACGCTCGCAAGTCACGCGTGGTACTGTTGTCATTCTCAAACTATCCCCATGCCGTCAGACTCTACTGCGCCAGCGAAAATGAGGTGTAAGAAGAGAAGAAGAACGCACCTTCATGGCCAAGTAGAATCGAACAATTTCCATCAACGCATAGCCAAGCTTACGCAAAGTGGGAACTGGTGAGCGAACAGCGGCAGCCGCCGCCACTGCAGCCAGAACACTAGCGTGTTCACTGTTTGGTTGGAAGGTGGGGGCGTGGATGAATGATCCGACACTGTGAGAGTGGAAATCAAAGAACTGCTGGATGAGACCGTCGAGCAATTCAGTGCTGGGAAAGGACTTCATAATGCGACTCAGATTGGCTTCTCGGCTCGTCTCCAGAACCAGCCCGAAGATTAGATCGCGACTGGTCGTCGACAAGCGATCGCACAGAACTTGCCGATTGGACGTGGCGTGTGCCTCGGGGCTGTCAATCGTGTGCGGAACTGAGAGATTTTCATGATCGTTGAATGCGTGGTCTTCATGGGCGGGTTTCCATTGGGAGAATGATGACCGATTGAAGGCCTCCGCGCCGATGCCTATGCCGCTGTCGACGTCGAATCGGTCCTGACCATCCATCTCCAAGACCCCTGGCAGAAAGCTGCGTGAATTATACAAGTCGATCAGACCAAAGTCGCCATCGGTCAAATTGAAGTCAAGGGCAGGAATCTCCATGGCTCCATAATGTGTAAAATCGGGCATGAAATTGGACGGGTCAAATGGGTCGTTATGTCGACTGAGCGATGTGATCAGGGAATCGGGAATAAAATTCGGAAAGAAGGTGCCATCGACGCTGAAGATGCCACTCTCTTGATCTGTGGGGGAAACTAGAGGAGATAAATCAGGTCAATCGAGGACCTTCGTTATGACGAGACGCAAACGCCCCCAATGAGAACTCGACGCTGGGGATCGTTCTCACCTCCATATTCCATTGGGCCTTGATTGAGGTGCATCTCGGGCGAGTAACCAGACGATTCTGGAATCGACGCTTGAGGAGTCAACTGCATGGTGCTGCTTCTTCGCTTCAAGGGATTTTCGGTCACGGGAGTAATTATAGGTGGATATGGTACCGAAGAAGCCGATGCCAATGCAAGACTAGGGAGCGCAAGGGGTGGAAGGCTAGCCACAGCGTCTGTTGTACCTGCCGCACCTTCGGCATTGTGCTTCAGGGGTTCGGGCGACGAGCCCGCCATGATCTCCTGCCAATCGCAGTGCAATTGCCGCTCTTGACATCTTCGACAGGGCTTCTCCTCGTCGCATTTCAACTTGGAGGAAGCACATGCTTTGCAAGCCTGGGAAACACGGCCTTGTTTTGAGAATGACGAGATTCTTTTGCGCTTGCGGTCTCGGTCGTGAGCATGACCAGTCGCATGTCGTTTCAGTAGGTCACTAGTATACGGGAAGGCCAATTTAATACATTAAGCACGCAGTGAACTGATTCCGCCATCGCGAGCAAGACCGTTCCAGACAGGGGGAAATGGAGCGGAAGACTCACGGTCGCGCAAACCCTTTGTCGCAAATATCACAAACATAAGGTTTTTCCCGGGTGTGCGATCGAACATGTCGGATGAGGTGATCGGCTCTGTTGTAATGTCGCTTGCAGAAACCACATTGAAAGTAGCCTTCATCTTTGGACTTGACTGGAGATTGAACCGAGGCCGATGGCTCCGAGGTTGGAGGTGCGTCATCGAACATGGTCACCGACGTGCATCTGCCGGGTTTTGCGGGCGGAAGATTGTGACAGACAAGATATGGGGAGGAGAAATGTTTTGGCGGGAACAAGGATGCAAGAGTCTACCATATGCACAATGAAGGCCCAAAGGCACAGAGAGCTAAAAGCACAACAGAGAATTGAGGGTTCCAAGGTTGGAAGCGACTGGTACAAAGACGATGAGAGAGAAGGTGTGGAGGGAGAAGAATGCAAGTCACTTGGATGAGGGGGAGGGGAGAAGGTCACTCCGAAAAGTCTGGGGTAGAAAGCCGAAATGATGGAACAGGAGACCCCAGTCCCGTGCAAACTCAGCATGGCCATGCACGACTAATGTTGTAATAATACACTATGCCTTCCACCACAATTCGATGTTTCGACACTTCTACTTTAAAACTTAGTATTTACTACCTGCACAAGGACAATCCACAAGATTCACTCCAGCAACAGGCTGGCTTCGAAGAGGTGAATTGTCTGCCTCGATAATTATTCATTGACATGGTTGGACTCGCGATTCTGACATCTCGAGCGACAGTCGGCATTCGGATAAGCCGTTGACTCTTCCATGCGAACCTGGAGCGACCGAGTCAGCATGTCTCCGACACTCTGCAGGCTAGGGGGGGTGGGTACTAGGTACTAGGTACTAGTATATATCGACCCCGTAGCGCAGTCCACAGAGCCTTCACAGAAGTAACGTGTACAAAGACAGAGGTTACCCCACGGAAAATCCTGGGGATGCGGAATTGCCCGTGATTCGTAAGTCTGCTTGAAGCTTGCGTATATTGTATAAAGATTTCCTCGCAATATGGTGTCAGTCGACAGTACACATACAACAATGCCACCTGGACTTAGAATCCTGACAGTTGCCGGGCTAAGTTCGCAGTTGTCACTTTGAGGCTTCATCGCACTATGCTAGTGACGAACAGAGACTGCCTACATTACTGGGGTACATTAGTAGTCAACTTTGGAAGAAATCCTCCTACAAAGATACTCGGATAGGTATTAGACGAGAGCTGCAATGACTGGCTTTGGGTGCAAATTATCGATCTTCCATACCACTCTTCACTGATTCAGTATTCAGCATTCACTATTCACTATAGTAATAACGGAAAGTACGGTCTATCCATGTCCGGTCTAGACCCGTTATAGGCCCGGTCAAGTCGTACCGGACTGCCTCGGATCTCCCGGGCGGACTCCTGCCCTGAGTCTCCTGAGTCTCCTGAGTCATGAGTACTACTGACTCCTAACTCCTGGTACAAGTGATGCCATTCGATCCATCTGCCCTCATTCGAAATTTGGGGGGGGGGGCTACAGTAGTACGTACAGTACTACTATCCAGTACATAACTCTAGTAGTTGTGTACTCAAAGTCAAGACTCAACACTGTTGAGTCAACAGTGTACTTCCGAGCGGTCGAGGTGGGGCCATATGTCTGGATAGAGACTAGGTCCCTAGCCAAACGCCTTCCTAGTCGCTGCCTGAGGCCCTACTTATGGGTCCTAAGGTTGTTGTTGCTCGCTGATTACAACTTTTCATGCGATGACATTAGAGACCCCTTCTTTCACATCTTGCTACCGGCCCGATATATCAACAATTAGGCAGTATGATGAAACTGAAATTCGCCCCATAGAACTAAGTCGTCAGTATTCGAACATTCCAGTACTGAGACTCATATATCAATGAAAGGGCCGGGGTGAGTGTAACGACCGGAGTGACGGGTTTTTGCAAGTTAGAGCTCATCCTTGGAGGTTCAATGTGTTTGAGTGAATGGGCAGGCATGGCAATATTTGAAGGTCCAGTATGGACCAGTATGAACCAGAATTTTCCCCCGCCAGCCAGAGGGCATCAAGCTCCAAGTGCAGGATCGGATCAAGGAACTTGCGAAGGTCCCCAATCATTCTGGCGGCGTTCGAGTTCTAAGTGCCTCTGGGGAAATAATTCACGACCAACTCCCCTACTTCCGACTTGTGTAAGGTTGAGTAATGATAATAATTCATTCATACACGGATCTGTCAGGCTTAGGGCTCGATTTGCCGGAAGGGCACTGTCTGGGGTTAGGGCCTACCCCTCCTCTTCGCCTCTTTGGGTTGCCCTGGTCCTGTATCATACTCGATTCCCTCTCTCACGTTTCTGCAGCTGCAGGAGAGGCGGGTGGCACTCGCAAGCACCCGCGGGGTGTCTACTCCCGCGTAGTCGTCGTCAGGCTCCGGAATTAGCGAAGGAGCTTCCGAGCTTCGTTCGCCTCATGAGTTCTACTGCCTTTGTCGTATGAACTGAGTCTCTCAGGATCACCCGGCGATTTCGGGGGGCTGATCCTAGGACCTGGGAGTTGGGAGCTCCCTTCGTAGGTCGGCCTAATTCGGGCAGTGGCCTAGTAGGTGGCTAACGCCCATCTGGTTCCTTCTATACCAGTATTCAGACGGGTCCTCCCAGGGTCTACTTCTATCTAGGCTTTCCTCTATATTTAGATAGTGGCTAGATATAAGGGTAGGGCGATTTTCCCTTGTCTGTATCTGGACTAGTATCGTACTTCCCGCCCTAGAATGAAAGGTTGAGGGTGACCCGAACGCCACCGGACAAGCCGACAAGATTTCGAAGTCACCTGATGGACCAGAGGTACATCCTCATTCTGACATGACCGGAGAAAGTCTCTGGTGTTTCGAATGAATGAAGATGGCAAGCTACAGTGTAGGTGAAGTGTGTTGGCAAACAACTATATCACTTGAGTCATATCTATGTACTCGCCGAGTGTAGAGCAATGGGGGCTCGGACATGCTCTGTCGGTGTTGTTGCATATGAATCGGAATCGGTCAAATATTGTACTATATCCGAACCTTGATGCCGTGGCAGGTGTGATAGACTGGAAAAGAATTATATCAGTCGACTGAAGGTAATCTCACGGACCCGTAAACGGGCATGTGCAGCCTTGAGTGTGAACCGTGCTTGACCTTCCTGAAAAGCTCTGTTCAAGGCATGGGCTTAATCAAAAGCTGGTCGAAAAGTCCGAGTGTAGCTTTTTCTCCCATTAATGGCTCTCCGTCTCCGCAGCATCTTTTCCCCATCTCCACACTTCCCGACGCATGCGCCCCGGAAGAATCCCCGGACAATCCCCGGATCTTTCGAATCCTAGTCAAAGACCGAGGCGGGGATAAGCTTGAGGCCCAAGAGTTGGGCAAGACGCAAAGGAGCAGAAGCATACTGCGAATGTCAAGCAAAAGTGAAGGGTATTACCGAGGTTGGTGACTGCGGCTGTGGACTCAGTCAATTGAGGCGGGTTCAAGGTCTCCATCCCAGGGCAATGAAAGACTATGATCGGTCACTTGATGATCTCAAACGAGTATGGGCGTCAATCCACCCTTCTTAAAGTTCCTCGCCGGCCATAAAACAGCACACACGACCCTGCTACCCAAGGGCAGGAGGAGTCTCTCGTCTTCAATTTGACTAGGCTCAGCTCAGTTGCGCCTGGTCGGCATGTGGGGGAGCATACCCGATGTCCGCCATCTCGGGACGGAGATGCGGACTCGCCCCGACGTGTAGAGGTAGAAAGGTCATATATTGAACGCAGGATCTAGGGTCAGCTCTGGTAGAGTTCTGGCAAAACCTCCAAGCTGTCTCTAGCAAGGTCAAGCATACACGCAAATTTATCACAATGGGTAAGTGGCTTGATCTCTGCACTGTTCAGCCCGCATGAGAGACATCCTCATCTGGGTATGCTTTTCATGTTCACCACAAGAACACTGGAGGCACCTCAGATCTACGGCGAGATGAGACATTCATCAGATGAATTGCACATCCCGTCACATTGCTTTTCTTGTATCCTTTCTTTCCTTCATTGTCTTCTTTTTCTTCTTCTTCTTCTTCTTCTTCTTCTTCTTCTTCTTCTTCTTCTTCTTCTTCTTTTTTTTTTTTTTTCTTGGAACAATATTTAGTCTAACTAACCAAACAATAGGTCTCACGCCGGTACACTTCTTCTCCCATGGCTCGACTATGATGTTGGGAGAAGAATCCGAGAGTGCGGATTACTGGAAGAAATGTGGCGATGAAGCGCTGGCACGAAACATCAAGGGAGTCATTATCATGGTATGTTGACAGCACCCCAGCATTATACCTGGCCGAGTCTGCACATCATGATTTGCGTATGCGAGCGTATAACAGCACAACACTGGCCCACTCCCCTCCACGCCAAACTTCATGATCTAACAGGCTATACCTTCTTTCCCCGTCGCAGGGTGCACATTGGGACTGTCTCGGCGACAAAATCGAAGTCTCAACGAATCCCAACCCCGGCAAGAGTCCCGTCGCCTACGTGAACCCCGAAAAATACATCAACTATAAGCTCAACCCCGACCTCGTCACCACCGAACGCTGCATCCAAATGCTCGCCAAGGAAGGCTTCAACGTCAGCGGCAACGACAAATTCGACTGGATCCACGACGTGTACCTCATCCTCATTCGCATGTTCCCCGGCGGCTGTCCACCAACTGTCCTCGTGTCCGCGAACGCCCGCTACGACCCTCACTTCCATCTCAAGATGGGTTCGACTCTGCGCCCACTGCGTCGCGAGAACTACCTGATCATCGGGACCGGCGGTGCCGTGCACAACTTGTACCGCAACAAGTGGGCTCCCATGGTGCGGTTCCGAGATAATTTCGCCATGGAGACGCCGCCAGAGGACTGGGCGATGGAGTTCCGTCAGGCGGTTGAGGATGTGATTACCAAGACCTCCGGCCCGCAGTTGCGTCGTGCAATGACGCGGTTAATGAAGCATCCTCGATTCCGCGATGCGCATGCAACGGACGATCATTTCATGGCGGCCCTGTTCGTCGCGGGTGCTGCGGGTGAAGCCGAGGATGAAGAGGCACCGGGCGTGTTGGGCGCCGAGAGTTGGGAATTGACCAACATGTGCAATTCTCAATTCACTATCGGGCAATGGTCAAAGCCGCCGATTGCGGTGTGATTGCGGTGGCCCGGTGGGAAAGGATGGTTAATCAATTTGATAATCCATGCTCGTATACTTCAAGCTGAGAGAATGACATTTGACACTATTACTATGGCGTTCGATGTAGCTATCAAGTTTTATGGCGCAAGATTGATTCTGCACCGGAGGGGAATTGTATTCGACCACTGGGACGAGGAAAGACATGGAGCAGACATCTCTAAGTAGCGGAACCTGAGAAAATTACCCGAATCTACGCAAGGGGGTTGCACTTCATAGCACTTGATCGTCTTCATTAAATTCGACTATCCTTCTCGGCAGAGAAACTGCAGTCCAGCGAGGCCTTGACGGTTCATAAATGTATATGTACAAAATAGTGTCGAACCCAAGATCAAAAGAGCCCGCGCAGAAAGTGGACAACAAGCGAGGACGAACGGAACAAAAGCCAGAGTCAAGTCCGAACAAGGGATGGTTGCACTACGCCGAGTAAATGCGGGATCGATCACAATCGAATGTAAACAGAAAAAGGTATCCATGAAAAGAGGCCCCATTGGGAATGGGACCATAGTAATCTCATCAAAGGCCAGACTCTCCATGAGTCTGATGCTCATGTCTCATCGCTTCATGCAGAACAAAGGAAATGCAAGGTGAACAAAGGGAAAAGAAAAATCCAAACAAGGAGTACACATAGAAGTACACCCAACAGAATGATAACAGTCAACATCAACCAAGAGGATGACAGATACCATGCAACAGTATGAGGCCAAGACGGCTCCCCATTTTTAGATGACAATCACATCGCCCTCAGCATCAGCGGGATCTGAAACCATCATATCGCCGTACTTTCCCACCGCCATCAGCATAGCGTCGTCTTCCAAGTCAATCGCGCTGTCATCATGATGAGGGGGTTGAAACCCCGATTCCGCAAACGCCAGTTCTTTGGCATTGGGAATTTCCTTGGTCTCGCTGCCGATCTCCACGGTCTGGTCTCGTGTGCTTCGGGAACCCATGGAGCCATGGTTGTGAGAGGGTGGAATCTTAGAATTGGCCCCGCGAACTGTCTCAAACGTGGGTGGTTGGGCGATGGGATTCTGCTTCACCTGGAAGTTTCCCATGCCAATCTGTTCGGGGCCAAGGGTCCGATTCTGCAGAGACGTCGCGGTGTTACGCATGAAGCCACCCTTTTCGGCCTGCCAGATCATCATCTCACGGAAGAAGACTTTGGTCATCCACCAGGCGCTGAAACTGGCAGCTCCACCAAGAGTTAGGCGGTGGAGGATGGTGTCCCAAAGAGCATCGATCTTCTCAATCATGCCCTGGGCGGAGTGATTGGGGAAGGCCAGAGGAAGATTGAGGATGAAGGCGATCCATTTGTCGGGGAAGTTGTAGTCGTCGCCAGTGGAGGTTTCCACAGGGAGCTGGTGGGCGTCGATAGCCTCAGGACCGTCGGGTTGGGAGAAAAACGGAAGCCCAACGGAGGCATCAGTATCATTAACAGGGGTGAGAAGAGCTCGAACGTCGTGCTTGAGAATTTGCTCGGCGCCTTTGTCAGAACAAGGTGGGATGTTGGCTTTCATGATCATGTCTGGCGGATTCACAAGCGATTTAAAATCGAACCACATCTGGTTACGATTATCCGGATGGCAGAGCCAAGCCGCCGCAGCGTTAGCGGACTGGTTGACATCCAGCATGTGCTTAAGCAGGTGGCAGAAGATGTGAGCAGGAAGGAGTCGTGCGACGGAGACATGTGAAGGTTGCGCCTTGAACGTCTCGGCAATGTGACTGCAGAGACGCTGGGAGATGGAGCTGAAGGCATCCAATACTACCTTTGGAACCACCTGAGTCGTGAGGGGTGCCACGAAGGCTATCATTTTTTGGTACATAAGCCAGTCACACTCTTTGATCCAAGGCGCAAGGTTGGGGTGAGTCAGGAGCTTCTGCACGGGAACCGTGAGGGTACCATGGAAGGCAGAAAAGTACTTGAGCAGGTTGCGTTCCTTGCAGAAGCGAAAGCTGTCGATGACCGAGATGCAATGAGACCGGTACAGAGCGGCAAGAGCATCTGCAACTTTAGGATCCGTAGTAACAGGCAGGTAGCCACGAATGTCGGGCAAGACGAGGGATTCGTTGTCAATATTTGGCACATCATCAGTGGGAAACTGAAGCATCTCATGAACCATCCTGGCAGCTTGTTGAGATACATTCTCTGTGGTAATCGCGGCGTTGGGAGAATGCGTTGCACAGGCACCGCTGGGGGCGGCTGTGTTGGTTGGAAACCGAGGGGCAAATGAGGTAGTTGGTGACGGAAAGACAGCTGTGTCAGCTGTCGGTTGAGCGACGCTTATGCTGAAGGATCGAAGTTAGCTATCGAATTTTGGTGGCCATAACAAAGGACCGAAGATTTCATCTTACCTCCTCGAACGAATGCCACTGGCAGGTCTCTCTGGTGCCGGTGCGGAAGACATTTGATTGTGATTAGGACCCGCTTGGCCGTCGAGGGATACTGGCCGTTGTTGCTTTTCTTCGATCACGGACAAATCGACGTAATGATATTTGGATTCGCCACGAACACCTAGACGGCGGGTTTGCACGTTGGGGAAGATGATGCGAACGAGTTTGCCAAAAGACGCGGGGTTGAGAACCGACACTCGTTCCGTGCCACACTTCTCGGCGTAGCAGCAGTACACGCGATCTCGTCGCACGGAGCCATTACTTTTCCGGCAATTCTCTCGCAGCCTGAGATCGGATCAAAGTCAGTCGGCGTGCGACAGCTCCACAGCAAGGTCAGGGTCACAACACCAATGGAGACTCACCAGATCATAGCAAACACTTGCTTCACTTTCTCAGCCTTGCCACCTGCTCCCTCGTGCTTCATCACCTCGGCCGCCATTTGCTTCAACGTGAAGCCCTCGTATTGACGCAGCAATTTTCGAAGCTCATTATCGTTCGCCAATGTCGAGTTAGTTCCGCGTTTCTTCTTGCCCCCTGGTTCCGACGCTTCCTGCTCATCGATGGGATGGTCCGGCAGGTGGTTCTCTATTCCACTGTCGTAAATCCCTTGGTATTGGGGCATGGCGACAGAAGTTATTGCGCTATGCGGCATGTCTGCAGACATCGCCTGGTGATGAATGCCGTGGCTATGCATTCCGTGGGCATGAAACTCTTCTGGTCGGGACGCCATCGAATGTGTGTCTCGAACATTGGGGTCGAGTGGCGCGCCATTTGGCTGATGTGATAGGTGATGCCCAAAACGCATCAGCATGTCTTCCGGGTTGTTGCCAAAAATGTGTTGTCCACCTCCAACTTGAGACGGCAAAAATTGCGGGAATACATCGAGATGTTGGTCTTGTGTCTGCTGCGTGGTACTGGAATGTATACTTGCAGTCGAGCCTCGCGACCGAGGTCGCCGAGCTGCTGCCCTTGACAGGTTTTCAGATCGAGCACGAATAGGATCCGCCGTGCCCGGACGGCTGAGGGAACCCATGTGCTGTGTCGTCTGTGAGACGATGCTTCCCTGCGACGTCGTGCGCGCTATGAATCGACCATCATTAGCAACCCAGCTGGTGGACAATTGGTACTTGGACGGGCCAGGCATCGTTCTCACTTAGTTCTGGAGGCATCTTGATACAGGACCGGTTCGTCGTTCCAAAAAAAAGTGGAGGAGGACACCGTCACCTGGGCGATGAGCAGGTCCTGCACGGGTCGTTATTTTCGTTTCGAATCCAAGTGGCTGAAGAGTTCGACCGCGACCATTCGACGACAAACCCAGATTTGGACGGCAGAGTTCGGCCTGATGCTAGCATCAAGAGCACAGTCACCACCCAATCCCTATTTTATCGGTCCAGCTGCCAGGACTTGGTCGCAATCCTCTTGCGTTGGAGTGTGCACTTCGAGAGCGTGAAGGATAAACAGAAGTGGCCGTTCCTCAGACAACGTTGTTTGGGATAGTCACGTGCAGAAGCATTCCCGACCGGACCAAACAACAACACGCATACGCCCCGGCGAGGCTGGTGCAATCTTACAAGTTACGATAAGGTGTATCCTTTTCCCGAGTTTGTTGCTGAGTACAAGCTGTCTCTTGCTCGAGCCAAGTACACATGTGCAGTCTTATAACAATGGCTCCTCGCGAACTGAAGGCTGCTGTGGACAAGGCAGAAACGGCGACTATCGTATCTTGAAGGCCGGTTTCTTACTCTGGCTATCTCTTTATTGAAACGATTGAATTCTTTTCTGCAAGCTAAGAATTGAATGATTGTACCCGCTTGTACAGCGCGAATCGAGTACGGTATTGGGCGTCGAAACGTGGGACTCGGCGTTCGGGCGCGCTTTCAAAACATCCCATACAATTTTACTGCCTTACGCTGTGTATTCGTAGCTTCGGTGGGTTCTCAAGCCGTGCGTGAACTCTCGGGTGCCAGTCTCCATCCGTGGACATCGACTAGTCAATTTGGTCTACCGTTGTAATACATGCTATCTCTCAAACAACCTGGCCCATTGCAACACCAGACTCTGCCTGTTATTGGCAGACCTACCAGCTTGTTGCCAATTAATCTGATCTTTAACTACGTCATCCCATCCCATCCATTTTACCAAATGGGCCCAGCCGATCTGCTCCACTTACAGCCCGAGATCCGGGAACATTAGCACTCAGGTTCCATCCACATTCAAATGCCCAACGATTGTTCCTGGCTTCCTGCAGGTCCCTTGTTTAATCAAGGTGGATGCAGTGGGCTCTGGGCGGTCATTCGCTTCGTATGTCCGGAGCTCAGAGAAGCAGCAGCCGATTGAACTTTCTTCAGTGGTTCAGGTTCGTACCATGTAGCGACCGCCATTTCGCGGGAAGATGCACGGCGCGCGAGGATCAACCCCTGACATGAATATATATCGATGAGGCTCACTGGTGGAACTTGCCTCCATTCGGTGGATTGACACTCCCACACTGCCCGTGAGCAGTAACAGAATGTACAAGCTTCGGAGCATCAGGTTTCATTCTTCATTTTCTCGAGTCGAGGTTTCCCTTCTAGTTTACCGGCTAGGGTCTGCGAAGAAGGGTTACTTTTGGCGAAAGCCTAGTGTGTAACCTTCCCTACCTTACCTTACTAGGGCATTGGTGCTTACTATGTAGATGTGGACACACCTATTCAGTCAGGTACCGTGCAGATGGAGGTGACTGTTGAATCCTGCACTACTAATTGTCCTGGTCACATGAATCAGTACATCAATTGATCCACATAGGCTATTAGTCGTTTAAACCAACTCGTCTTAGCATACAAGACTGGACCCAGGTGCCCTTGCAGTCTCTCTGGTCATTCGGCTTTGCAGAGACCGGGGGAATGGAACCCATACAGGAGCTCCATGTTGGGATTTTGGGCAATACTGCAACTCCATAATAAGGGAGATCTTCGCGGCTCAGCCTCAATAGTACCTTGCAAATGGTATTTAGACAAATGGATTTGGTCAACCAGGCAAGCACGTAGTTGGTACTGAATGAACAACAGAGCCATTTCCCAAAGAACTTGACTTGCGGGGAGCTAGACCACCGTCTCGGCCCTGCGACCCCGAAATAAGCTTATCCCTGACGTCGACTTCGAGTGTGATCGACAGGGCATCCACATTCTGGGAGGGCGAAGGAGTGGCCTGAAACCATTCATTCGCGGGAAAAACGTTCCAGGACTTAAGTCACTATCGTACGGTAGAACACAATCAGGTAGTCTCACACAGAGCCGCTGTAAGGTGCAGGTACACCGGTACAGGCATAGCAATGGTGCAACTTGCTTGCGTCCTAACATCGGCTCGCTTCATCCAGTGGGAAATGAGTATGCCATGTCCACTGTAACTTGATCGACGATTCCTGCCTCCTTCCAGGCAATTGTCATCTGTTGGTGCAGAAGTTCATCCCATTGTAAGGAAGACTGCGTCTCCCTTGACTCCGCCCTTGAGTCGAAGCTGGGGGCCCCGCACCCCTTGCGAACATTTAAAATATCCCAGTAGTCCAGATTTATAAGCTGGAGACAATGAAGTTCATTGAACACACAACAGCACATATGTGAATCCAGATTTTCATGAGCCTGGCGTAATACAATCTGTGCTTCATGGAGCGCATTTCTGGGCAGAGCGTAACTTGTCCGATTTAGTCTTGCTGTGCTGTCATTTCTGACGCCAAGCTTCCACATTCTGGACTCAGTCAGGACTCAAGAGTCTTCAAACATCTCGAGCTTTGAGTCTTGATAGATGTCGATCGCTCCTTGTGGCGCTGCCGTGAACAAGAAACACCCAGAGTTAAGTTGAACATAATTCTCCGGCGCGCCGTCAACAGAGCTCTTGTTTATTGGTTCTGGCCTGCTTTCAGGACGACCCGTAAGCTGCACCATGCCAAGGCCCTTTGGGCGCTGAGCGACCGATCGGGTAGAGTCGGACAACTGGCGGATCAAAAGATGATGACAGCTGTCAACCCTTCAGTAGAGGATGATGGCAGATCCGAGGATCAAGCGCAAGAGCGGACCAAGGAAACAATCGCCCGTGTGTTACGCAAGTTGTCCTGTCCCTGAACCCGAGATTGCGTGTTTATGTCAGACCCGTTCAGAGTCACGCTCAGCGCTGTCGCATGAACGGCCTGTGCTGCTGCATGCCTTTGTGAGGATGAGCATGGTCTGCAGGCACGGCAATCCTCGTGTAATATCGGTGACGGTAAGGCTACTATACCGCCTTGGGAAGCGATCGGCTCCCGGAGCACAGAAGGGGTTAGTCATCTCGCCGCCCTAAGCTGCTCCTAAGCTACTCCCTGAGCTTACCTTTTATGCTTTGCTGGGCCCAGAATTTTCCTCGTGCTTTTTGGCGGGCGCGTTTCGTCATCTCGTCTCCACTGTCTATGGGGAGCATCATACTTTTGAGTCATTTGAGCCAGAATTTTTTTTTTCTGCGCCCAGGGGTGTTTCAATATCCATACAGAAAGTACATATGGGCACAGAGTACAGTGTCGAATCATACATAGCCATTCCGTGTGACAAAGTGGAATCTCGCAAGATCGAGTAAGTCTTGTTGTGAGATGATCATATCCCCCGCCATGTTGACCCCGGGCGGAGGCGAGGGTCCAGTGAACATCGTGAAGGGAATTCGAAGCTCTGCTGGTGAGTTAGTGGAAGTGATTGTGACCCTGTGGATGGGGTCACTCCGAGTGATCTCCGCGAATTGGGTCCGTTTTACCAGTCGATGACTTGTGCGGAGAGGTCGGAGATAGCGGGAATGGTCCAACTCCCAGATAGAGATTTGGATGATATCAGGATTCTTCTTGAGCTTGACGAGAATACTGAGTTGGACGGATGAGTGTATGTTCTCCAGCCAATGTCGACCGTCAAGAAGTAGCTGGCCGCTCGTCTCCGAGTTTCCGACCTCCATGACGACCGTAGGATTGTTATCAGAGGCCGGGCCCCAGCATCCATCTGGCTCAGCAGAAATGTCCCCCAATGTGTAAAGTGGGGCGAGATTAGACCAAGTTGTGGCCCGATCTATTCCCGCAGCCCGCAGTTTCGTATTGATCATCTCTTTCAGTTGGTCAACAATATCCTCGTGGCGGCTCGCGGGCATTCGAACTTGGAGAATCAGGTTCTTGTGATCGTATAGATACCGAGGACGACGACTCGTTGTGGAAAGCTTTGAATATAACGAGGTGAAGTCTTCCTTCGTAATTGTGTCGTAGTATAGATCTCCGATGTAGCCCTGTCGGATTTTGTCTTTGAGGTCGAGCAGGGTCTGCTTGAGGACTTTCGACATACTGTCGTACTTGGTGCGCAGAGACGGACTTGTGAGGAGGAAAAGAAGGGCCAGAAGCTGGTTAAGCGTCTACGACGAGGGCATAAGGTAGGAAAGTACGAGTGGGAGGGAAGCTGGTACCAGGTACCCCCGTGACCTCGAAGCTGGGCGGTGACTTCCAGGCAGCCTGTGTTAGTAATCCCCTCGACGTGGCCGTGCTGAGTACTGCTTGTCACTGGTCGGAGCGGCTGAACACCAGGGTGATTGACCTTCAGATCATTTCCTCATGGCCATTGGGACTTTCTTACAATGACATGTTTCGAGTTACAGATGTATAACAAGATAACAAGATCATCATGCGTGGTCTGTAGTTGTATACAATAGATATACGATTAATATGGAATCGGGTTTCAGGGCGATTAAGGTTACTAACTCTGCAAGTAAATACTGCGAGTATGTACTGTAAGCAAGCACAATACAGTCCAGGCGACTGATGCAAGATACGATATTTTGTCCATAGAACGCGAAATGGCTTTTAAGTATGTTGTACAACTCATTTGGTCTAGGGCCATCTAAGATTGACTGTCGGAACAGCACTAGGACCCGGAGGAATACTAGGAAGGGTATGCGAATGGATTACTGAGTTGTTCAAGCCTGTCGCGACTCGCGTGTACAAGGAGTACCTAGGACGTTAATGACGGTGAATCCTAAGGGTGACCTAGCCCTGATTACTGGAAGCTAGCTTAACCTTATCGTTGACGATGGAATAAGGCCTAATCTACGTATCGCGTCTGGTTACTTCTAAGTAGTAACTTCGACTGAAGAGAATGAAAATTGAGAAAAAAATAAGAGTTTTCTTCTGTACTGAAATGGTCTCCGGAGTTCTACTCTTTTGCCCCAAGAACTAAAGCCTATGTGGCTGCACAAATAAGCCCTAAAAAGGCGGGTTACTAGGAGTGCGAGGTAAAGGTTAAATAATTTATAAGCAAGCTTTGATACGTTGTGCCTCGGTGATATAGCGTACTGAATAGATATGCTTAGTATGATTTTTAAGTCCTTGGTGTCTACGTAAGAGAAGTTTACAAAATTTATCTAGATACGGTATAGGCTCGCCCTATTTCAGTCCGCGTGTTGCGCTCAGGTACGAGAGGAAGAAGATAAACCAATGTAGAAGCATTTGACGAAACAACTAAGCATGGGGAAGGAAGAAGGAGAGAGTGCGAGAGAACGAGAGACGATCTAAATACATGATGGATGCCTGCGGTAGCAGGCATCAACATCAAGCATCAATATCACCACATGTGAATCGTCACACCGCGGAGGTATTTCTCGAAGTGTTCTCTAGCTTTCCGAGGGGATGCAAAAATAGCACTAGTAGTAGGGCTCGAAGATGTAGAAAAGACAGTGTCGATTTGTTAGAGAGATTATACGGTCGCGTATATTATAGCTAAAAACGAAGCTTGAGAACTTGTGGTGCTATTCAACGAAGGTAGTTGTAACGGGCTGATGCCCATATATGGCCACGTGACCGCGGCCTTCCCCATGCGGCAGTATGTTATCGCGCGGGAACGGCCTACTTTCTTTTCCTTTCCCCAAGATCGTTATAAATGGCATATCGGCCTAGTACAATTGAATCAATTCTGCTACAGCCCTTCATATATAACGATCTTCCGATATTTTATCGTTAAAGGCCTACTAGAGCTTCCGAAAGCTTTAGACGTAGTAACGGCGAAAGCCTCTGAAAGTCTAAGAGTACAAGACTACCCCTAACTATATATACGCTTAGGGCTACGACAACGAAGTACTAGGCACGGAAGCACCGACCTATACTACTGCATATAATCCCGCAGTCCGCGATAACGTAGGGATACAGAGACCAATCAGCAACTAGGGCGTAGAAGGCAAGTCCCGTTAGGCCAAAAGTGTGACTCCTAGGCAGTACAGCTACGATAATCTACGTATAGAAGAAGGAAGGTGAAGTAACTGTGTCCTATATAACGAAGAAAACTAAGACGAAGGGGAAAAAGGAAAGGAAGAAATAAGGAAGGTAAAGTACTACCTTAAATACCTATCGTAGGCGGGGCTATAGTAAGGCGGTAGAATCCTTATAGAAAGTCCCGGATAGAAGGTTCCTCTACAGAAGTAAACCGAAAGGTAAATAATCCTTAGGCTCTAGCGTACACACACGCGTAAGGCTTCTATTAATAACGCGTAAGTAAATATCTAATCTTATAAACGCAAATATCGATTATATAATCTCCTTCTTAACTCCCTAAGTCTATATCTATTAACTAGCTAACTAACCTACTAGTTAATACTAACTCGCTAGTCGGCTAACTAACTAGTTAGTGAACTTACTAGTTCACGATAACTAACTAGTTAACTTATCTAACTAACTCTATACTCTAAGTCTATTTACGAACTAGTTAACCGACTAGCTAGTTAACTATTAACTTATTACCTATACGTTATATTATCCCCTATTTAGACTCGCGACTATCCTTAGGCGCGGTAACGTTATAGTATATTATCGTCTAGGTATACTAGTAGCTTCTTATTAAGAGCCTTATACTCTAACTAACGGTTAAGGTTTACCGAAGGTCTAGGGCGGGATAGGTAGGTTTTATAATATTCCCGGAGTTTCGAAGCTATAGTCCGGAAATTACTAGTATTATACTATATTATATTATTCTCGAATCCTATCTACTTTACTCGATACTAAAGCTTCGATCGGTTAATTCGCGAAGTAAGGATTATCTCTATATTATACTCCGGCTCTGTAACTCCTAGGTAGTATAGCTACGATAACCTATATATAGAAGAAGGAAGGTAAAGTAACTATATCCTATATAACGAAGAAAACTAAGATAAAGGGGAAAAAGGAAAGGAAGAAATAAGAAAGGTGAAGTACTATCTTAAATATCTATTATAGGCGGGGCTATAGTAAGGCGGTAGAATCCTTATAGAAAGTCCTAGATAGAAGATTCCTCTACAGAAGTAAACCAAAAGGTAAATAATCCTTAGACTCTAGTATATATATATATATAAGGCTTCTATTAATAACGCGTAGGTAAATATCTAATCTTATAAATATAAATATCGATTATATAATCTCCTCCTTAACTCCCTAAGTCTATATCTATTAACTAGCTAACTAATCTACTAGTTAATACTAACTCGCTAGTCGGCTAACTAACTAGTTAGTAAACTTACTAGTTTATAGTAACTAACTAGTTAACTTATCTAACTAACTCTATACTCTAAGTCTATTCACGAACTAGTTAACCGACTAGCTAGTTAACTATTAACTTATTATTTATATATTATATTACCCCCCGTTTAGACTTATAACTATCCTTAGGCGCGGTAATATTATAGTATATTATCGTCTAGGCGTACTAGTAGCTTCTTATTAAGAGCCTTATACTCTAACTAATAGTTAAGGTTTACCGGAGATCTAGGACGGGACGGGTAGGTTTTATAATATTCCCGGAGTTTTGAAGCTATAGTCCGGAAATTACTAGTATTATACTATATTATATTATTCTCGAATCCTATCTACTTTACTCGATACTAAAGCTTCGACCGGTTAATTCGCGAAGTAAGGATTATCTCTATATTATACTCCGGCTCTAGTATAACCTATATTACTAGTTTAGGGATAGGCTATCCTAGAAGTAGATTTATACTTATTATATAGTATAACTTCTCCGGGTTAAAGATATTATATCGTAACGATCTCTCTAGTAGTTATAGTCGAAAAGCGTATCCTACCTTCTCGATAATCCGGAAAGGCCCCTCTACTTTCGGATAGAGTTTACCTAATAGCCCTTCTACGATCTACTAATTATCCTTTATCGTAATTATAATAAGGTTCCTAATATCGAAGTTTAGCTCCCTATAATATCGATTCGCCTAGGTACACTAATATTCCTACGCTTTAGCTATATTATCCTATACGAACTTATAAACTTAGCGAATTTTATCTACCTAGTCTCGAGCTATCTCCCGGTCTAGCCTATAGAGATCCTATCCGCTACTACTAAGTTACTAATTAACTATCGTTCTTAGCTTATATCTACGTTCGGTATAGTATAGTAAGACCCTAGTCGACTTATAAGGTAAAATCGCCTAAGTAAAGTCTATTATTAGTAGTAGGCTAGACTAGTTATCGGCGAACTTATCTATAAAGGCGTATAGTCGTTAAGATAGTAACTAGATTATATTTTCCGACTATCTATCCGTTTAAGGGTAATACGGAGTAGATAACTTCTGCTTAATCCCTATTAACTTATATAGGGTCTTCTAGAATAATATAATAAACTATAGTCCTCTGTCCGATATAATTAAGTCCGGAAGTCCTATCTACCTATAATAATATATTAACTATAACTTTACTAGATCTCTAGCTATAGTATCCTTAAATAAGGATACGTAAACTATCTACTTTATTAATCTATAGACTACTATTAAGGTATTATTATATCCGTATTAGTCTTTTAGTAGGTATATAAAGTCTATAGAGATATACTACTAGGATCTATCCGGTACCGGTAATAGGTTTAGGAGTCCCGGAGTCTTTATTCGCTAGGTTTTAGTATACTTATATATTATATAGTTATCCGAAAACCGAATAATATCCTAGCGGAGAGTCTTCTACTAAAATAGCTTACTAGGAACTTCTAAAGCTTCTTAGCGCTCGGGTAGACTAAAGATAGTTAATTATAGGCTTCGGAGATTAACCGGGTTCGTAGCTACCTATATACTAGGACTACAAGCTTCTTATTATAGATTAGTACTCCTTCTTATAAGTTAAATCTACTTAAGGAATTCTCCTATTTAGCTTCCTAATACTATACTTCTAGCTCTAGATTATCCTAGTTTACTAAGAGTAACTATTTAATTAAGTCGCTACTAATATAGAGTCGGTTAATTCGAACGGTCTTATACTTATTTACGATCTAGGGATCTAAGTAGGATTCCGGTAGTAATATCTAGCTCTCCGGTTCCCCTTATTATTT